CAGTCGCAATGCTCTCGTCGCTGCTAAAACAGAACAACTTCTGCCACGCTGAGAGTCCAAGAGGACGGCGGTGGAAGCGGAAGGCGGGCCTTGTTTATGATGATGATGATGATGATGCTCGCCGCGTAGTCAATAGTGTGGCTTCGTACGGATTTCCAGAGAGAGAGGAGAAAAAAGGACGAGAAAAGGAAAACTGCTACTCGCTTCGCGAATAGCAACAACATATTCTTACTCAGGCTCACGCGAACGAGATGAAGATGAACCAGATTCAGTGACGAGCGCGCGTCCCTTGTTATGACAATTCATCTGTCAGACTCAGATAAGGTATCGGGTACATTTTCGCGTGTTGGCTTCAATTGAAGATGAGGACGAGAAGACAGGTGGATTATAATAGATACAGAGAGAGAAATGAAATTCAACACTTGTTTCATGATTAAAGGAGAGAAAAGCTTAGAGCTTCTCAGAGTTCTATCTTTTTTGACCAAATAGGAACCCTACTTTTTAAGGATACGGGACGTCGAATACGCATCTTGCCCTTCCATCTATCACGACCAGACACGTCTCGCAAAGGCGTAGTTTAGGAGCTACTTTCTATGTAAGTAATATATACGTAGAGTAGTTTATAGACGCTGGGTGGCTGGGCGGCCTCGCTGGGCACGCTGGGCGGCAACGCGGGGCACGCTGGGCGGCAACGCTGGGCACGCTGGGCGGGCGCTTGGACAGCGCTTAGCGGACTTGAGGGCCACACATTGGCCACGCCGAGCCTGCGCGGCCGATGGATTTACTTGCGCCACGGGGACGCGGTGCAGCGCGTCCCGCGAGGACAAACAAAGGCGGCGCGCCGCCCTCAAGGTTCAGGGCAGCGCTGGCGCAGTGCTGCGCCAGTTTGCGCAGCAGCGGGCTGCGCGGCGCCTGCTCTGTTCAGGCTTGCACTCCGTCGCGCTGCACTGCGCTGGCCGATGCGTGCAATGCTGCGCCGCTCTTGTGCACAACGGTAAACTCGCCAGCGTCGTCGGCCTTGGCTTACGCTAGACTAGCACTGCTGCTGCTGGTGGGGTTCTCAAGCGGGCGCCCGAAGGGCGCCCCGCAATTGGAGACGCCCAGCGTGACGCTGGGCGCAGAATTCGGAAGACCTGGCACATTTGGGTCGCCCGGCGACCCAGTGTGCCCAGCGTGCCCTGCCCAGCCATATTGGGAACCCTTAGAAACTGTTCTAATATAGATATCGCGTCTTCTCGTTCCTGTATCTTCTTCATTTCGGAGATCCTTGATCCCTTCGTCAATATCAATCTTGATTTCAATCATGAAAATTCAAATTGTTTATCGTCTTTGATGTCATCCTGTGGAGTAGATGTTGTTCTAGAAATTTTTCCAAGATCGAATGTACATGAAGTTGTCGATAAAATTTAGCATTTAGATTTAAGACAGCACTACTAGCGACTGAGCCTGCCCCAGTCAGATAAATCAGATAGTCCAAAAGTCCAAGACAGTGTCACTGTCAACCGCCGCTCTTTATTAGCGGGGCCACCTCCATTTCATTTGCATTTCATGTGAGATTTTTTTTGCATTTTCTACAATTTTTCAAGATTTTTTATGAATATTACAACATACTATTATTTCTACGGACTGCTTGATGAGCATCGAGCAGCAGAAGCAAAATGGGACGTAACGACTCAACGACGAGCGGCACGCCGATAATCATGGCCGCATATTACCCGGGCCCGTGCTTGCAGACATATCAACGCGTCATCTTTTTTTTCTGTTGGTGTTGGCTCTTCTACGCCGTTGTATTAGGAGGCTTGACACACCTGAACGCGGAGTTTTGGCTGACGTCCACAGAAGTACCAAGCTGGCTTCGCTCGCAAGAGGTAAGGTTAACTTTTTCTAGTTTTGAAAGAGTCAGAGACAACAACCTTCTATAATATAACAGAGTAGTTTATAGCACGCATGGAGTAGCATGGAGCGCAGTCCCTCCATAAGGGACGCAAGAGGCGCCCCCTTTAGCTCCATGCAACTCCACGCGATCCATGCACTCCATGCCATGCGAGCCCTGGAACCTTATAGATTATTTTGATATAATAAATCTCTATTGTTACGCCACAGATAACATGAATCCAGATTGCGTCACTCATTCTTTAGCAATGCATATGGATGTGGCTAGATGCTAGATGTAGATGTAGTACTAGTAGACGTACGTAGATGAATTACTTCGTCATCGTGATCGTCACTCAGGTGGGTTAAAGGTTAAGTACTTAAATAGTTATTATGAGCGTATGCCGTATGGGCCCTTATCCTTAACTACTTTGCTGCTCCGATACGTTCCGGCGTAAGAAAAAACTGGGGCGCACTGTAGACGTTTCCGGTTCGAGATATTTATAGTGAGTCACATAGTTGGTTTTGGCTATCATTCTACTGGCGAGGCTATCCCTTGTCCTTAATTGATCGCAAAAGTCTAGTCCTCTCGTCATTATTCTTCACCACGTGACTGCCGTGCATCGCGCAGTTCGCCGAGCGCGTCGACTCCGTGGCTAACCTTCTTAGCGATTAGTCCTGGGAGCGGTCCGCTCACGCCGGTGGGATGTTGATGGTCCCCTCTTCTCTCGCACTTGTTCCAAATGCCGCCACTCGCTCTTGCTTCGAGCTTTTTCGTTCTTTTGTGGCGATGGACTTTTCACTCTCTTGCTTAGGCCTGCCGGCCTTCACTTCACCTGATGACAATCTTCAGGGCTCTCAATTATGCGACATTAAGGCGTGCCGCGTCCTTGTTTCAGTGCTTCTTGAGGCGGGTTTTGGTACAAACCAAGAGCACCGGTTTGGCGTGGGTAGTTTGGGGCGGGTTCTTGTACAAACTAAACTACGCTCTGGCCAACTGAGGACTTAAGGCCTTTAAGCTGTGGATCAGGTGGGTTAGGAGGTTAAGCACTTCTTAGATAATTGGCCTAGTATCTCGCATGAGCGTATGGGCCCTTAACTACTTTGCGTTCCGCTTCCGGTGTAAAAACAAACTGGGGAACACTGTAGACGCGGCTTCCGGTTCGAGAAATAGTGAGTTATATAGTTGGTTTTGGCTATCATCCTACTGGCAAGGCTTTCCCTGGTCCTTAAACTTAATTGATCGCAAGAGTCTAGTCCTTTCATCATTATATCGTCATTCTTCGTTTAGGGCAAAACCATAAGCATGTTGTAGAAATGACCAAACCTCCTGTTCAAAATTAGACTTCTTCGGGAGATGAAGGCAAGTCGTCTGACTGGAACACGTATGTGGGATCGATCATCGCTTTCCTGGTATTAGCACTCCTCGGCCGCTGTGGCGCGTACTCGTATCAGAGGTCATGCCTCGGCTGTTTTTGCATTTGCAATCTTATGTTGCTCGTCTTCATGACTGCCTGCGTCGTCGCAAGCTTCCTCTTGTGGCACGATATTTTTCCAGCAACCAGTTTGTGGATCGATCGATGCTCGCCGAGTACAATTTGCTGCCAGCTTTCGACCGGCGAAGACATCTGCAATGACGACGGAATGCCAAGTGGCTGGCGACACGTACAACTACTTCAAGTTTCCTGTGATCATTTCCCATTCCCACAACGAGAACACTTATGAGCTTTTTGACGACAACCGCCTCCTGAATGCATCGATAAAGACTGCTGCTCTTTACCACCATGACAACCGTTGAGTCTGTTCCTTTTATACGATAATTTACCTTCCTGTCGTACTTTTTCATCATGTTGTCCATGGTACTTTATCATCCAATACGAGGCCAAACCCCTACTTCATTACTTCATTACCGAGTCCATTCCCGTGGTCTTGATAGCGATGCTCCTTCTCGTTAATTGATATCTACATCAACTTCATGATCATGATGATCTTCAACATCATCTGCACTAATACTATGCAGCTAAATGACGCAAATACTGCGAAGTTTATGGACTGCTTGCTTTCCGCTCACCCTGCTTACGAGAAGAAGTACCCAGAAACCAAATCGCTTGCTGGCCGCAACGACTGCATGCCAGAAGCAGGAGTGTTTGCGAGGTGCGCGGACACGTCACCCAAGCCTCCAGGAATGAGCGATGTTGACTATGCAAAATGGAACCAGCTTGACAGCTCGCCAGTGGTCTCTGCGATCGGCCAGCGCAAGATTACGACTTGATGCATTTCTTTGATCTTTTCATTTGAGCACGATATGTGAAAGTGAATGTCTGTAATGAAAATTACTGTTATGTGTGATCTTCTAGACCTGGGTGGAGCTCTTTGTTTTTTTTCATAGATACACCGCAATCCATGGCCAGGATGAGTTTTTTGATCTTCTCATAGATTTATGAAAATTTTTTGACGTGGATAGAACTTTCTGCCGACTCCAAGAAACACTCGTGCGACCTTTGTGAACAGTGGAGGTGGCAGGCAGGACCAGAGGAAACGAGGAAGAAAACCAAACTAACTTTGGGTGGAGCAGCCAGTGCAATATCGGCGGGTCTGGTGGAAGACGAGATGCTTGCTAAAAAGAAGAGGGAAGCACGAGCAGCGGCTTCCCCGGACGATGAGGCAACCTCTGTGGCAATTATGTTGGCGGAGGGAAAATTCATGCCAGGGGCGGCGGGGAGCGAAGCAGCTGCAAAAGGTAGATCAACGCATTTTAACTTTTGTCATTTTGCAGTTTACCTGTACCTGATATACATGTTAGGGAACTTCTTTTCGACATCAGGTCCACACATATGATTGCTTGATCCCCAGTGCATCTTCTACGTTTTGGTTTAGTGGCTAGATACAACAAGAAGATGAACGGATTGACACAACACCAGGTTCATCTTCGATGATGTCGCCGCCACTGTACCAGCATCTTGCTATGATGCCGAACAGTCCGCTTATGCAGAGACTCGCAGTGGCGCCCGTGCCAGAAGTGGGGCAGAAGCATTTCGTCAAGCTTGTCACGGCCGGCGGATACTTGCAAGCGCTCGATGCCCTACCAGCTGGCACCTCAGTGCAGGATGAGGAAATCCAGTCGACAGATTTCGCGGAAGCCTTAGAGGACTTCCTCACAAACGGGGCCCAGATCACCGGTGGCTTTCTCACGAGATGGGCATCAGGCTTCATGAGATATTCTCACGACGTGGCAGACAGCAGTGCGAAAGTCGAAAACGTACAAGAACTAAAACTATACAATGAAGTTATTATTTTACTGCCAAGAGGACCAACAGTAACACCTTACGCCGACACATTTAGATACTGGTACAATTGGCAGGAAACATTTCCCCTTGTTCTCTGTGTCTGTTCGACTATTGATATTCCGAGGGAAGAATCAATTATTTTGATTCACTAATAATAATATTGATATACAACAGATCTTGGGCAGTCCCGCTACTGCAAAAAGTGCAGCCAAGCTGTTTGAAACCGATGCTGCCAAAGTCGCCGTTGTTACGACCCGCATCGCCGCCACCGCCAACAACGCGACCGAAGGCATCACCTCCGCTTCCCCGAATTACTTGGGCGGCATTGCTCTCTCCGGCGACTCGCCGGGAGCAACACAAAAGTCGGCCATGATCTTGGCAGAAGGATCAGGAGGAGCTTCAGGCGATTCCGCGGTCGTGGATAGCATCTCGGTGCCAGGAGTGAATGGTGAATTCGAGTCGTTTGCGCAGAACTGGTGGAACAGCTTGCTGGATACGAAGTTTCAACAGTGCGTGCTGCGCCCAGCAGAAATTTCGGGTACCAAGACCTTCGCGGTCGAATACCTTCCGCTGTTGGAGACAATGGCCTTCTGGTCGCTCCTGGTGCACGCCATCGGGTTTATCATCGCTTTCTTTAGCTTCTTCTGCAGTTGCTGCTTGTGCTGCTCCATTCCGACCCTGAAAATCCTGTCGGACTCGGACTACCATGCGCTGCGCGGATCACCCTAAATGGGACTTACAATCACTTCTACATGATTGAGTAGTACTAACACGGGGCAGTCGGAAATATACGAAACTATATTAGAGTAGTTTATAGAACGGATGTAGGATGGACTTGGATGGATCGGATGGACCCCCCTGATTCTTCCGATCCTACTTGAAATGGTGGGAAGTCCATCCGTTCCATCCGATCCATCCGATCCATCCCATCCCGGATCTGGCACCCCTATAAACTGCTCTACTATATGGATATGAATTTCAACGAAACAATTTTTAGTTTTGCGTTGAAAAAACCGACTACAAATAAACGAACAGTAGTTACTTAGATGAACTACCGCACGACAAGGAGGCGAAAGCGCTATCATTCAAGAAGAGAAATAAAAGTACCAAAAAATATAAGCTATTCACATATTGATACTATTCACTACGCGTCGTGTTGATCTTGAACTTGATGAATGATGATAATGTTTTGTTTTAGGCAAACCCGGATAGGATTAGGATCTACTGACTAGTATAAGGGGGTGGTGCACTAGATGATTTTCCCGGATTAGACTTCTTCAGAGGTCGTTCACCTTCTTCACTATTTCTTCATCCCCTACGGGTACGGGGTGCGCGGTAAGTTCATTGTCGACGAGTGCATGTAGGGGTAGACACAGGGATGGAAGTGAAAAACAATCAGAACAAAGATGAATAGCAGATGACGTATGAAAGTATGTTGTATGAGTCGTGAGTTCTGCAAGAATTATACAGTCAGAAAGTAAAGCGCTGATGGGAGCATAATCATTCTTTTTCTACTAGAAGTTTCACCAATAATATTTATTCTCAGACTAGCAAGGCTAACGTCATTATCAGCCATGGTAGACTATCGGCAGAGGTTCACCTTAGTCGATAGAAAGGTTAACTAAACTACCATTGAGGAGGGGAGGTTGACCCAATCCAGTATGCAGTTGCAAACGCAAACAGTTCCGTAGTATGGGAAATGTTTGAGTAGGACCAACGCCAAGTTTTACGTTTAATATTTTAGCGAATCCATAGAAATTAGCAAGAAATTATAGACTCCCTTGACCTTGTGACCCTCACCTTTTTTACCTACTTGTTGAAATTAAACAGAGCAATTTCTCGATCTCGTTGATGTTTTTGAACCTGATATTGCTGCAGAGTTGTCATACATGTTTTTTCTTCTTTATTTGATAGAAGCGGGGCAGCCGTATCTCTCCATGACTTGGACGAATCATCATGATGATGGAAAAAGCAGGGCCGCGAGGCATGTCACATGAGGAATTCTATCGCCCTGTTGCAGCAGTAGCATTACCAAACAGGCGGGTTGGTTCACATCTAGCTGCCGTTGCCACAACAACATCTACCAATCCTCAGCATCCGTGGTGAACATCATAAACATAATAATGTACCATATTATGTTTGGACGCGTTCTAGCTTTAGTGAAAATTGTTGTAAATCTTAATTTAATTCGGAGGTATGATTTGTAACTGTATTTTTCAGAATAAACCATGAATATAAGAATCATCACGGATGCCGATGCGATTGCGATCCTTATCCATGATCGGGGCCCCACGCCGCACCTTTTCAGACGTCGTGTGTAGCTGAATTAACCGAGTTTTGACAGGACTATCAACCGACTTGAGAAATTCCAATCGTCATGCCAGATGGAAAAGTAGAATCCTCAAACAACTGCTTGTGCTTCGTCACTCAAACATTGCGAACTGCAGCGTCAAGCATCGAAAACCAACTGAAACGATAAACAACATGCGAGACATCATCCCACAGCAAATGATTAGAATGAATGTTTTACTATAGTATACCTTCATCCATCCAAAGATTTGATTTTTTGTGATGACGAGCATAACTGGAACTACGAAGATCTACATCGTTCGTCCATGACCAAAGAATCTGTAAGTACTTTGTAGGTGTCATGCAAAGAGTGAGCATGAATTAGAATAACATGAAATTGAGAACGATAAGTTGGAGTAACAACTATTTGTTTCAACATCAAATAACAACAGCTGAAGTTGTTTCTGTCATACTTCCTACTACTAGGTCAAGATCACCGAGTCAAGAGAGAAGTTCCAATGCAGATTTAGTAATTGCTATCGCAACGATCAGGTTAATAAAAACAGCAGATGTTTGTCTTTTCAGATCTTTGGTTACAAACCGAATCCGGGCCACACTAAACGAACAAGACGACCGAATGAAAAGAACGACAGTTGGGATTAAAGGACGATGCTGTTTCGATCTTCAACTCGTCGATCGGGATTCATGATCTGTGAACAAGATTCAATCTAAGAGCGTGTACTAGTACTATCAGTTCTTGTATCTTCTGTATGCTCGGTTGTTGCATGGACGAGATGTTGAAATAGTCAGGAATCTGGCAGCTCTGTTTTCCTTTAAAGCTGTGGACGATCTTACGAGACGTCCCCCGAAAAAAAGTTGAATACTCGAGCGAATGAGAGACACTATCACTGACTAGGAAAAACTTTCCTGAAAGAGACATCAAAAGCAAAAGTCATGACTATCTGAAATCTGACCAGCCTGCTTTTGCACAGCACATACATCCCACCAGACCAACAAACGGATTCTTTTTTTATGCGAGAAAATCGCCTGAAGGCGGATGTGCGTATCGCGTTTGTAGTTGCTGGAGTCGATAAATGTGGATAGAAATAATCATGATGAGTTCAGTAAAAATTTGATCTGAAGACAATTATAACGATAGGGAACTCAATGAAGAAGACGGTAATGGACGATCCCCCTGAGGGGAGCGGCGCACGCGTCACGGCCGCCTCAACCGATTTCCATTTGCGATATCTGATAGGGCGTGCCCGCGAGGAGTCCAAGGATACGTCCATCCTCGGAAATATCCGCCCGCTCGTCAAGAACGCCTACGCTCTGCTAGATGCAAACTTCGACAGATTCGTCGAGAATGAATTCTCTGCCGATCTGTTGGTGCAGTTTGCGGAGGTGGCTCTGCTGGTCCCCGGCCCACCAGGCTTTCCGCGCGAGAAAATCGAGCGCGCACTGGATCTCTTCGACCGGGTCGGCACGGAACCAAGCCAATGGGTCGCGCGCTCCTATCTGGTTCGAGCACAAGTGGAGGGCAAAAAAATTACGATGGCACATTGCTCAGCCTCAGCCTCAGCCGCGGTCTCTTAGCCCGCATGTCACTGATAACTTTTCTTCCTATTGTGATTTTGTGCTCTTATCGACCACAACATCAACATGAATCAAGAATCTCATCTAGTAGGTCTGTCATGTCTTCTATCATGCCGCCGAGTAGTTTGATCGTCTAAAAAGAATCTTTCCGAGCTGAAGGGAGATCACCTGGTTGTGCAGGTGAAGTACGCGCTTAACATTCTGCTGCGTGCGAACAAAATCGCGGAGATGCCGCAGTTTAAAGCACGCTACAATTTCGTCGTCTACAACGCCACTCTATTGTACTGGGATCTCGTGCGGCCGCTCTGTCGCATAAACGGGTGGCAAAGTAGGGTGCTAGCTGAAACGAAAGAACTCAGCGACTCGCTGACCGCGGCAGCCACGCAGGCTGACGGCTATGCCCAGACGCGGTCACCGATCGTCACGCAGTGGCGAATCGAGTTCCTATTGAATCTCGCTTTTGGACTAGATGACGAAGGAAAAATGCCCGATGCACAGAAGCTCCTCGATCAAGCCCTGGAGCTAGTCAGGATGAACGAAGCAGACTACACAAACGCAGTGGCAGCAAAAGCGACAGCTGTTGAGGCCGGAAATGACCCTGATTTGATACCTACACCAGAGCCACCACCACAATGGTTGCGTCCACTGGTACTTTTTCTACGAGATGACTACTTAACTGGAACCTGTACTACTACAACTACTAGCTCTCGCAGTATGTGAACAAATACAACATAGTACATGCTGGACACGGAGATGATGATGTTGTTCTTGTTGTAGCGAGTGAGGAGCTGCAGAGGGCTATGACAAACAGCAAGAGCCTCGTAGTTCAGGTCACTCTTAGTCTCAACAGAGCATGATTATGATACAGTTGTAGTACTAGTTCTACTACGTACTGTAAAAAAGTTTCAGTCCCACCACTTGTTGTAGTACGTGTTGTATAATTGTCTCCTAATTCCTATCTGCGATCTTTTATTGCAGGTCGAGTCTGCGCGTGCACACATGTACCGCAGCAACACTAAGACGGTGATGGGCCAGGATTCCAACAGTGTGGTCCACTTTGTGCAGAATAAGGGGATGACGAATTCCACGGAGGTCGAGACCGAATTGGCGAAGTATTGGGTGTCGATGGATCCTGATTTTCAGCCGTTTTGGGCATCTCAAGGTCGAGACGAAGTCGCGAGGCCAGGGAACGAACTGAACGTACCGGAAACGCAAATCAAACTCGCAGCTACCCTCAAAGCGGCGGCAGCGGTTGGGAATTTCAATCTCGCGCAGGTGATGTACAAGAGAATAGCGGGACTGCGCGCTCCGCCGCCGCGCGGAAGAATCTTGATCGACATGGCCAAAGCCCACATCGATGTCTGGAAAGGTGAGATAGAATTGCAAAGTTGAAGTAAGTACTTACTTCTGAATGATAGCAGATCGATGATGACGAATGACGATGATGCAGAGGCTCTGCTCTATCAATCAGAAAATACCAAGCTCATTGTATTCTGTACCCAGCACTACCAACTTCAACTTCAACAATAGCTACGAACCTGATTGAGTACGCCTCGACATCGGGGATGGTGTTGGACCCAGAGGAGCAGTGGGAACGAGAGGTGGACGCTCGTGTGCGCTCTGTGCGCCTGTGTGAACAGTGCATTGTGGCGGGGAAGCGGATCGAATCCTTGGATCTGGTTGAGGAGAGCGCGATGATGGTCTACAACTTCTCTGTTCCTCTGTTGCAGACGGCGTATCGTTCCCAAGTCCACAAATCGCTGTCGCGCGCTGCCGAAGTGCTTGCGGAACTGCAATCGAATCTGTTCATCTTGCGCACGACATTGCACTACGAAGCTGCGCGCTGCGAGGTTGCGAGTGACTTGCTAACAAAGGGGCAGGAAGAGCTGAAGAAATGCAAGGCCTTGGACGAAACACTCCACGAAACAAAGGAACTCACCGAAGAGATGCGGTAACAGTTGCAGTGGAAATCTTTTGCATCATGACATGTGTGTGTAACTATAAAGTAGACCTCGAAATCGAAGGACCTTGGTGTTTTTATTTGTCATCTAAATTGAAAACGATGATTATAAAAGTAGCAGGTGGTGAATTTTCACTGGAAACAGAACAACAACGATTTAACTTGGACCTTGTACCTGTTGCCTAGCTCATCCGAACTACAACCTCCAGCCCGAAGCCTGCTAATACGGATGAGCTTGCGAAGACTGGCACAATTCTCGACCCAGCACCCTTCACACGGCGTATGCGAACACAGACTGTTGACCCTTTGGCACACTTGCTGAAGTGGAAACTGTCCCTCTACGACGATCCTACTGGACTAGACCAGATCATGTTGTGGTTAGATCAGCAACCCATTACGCCAAACGTTATTTTGAAGGCGTACAACAAATTAGTAGAGGAGGAATTCGAGCCGGTTTACCAGCAAATCAATGAGGACGAACTGAGGCATAAGTACGTCAAGCTGCCGCAGTGGATTGAGGATCCAAAGAAGGACATAAAGCCGTATAATATGTTTTACTAGTCGTGAGTCAGCGTTTTGTCGCGGATTGATGTATACATTAATGTGCCTGAGTGTAGATGTACACTGTCGCGCTTTCGTTCACCAGAAACGTTATAATTGTATGTTTAGAACAAATAATGCGGCCAGTGCATCCACCTGATTCATCCGCACTCAACTTGTCCCAAGTACGACCACCAACACAACTAGGTACAATCCTATGCACGCTCCCTGTACCGTGATTCCCACGCCGGACGCTATAGACACCTCAGTCTCGACGCAGTCGATGGACAAACGGATGCACTCAGACCGTGAAATCGGAATCGATAAGATCAAGATGGTCGCCTTAATGTTCGCACAATGTTCAGCTCGCGCGATGGAGAAGAAGATGAGCACCAAGGAAATCGTTGATATGTGCGACAAGGCTCTTTTTATCGAAAAATTTGTGGATTTCGGTCCGTGGCCAGCCGAGATTGAGCAAGCCGTTGCGCTGGCACAGGTGGCCTTCCGGAAAGCGCAAGCACTGTGCGAGGAGTTGGACTCGGTGTGCGGAGTGAGTGAGGAAACGATGTACGCCATGTTCATGGACGGCGCGGATGACGGCGGCATGCAAGAGGAACTGGAACCAGAAGACTATGCAAAACGAAACCAAGTGAAACGGGATATCGTTGATTTGGTACCTACATAGGAAGAACTCGTTGATTCTCACGATATTACAGATCTAGATGATCGAGCCTCGCTATAAGATGAAGAAGGTCGTGGTTGGCGTTAAAAATCTTATATCTAAATGATCGGGGTCGGCTACAACCTAGCTCTAGTAGTATTACTTACAACTTCTAGTTCTAGAAATATGAAAAATCAATCCGACAACCACCAGATTCTCTACGGTCTTGACATTGCGGATCGATTCAAGCAGGACTGGCTGATTTTCAACGGTTTGCTACATTTTTGGAACTTTCATCTGGGGCTATTTGAGGTGATCGCTGAGAATCAAAGTAGAGTGAATGAGGCAAGCATCGCCAAATCTCTTGGGCGCGACCCAGCACCAGTCCCACCGGTGGTGTACTTGAGTGATTTCTTTCGGGGATGCCGCACTTGCTTTGCTCTCGCGGACAAGTACTTCATTCCAGCACAAAGTCTTGTCCTGAGGAATTTGACTCTGCTCTACATGGACAGCTTAGCGTACCTGGAAAACAGTGCAGCGGATGCAAAAATCAATGCTATGTTGACAAGACTTGACTATGTCTCCTTTTCTGATTGGAGAGTTTTGTCAGAATGATCGCATGAATTATTGACGACCACGTTTCATTCGGGACTTTTTTCTGTTGTCATTTGTGTATTGTGTAAGTCCTCACACTATAAGTCAAGTTATCGTATGTGACAGATACTAGTACTACTTCTCTTGGTATGACAGAGACAGAAGAAAGACTACTCCTACTCAAAATTGAAAACCTCGCGCATGCTCACTCTGAGCGACCTCAGCGGACCGGCGTACCTGGTGGAGGATTCGCAGCTTCGGATAGCGGTGGTTAAGTGCAGTGTCTTAAACTAGCACTAGCTACTTAGTTAAAATAAAATTAGATTGACAGGCCCAAACCCCCTCCACTTCCCTAGGCTCATTCACCACTTCGCCCCAAGTGAGACTGAGCCCTCCTACCGGCGCGCCGCTTGCTTTCCACGCTTGAACTCGCCTTATCTGGATGACGTTTTTGAAGTATCCAAGCTCCGGCGCCACCTGGTGCCGCAGCTTGGCAGAGGCCAAAAACGTCATCCAGACACGACTTTGCCGCATGTTCTGCTCATGGCCCCTCCGCTTTCGCGCTCCCGCCACCCCTTCCTAAACCCTAGTGCTACCCTACTGTCTTGGGCCTGTCAAAATATCTAATCTTTAACCAGCTAGTTTAAGACGCTGCATTTACCCGCTGCGGTCCACAGCTGGGGCCCTCCGTCGGTTCGAACCAGCGCCCAGAGGGCAGCCAAAATCAGCATTAGCGAAGTTTTCAGGTTTGAGTAGGAGTAGTCTTTTTTCTGTCATACCTGCCTTGGTGCTGTTGTTACTAATACTCACATTGAACACGCCTAAAAGTCTAAGACTAGATCTAGCGAGAAGCCGGACTGCCCTCCGGTTTCTACGGACGCCCTTTTGCAGGCGTTATTAGCGAAACTGCGTAAGACCGCAAAGAAAGAAGTTTCGGCACGAATTACGAAAACGGCTCTCGTCATGCAAGGGCCTGCAACGGCGATTACAGTGGCAGCATCAACGGAAAAACCGAAATTGCAGTATCCAGATATGCAGTTCGGCGGCACACCATTAGTACGGCAATCCTTTGACGTCGTCGTTGTGCGTAAGTCTTGCCCAACATAGGTGATAGAATAGATTGAAGTTCGTTCCTGTTAATTTTCGAACGAACAGTGTCTCAGTCTAACTTCTCTCACAATCGCCTGATCATGTATTGAGACACTTCTAGTTTTAGCTTTAACGAGAGAGCTCGAAGCCGGAAAGAAGACTGACTTGCGCATTGAGGGCGACGTTGCACGACTCTGCGAGCAGATCGCAGCCGTGCCGCAACAGAACGACAAGTGTCAGTCTTTGGTTACGCAATGCGTCGATTTGTTGAATGGCTGGCAGCCGAGATTTGAGGATGAGGAGGAAGCCACGCTGTACATCGAGCTGTGGACACGGTTGGGACGGAATTGCCTCGCTTGTTTTGCGCCCGACGTGAACAAGACGGGCCCCAAGTTCGGGCTCATGTGCGGCATCAAGGCGTTAAGGGGTCTGGATGTGCAGAACATCCTCGAGGTGGAGAAAAAGCAGAAGAAGAGCCGCAAGCGAGGAGGCGAGTCACCGAAAAAGAAGAAGGAGAACACGGATCCAACGCAGCTTTTTGCGGTGAATGAGGATGCGCGCCGCCCCCAGCACTGCTCGGATTTGCGGTCCGGGTGGCGCGGAGCCGCTTTCGCACTGTGCGGCGCCTCGCTCGCCACACTTGTGAATCCGAGCGCCCAGGAGAAAAACTCAGTTCAGAGTTTGCGCTACACCGCAGTCTTGCAATTCGCTGGAGCTCTCGAGCACTGTACGGAGGCGGAGCTTCATGGAGCATTAGCGCTTTACAGTGCGCAGCGCATGTACAACATTGCGGCATCGTTGCTGCAGACGGACCGCCAGTCAAGACTGTTCGTGCTGAAGCCGTTACTCACCGCTGCTCGCGTACTGTCGAATCTGCGTTTGCAGGACGACCCAGAACTTCTGCTGGCTCTTTATGCTGCCATTTTCTCGGTGTACGCAGACCTGGAGGACTGGTCCAAGATCCAACTGGTCTTGAATGCCGCGTTCAAGATCGTGCCATTGGAGTTCCAGCGGAAGCTGTGGGCGCTCCGAATGGTGGCACTCAGCAAACAAGGGAAGAACGTGCAAGTAGCGATGGGCAAGATGAAGGAGTCGCAAGCGACGGCGCAGGCGAACATCTGGATTATTCTGGCGCACTCAGCAGTAAAACCCCTAGAACAGCTTGAAGCGTACAACAAGGCAGTTGACATCCTCAGCAAAGCTCAACAATACTCCGTGATTGACGTGAGGCTCGAGCTAGCCGATTTTCTGTCGGCTCGTCGCGAAGAACTAGCTGCATTTGAGGTCGCACGACATGCGGCGGACATGCTACTCGACGTCGAAGAGGAAGCCGTGCAGGACAAAGAAGAAGATGAAGCGGCCATGACCGGCAGTCAAGTCTCGAGTCGGCTCAGTCAGCGAGCTGACGCCAAGAAGCCTGGAACCGGTACTAGCCAGAGCCGTATTAGTGGTGGGAAGAAGAGCGGTCCCGGGAGCGTGATGTCGAAAAGAAGTAAGGCTGGTAGCGGCTCTGGCAGCCGCGCCAATCGCAGCGGGACCGGCAGCTCTGTTACCGGAAGTAGCAGTAGACAGAGCCGCAACGCGCTTCTCAACGCTAACGACACGACGATGCCTGCCAAACTCAACGCACTACACTACGAGCACATCCTTCGAGCCAACATCGCGCAAGTCGCTTATTCGCGCTCTGGAGAGGACTTACACACTGCTCTAGCGTCATGTGTACACTTCGTTGGACGTATCTTCGATTCCACGATCGAACTCGCAAATCTCTGCTCTGTAGCAGTGTACATTATGGTGCGGGCGGAAGATGAAGTAGGCGACGTTGCAATAGAACTGGATCTGGAAGATCATGACCTGTTCAGCCTGTACCTGATGTATTTGTAGTTTGTCCTTCTCGAAGTCCTGATGCTAGTAAAAGTCTTGGATTGATGATGCACGCTTTGCTGCTCTACGACCTGTTTATCTAATTTTCACAAGAAAATCGCAGAGCTAATCGAGGAACAGGAGAAAGCACGGGCAAAAGTTGAAAACCAGCTGGCAGCTGGCGCTAGTGGTGTCCCGGATGAGCCCACTGTTGCGAAGCCCATGTGTGCGCCCTTCTGTACCTCCTCCGATTTTCTTGACTTCGCAAAAGTTTATGCCGATTGCACGTTCGGCACAGCAGCGATGGGCGATCTTGAAAAGTCCAATAGTAAGATCTTGCTAGAGAAGGTCGTTTTCGCAAAAACGAACTTCCAGGCATTGATCACGATGCTGGAGCGCGGTTTGCCAGTACTGGCACAGAAGGAGCATTTGACAGTGGAGCAGTACTTTTACGCTGGTAACCCCGCGATGTTCGCAAAGCCGCTGCTGTGTTGGTGGGGACTTGTCAGGTATTGTAAAGTAGTATTGAGTGCTGGTTTTCTTTCTATGTGTGCTGGTGCTCCTTCAGTTCGACTTGGAGGTCCGAAACTTCTTGCTTTAACTGTACGAGGTTGTATGCAACATCATTTTATTTACATAGATGATTTGCGTTTGCCGTATGGGTTATATACTTTCACTGTCACTCCCTCGTTTCGATCTCGTTCGTTCCAGGCTTGAGGCTGCGCTGGAGCAACAAGGCTACTTCTTTTGGCTCTTCCCGGTTTTGGATCTCCAACAGCTGTTAATAAATCAGTTCTGGGGTTTGGAGATCGTGGAGTTTATGCGAGAAAACGCTGCTCAGACCAAGGAGCAGTTGGAGAAAATGACCGCCTTCGAACGCGAACAGAAGAAAATTCGTGAGGGGCTCAAGATCTGTACGAAGAAGGCACTAGACTGTCTAGTAGCGATGAAGCGCAGCCGCTTGTGCCACGTTGCGCGGCTGTTCGACGACTCTGCTACGCACTGGGCCATGGCCAAAGATTTCCTGTACTCGGTGACCAAGACGCTGCCAGACTTCAGACCGGAGGCAGACGCGGCGTTTGCCCGTAGAGTTGTCGTGGACGATGGCACACTCGGTGGAGCAGCAGGTGCTGGAGACCAAACTGCAGACGAAGCTGGCGACGCGAACGATCTTACCAAGCTTTTGCGGGGTGAGAAGGATCCGAAGCCTGATAAGCCAATCGTCGCGGACGAGTCTTTAGACTTGTCTTCAGTATTCGCCGACGAGCATCGAGCCGCGCCCTGGCGCGTAGGTGAGAAGCTGAAGATTTGCGAGATCTGGCTTCTTCTCGCAGAAGAATGCCTTGAAATCGGGGAGTACTCGACAGCCGGGAAGCTGTTGAGCGAGACGCGGTATCACGCAAGGTGCTATGGGGATGCCCGCACTTTTAGACGTGCCAGCATATACCAAGCACGCACAATGATAGGTGAGGGCCGCGCGGAAACTGTGCTACGTGAGATTTTGCGGTTGCAGTTTAAAGTCAAAGGCCTCGACGTCTCTGCGCTGGTCGACGTGGTCGACTTGGCGCAGCGCGCGTACAGTCAGATGGGCGCGCCAAGTGTCTTTTTGGAAGATCTTTTTAACAGCGGCCTGCGTCATCTGGCCTCCGTCGGACCTATTGCTGATGCAATGCCGGTCTTTTCGCCCAGAAGCCGTGTGGAGCAAGATAGTCTAACCGGCGCTGCAGCAGCGGGCGACTCCGGTGCTTCGGGCGTGCGAGTCTTGAGTCCAACATCAGTAGCGACGAGCGGCGGCGCGCGCAGGGGAATATCGTCTCCGGGAGGTGAATCGCGAACAGCAATGACACCCTCGCGGGCAGCTCGAAGTGCAAATATGTCTAGCGGATTCTCAGCGGCCGGGGGGGCTGCTTTTTCTCTCTTATGGGGTGATGGTAAATCTAGATGTTATATAGTGCTAGTGTTTATCCTCTTCACATTCACACATGATGAGGCGATTCTCCTTGTCGGGCTCTTCTACTAAAGACTAAATGTCTGTTTTTCAAGGTCCACGCTTTTGAACATGTGCACACATACGACGTTACCTCTGTTAGCTAGTGCTGGATCCATTATGTCTACCCTACCAGTACGCAGCACCACCGCTGCGAAGACTTTTTTCATTTTGCGTCGACCAACTTGGTGCTACCAACAGCGCGGGCACCGAAAAGATCGCAGAGCTTTGCCGGTTACTCGAGCTCGAGCTTGGCGTCAAGATTGGGAAGCTGAAGCGCATGCAGGTGAACAGTAGGGACTTTTTTCAGGAGGTTGAAGGGTGCTGGACAGCGGTCAGCCGCATTATCCACAAGTATCTTGCCGCCGGGTACTTCAAAGGAGCCCTTGAATCGGGCATGAGCCTCGTGAAGAAGATGGAAGCGATTTACGACATCTTGATAAACACGTACGACCCAGGCCAGATTCGCCCTCATGTCCTAGTCGCTTTCGAAGACCGTGCACTAGACACTCTCGAAGCCCTGCGCGGCGCAATTGCAGAACTCACACGACGGATTCCTTCCGCGCCGCATCTGCGGGGTCACTGCGGCCCACTATCCGACACCGTCTTAGAATTATGCCTTGAAACTGAAAGTGTTAGTACACATACACTTACACTTACACTTACAGATAGATGACATCGTGATAAACATGAACGTGAATGAAAAGAAGTAGACATCAGCAATGTACCGCTCCTATTCGTCAGGTACATGAAATTGAAATTGAAAAAGTCTGTCAAAATAAATTTTTTGGACCTCCTCTTCCTCTCGGGCTTCCAAAATGTACTATGCTCTTCTTCAACACAAACCGGCGCCTTCTGAACAACGTCTCGCTAATGAGTTTCGAGGTCATTTGTAGCCGACACAAGGCGCAGCGGCGTACGCATGCCAGAAAGAATGCTGCGCTGAAGTACCAAGTAGGCGGCAGCTCTTCCTCCACAGCATCGACGCCGAACAAACCACCACTACCCGGCGCAGTGGACACGTCGATCTTCTGCTTGCCGGCAGGGCCTTCGGCGGATGCTTCCTCGCCCTCGTCCAAAAAGAGTGCTGGTGGAAGCAAATCACGGACAAATACATCCCTCGGTGGAACTGGTAGTAAGAACAAGGCAGGAGCTTCAGGTGGTAGCGTGAACACATTCATAGACAAAGGAGGGTTTTACGAACCACTGAAGCCAGTAGAGGTGCGCGACGTTAGCGAGAAATACCTGGAGGAGCTGTCCGGCCGTATCGAAAGCGAGTCAGAACGGTTGAACGGACCAAAAAAGCCGACAGAAATCGACTTCTCGGTGGGTGCGATCCACAGTGCCTACGCGGAACTAGACTATAGCCACTCAGTCACACGCTACCCGAATCTAGCAAAGCTGGGAGCGGTTTCAGCTTTATGTCTGTAAACTACTTACATGCTTTCGCTTTCATTTGAATTGAGTCGACTACTAAGAATTGCCAAAGAAATGCTAGAAGTTGCAGCAATAAAGTGTGCTTTACCACTTATTTCGGGAATCCTTTCCGCTCCTGATGATACGTTGTAAAAATGATAACAGCAACATGAACAATGAATGCTAATGCATCAAGTGTTCTTTTCAAGAAGTGTTGAGTCTTTTCATTATACGATGCGGATGCCAGTAGTGGGACGGTTGCAGCGTCGCCGATTCTCGAAAAGGGGACTCTCTGTGTCCCTGAGCATGTGGCGCGTGCAGAGGTAGAGATGGGCACGCTTATGGTAGAGCGTGGGCCTGCCGCTTTTCCTGACTCAATGTGGGATGCGGTGGGCAAGAATAGCAGAGTTGAGTTCGAACGACGCGCTATGATGTTCGAAGACTTCCGAAGTTGCTCAGTGGAACAGAAAAGTTGGGAGGCCATAGCGTTTGCTGCACCACCGGAAGCGGAAGCTGGAGATGAGGTAACAGCTAGGATCTACTCCTATGTTGAAGTACCAATTATGTTAGTGTTTTATTTCCTCCGCGATACCCATGCATACCTTTCTAGTACTGGTTTTTCATCATAGACAGCAGAAAACATCCATATCCATATGCGTTTCAAGACTGTCAGACGAGAGACTCAAGTGGAACCAGAAGCGGAACTTCCCAATTCTCAGGCCGCTTCTCCATCTGAGCCTGTGCCTCCGCAGCGGACGAGTGACATGTTCGAAACTGGACGCGAATACCTGGAACAAGCAGTCCCAGTGTGCTTGAAGCACCGGCATTTCCGCTCGGGTGCCCTTGCGTGTGAAACCCTTGTAAACTCAGTCTACGGCCCAACGAATATGCAGAAAACCTTTCACTATCTAGCATGGATGCAGCTCTTCAAGGCACTAGACTTCGGTTATGCCACGCTGATGCCCTATGTGTTGCCTCCCGACCACACCGAGAGAATTGTGGGAGACAATTTGAAGATGCTATCTAGGAAATTCGCGCGACCGGAAATGCTTCCCGGATACGTGGATTTGCTGGCTCAATACCAGAAAGAACCTATGGGAGAGCTTTCGGAGACCGTGCTAGCACTACCGAGCAACATGGACCAGGTGCGTGATAGTCCTACAAATCATCGTGGTTTTTCTCATCTAAATCACCTTTATCAACATCAAGATCAAGCAACTTGAAAGTTTCAAATTAAGTAGAGTTAGAGATCTTTAAGTATCCATGCCTTGTAGTGACATTCAGATTCCTAGCGCTAGCTCCCGCCACGACCATAAAGAACGTCATGTCAACCGCAGGTAATCCGTGAGTTGCTGCCTTCGCTGACTTTGTATGTGACGTTGCAACTCGAAAGCGACTTCCTTCTGGTAGGATCTGCGTTTTACCCAGGTGCGCCAGGGACCGTCTCAGCGAACCGCGTAAAGAGCAACTTCGAGACAGACCCGACGGTGGGTGTTCCACAGGGGTCCTCATCAAGCAGCACTTCAGCTGGTGGCGTCGAGTATTGCTGCTTTAAGATTCCTGCAAAGCGGTTAGACTTCTCCCACCTCGTCGCCATGGTTCATGACGCCTACAGCGCAATCGAAAAGGAGCTAATCGGAAATTTCACAGTGCCTCCACCAAACCCAGCATACGACGCGGCAGTGCAAGCGATGGAGAGCTTCTTCGAGCCTTTATTTACGAGGTTACGCGATGAGTTCGTGGCTGTAGGCCAACCGGAGCGACGTCCCGCCAACCTGTTCATTACAGTCGACGATCTGCTGTTCGATGTGCCATTCGAGCACCTGACTTGCGTCTCCAAACTCTTCCCGCAGTCGGTAGACTGCTTTGTCGGACGCGATATTGCACTCCCGCTTCTTGCCGTACGCGGCGCCCGCAGTTGTCGAGACATGTTGTCACTATGTCTACTACAAACAGAAACAATAGATACAGAAGCCACGATCACACATGAACACGATCACAGAAGGTCATTCAGTTAACACCTCCTCATACCATTACAATGGTTCTCTATCACTATCTTTCGATACATGCTACATGGGTCCTTGTAGAGGATTAGGATTTGTTCAATGAACATCAGGGCACTTGCTTTATCCTCTGTCTAAGACTAGCCCGTGTGCAGATTGCGCAGGATACAGGGATGCTGCGACCCAGCTTTGTAGAGGAGCCGGGCCGTGTCGATCCAAAAAACGCGCTTGTAAAACGCGCGGTGCTTGGCTTCGAGCGTGGAAACGCGTTGGCCATCGTCGACGCCAACAATGAAGATCAGTACCTACCACAAGAGCAGGGCAATTTGCTGAAAGATTACCCAGCTGTACCAGCCGGTGTCGAAAAACTCTTTTTATGATGACGAAAACGAAAACAAAAAGAAAATGCAAAAATGAACTTCGCTCTTGCGCTTGGCGTTGTAGAAATGATTTCAAGTGAGTTTTTTTCATAGTAGACTCATGTTTAGTACTATCATAACAGTTATTACATAACTGATTCTGTCAACAACAAAAAACGACACATACTTAGACGCCTCTAACCCCTGGTGATCCAGAGATCAGCGCGTCCGTTTTTGTGGAAAGCTTACAGACGTCAAGGACGCTGAGTTACGTGGGCTTCTCGAAATTGCTCATGAGCATCACATCGTCGCAGTTTGGCAGTTCAGACTTGCGAAATTTAGATGCGCTGCTTATGTTCTGTCGTGGAATGAACGACAAGTATTACTTAGTTGTTGATGTTCTATCATACCTATAACATGATGATGAGGATCTTGATGATCTTGATGTTGATCTCATTCATCAATCACGAGTAGGTGTAGCTATAGCATGCTTCATACGACTGGAGCAGGATCATTAGTCGAATGCAGGTGATGGTATCAACACAATATGTTCGTCCGACAGTCGCAAACCACTTTGCTCCTGCTCAGGGCCTTCCGTCGACAGAAAGCGATTTTTGGAGATAACTTGATCGCAAATAATGGCTCTGGCTATTCAATTGCGGTTTTGGCCTCACTGCGTGGCATGAAGGCGATGATAATGGCGCAGGCGCCTCTGCCTATCACGCAGATTCAAAGGCTATCTGGAGAATTCTGGAACGCATTCTATGGAACGGGCGCGACCATCAGCGAGAGTCTACGGTACGGTGCTTTTTCTATCACTGTTGCTTGATGTGTTAGAATCTCAGAAACATAATCTGAATCAGAGATGGAATAGAATGTTGTAATTTCACGCTTGTCATCATCATCAACAGCTAAAGCGTGTCTCTTACTCTTTTGGCTTTTAAAGTAAAAGGTGATCCGGAAGCTTTCATCTCCACGAACAAGTGTATGGTTTTGAAAGATTAGATATCCTTTCATCTGCTACTATCTACTTTGCGAATGTCCACCATCTCTCTCTTTTCCTTTCCAACAGGGAACCGCTCAATCGGATTCCTCCGGGACACGCTGATGAAGTTCAGGGTAGCAGCAGGCCTGCTGCGTTGGGTGAGAAGATTAGCTATTCACCATACCAGAAGAACGCGATGATTGCATTCGGCCTCACTTGGATGACGCTGGAAGGAGCAGCCGGCGTCAAAAAGAAGTAGACCATGAAATTGAAAGTGGTAGTTTTATGTCCTACTCTACATTCTTATTCTTTTACCTCCAAGTGCTAGAACGAAAACACGATTTGCCCATTTGTTTCACCATCACTGTCACACGTGGAAAAATGATTGATTTACGTAGGCGAACTTTCAATATCGAGTCTTTTTTCAAACCATTACCTTTTTTACTGACGCAATTATGAACTCTTGCATGCGGGGTGAAGCGGAATCCATTCCGAAAAGCGACAATAGGGCCCTTGCTAGCTTCTATTCGTTCTAAGTACGTAAATCTTCGAGGTGTAGCCTTATACAACTACTGGGAATAGTATTTCTTTTAGTCCTGCGACTTGGACTTGGTCCTGTTGTACAATAAATAAATGATGAGATCTACTTCTGAAGCTTCTTTCTACCTTGAATACTACGCGTTATCGAGTTTTGATTACCTATACCCAGGGTCTGTGGTCTCTCTCCTCTGTATTTTCTGGCGTTTGATGTTGTTGTTGACCGATGATCAAGAAAGCTGTGGTCGTATAGGGATGAACCTAGATGACAACTGTTTAGGTTTACAATCTTGACTAACAAAATCCAGCGAAAGAATGAATCAGAAATACAAACACTACAACATCAACAATCTTTATCTTGATGAATCCTAGCAAATGCTACAAGAAAATCGGAAGAACTACCACTACAAGCAGAGAGAAACAGAAGACACAAAACAGCGTATAAATTTTACCCTATTTCGGAGTCCAAAAGCATTGCCGCTTTTGGTTTTGATCTTCGTGTACCAGTTTCGAATTCATAGTATGTAGCTTTTTCTTTTCTCGGCGAATGAATCTGAATCTAAGCTCTGGAAGACAGGAAATTGATAACAAACGAGTCAGGAGAAGGAGAAGCTTCTCGTAAGCAAGGTAGCTTCACCAGATGGTATCATGCAAACACGCAATTCCATCTAGTAGCGCCATTCCAAGACTGAACGCACGCATGCCCATGATGCCCTCTTCCTCGTTTTTTACACGTTAGTCAAGAGGCTTAATTTAGGGTTCATCCAATGAATAGTTCGTGATCTAGGTTTTCATCCTGTGAGGGAGGTGGAAGAAGATGTAATTTCCAGAAGACATCAGACTCTGTCTCTGACTCAAAAGACAGGGACCAACACTTCAGCATGAGAAGTGAAGAAAATGATCCTCAAGATATCCGATGAGCCTGATATCTATGATGCAGCGATGATCATCATGTGTTTACTCTTTACAGCAATTTTGATCCACCGAAAATTCCTTATGGATGCATATTGAGCTCCCAGGAAAAGAAAGTTTGATCATATTTATACTGCTCGCGAATTTTTTTGCTACAAAGTACTTATGGTGTGAGTGGTATAGATACTTCTTCTTTTCCATCAAGCCTGGTAGCATTGTTGCTCGCCTCGAAGTGGATTCATCTTCTTCTTGATGGCCTCAGACTTGATTCTCGTAAGTAGATTGATTAACGTGCTCCGTGGCATCGCTTACACCTATATCCCCATCTAGATTTGTCCCTATCGTCTTCGTCATCTAGATATGAGAATATAATCAAGACCAAGATCACGGCTGCGCTAAAACAATAATATTGACTCTGAAGAAGAAGAATTATGTAGCGACAACGACAGTGAATGTGAACAAGAATTGCTATTACCAAAGAACAGCAAAGACAGACCTTATTTAAAAGTAGAAGTAACATGATGATCATCGTTTGCAACTCTCTTTATGATGTGGATGATCATGATGCCATGCATATAATGAAAAACATTTTTGGATAGGAGAATATGAATACAACTACAAGAAGAAGAAGGTGGACAACTAGAACTACAACTAGAGGCAGAAGTAGTACTAGATAGACTTTTCCCTCATAGCAGTGTTGGATACAAGGTCGCTGACCATCGATCATATTAGGATTTTATTTGAATCTGATCTAAATCTAGCGTCCGCAGGACTGTGAAGATTCATCGACTATTAACAAATTCATTCTTATCTACGTACTGACACTGAGGAGCTTGATCATCTTGATTCTTTCATTTCGTAGCGTCTCGAAAAAAACTTCTACCAGTTTGCGAAAGGAAGTAAGACGAGGAACAAGATGACGTCCACTACATCAGGAACAGCTACTGCAGAACATGGAGGTGATCGGGGTGGGCGCGCTAGAGTTGGGAGCTCAGCTTCAGCTTCTTTGTCTCCGAACTCGAAGGCTGCAACTGCATTATCACCCAAAATGACAGAACAAGAGCAGGAGCATCTTCAGCATCAGAACATCAATCATGTCCACCAGAAAAATGCGAATCCCACAGAAGAATCACGAATATCTGCAACACAGGCAATCGACTACCTTTCAAAAAGAAGCGCTGAAGTGGAAACACCCACAGAAGCAGGAGGTCCACGACAGGATGAACAAGGATGTCTACTTCGCGCAGCCGAAGACCTACAACTACAGGATGCGCAGCAACCACTGCCGATGCGGTACGCAGCTCGAATGGTAGCAATGGACAGTGCCACCGGGGAAATACCGCTCCTTCACTGCTCTAGAGACCTCTTCTGGAAGCTACCTGGTGGTGGAATCGAAGCAGGCGAGACACCGGAGGAAGCGGTAATACGAGAGTGCCGGGAAGAGTTAAGAGACCAAAAGCTGTCTTTTTTATATTAGATGGTTCAACTACCTTTCGGAAGGTGGGCGTGGGGCACAACTTAACGTATTTGACCACCAATATGTTGATGACTTATGCGCGCTGATTCTAATTGAGACCTCGTATCTGGTAGTATTGCTTAAATTTCCTTCTTGTCATCTTCTCTCAATGTCCAGGAAGATCCTCTCTATTTAAGCACGAAGTACTTTGTTCACCGGATTTTCAAACTTGTTGTCCTTGTCGGCCTTCCTGTTTCTCCCGACCTATTTTTTGTTTCTTTTATTGGGACTTGCACTGGGAGGGCTTTTTTCTAATGAGCTTGGGTTGTGAAGTCGTGGTGGAGAAGAGCTATGGAAGTTTCGAAGACATTCGACAGGCTGAAGAAAACTACAAGAACTTTTTTCGTCATAAGAGTACAACAACTACTAGTAGTACAGGTTCTTCTAGATCGACTCTTGTCCTTGTGGCCACTACTGGGGTACCGGTACTACCTGAAAATGAGGAGGAGTCGACAGCTTGGAGTCCGCGTCAGAAAATGCCCAAACAGGGGAACGCGACAAAAGGAAGTACACCATCGCTTTCCGGAATTTCAACCGCTTCGAGCGATTACAATAATAGTACTGCGACGCCGTTCGTACAAAATCCAAAGGCAGGAGAAGATGGAGCTGCGAAGCGAGAAATTAGTAGCAGCTCTCCGGGAACAAGTCCATCGCATTCACAGCAAAGCGCGACAAGAAGTAATTCGCTCAATACTACAATCACGAGAAACAATCTGGATGAAGTAGAAGATTTTCAAGATGATGGAGGTAATCAGAATTACGTAATGAGAAAGAAAAACACGATGCACGTTGTGGGAGCCGCGCCTGAGGAGCCTGAGCACGACGAGGACATCAGAGACATCCCTGATGATCGATCAACGTCTATGCACATGTTGGCAGCAAATCATAATGCAACAGCAACAGAGGCGAAAGAAGCCCCGGCGCCATCGGTCCCGCGTGGCAACAAGAAAGTGCCAGTTGCGAACAAGATGCTGAAGCGCAAGATTTCGCACTTGTTCTCTGGTCGCATAGTAAGACACCTTCCTGAGGGTCCGCAGTTGGAGGAAAGTGAGATTGCTAGAGTTACGGTGGCTAAGTAGTTTTTCATAAATAAATAGAGTGCTACAACTGCGAGTTGTGATCTTTATTGTGGTCATGATTTGCCATCTATCAGCCTCGAATTGTCTGAATAACAGTGGGCTTCGTTGAGTTGCTACTTTCAAAGGAAATAGTTTCAGTTTGACGAGGCCGGGTGGGAAAAAAGTCCCTTGCGCACTCAGCTACGAAGCCTAAGGCCACGGACACGGTCAGTATAGCGAAAACCAATTCTATCAGTTCTAATACCAGGTTGAAAATCATATGGTTCAAAACGATTGATGAAGCGCTCGAGAAGATTCGAAGCACGCGCGATCGATGCCACGGCGCTGCACGTGATTGTCGTCTCTTTGAGAAAGTGGCGCTGGATCCTGAGCGGATTACTCATCACCCATGAAATAACGGTAGCGGGAAGAAAAGAATACCACCCCAGTAGCTGCGCTGTGGCTCGCGGGAAAGTTGATGATATCATCGTGAAGTGTTGGAGCCCGCCAGCTTGGTTTTGGCAGAACGAGAAGGCCATCCACAATGCTAATGAATGTTGTTATACGTCGTCTGATGTAGAAGACCTACGAAGAGGACAATCGCAATACAAAGATTTTCTGTCGCAACAAAAATGATATCATCTTGGAAACACGTGTTAACGCGCCCAACACAATGCAAAATCATTTTTCTGACCAAGATGTTGAGGATTCCGAAATTATACAGGGTTGAAATTTTAAGGTACTCTCTCAATTTATTTTCGGATTCCTTTCTTCTTGATCTGCATGTGATGTTGAAAGATTGATTTGTTATGAGATGAAGCGATTTTACTTATTTCTGTGTCTGTCAGCGTCAGGAGTCTCAACTATCTGCAGCATCATTCAACACTCCTTCTCTACTAGTCTACGTCTGAGAATATTCTACCCTATTCCCTATGTAAGACTGATATCGAAGGTATATAGTCCTTGTTCATACAATAACAATGCTACCCGTACGTCGTTCTCGGTGTGCCCCAAGTAATAAATGAACATTAATAGTGAATGATATTGAAGATTTTCATCTCCAGAAGACGATTGTGTCACTATTAGAAGAAGAAACTACAAAAATACCCGATCGAGCCCTCACGAAATAATGCACGCAGATCGACGAAACTAAACAAAAATGGCAAGTAGTAAAACCCTACGCATAAGCGTTTTTTTTTGAATTTATGCTTCTATCGAAGAATATAGCCACAATGAGGGGAATAGGAAATCTTAGGCACGTTGCCGAATAGATTCCAATCATCCTTCTAACTAGAAAAATAATTTCGACGAAGATGAACAAACATCTCGATCTCGATTGACCCTCCACATATAATAATAATAATCTCGATCTCGATACATCATGACATTGAAAAAGAATAATCTGAATGTTGCTCTAGGTATACGCGGACCTGAACCACTTCCATTGCCAACATGCTTTTTTTAGTTGTATCATTGTTGAGAATTGCGCCTATCCCCATGCATGTTGTTGCAAATCTAGTGCATTACTCATTTCTATAATGTTGACGCTGCCTCTGCCAGAATAAGAAAACGTAATATTAGAAATATATTAGAGATTTTTCGTTCCTGAAGCATCGAAAAGGCTCTGCGTTTTCACATGAAAGCAGATGGCTCGATACGATCGTGATACCAGAAAAGTTCACGACGAAACCAACAAGATGTGAAATATCTCGACTTTTTTTTTCTTGGACGATTTTCATTTTAGTTCGTTCTCGACTTCGTGTTGAGCAAGGCTTTTGCTGTTACCCTTATCAGGACAAAAATGACTCTAAATTCAGCAGCACTGAAGCTGTACGCACCATGATGCGACAATGACGAGGCTCTTTCGTGGCCACTCAACCCTATATTGTGTCTCTTTCTTGTATCAATCTCTTCAAAACAAGTCAGAAAGCCAAAGCCTGAGGGTCAGGGCAGGGGAAGGAATATCATATCCCAAATTGAGGCACATGATTGGATCAGGAGCATGACACTCGAGCACAAGCAGCGACTTTTGAGGAATTTGTAGTCCATGGTCATTCGATCCTTCCGAATCTGTTCCGCACTGAAGATCTGAATTACCTGTTTCAAAGAGTTTTTGTTCTGGTTGTCGAGTTGTAGAGCAGCCGCACAAGATTGAATTTGCGAGCTGCATGGATGTGTGTAGATCTCCGCAAGAACTCTTGCTGCTTTTCACTTGATTTTGTCCTGAAAAGATCAATCAATTTTCGGAGCTCTGCTTTCCGCGATGAATTTTCGAAAAATTATTGTTTCTTCAGAAATTTGTCAAATCACTTCTACTTCAACTGCAGTCGTAGGCAACAGGCAAGGGGTATTGAAATTTTCAAACTGTCTAAAATCAAAAAAGGATTTCTGCAAAAGTAAGGAATTTGGATTTTCCACTGGTTCTGTTCTCTCGGGCACTCTTCCTTGATTAATTTTAAACTGTGAAAAAAACTTTCCAATACGACCACGGACCCAAATTCAATCCTCGCTTCGAACAAAATTTGAGTTTGTTTTCACAAAATGGAGTTGGAGGCAGCACCTTCGAACGTCGTTGAAAAGTCGCCCGCTTGCATTGGGGTTCGTGTGGCGCGTACAACATTGGTTGGTGATGGATACGCAATTGTCGAGGACCATGACAACGAGGGAGGAGAAGCCCTTGAATGCAGAATTCCACTGCCGCCGGGAATATGTAAAATTTGTTTTTCTACTCCTGTGGATAGTCTTTAACTTGAAAAACGATTAAAATCGAATGTTTCACATTCACATTTTGCAGAAAAAAAATTGTAAAACCTATCAAACCTGCGTCAAAATTATAGTCGGTGGAGGAACACGCAAAAGAAAGCATTTTTTGCCTTTGATATGATACAGAGACGAAAATCACGTTGTACGGTGTAACAACACCGATGCCTTGTTTCCCGAAAGACATTCCCGGTGAGAGGATTGTTGAACTCTGACAAGATTAGATAGTACCAGTAGAAGCAAGTAGAGCAACAGTGCCTATTAGTTATCTTCAGTACCTGTACTGAAACGTAATCCAACCACTTTCAGTCCTGCGTCCCGGCACTTGGGTCGGGTATACACCGTCTGATGAGAATCTCGCGTTGGCCCAGGAGGGTGCGCCGATCTGGGTGCGCATTAGCTTGGGCGGAAATGGATATCGTCCAGAGCCTTTCTCGAATGAAAGACCAACTTTTCCAGCAAACATTGGCACGCTTCGCAGGTATGCCCCAGATAACTCGGGAACTGCATTTTTCGAGGTAGCGGAAATCGATCGCGACGTCTACGCGCACCATTCGACAGCACTCAAGTACCATTTCATTTGATGACATGCACTAAAGGATATTTGCTACAGTGGTTTTAGAAAGATGATGTAGTCATTTGTGATGTAGACGTAGAGTAAATAGAGACCGATATTCCTTCTATAACTATATCAACTACGTGTATGTGAGCATTTTATTCAAGCTCCCTCTCGTCCCACCCACTCAACAGTGTGGCTCGCAAGATATGTAGAGGAGACCAAGTGGCGTTTGATTTGCACTTCAATGCGGGTGGAAAGCCGCAGGTTTCTGTGCCAATGTGGGGAGTTATCGGGCAGGGTGAGCCAGATCCATCTATGGTCCCTTCGCGAAGTGGCGGGCTCATGAGCATAGCGGATACTTCGGAGACCGCAACAGTATTGATGTTTGGCAACGAAGAAACTTCAGCGCGGGATCAGGGTGTGACGACCATGGCACTATTGACACAAGGTACGGCAACGACTATGGGGGTGGGGCTGGCGCCGAAGGGAGCAGGTGCGCCAAAGAAGGGCAAAGGGGGTCTCCTGTTAGTGGGCGAGACGATACGAGCTCCGACAGGCGCTAAAGTACAGCACAACCTCGGGACACAGCGGCTTCACGGGGTAGCTTCGGCGACGTCAACAGGGGGCAAAGGACCTGGACCAGGTGGAGCAAACTACAATGTTGCAGCAAGTACAGTGCAAAGTAATAGTACTCTTTTCGGTCGTACCGCAACGAATAACAGCTTGAAAAACTCTCCTCGAACAACTGCAGTTCAGAACAAACAGCTCGTACTCCCTTCAGCTGCCACAAGTATGCGTCTCGCGGCTGACACGTTTCCCCTTGAACAACTCGAGACTATGGACTTCTTGGGTGTTCGCATGGGCACTTTAACGGGCGAATTCACACCGGACGGGGATCACCAGATTATCATGACCATGGAGCAGGAAATGATTTTCGTAGAGAATAGCCTCCTCGCGGACTATGACGTCGCGGCTGGTCAGGATATAGCATTCAACGTCGCGCACAACGACCAAGGAAACCCGTTAGTATTTTCACATAAACGTGCGAAACGAACTACAACTACCTTGCCCTTCATTTATTCGAATCGTTGAATGAACATGAACAAAAAGTACGACTACCATGAAAACCTGCGTTCGAGTTCGTGTTGTTGATTGAGATCATGTGTGGTCATTCAAATATTGTACGTAGTGCTAGTGGTAATACTAATAGAATCCGATAATCGGGATTGGCATGTATATCTAGTATATACGATTTGGTCTTTTCTTCAACTGCACTACAGGTTGACATAGCAATGCCGATGTGGATGTTGTCTTCGCCGTTTAAGACAAACGACGAACCGCGGTTCGGCAGTTATGTCGGGAAGGTCCACAATTTCTCATCCGCTGGAAACGCGTTTGTCAAATGTGACGCGCTTCGGAAACTGTACGATAAAGACGCCTTCGTACATCAGAAGGTGGTCCATATATGCGGGTTGGCACTTTTACGAAGATCTATAACCTGTTACTGTTCATCTACTCGTTCTTGTTTCGGTTTCCGAAACACAATTTCGATTTTCACTATCTAGTTGAGACGAAGAGTAAAATCGAAATTCACGAAGGCATAAGACCTACGTAGCTAGTGCTAGTACAACTATGAGTTGCAGTGGGACACTGACAGTGACACACACAACTGTATCTCCAGTAGACTGATGTGAGAAAATCTCCTCTACCATATCTATTTTTTTGCTTCTCTACTAGAACTAGAAGTAGTGAAGCTCAAAGTGAATTTTTCAACTTGAGATGAATCAAATCATGCTTCGCTAATGACTGGCGATGTTATCTATTTTGACATCCATTTGAACGAGAGTCAGAGTCCTCAAGTCAGCGCTCCAGTCTGGATAAAATGCGAGAACGGCGGTCGTGCTAAACGCTTGGAACAAGTAGCGGCGCAGAACAGTTTGCAGGAGATGGCACAAGGACTCCACATGAATACGACAGCGGATCATACCAGTGTGACTCGTGGTGCGACAATGCCGATGGTAGCTCCCGCAACACAGAGTTCTCGAACAATTCGAGCACATCAACTACCGCGTAGTGCCAGCTCATCTTCGAGCGACGGTCCGTTGGTACCTGGCTTGACGATTGAGGGAAACTCAGTGATGTGGGAGTTGATGGGGTGTCAAAACGGCTCAAAGCAAGCACACATGGACCCAGCTGCCTTTGAGCATGAGGGCCGACTGCATAACGTCAACAAAATGGGCAACGGATATATCAAAAGCCAAACGTATAGAGGCGAGGCTGACATCTTCGTCCATAGTAAGGTGGTAGAGCGGTGTAGTCTTCAGGTTGGCGACACAGTTCGATTCAACATACACATTAGCAACGCGGGAAACCCTCAATGCAGTGCCCCGGTGCTCATAGGAAGGCAAGGTGCTGTGGCCCCTAGTAGGGGGATTGGTCTTCCAAAAGCCGCTGGCCTTCACGCCACTGGTTCTTCTGAGCTGAACTTGGATAACCCCTACCTGAGTAGTGAGATTGATGCGCTGCTCGAGGGAGCAGACGACCTATATACGCTGGGTGGCGGCAGTACGGAAAACAACGGGCAACAGCATGGAGGAGCCCTTAGTCAGGTCACCACGAATACCTTCTCAGACTTCGGAATCAAGTCTCGCATTGTTGGGGATGGTGGCTTGCTCGGATCAACTACGTTGAAGCAAGACTATACCACTGGTGCAGCAAATCAAATGAAAAAACTGAAGCAAATAATACCACTACCGGGCACGCAACGCAACCTAGATCCCTTAAAGCAAATTAAGCAGTTTCCGCTAAGCCAAACCCAAAAAGCTGCAACTTCCGCTCCCGCACTTTTCAAAAAAGTCCCATTGTTTGGCACTGCCGCGACCCGAAGACCCAACCCATACTAAACAATAACAAGATGATGTGAAGAATGAGCAGTTTCATAAGTCGACTATGTCAAGAGGAAAGAGACGTCTTATTTCTTGTAGTATGCAATGATGGTAGACGAGCAACTCATTAATATAACTGTATCTTCGTCTCTGGGTACTACTTTGATGATTACAACGCCAACGCGGGAAAGCCGCAATCACAACGTTCGACGCAATCACAACCTTGTCATTGCATGAATGAGCAGCTCGATAGTTGTCCTGTCCGACCGCACTCTGTGTTAGAACAGAGAAGCGTCTTCACCATCAGCCGCCGTAAACTTTTCCAAGACGAATGAACGCACTGTGGGAAGTAAATCCAATGCATCCTTCTTGATATCAGATGATCACTCTACCAGGAGCAATAAATGTGCAGCTGGAGTGAGGGTAGTGACTGACTAGGAGTAGGACTGCTGTCGGTTTCCATTATTATTCATGAGATTATGCACGTCAGGTTGAGGGTGAAGAGAGAACGTGCGATTCCTTACAGCAACAGTGCTCCTTAGAAGAATCATTTTTTTCAAGAACCAAAACTCAAACGCTCGAGAGTAGACATTCCAGGGAGATGTTGTCGCAAGCACATCGGTTGTCATACTTCATGAGTGCTAGCTAATGGGTTTCTGTCACGGAGCATGAGGAGAGAAGAAAAAGTTCACAAAAACACGAAAGCAAGTACATTTGGATAGTATCTCCTAGAGTAGATCCAGAAGTTACTTGAAGAAGTTGGAAACGACTAAAACACACAGTCGCAGACCAGCGAAATAAGATCATTGAGGAAAAAAGTCTGTGACAAGTCAGCCTTTGAGTTGACGCAGTAGATAACTAGGGTAGAAGGCATAAAAAGCTGCATTAAGCGGCACTAACTTCACGAAGATCTGTAGAAGCATGTGTTGAGCATTTCTTCATTTTTCACTTTCAGTTTGCATAATCCAAATGAGAGCAACATTTCTCTAGAAGCAGGTGACGGCGATCTTTGTGATAAAGATAATGTACCTATTCAGTTTTAAATTCATTATATAACTTTTGATCGTGGCGCTGAACCTCAATCTGATTCTGAAGTTGAATATAAGAAAATGAATCATGATGTGAAAGAAAGAAAAACATCAACCCACGTGAGGCGGCGCGGGCAACCTATCGCTGTACTCCAGGCGTGCAGGACGAAACTACAACTGTGAGGACGTAAGGTCGAAACAGACGACGCCGAAGCAGCTCTGGCCGGTGATTTGCCAAGAACCGAGAACCGCCGACGCTACGGACCTTGCGCCGAGCGCTGCTGCGGACGAAAAGCATTCCCGTCTTGCAGGTCTTCACCTGTTGAGCAGCGCGTCAATCGGGAGTCTCTAACAAGGCGAGCTGTCATGCTAGTATTGCGAGCGGTTCTATTCCTAAATTCGGTGTAAAGGTAAACGACGTCTACGTCTTCAGAGTCACTATGCGCGCTTGCTCAAGAAGGTGACGATCGAACGTAAGCGAGCCTCTCGGTTTCGCCCATGCACCACATTTAGCGCGTGGTCTCTTTCATCGAGGTAGCGGTTGAGTGAGAAAGCGGCCACTACAAACAACGATTGGAAAAGCAGTTTCGGAACAAGGACTACATCTTCATTGTGAGAGTGGTCGTTGCCGGATCAGCAAAGTTGATTTAGGTTGACAGAGTCTCGAAGGTTGACAGAGGACTTAGATAGTACAGAGACTTCAATCATCATCCTCGGCGTGTAGTAAAATTATAGGAGATGTCGGGCACAACGCCAATCGGCAGTGCAGGAGGTGGCGGGGGCGCTCCCCCTTTTGATGTCGCCGGGGCAGCATTTACGAACGAATTAGTGAACGACTATAGCTACTCAGATACAATGCGACAGTATGACTTCAACCACGTGCAAGGCGGACCTCCACCATCCGCGTACATGCAACGGATCGGGCAAACAGCAGCGGGGCGCGCCTACACAGCCGCAGGCGGCGGGTGGAACCCCAAAGAACAGGCTAGGCCAGTGACCAGCAATCGAGGAGCTGGATACAGTGCAGCGACAACGAAATTCGATCCCTTCAACCAGGGAGCGGACGCGGCACAAGCATCAAAAGCTTCGGACTGGAGCAAGAAGGCAGAGCAGACACCGGAGGATAAATTGAGGGACCTGGAGAAAGAAATACACGGTAAAATGAGCCCTGAGAAGAGAAAAACCTCCTTTGATTTCGTAATCGTATATCGTTCATCTTCAACTTCAACTTCAACATACACATCGTCCATGTTCTGAATCTGATCATGTGTGTGTTTAGTACATGTGAATTTCGCTTTCTTACGACATCCTCCTCAGCCCTTGTTGAGGAGAGCGCATGCGTGCGTGAGCAAGGCGAACATGGGGATGCGCAGGCGGCTCTAGAGTTAGCAAAAGAGGCTGGCAAGCGCGAGAGGCAGTTATGTAGACAAAGGGAGCAACAAAATTTGCTGGAGCAGCTGAACGTGGATCTCACCTACGCAGTGTGTCTGAATCTAGCGATACAGCATCATGGGAACGGGAACGACAACGAGGCGCTTGGAATCTACAATCAGATTGTCCGAAATAAGCAATATCCACATTCGGGGCGGTTCCGCGTCAACATGGGAAACATCTACTTCAAACAAGGTCTTGCTCTTACCTTAGTCATTTACGTGAACGTGTGACATACAAATGGACAAATCATTATAGCCTCTCTCTGCCTCAGGTTCTTTCCATGTTAGTCTAGATGAAAAGTACCGCTTTGTACCGATTTTGGTCTTGTTGTTGTCCCTGGGACGATTGATGACGCAGCAGCCCCCTTGTTAATATCTTTCAGGTAAGTACCCATCAGCGATAAAGATGTATCGCATGGCTCTGGACCAGATACCAAATAACGTGCAGTCCATCCGCTTGAAGATATCAAGAAATATAGGGCACGCATTCTTCAAGATGCACCAGTTTCCCGACGCTATTGACGCCTACGAAAATCTACTTTTTCCGAAAGGGCAGCATCTAGACTTCATGACGGGTTTCCACCTTGTTTTGTGCTATCACGCCCTTGGAGACCGAGAAAAGATGAAGCAGGGCTTCCTGAAACTGTTGCAAATACAACAAGTCGGATTGGAGGATGAGGTTAAGGTGGGTGATAACATGATAATTTGTTTTCAATCGGCTTAGGAAGATTAGCCTTGTTTTATTTTTGTTGCATTAGACTGGGACTGCCTGTGCCTTGACTCATTCCTGAATCGCTGGTGCCGCAGGAATCTGTTGTTGAGGAGGGTTTTATACGAGAACAAGCTTGTCCGCGCATCCATATCCATCTTCCTCCTGCAGCACCTTCTTCTTTCATAACGAAGGATACAGAGGAAGGGATGACACATATGGACAAGATTGCGGAGCCAAGTATCGAAGGCGACGATGCTTTGCGAGAAGACATAAAGAAGCGACAGCGAGAGGCACAACGCTACATCGTGAATGCAGCGTCGCTTATCGCGCCACAAATAGATCAAGTATTCATGATAATGTTATTGGCTTTTCGTTTACTTATTCCCTTGAAATTGAGTAGGCGCATGGACATGGAGACAACAGTCGCGTTGGCAACAACGGGTTCGATCAATGTCTGGTCTCTACAACAATATTCCAAATGACAAGCCCAAATCAAAAATACACTACAGGACGTAGTCCAAGGCTTCGACTGGGTTATTGATGCGTTGAACTCGCACGGATTTCCGGGTATCGCCAGTGAGCTAGAAATCTCTAAAGCCACGTATCATCTAAAACGAAAGGACTTCGAGCAAGCGATCAGTGTACTGAAGCACTTCGAGAAGAAGGAAGCATCGCTCATGGCGAGAGCCAGTACGAACCTCAGCTTTCTCTACTTTCTGGAAGGCGACTACGGGAGTGCTGAGAGATACGCAGATGTCGCTGTCAAAGCTGATAGGTAAAATTAATGTACAAGTGCTCTTGTTCTTGACGCTATGGGTCGACAGGGATCATGTTCTTTTTGTTCGTCTAAGGTTTTTTCTTTGTGAATATAATCATGATTGTTTTTCAAAAAGAAATTGGGAGGTTACTCACTCACTCTCACGCTCAAGCACGTGGCTAAAAGTAAGGTACAACTCCCGCGCACTGGTGAACAAGGGCAACTGCCTCTTTATCGCCGGCGACCTAGAGCGAGCTAAAGAGGTCTATCTAGAAGCGATTGGCGTCTCCGCAGATTGCCTCGAAGCCATTTACAACCTGGGCTTAGTGAATAGTCACATGGGCAAGCTCCAGGAGGCTTTACTAGCTTTTGACAAGCTCCATTCGATCACGCACAACAACATAGAGGTACACTCTGCATTTTTCTTCTTTGGATAAACTTCTTTTCACGTCTATCAGGTGCTTTGTTTTTTGCAGGTGCACAAGCGTTCTCAGATGATCCTATCATTCACGACACTAAGACAAAGAACTAGGTAATGTGGCAGCTGGGCGACATTCACGAAAGGCTAGGAAATTTGGGCAAAGCCCACGAATGGTTGTCGCTGATCGTAACGTCACAAAAGGGTCGACCAACAGACCCTGGCGTGCTCGCGAGACTGGCTTCCATCTTTAACAAGATGGACGACGAGACCCAGGCATTCCACTACAACCTGGAAAGCTACAGGCACAGAACCTACTCAGTACCGTAGAGCAGAGTACTAGATTCAGTTTTGGATTTTCGTGACCACCCATGATCGTTCTATGATTTGTCGAGCTTTAGTTCTGATACTTGATTTTTGATTTTGCTATCAGTAACGCGATGAATTAGAGGCAAGAAGGAGAAGAGAACGAAGACAATGAAGCGTAGGTCGATACCTTGCGCGACACCACTACAAGCAGACGAAAGTATTTAACTCAACACCTCCTCTCATCTAGGTATCTGCCATCAGATATGACTGTGATAACGTGGCTCGGCATATACTACGTGAAGCAGGAGCTTTACGAGATGGCAATCACGTATTTCTCGCGAGCAAGTCAGATCCAGCCAAACGAAGCGAAGTGGCTGCTGATGGTACTACAATGTGATTCAGACTGAAGAAGTATCGACGTAAAATTTGCTCATACAGCATTTGTTTTGCCCTCGCTGGATGATGAAGGGGGAAAACAAATATGTGAATCACAAATAAATGTCGGAGTATGATTCTCTGTGATACCAAGATGCTCATTGTTACCCACGTCGTGTATCTCATATCCAATCAGGACACGTCTGGAAGCAATACTGGACGAAATTGTTGTTTTCATGTGCAAGTGCATCTTTCTACATAATAGGTTGCCTCCTGCTACCGGCGAATGGGCAGCTATCATCCGGCACTGAAATTGTATGAGGAGATTCATAGGAGTCACCCGAAGGACAAGGAGTGCCTGCGATATCTCATTACGATCTGCAAGGAAATGAAGCATCCTTTCGAGAAATACCAGAATCACTTGAGGAAACTCGAGAAGTTTGAGCTTATCGAGAAGCAGGAAAGGCCTGGCAGCGGCCTCTCATACGTGGAAGACCCGAGCGACATTCGCATGCGAACAGGGGAAGACTTCGCTGACGGTCTTGGCGGTATGGAAATACCAACCACCAACACAGGGGGAGCAGCGCAGCCAAGTACTTATACCTATAGAAGTTATACGAGAATCGATGTCAACGTCAACAATAGTGCACAATGTTCACATGATGCTTATTGATACTTGTCACTTATCTGAATAGACAAGTAACAGTTACAGTCATTGTCATTATCTTCTTCATTCAACAAAGAGTGAAGGAGATGGAACTTTGCATTTCTAGAATGGTACACGTGAAAGTTAAACATCCACCCAAGCAATGGATTTATGAACAAATACACGACAAGGACAACAATATCTACTACTACGACAGCAACTGGCGGCTCCCTATTCGAAGTGGATGAGCCCACGGTGGAAAAGAGGAAACGAAAGCTCGGCAATAGAGAAGATGCTATGCCTGAGGATGATGACGATTGGGGTGAAGATGAGCTAGGAGACGACTTGCTTCCGATGTAAGAAGAGTCTGGTGAAGGTGGTGAAGTCGAAGCTCCCCGCTCGCCGACAAGCTTAAAAACTTTAAGTTAGTTTTTTAGTCATCCTTTTTTGATTGTCGATATCCAAAATACAGGACCGACCTCGAAGTAACTCCCCGTCGCCGACGAGGTTCTCGCTGAACATCATTCGCACCGGTGTGTATGAATATACTATCCTCCACCTACTTCGACAATTCCTTTTTTCGTCTTATACGATGGGAGCTTTTTCTCAACATTTCCATGACTATTAAACCTTGTAAGTCCTTTTCGACATCGAAGTGCTTACCTATCAATCTGTTGATTTTTCGCGCATCTTCAATGTATAGCCTGATTGAAGAGGAGGCCCCTCTCTCTTGAATATCTACGATTTGATTGGCTCCAGTATGATGTTACCGGTGAAAGCTTGAGTTTCACAGACGCCAACATGAAGCCCGATGAGTACTTTCTTGTAACGCAACAACACGACGCACCAGTTCTAGTTTTTTTACGCATCAAAATGTAAATGAACATCACGCATAATAAATTTTTGTTGAGTTTGTGACGAAGATCCAAATTCTGTCCGTATTATTTCTTCTAGTCGTGTAGGTAACCGTAAACGTAAAAGTAAACTCTTAACTCCGTTTTCTGTTTCTGTTTCTCTACTAAGTAACTTGATTTTGGGATTATTTAATATAAATATTATATTTATCAACTATTATTTATATGATATTCTCCTCCTCCTGTCTTACGCATACGCCGCAGTCCTGAGAGTGAATCAACGTATTGCGTCGCAAAAAAAATCAATCCTGTCGAAAACTGAGCATCCATGCGCGTTGGCGTTGACCGATGTGGCTGTTAAAAAACCGATGTGTCGTTCACGATTAACAATCGTTCATGGGAATCAATTGAGCATGGGACTTGTGCAAAAGAAAGCGCTAGCCCGACTCACCCAAGCGGAAAAAAAGTAACAAGCAAAGGCATCAACGGTCATTTTGCAGTCTTCCCTTTGATCGGCTACCCAAGAAAGCTTCCCCTTTTCATTAAGCGTAACCTGCAGTCGATCTTGATCTTCGTCGACGCGTGAAGATGTTGAGCTAGTTTTTGTTGAATCACTTTCCTTTTCAGCACGTTTTGTAAATGACCTCGCCCAATTTCAATAATCCCTCATATCTTGACCGATTAATAATCTTAATCGCAATTCCATGTCTTCTTTGCGACATTCGAACAGCACCTCCCTTGACGTTAAACACTTTTAAAAATCCACGCGCAGACGACAAAACAACAACGATGCCAGCCTTCTCGTTTGAAGTTCTTTTGCCTGTCCAGCACCGTGGCAGTCTGGACATGGCTGACAAACTCATCGGTAAGGCCAAAAAGGGTGAAGTGCTGACGGGAGACGTCATCAGCAACAATGAGGACGAATGGCTCAGGCTAGATAGTATGACCGATGTCTTTGTCCCTCTCCGGGCCCAGGGGAAGCAAATTTTGAAACCACTATCCAAGAATTCTAACTACAGTTTGATGGTAGCTGGTGGAATGACCGCAGGTGGCTCAGCAGCTGTTTCATCGTTGGAGGTAGTGGGCAATCAGAAAAATTCAGCAGTAGGACCTGGGGACGAATTGGAAGGTCTCCATGCCTTGGGGGATGCGAAGTTTGGGATTGGGAGGAAAAGCAACAGAGTCGGAGCCTCCGGATCTTCCTCGAGCAGTAGCACAGGCTCTACTGGTCGCGGCGGTGGACCACGAGGAGGACAGACGAACGGCGCTAGGGGTACTGACCGCGTATCAACCGGTTTCCATTCAGCTGCAACGTCCCACGAACGGCACAACATGTATATGCAAGAGATGGAGCAGGGACTCCACGAAATGGGTATCGACACAAGGAACGACCCGTACCTCCACCCTCAAAGAGTGCAAGATAATACTTTAGGTCTAGGAGTAGCAGGTCGAAAACAGATAAAGCCAGTAGTGCTGAAGATGAACAATACACCGCAAAACATGGATCTCCATCAGGCCGCAGGTGGCGATCTTCCTGAATTGCTTGTTGACAATCAAAACGGTGGCTCTTCGTCCTCAACTGACACGAGACAAACTTCGATCATATGCGGTTCAAGTGCAGTAGGAGCATCGACGAAGCTGGAGTCTGCATTACAGTCTAATTGGCAATCTGTGAAGCATGGGGAAGAGCGGCAAAACTGGGCTGTAGGGCAGTGGGTCGATGTTTCCGACAGGAACATTCTTTGCATGGCAACGGCAGCAGCTTCGAGCTTCGGGGCGAAAAAAGGGCTTGCGTCTTCACCAGTTGCCTCCTCTTCGTATCGGCTAGTTGTCGGTGGCGCAGACCATCAATTGAAGGAACTTGAGGTAGGATCAGGAAAAGTACTGCGTAGTTTGTACCATGAGCGACTGGGTCACAGGGACTGGGTTGCTGCTTGTTGTTACTGCGCGACACCAGTCGATCCACTTGCCGTTGTAAGCGGTGGCGCAGATGCAAAGCTGTGTGTCTGGGAAAAGAGGGGCTGCAAGGAAATGACCGGACACACAGGAAGCATATCGAAACTCGAACCGGTTCGAGTGGCCGCAATGAAGGTCGTGAGCAGCAGCTACGATAAAACCCTGCGGATATGGGACTTAAAGTAGATAGACCTTCTTTCTCGCGGTCTCTTGAGAATCTTTATTCAAGTTTGATGGCTGAGGCTTTGACGTTCAATCAATGAATATGAGGGATTCATCATTACGAAAACATAAAGAAACGTGATAAACTACTAATTGAGGTCTTCTATAGCATCATTCGACCTGCAGGTCAAAGCGCGAATGTGTAACGCTGATTGGACACACAGCGCCTGTGCTGCATCTCGTCCAGTCTCTTGAAGGCAGTTTGCTGCTTTCCGGTGACAGAAGCGGATTATGTCGATTGTGGGACACAACTTCTGGCCAATGCTTGTCGACATTGAAGGGCCACCAAGGACACATAACTGCAATGGCAACAACGTCCGGCAGGGGTGGCCTTTTTTTCACGGGTGCACAAGACGGGCACGTGAGAGCCTGGGACCCAAGGCAGCGCGTCTGCGCTCAGAACATCGCTTTACATACCGGTGCAGTGAATGACATTCTCCCGTTTGGGGACACGACACTCGTCACAGTTGGCGCGGACAACACCATGAAATGGACTGATTTATCCCCTACCTCCACAGCAGGAGCACAGCTTCCAACAACTTCATCTTCTAGCACAACATTTCACAAAGTGGGCAACGTTTCCGACGCCGATTTTGTCTATGCAGCCAAGCTTTTTAACCAGAACCTCATCGTTTTAGGAGACGGTCACGGCTTCTTATCGGGCTACGATCCGATGACGGGGGAAGAGCGGTGGGCACGACAACGCGTAACTCAAAACGCGATACGCTGCATCGACCTCCTTGGGAAGACCTTAGCGATTGCAGGTGATGACGGAAACGTCCAGTTTCTCCAGATGCAATAACATTGCTGGCTACTGGCTACTGCTCACATCATGTTGATGTTGCAATTTTATACGTGGAGTGTTTTTTTTGCTGCTTCTATCAGCATAGGTATCCGATTCTGATCATGATTCACTAAAAGTGTGAGTCTGAAAATTTTCCACTTTTGGGTACTTTTTGATCATGGAGGAAACACCTAGTAGATCACCTTTATTTTTCATGTTCGCCAGAACTATAACTTTTGCATCACGCCCAGCGCCAGCCCACGCATCTATCGATCTCCAGACATATGCAAATGTAAAGAAGCTCGATCACCAGCCTTGCTGGATCTCTGTCTGTCAGTTAGGTTTACGCTGATTCGATCATGCTCCGATACGAAAAATACGATCCGGAACTTCTCAGCTTCCTCATGCGTCTTTACACATGGTGATGATCCAAGTCTACTTCTACAACAAACAAAAAATATACATAGATAAACAGGATCCAAAGCCGAACATGGAAAGGCGATCTTATGAAAAGCAGTCGAAGTCGTGTACCTTCGTAAAAATTTCCCTTTCTTAATCAGATTCCCATGTACAGACCACAGGCATCTCATCTCAGTCGTCCTGAAGTGTACTTCCACTTACTTACACCATTCAAAAACACTAGAAGAACCAGAGTAGACCGTTTCTGATTCATTATAGCACCATGTCGTCTTCATCTTCACCTTCACAAGTCGGGCCAGAACAGTCCTCTGAAACGGCCGTGAAAATACTGCTTTTCCAGCTCTCCGAGTGGTACCCTTTCTTTCGAGAAGTTACCTTCCCTACTGAGTTCGTGGCACTCGAACATGACGTGGCGGACGACATTTTTACTAAAGACTCGATAGACTTCCGCAATCTAGTGGAGCAGAGGCCGCGATCCAACAGCTTCAATTCGACGTTCTCCAGCGACAGTGGGGGCTGGGATGTCAACTGCGACGCTGACAGTAGCACGGAGACGGATACAGGGGACGAGGACGAAAGCCTAGATGACGATGAAAACGAAGAAAGATTGTCTGGACTACGTCTTGCCGCCGGGGAAGCGCAAGCCCAGGTTCCGGTGGCAGAATCGGACGAAGCTGAGGTGCAAACAACATTGATTGATGAACGAGTCACTGTCCACGTGACGGCGGGAGAGACGACAGGAACGACAAATGATACAAGAGACTGCACTCAAACCGCGAATGCTGTGTCGCGAAGAGAACCTTCTGAAGATCAACACTCTGCTCCAGTGCGGCCTCGTCGCGCAATGCGGAAGCGACGCGAGCGCTTTGCGGACCGATATCCCGACGTTCGCGCAGAGATGGCGGAAAAAGTGCGAAAGCTTGGAGGCGAGGTATTTCCGAAGCTCAATTGGACTGCGCCACGGGACGCTAAGTGGGTCGCAACAGCGCAGACATTATCCTGCAGTGCACCAGAAGAGGTCATGACCCTTCTGAGAGCCAGTGATTTCGTGCAAAGCGACCTCGATACTATTGCGGCTGTCCAATTATTAGGAGACGAGGAGTTACTCTCACGACAAACGAAAACGACGGTTTGCTTGCGGAAGTATGAACCCGCGCTTCATTCCGGACTCGAATTTCGATGCTTTGTAAACAGCGCAGAAGAACTAGTTGGCATAAGCCAGCGAGATATGACGACGGTTCATGATTTTCTCCTGGAAAAAAACATGGAAAAAAGCGTATCGACAAAAATCGAGAAATTCTTCGTCACACAAGTCAAACCGCGCATGGTGCAATATCTGCAGTCACGATGTCTTGAGCGATCCAGGGGGACAGCTTCCCAATCCTGCTCTTCGGAAGGAGCTCTGCCTTCTTCATGCTCCACCGGGATTTCCTACTGCTTTGATGTATATTTGAGGATGCAGAAGCCGACTGCGCGTGACATTCTAGCAGCTGCCGAACAAGCTGGAAATCAAGGCGAAAGGCCGAACGAAAAGCGCTTCGTATGTATTCTTCTCGATCTCGCTTCCTTTCCTCATGAGGCGACCGATGCGTGCCTCTTCCGCGATGACTTCGAGTTCATCGAAAGATTAAAAACCGAGGACAAACACGCTTTCGATGTCGAACAAGTAGACTCAGAAGTTTTAGTTGAGACGAGGCTCTGCAGGTCGGAGCAAGATCTACGCCCAGATGCATGTCGCTACAATACGATGCCAATAGATCTGTGGGAATTTACATCGAAGCCGGACGACGTCCTCGAAGCTATTCAAAAACTGGAGCGCAATCAACGAACAAGCTGAAGAATAAAAACAGACGGCACATGATCGTGATTCTCCTGCTTTGTTGTTTGGGAGATGATCTTCATTTTCATGTACATGTCTTAAATACCCGTGCTTCACCTTTACGCGCCTACTCCCGCCTCACTTTCTTCTACCTTCACGTTGATGCTCCTACCACTTCTACAGTATCACACATGAAATAAGACTCACGGACCCGTTCGGCGTTCGCGTTCTATCAGCGTCATAGGATTCTCGCGAAACATCAATATGCCGGTGTGTACGACTGAGAGATATTGCATGGAGAGACATGTACGTCTTTACTTCATAGTACTAACACTGAGGCTGATAGAAATAGAGAAGAATGTGCATGTAGACGGTAAAGTAATTGCCAGAGAGGCAGAGGATTGACTTGGAACGAGGCGGGCCACGAAAGATTGATGAGGGACGTCATGTCGGTCCACATTCCTTGGCAGTGAGTTGCTGTGGACGAAAGCCCCCTCGATATCTCATCTACACAGAGCTTCATCACATGACAGACACAGCCTAGTTAAATCGATAGTATTTATTGCAACCACCGCTGCATGTGCATGATTATCGTCATTGATTCTGATTCTGTATGTTGTTTTCCTTGATGAAGTCTCATAACATGCTGCGAGACATGAAGGTGGATGATTGACGCATTCAATCCACGTCTGTCGTGGAAGTACGGATGAAGGTTCCCTCTTTCTGATTGTTTCCTTCTCGCAGCGCGCTCAGGCCAGTCGGAACTGAAGAAACGGCCGAGATGATATCACCTGAAGAAGGAATTGGATTTCCAGTGTCGAAGGGTGACCTTGACCCTGACGCTGACAACGGACGCAACTATAATTTTGTAGGAGACGATTCAGCAAAACCCGATCTCCACGTGCATAACGACGCGCCAACAAGTATCATCGGTGCAGCACCAGAAGAGGCAAGTACTGTACCTGCGGCCCCGGGTGTCCCGAGGACTTCTGCGCCAGCACTTCTACATGCAGGAAAGTTGAGCTTGTCGACAGAGGACGACGCGTCCTCCCGAACATTTTCTGACGATGATTGTTCGTCCTGTTCCAAATCCAGTTACAACACATCGTCCGACGATTCATCGATTCTCTCGACGTCGGACTCCGAAATAGACTACGATACGGACAGTACTACCACAGTATCAGATCAAGCGGGGCCTTTGCTTGCGCCCGAACACCACAACCGCGGCGTGAGTATACCTGCTGTGGCTCCACTACGGACGACTTCCGCAGGAGGAGGAGGTGGAGGCCAGTATTTCGCTCAGGACAGCGCTTTATCCTCTGCGCCGCGCGAGGCGGTGACTTCAGGAGGAGACGCATTCGGATCAGAACCTCAACACGGTGGAAGGGGTGAAGGACATGGGGCTCCTATTGACCATGATGTTGGCGTACAGGTTGATGAGGGCGGAGCTACTCCTGCTGGCATCGATAATTCACATGGATCAGCTTTCGACACATCGAACACTGCCGCGATCAACTTGTCCCGCGCATTTCTAGTCACTCCGCTAGCAAGAGGAGAGCAAGAGGAGCCCCACAACGCGAAGGCGCCTGAAAAAGAGCAAAACAAAGCGCCACGAAGCGTCGCTGGAGTTAGAGGCATGCCGGATCGACAGCAACGCCACGATGATGTAGTCGCGAACCAGCACAGCAGTGGTGATCAGAAACCGCCTGAAGAAGGCCAACAGTTTCAACATTCCCAGCATACTGCTTTTGGTTTTGCACTTGGTGGCATTGCATCAACGAAACAACATTTTCTGCATGATGGCGTTCATTATGGAAGCTTTCACGATATCTTGTCAATATCCAAGGACAGCATTGTCCCAGTACAACAACATCGTTATGACCCTGAACCGAGCAAGCACCAAGACGGACGAATCTTCGGTCGAAAGAAGGCGAAACGAACTCCGAACAGCGGCCATCACTCACTTCGTCCAGAGTACAACGCGCAATCGATCCTAGCAAATTCCGCAAGGCGCTCCTCGAGACGTCATCAGCGCACACCTGGCCCGTTTCAGTCGCGTCCGCAACAGAGAGTACTGGTTTCATTTCAATCTAGAATAGTTACATGTTGATGTGCAACCACTTTTTCTTATAAATTTACAATACAAATACATGTTGCTGCTCCTGAAGATAGATAGAGATAAAGTCGAAGGACACGAACTGGAACTGCTCGAACGTAAGAAAAAGCCTCTGTCTATCTTTTCGTTGTCAACAATTGCGGACAACTCACTTCTTCTACAGGGTTGGGCGCAGCTGTATCAAGGGACGGGAAACAAGTGGTCTTCTATTAAGCAGTCGAGCGAAAATCAAAATGTATCGTCTGCGGACTACGACAACGACTCAGCAGGTGCTGGCGCGTTTGATGCCGATACTAGCAGGATGTTTACATCGCCGGTAACGCCCTTCAAAGGAGGACATTTGAACACTCGACCGCGGCGATCGGATCGCGAACAGCATCGAAGGCACGACGTCCACCTTCGAAAGAGAAACAGTGGTCGCGGCGAAAAAACATCAAGCATGCGGCGAAACAAAGTGCGTGTAGCAGTTTGCGGGATTGCTGCCGCGTGTCTGGTCCTGGTCGGATTCGTAGTGAAGAACGCGTACGACGAACAGCAAGCGCTGCCGCTCTTGAGGGCGGCGGCTGGTGGACCACTTCTATCTTCGCCCTCGGGAGGAAGTGGCCCGCAAGCAGGATCTTCGAACAACTTCTTGCAGCAATTGAATGTCAACTCCCCACCTGGTTCCCCTCCGGCAGCTACTCTCCAGTTAACATCTTCGACTTCAGCGTCTTCCGGAGCAGGAGGTGGCGGACAAAATCTAGTTCCCACGGCGTCTCCGAACGCGTTGATGCCAATATCATGGATGTCAAACATTGCGACGATCTGGTACGCGGTTGCGGCTGCTGTAGCCTTCGCAGGGGGGCTTTTTCTGCTTTGGCGGGTAGTGTTATAAAGCACGAAATCAAGTTTAAAGGAGCATTTTCGTTTCAGCTTGTGTCAGGCACAGGCAGCACGTTGCGTTTTACTTTGAATAAACCTTTACCCTTTGCTTTACGTTTATCATGATGTATCTACTTACATGTGTTAGTGTTGCTATGAATCATGTAAATGTTCGTCGTTACGTCATTATTGTCATTGAAAAATGTATGACGAAAAACGTATTGATTTTGATCGTTAATCGAAAAAAATATATAGCGCCCAGTAAGTCTCAGTATGCAAAACATCCGAAATTTTTTTGCGGGCAGCGGGGCTGCCGAAGAACAATCAAAGACTGAGGTGCCGGTACGTATATCAGTACTTCCAAGCATGACCACGCAGTCAAACCACTCGCTAGGAGTAAAACTATTTGATCACATTTTGTCTTTCCTACTCCTAATGCTTACTTCTGTTTTCATCTTTTACATTTTCTTCATTATAACGCAGTATTAGCATGTGCATATAAATCCTTCATAATCTTCACCTGCGAAATCAAAGGGACTGACATTAGTGCCTGCGGTCGTTCCAGCTTTTGAAAAAAAAGTCACACGCTCTTTGCTCCATTTTTGGTAGATTGGTGTCATTTTTCAGAATGTTTCTTCGCAGTGACAATTTACATCTACTTAATCAACATGACATATAGAAACATATGTTGTATCAGGAAATACGACTTGTAACCACTCCTAAGTGAAGATGAAGATCACAAGGAGTCGATCTTTACCGTGTAGAGATTTTGACAGTTCAGTCTAACTGATTCCGATTTGGTGGCGATGATAGAAAGTTCTTAGCTCAAACCCTTCAAGACGGATTGAGGATTCAGTTGGGTAGTAAATGTAAATGTCTAATTATAGACTAGAGGAATATCGCAAAAGAGGGTACAGGAGATGAGATGTTAACACGTAATCGAGTTTGAGACACTAGATCAGGAATATCGCCTGCATTTGTCATAGTCGTATCTGTTTTTCAAAAAAGAGTAAGATTAAGATATGATTTTTTTCTGTTGTCTGTGCTTGAAAACTTTTTTATGACGATGTGCATGTGAAAGTCTGTTTTCAATCTTGCATGCAAGGAGAGAAAAGATAGCTGGAAGATTCTCCTCGGATAACGGACCATCCTGATCCTGGCAACGAATACAGAATCAAAAAGCCGAAGTCTGGTGGTGGTGCATGCAAGAAGTTATAAACAATATGAATGCGATGCCCTGGACCCTGCGTGCTTGTAGTGCTCTTATTTGTGCAGCATGCTCGTGTAGATGCAACGCATGATGCAAAAACACGGCTGGGGCTGTGTTCATTAGAAAATCAAAGCAGAACCAGAAAAGGATGGTCTTCGTTTGCTCTTCTACGAGATCGAAGGCCTAGCATAGTCTGAGTGACCACGATGAAGAACAATAACTCCTTGGCTGGACGGAAGTTCGGGTTCGTAAGATCAAGAATGAGTCCCACATAACACTGAGGCCATGACCATTTAGATCTCCACTTGACGCCCTGACTTTTCCTTTTCCTTTTCGTGGCTCTATATCGAATTACGAAGGGGACAAGATGAAGATCGTCATTCTTGTGTGATGCACACACCAGAAATGTCAGCAAGGTCAGAAATGGAAAGAGCGGAATCAGGGATAATTCTTCTCGGGGAACAAATCGGGTTCGATGAGATGCCTGACTCAAGAACAAATACAATGGGGCCTAATGACGACAGATCCTGGGCTCTTGAATTTGAATGAATTTTCATCTTATGAGTTTTCAATTTCATTTTTCGTCGTCCTCGTCGTGCCTGCTTTCGTCACTGTAGCTGTAGAGATCTTCCACAAAAAAGTCACCACTGTGTCTAGAATTTCTCCTAGTAATTGCCTTGCTTACTCCTTGCACCCAGATTTATCTCTACTATTTTCGATTATAATACGTAACAATCTATCAAAGCCAGATTATGGCACGGTCTTTCATCAAAGACCAATTGTTTTGTCGTTTTCATGCCGATCTTTATTCCATCTCTTTGCATGTGTCTTTTCTTCAAAAATCAATGCCCGTGCCCACTTTTCCATTGTTGATACAATGAGATTATTTATAGGTGGTGGGTTTGTTATCTTTTCCTGATCTTGTTCTTGTTTTCTTGCAAAGGGTTCACTCAGACTCAAGAGATTCGCCCCAGAACAAGAAATGTACTCAACTTTTCAGAGTAGGTATGACAAATCCATTTTGTGACAGCATGCAAATCAGCCTTTTAGCTTCTACCATACACTTTCTTGCAATCGAGTTAGTAGGCAGAAACCTTTCTATCGTACCTCAGTAGGACCAGCAGTCATAGACAACACAAACACTATTAAAGACTGAAAAAGTGAAAGTATAGACAAAAAAATACTAACCAACACCAACAGAAAAAATCATCCTTGTTAGTACCCATGATTTTGTTAGGCTTTCACAAGTTTAGCGAGTCCATAGTTCTAACTTGATCATTGTCGACATGACAGCTCAGATTATATGGTCCATTCGTATTTCGCTTGCTGCATCGAAGGTATGAAGATGTTTGAAATTTGTCGCATCTCACTCTAGTGATAATCTCGCACGATAGATCGATACAATTGAGGTACTAATACTATCTTAAAAATATTTAGCTATTCATTTAGCTGGAGATCCTAAACCCTAATCTCTTCCTTTTAATTTACTTTTAGTCACTATAGACACATATTTCGCCAGTGCAGTCTTCTTTAACTCGCGTACTCGTTTTCTTGAGCTTTCTGTTTCTTAGACTTAGAAGTAGAGGTAAAATGATTTTCTGGTAAAAATTTCTGAAAGAGTTCTCGTTGGGTCATAGACGTAGTTACGTGTTCTTATTGTACTCATTTGTAGTAGTTGTAGTTATCTTGAGGGCTACCGCGCTTGTTCGCCCCTTGATTGATTGACTATCTTACTCAGTCCAGAGTTGGCCCTGGGTCTGTTTGTTCCTCCGTTATCCAGCACCGCCGCTCGTTAGACGGCCGCATATTATTGATTGACTATCTTACTATTCGTATCGGTCTTCAGGTGCGCACTTCTGGAAGTGGACGATATTGATTCACGAGAACCACAAGGATGACGAATTTGAAAAACGAATTAATTATCGAATCGTCACCCGTGCCCTCGGGGCAGGGCAGCAACGAGGACGGATTGGACTCAAAGAGTCCCCCAAGTTGGAGCTCTGCATGGCTAAAGACAACTTCATTATCGGCCTCTTCAGGTCCTCCTTCCCAGCGATCTAGTAAAATAATAACAGCGGATGCAGAGCCTCAACAGAGCCGGGCAATAGGAACAGTTGTTGAGGAAGGAGCAACGGCAAACCAGATCAACGATGCAGAAGAAACTCGGAGTCGTTCTGGCTCTTCTAGTTCTACTACGAGTAAGGATCTTCAACGTGATAGAGCTGATTCCAAGAACGTGTCTATCTCCCAAGATACACATGATCAAGGAGAGCCACGAGCAACAGAGACGACAATTATTAACAAGGATGGAGTCACAATTAGTATTCCTGCTTCGTCTTCGAGTCAGATTCCTGCTTCGCCTACATCAGCGGCGACGGGGTCCTCAGCGATAGCAAACGGCGGGAAAAAAGAAGTGGTTAAAGAGGGATTCACAATTGTCATACCCGATATTTCCGAAGAGCTTCCGGCTTCAATGAATACGTCAAGTAGTACTACGGCATCCACCTCTTCCAGTGTGCGTGTCTTCGAAAAGGAGGGTCTCACTATCTCAGCGCCAGCATCCACAACAAGTGCAGCATCGTCTACAACCTGTCCTCCGGCTTCTGCCGTGTTGACGGAGAATACGGCTCCTGAGCCGATTCTTGTAGACTCCCAGGAGGGCAATGTCGAGAAGGCAGGCAGCGAAGGAGAGGACCTTGTTCGATCTCGCCTCAAAGCAGAGATGGCCAGACAGAAGGCAGAGATGGAGGCGCAAATGATAGACCAAAGGAGGCAATACGAAGCACTCATTCGAGAGAAGGAAGACGCCTGGGCAAAAGTACTCGCAGCACTTCAGCAGGCACAAGCAGAAGACCCGGTTGGAGTTGCTGTCAACGCTGTGGGCGGGGCACAGGTACTTAATTTTTCCTTCGCCTTGTAGCTCTACTAGCTCTGGGTAAGAAATGAAGAACAATTCGTCCGATTCTTCTCGAGGGAGGATTGACGACGATGTTGAACAAAACTTCTAGTATTTTGATTTTGCATATGCTAATGCTTGTATTATTCACATGAGTATGGTCTTAGAAGTTTGGGTTTTTTTGTTCTGTCTATTTGTCGAAAGTCGAAACTACATCTTGATTTTTTACTCCCGCAGGCATCAGGAGAGCAGCCGCTGTTGTTCCAGCCTGGTCCTACCGCTCCATCGTCCAAGACATCGGGAGAAGCTTTTCACAATGAGCTTGAGGGAAGAAAAGTAGACGAGATAGATGATCCTGCTGTTGTGCCCACGTTTAAGCACCAGCCTCCGTCCGTAAACTCGAGTAAGGAAGCTAAAGTGTTCGAGACGACCTCCACGGACTACTTTTTAGAAGCAGCAATAAGTGGAGCGGGGGACACAACGCCTGGTGGCGCAGGCAGAAGTAGCATGATGGACGCGAGTCCCCCAAGAATAGACATCGAAGACTCAGTGAGCGTGGAGGTGGATTTGGCTCAGTACTACGCTCAGCGGCGGGGCGGATCTGGATTTGCTCCTGAACTGTTTGCAGCTGCAGCGCAGCAGCACGCTGACGAAAACTACACTGACCAAAACGAAGGGGAGGAAGCACCATTAGCGGACGGCCAGGCCGAGATAGCGTTAGAAGTGGGGGCTCATGAAAAGGAGCTCGTTACGGCACAACAGCGGCTCTATTCTGACTATTTTTTCGGCAGCAACGAGGCTCAGGCAGATGAAAAAAGAATTCTTCAACTAGACGGACAACGACTTCTTGCAGAGAACTACAGCAAAGCCGGCGACTTTAGCAAGATGGAGTCGAATTATCCCACTGTTGAAGATGTTGAGAACGAGAAGCCCACCGACGTTGCAGCGAAGCTACATGAAAAGCAGCTGATAATTGATGCGCAGTATGAAGAAGAAAAACAAGGAGACTACTACAGTGCGCATGCTTGTTCTGTGAATGAGCTATTGTTCGGTCGAGAGGGCGACATACCCTTATCCACGAAAGAAAGGGAGCCTATCTCATCGCTTCACGGGGCTGGCCTTAGTCCACCGGATGAGGACATTTCAGACCTAGAGAACTACAGTCCGCCGCGTGTGCAAGTGGGTGGCGACCAGATCAGGATGAAAACTGAGGACGCTCCTGCTCCTGATGACAACGAGACTGAGAATCCAGAGCTCTTGAGGTTCGAAAGTGTTCCTGGCAATCAAACAGCAGTGTCCGGCTCATCTCCGAAAGAGGACTCGCCCGAAGTAATGCTATCGACACCAATGCTAGACGAGTACAACAATGGACATAGCGAACTGGAGGAAAAAATTGGGCGAGATGACGCAGCGGGAAGATATGGTGACCGTGATTGCGATTGCAAAGTCGCGGCTTATGCACCAGATTTGGACGCACCCTCAGCTGCTTCGGCCGCACTAGAAAAAATGTATTCCGTGGGTGAGACCTCCGCGTGCTCGCAGCAGAGCGACAGCAGCAGCCCAAAAGTGGACGGTGAACGTCTAGTACGCGTAGGGAAAAGTAGCCGAAATCGGTCAGCGGACGACGTAACCGGAGAGGAGGATGAACATGCCGACCTGAGTCACTCGACGGAGGACACAAGTGCAAGTTTGGCGGCTGCCGGTGTCCGAGAATCAATGTTTACGAAGGAAGAGGAGTCAGTGAGCACGAGTCGGAGTCTCCAAGGGAGGAAACAAGACCAAGGATCGGCATCCACTTCATCTAGTGCAGCAGCCGGCGGGCTGCGGCTGCCAGACACTCTAGCTGACCCCGCATCGCCGGATTCACCGCCCGAAAACGCCATGACGCTGACCGGCAAGGTAAAGAAACAGGTTGCGCAGTCACCATTCTTGGTTGAAGAGTCACCCGAGGACGACGATGGCGCGGAACACGTTGCAGTTACAAACTGGGGTGAGGTATGGAATGAGAAATTTCCAGAGAGGAAGATTACTGGTGGAGACTCTGACGCCTATGTTCAGACGGGCTCATTGACTGGTGCCCCCTATGGAAAGGGTGCGTCTGCCTACAGCGGTGCTTCGAATCACAGCTCGTACGCAGGTGAAAAAGGACACTACCAGCAATATCAAAACTACAACTCTCAACTTGCATCCAGCAAAGGAAAGTACGGTGCAGGATACCATGGGAGCCAGTACCAGTATGCTGGAGCAGGGGTTGCTTTCGGAAAGGACAGCGGGAAGACAAGTGCTGCGTGGAGCGAGAAGGATCAACATGGCAAAGGTGGCTACTATGCAAATGGGGGAAAGGAGAAGGGCTACGGAGGCATCGCGCCTGGGTATGGATCCGTCACTAGCGGTGGAGGCAGTCATAGCCAAGGGTCCACGCCTCCCGGTACTAGCGGCCCCTCTTCATCGCTTGGTCTACCTGCGTCGAGAGGACACTACATCGGAAAGGACGCTTCTGGCAACTTGATCAAGGGTGCGCCTCCTTCAGCTGCTGGGAAGCCAGGAACGATGGCTGGTGGGAAGCCCGTAGCACTAACACATCAACATGCCGGGATGCCAGGCGGCATGTCAATACCTGGAGGTGGCAAGCCTGGCGCAAGTTACCCCTGTGGAAAGTACGGTAGTGGCTATCCCCTGAGCAAGGGCGCACCCAACACGGAAGGCCAAAGTACAATGGTCGGCGCTGGAACCGCTGGTGCTTTGCCTGGACCGAACAGCAAAGGCGGGAGTCCGCCATCAGCACCGAGCAAGGGCAGCACCAACTACCACATGCTGCAGAACCCTGCGGTCGTTGGATACAACGGCAAACCCTCTGCCGCGATGATGAATACGAAAGCTGGGCTAGTACCTGGGTCAAGCACGACAGGTTCAAATTTCTCTGCAACGCCGAGCAAAACCACTGCACGGCCACCGGGGCTCAGCGCTCCAGTGCCTGCGTCCTCTAGTGCAGGTGCACCGAATGGTCTGCCAACTTCTGGGGCGTCATCGTCGATGCGACCGAATGTAGCAGCCCCAAGACCACCGACCGCGGCAGCAGCAAGTGCGGCAGCGCTTCCGCACGCGGCTTTAGCGGGTGGACCGCTGCCACCCGCTCTGATGCATCCCGCCAACCTAGCTGCTCTTCCGCCACATATTGTAGCACAGAACCCAATGTTGGCGCGTGCACAAGCCGGCTACGCCGCTGCCGCAGTGGCGGTGGCGCAACAGCAACAGCGGGTCCAGCACGCTGCTGCCGCGTTGGCGTCTTTGCAGGCGAAGGGAAAGGCACCACCGCAGCTTGCAGCAGGCAAGGGAGCGCCGCCACCCCCCGTACCAGGACGGGTCCCACCAGCGGCTCGAGCGGTACCCATGGCCCTTGGAGCAGCAACGAGGAATGGCGCAGGAGGTATTTGTTTCTATTCATTGTACTTGTTGTATTACATATATGCAGCAGTCCAGGGTGGAGCTGGTTCAGGCTGGGGCTCGCTCTGGTTCAGGCTGGAACGCTCGCAACTTTTTAACTTGTTTTCACTCCGATCCCACCCTGGCCCAGGTTTTTGCAATAGTATTCTACTCCGGCCCAAACCAGTCCAGGGGGAAAATTCTCCCACCCGGAACCAAGTCGCGGCCGTGATAATTATGCGCCTACTTGGTGATAGACAGGAGACGGGCTCGGGCAACCCTCTCGAGGGAAAGCGCAAGCTTGGGGGGCCTTTTGCTTAGGCACCTTGGTAACCCGGCAGGCTTGCCACGGTTGTGCCTTGAAGTCGGGGCGGCAGTGCCAGGGGAAGCGACTGGGCGCCCGTATTTACTGGCGACTGAGTCCCTCCGGGGGGCTCAGCGCAGCTTCCATCCCTGACCGGGGGCGAGCAGCATGGGGCGGCAAGGAGACAAAGACGAGCACCGCTTGGCGGCGCTGGTCTGCGGCCGCTGGTGCAAGTTGTTGCGCCGTCTGGTCTTTGCTGTCTCGCTCGCTCTTCCATCAAGATCCAGGCGCCAGCAATGAGGACGAGGCCCAAGCGATGGAGGAAGTGCCTGCGGTTGAGGTTTATCAGTCGCTCGGCGACGGCTTCGCTGCGTGTGGCATTCCGACCATCGTGAACGGCCGCGCGCTGTCGATCTCAGAGTGAGGGAGCCGGCCTCTGCTCTTCGTTGTCATCAGTACTCATAGGGGTGCGGCCGCTTGTGGCCTTCCCTTGGTCGACTCTGCCAGCCAGGAGGGGAGCCTTGTCGCGTCCTTGTAGATTGCCCCCCCTCAAATTTTTGCAAGGCAGGGCAGCGTGGCGCAAGTAGATTATCGTCTTGAGATCTTCGACCAGCGTGCCGCTTGCGTGTCTCTGCCGTCTTTGCTTGCCTCTTCGCTTCTTTCTCGCGTTTAGTTTTGTCCGCGCTCGCCCTTTTCATCTTGGTTCCTACACCCTCCCATCCCTCGGGCCCTTTCGCTTCTGGCGCCCCCCTCTTCTTGTTCTCAGCTCCCCTGCCTCTCCCGTCTTGCATCCCCTCCCCTGCTCTTCCGGCACCTCCCCCTCGTCCCCTTATTTTCTCCTTTGATTGTCCACCGTTCTTGATCGCCTTGTCTGTCACCAATCCCCTCTTCTGATCTCGGCTTTCCACTCTGGCCCACTTTCTACTCTGGACCGCTATCCCACCCTGGACCACTCCATATATTTGCATTTGCTTATAATTTGTATCATCAGACTCAGCTTCAGACCAATGAATAAAGATTGTTTCTTTGTTATCCTCATTCTCGATCGAGATCAACAAAAACCGTAAACAAAACAGTGCTTCCACCGCCTGCAAGTGGTGGAAAAGAAGGGCTCGCTCAGTCTTCACAAGCTGCGGCCTATGGATCATCTTTTTTGCCGCCAGGACGCAACAGTCAGCTTTCTGCAGACGCACCAGCATTCGTTCCAACAACTTCCGGAGGCCGTCCTCCAGTCCTGTCACGCGATAGCAACATCAGTGACAAGAGTTGGTCACCAACTGACAGCAATGCGGACGAAGGTATAATCAAAACTTTAGGTTACTTATGGTTATGCACTTGATTTTGTAGTTGCAGAAATTCATAACGATGTCCTTCGATCTGAGTATGCTTTCGTGTTCCGATCTATGATCGTTTGTCTCTTGGCTGCCCTTGAAGGTGAAGACACTTTTTTCGGACTCTATTCCTTTCCGGCATTTTCTTAATCGTCCGGTCGTTGTCGTACAACAACATATCAAATTTGAAATATTCAAACCCATCATAGTTCTCATGTTCAACATCAGGCGAGCTCAAAGTGTGGAGCGTGTATTTCCAGGGACAGTACGTTGCAAATGTAGAGGAAAATGGTGAGGAGTATGCAGTCGTGGACTGCAAGCAGATGGATGAGTTGTTTGGATGCGGCCCACTGCGAGTTCCTAAGGTATATTTCCAGAACAAACTCGTCATTGGCAATGTCCTCGCTTTTCGCGTAGAACGCGATCCAAAAGCTAGACGAGGCGTGGCGTTCAAGAAGGGGTCGCAGAAGAGCCCGACCACCGTAGACTACTACGTAGGTACCGTGCGCGAATTGGTAGCATATTCTAGAACCGAGGCGGAGATGACGCTCCATTGCCTAGGAACAAAAGCGATATTTGGGAACGACGTGAAAGGCTACGCAAACTCAATCATGCCCTTGAACGGAAAGCTCAGAATGGGCGATGTGGTACTTACTCCTAGTGATACAACTGGAACATATTCCATCTTTCTTAATCGCATTTGCTTAGTACCAAAGATTCTACTTCTTGTCCTTTTTTTTTTTTGAACAAGTGAATGATCATCCTCGTGGAAATTACTTATCGATTAGGAACATGACAAAAACACCGCCAACTACAAGTTTACCCATCAATCAACATAATCGTCCTCATCATCAAAATGATTTTTCTTACAGGTTGCATTTAAGGTGAAGAAGCTGCCGGATGGAAAAGGCGAAGTTCTACCTGGCTCCGTCCGAAAGATATCTCGCGTCGGCTGAAGGATAACAATAACTGTTTTCATCATGTTTGTTCTTCTCAATTGGAATGTTCAAAGAAAGGCTAATTAATAGTAAAAAGAGTATTTCTGATTTGCCTAAAGCTAAAACGGCGGCAATAATCAAATTTAAATCAATGTAAAAGTTCAGATTAAGAAGCAGAACTGGCGGGGCACAACTACTTCTCCCGTTACTCGTTCATTATTTTTGTCAATAAGCATAGGCATCGCATAGCCAACAACATGGGTGACCTGTTGATTAAGAAAAGTGCTGCTCCTCTTTTCCTCTATTGTTGATATGATGAAACTCAAAACTAGCCATCTCTCTTTTTCGAAAACGATTATGATAACGGATAGTGTGAAATGGATTGCTCTCAGCAGAAGCCGGAGGCCACTTTCTTTATAAGCAGACGGCGACAAAGACAGACTTTTGTTAGAGCCACAAGCGCACTTTTCGTCTTGGCGGCTCGTTTGACGCGTCTACGATGCGCGATTTTTAGGCCTCTGATGCATGAAAGACTAGCTCTACACGTACGAATATGAATGTCCCTGAAGAACAAGATATTGAGTACTTCCTACTTCTCGACGTATAAAATTATCCTTAATCTTCCAGTACCCCTCCTTCTTGAATCCATTTTTTTGCCCCGAGCCCCTAAAATTTATGGTGACTGCCTCCTCACCCTGAAGCTCAAACTAACCTACACTTCTACAGTTTTCTTTCCTCATCTACCCCTTTCCTGCATACACTGAAAAATGAGTGGAAAATGTGACTGTAGAATACTCCAACTTGATGTGGTGACCAAAAAACATGACCTAAAAAACTTACTTTGACTTTTTTTACTACCACGATGAAACGAAATTATGCTTTATTCCAGCAACAACATCGGCATTACTGCTAACAATGACTGTTGAAACAGCAAATGAGAATCTAGGTAGCTGTTCTATGTTGGAGTCGGATACTTTTGCCTTCTTCTTCGGTGAATGTCGGATACCACAAGCACAACTTCAGAGTGTGAAAGGAAGAGGGAAACCCGTTGCTCACAATGAGATAAGCAGGACTCTGTCAGGAGAGAGAAGACGATCATCCAATAGCGCATCTTCCAACTACTTCGCTTTGTTGTCTGTTGCAAGAGTAAGGATAAGGTACACACGAACAATCGGTACTCGAGCGAATGAGGTGACTGAGTGTGTCCGAGTGTCAGTTTTCCGAGTCAGTTTTCCGATGGAGTATGTAGGTGCAACAGTATCAGTATTCCTATGTATATGTAAAAATGGTTGACCTTGACCCACAGCCACTGAAACTGGAATAAAAATTAGATTACACGAAAAGGAACTGGGAACGGAGGGCGACTGCCTCCATAATGCTGCGGCTACAGGATGAGAAGTCGCGAAAATAATAGTAATAGTGCTTGTCAAAAATAACGATTGAGATTGAGTTCCTGGGCGGAAAGACACTTTTCTTTTCTAATGAGTTCTTTCTGATCTACTTCCTGGCTGCCGTCGTGACGCACGTAAGTAGGTGGAGAGTTCAAAAAATGCTCCTTTGCGTTACCTCCAGAGGTGAAGCTTCGAGGCTGAGTCTGTCAAAGTCGTTGCGCATGCAACGACTAAGAAAGACGGCCTTAGACGAGCTCACAGTCAGCGATGAATGACTGGTTCTTGGAGATCGATCTTCTGACCTATCACTCTCTGAGAGGACAGCGACGAACGGACGAAGTAGTACAAGACACCCAGCACCGTCTTGAGAAGAAAAATACCGATCGAGAACAGTCTGCCGCGACACTGACTGCTTTAGACCGCGAATACTAATTCTGATTGCAAAATATACGACAACGACCGCGCACCACCATCACGATCGCCAGTTCAATAGCGGCTGAAGTTCGCTTTTCGTTTTCTCAAAACTCGATAACTTTCGGCATTTTTCACCTACAAGGTGTTGACAAGCTCAGCCACGATGGACCTTGAAGCACGAATGGATGAAACCGATGTGATCGTCATCGACATGGGGTCGGGCGTCACGAAAAGTAAATAGACTGGATTTTGATGTAATGATGGTGTTTCAATTTCATCTCAGGTTTTTCGTCAAAAAACATTCATGTGCAGGTTTCATTTACTCGTGCGTCCATCTTCTTATAGTTGTACATCTTCCAGGACGCGCAGCCTCATACTACAAAAGACCTACAACGACAGGTACAACACTAGTACGATCCACTTACATGCAAATATTCATCTTGCCAATATTTTTTTCACAACAGTCGGTTTTTGCGGAGAAGACGCACCTCGAGCATGCGTCGATACGGTGACCGGTCAGGTTCTCACGGCAACGGGGACGGAGGGCCAGGATAGGCAAAAAAAAGTGGTGGTTGGCGCAGAAGCATATCAGAATAGTGAAGCAGAGCTAACACAACCAGTGCGGAGAGGGATGCTTGATTACAAGGACTCCGGAAACGCAGTCGAAACGCTGTTCCAGCACGCCTTCTCCAAAGTTCTAGCAGTAGAGCCAGAAGACTTTCCATTGCTTATTCTCGACGCGCCAACAGAGAGCAAACAAGCAAGAGAATGGCTGGGGGAGGTCCGATAACTAACGTGCTCGATGTTGAAGATGAAATAGAAACCGATTTTTTGTTCCTAGTTTTTCGGTCCCTTGAATGAAGTTCTAAATTCATCGAAACCTTAGCGACCTCCCCCTCATCCTCTCATGCCCACAGCTCCTTTTCGAGAAGTTCAAAGTAAAAAGCCTCTCTATGTGGAATACGGCTGTAATGAGTCTATTTTCAACGGGCAAGACACGAGGTTTAGTATTGGAAAGTGGAGACGGCGTAACCCACGCAGTGCCGGTACGACCATAAGCTATTGATATTCTGAGAGAGCAAACAATTTGTTTTTAGCAGCAACCCAATCTTACAACTACTAGAAGTAATCTTGTTACAACTAGAAGTAGAACGATCTTCCTGATCCACTTCATTTTTATCTGTTTTCGAGGTCCACCGACTCCAACATCCTTGTAAGTTTGTTCAGTGTCATTTGATCAGGTATACGAGGGTTACGCCATTCCGCATGCGGTTTTCAAGCTCGATTGTGGTGGCGCTGACATAACAGAGGAGCTGCACGCGCGATGCGTGGAGGCGGGCATTCCAGGAGTAGCTGAGTTGGATGCAATGCAGCAAATTACAGTAATGAGGAAGATGAAGGAAAAGCTCGCAACATGTGTGCCCGACTACGAAAAAGCCTGCGACTTGCCCGACCCCTCAGATCAAGAGCATAGATCATTCGAGCTCCCAGATGGAAGCATAGTGCAGGTAGGCTTATGATTATCTCGAGTTACTGAAATTCTTGTAGTCACACTGAATATTGGGTTTGTCTCTGATGATATATCCAGAGGATGCTTGGACCATTCATCATCGTTCGATTTCGAGAGCAGTAGCTTCTTCTACAATATGTTGGTTGGTATACAGATCCCTCACGACATTCGGTTTGGAGGAGCCGAGGTGTTATTTTCACACGCGGGTGAAGAGACGGTGCAGCACGTATGCACCTCAGCGTTGAACACGCTAGACGCTGACTTCCGTAGTGAATGCATGCAGAACATCGTTCTTGCGGGTGGTTCAACCATGATTGCAGGGCTGCCAGCTAAAATAAAGCAAGAAGTGCAGAAAATTTTGGGCGAAAAAGTCCAGGTGCTCACAGATTCCCAGAGGAAAAACGGTACTTACGCGTTTGATCGTGTTTTTATCAAGAAGATAGGCGGTGAGCAAACATCACATGAGCACCATGCAGAATCTTCAACGTCATTCAAACGTACTGATCTAATTCCAATCGATGTACTAAATTAATATTCATTGATATTCTCTAGCGAAATCGAGATGTACTCCTACCTCTGAACAATAAACTTTCCTACGAATATAGATGGAAGTGCAGCACCCCTATCTGTTCTACTTATACAGCTGCGTGGATCGGCGGATCGATGTTTGCGAGCTTTTCTACCTTTCCGCATTACGAAATAACGAAGGCTGATTACGACGAAGGCAAGATTGATTTGAAGGGCCTGATTGCCAAAAAGACTTTCTAAAAAGCTGTAAATGGTCCTCCAAGCCACGCGCATATGTATAGTTTCAACTGCACAAGGAGGACCCAGACGGATGATGTTTTGAACTAGTTGTGAAATTACAACTATATGAACTCCTGTTTCTTTTTGTTGAACTGACTTTGTTGCTGGCGTGTAGTTGTGTGTCAACAATGTCGCGAAAAGTAATTGTAAGTACATCCAGATCCGTGTAAACCGATTTGTAGTGTTATTGAACAGGCTCCTGTGTACTGGACCTACCTGCGTTGCTATTTTTACCATTTCTGACTTAACCCAAACCATGACCAACCGCAAGTGAAAGATTGCGAATCAGAAAAATAAAATTTCATCTTCACCATCGCGAACAAGAACTGAACTTCTTTTGCAATTGAGTCCGTACCCTAATATTCCAACAAATCATATCGATATCCTTATCCATGCCGCGGCGTCGCTCGACTCGTGTGCAGCTTGGTAATTTTCCTCATGACTGTTGCTGGCGAGAGGCGAGTAGAAAGCGGAGGCAGCGCTTGTCTCATGTGATATAAGTGATCATCTGCATCTTCACTATATTATATTAATCAGATTTCCTAAGTGAAGAAACAAATTCTTGGCGCAGTTGAGAGAAAATCAAAAAACGGAGAACTAAGAGCAATGCGAATTACGATTGCTTCAATTGTGTCGTGTTTCGACACATTTATGCCTGTTATCGTAGAGGAGGAAGGGAGACGAAATTACATTTGTCCGAAGAGAAGAACACACAGGTGCAGCCACTGTCACTAGGCCCACTTTCACGTCAGTCAAGTCAGGTTGCGTCTTGGAAAAATATTTGTTGCGCATTCTCTTTTCCCATTCAACTGGCGATGAACATGACGAAGTTCCATATTCGATTGTGATTGACTCCTAAAGCTGCTTTTTCTCGTTGTTCTTACTAGTAAAAGGTGTATATTTATTATGATTTAGAATACTGTTAAGTGAGGCTTTTCAAAACGATGCCTACATTTTTCGCATCATCAAGCACGGTTGCTTTACAAGCCTAGCTGGGGTTGGGGAAACAGACAAAAGCGCAACAGAATCGAACAGCATCGCAAGGTGTGACGAAAAGCAGAATACATCGCTCTTGAAGATTGGTGCATTGTACTTATCGATTTGTTTTGCTAGAAAACCAAGTCGAGACAGACTCCAGATCGATATTTCGTTGCTCATCCGTCATCGTCCGATCACAAGTGTGTTTCCCGACGAAAGCCGCTGCTCGAGCTCAATTGGTGCTAGTTGTTTTGTAACAACGCCAAGCGCATTCCGCCTGTACCAAGAATGGATCACGCGCTCCTGCCTAAGAAGAAAGTAGACGAACGTCATCCATCAAGAGAAACAGATTCCGCACTCGAGGTTAGGCTATTCGCCTGGTGCAGAACCCCATAGTACTTTTTTTACTACTCGTCCCAGTCCCTCCCTCTTCTTCATCTTGGACATCGATCGCAACTGCTGACCAGGCTGAGAGAGCACAACGTCACTCCTAATTGATTCGATGCTGCAGAGTCGACCTATCGGGAACACTGCTTACGGTGGAGTCTCAGAGATGTTTTCGTCCTACGAGGAAGATTTCCATCAATGCGAGAGCGACATTCGCAAATTCCTTGCGACTGCAGGTACTACTGCTGATCACCCGAACCCTAAGCGTCGACATTGTAACAACACCTGTCGTTATGCTCATCTAAAATCAAAATTACGACGTTTAATACTGCAGCAGTTAGTAAAAATACTAGAGCTTTAGCTAATTGCTTTTCTTCTTGATGGCAATGCTTATGTTGCCAACCACAGGAAATCTCAAACTACATTTCGAAATGAAAAGGTACCGCAAGCAGCTCTTCGAGTGGTCGCCAGGCCCAGATCGATGAGAGGATTAACGCTGTGTTTGAAGCTGAGGGTCGCATGGGCCAAGCGGAGCGACACATTCTGCACATGGAGCAAGAAGTAAAGACGCTCCCACCACATGCACAGGTTTAGGGCAATCGAGATCGGGTTTAGTTTAGTTTACATTCCTGTTCCACGCGGACCTGTTTGCCAATCAACATGTTAACATCGCTCCGTTTCCACAACTCTATGCATGTCAGTGCAAAAGAACAGAGAAGTGTAAGACCAGTAGAACACTATACATTTACTGTGTTGCACGAGAAATAACCTTGATCCTCGAGACGCGCGCAGCAAGACTATTAAGCACACTCTAATATATGACGCAGAGCGTGAACCAACGTGTTCGGCAATATCGGTCGTTGCTGCTTGGTTTCAAGCGGGAGTGGACTGAGGTGCGCGCTGCTGTGGACAGGGATGCTTTACTGGCGGAGAGGCGTGGTGGCCGCGACGCGGAGCTGGTGAAAAACAGCCGATTGCGCGAAACGGGGTCGCGCATCGCCCAGGGAACAGCACAACTGAAGGATGCTCATCGAATGGCTGTTTCGACAGAGCAAACGGGCGTTCAAATCATGGGGGACTTGCGCGGCCAGCGCGAGCTCATTCAGCAGAGTCGTGCACACATCGACTCGATAGACCGAAACCTCAGCAACAGTAGGCGAGTGCTGCTGCAGATGAGCAGGCGGGTTCTCGCAAACAAAATCATACTGATGGGGACGGCGCTGGTGCTTTCGCTGACGCTCATTCTGCTCCTGTTCATTAAGTTGAAGAAATAGGGAAAGGCAAATTTGTCTGTTGAACTGGTAGACTCATCATGCATTTCATGGGCCGAGGTCTCTAAAATGAAGCATATGTATGGGCTTCTCTCCTCATACTCGATGTACTTAAAAGCTAATGAACCGACGGTACTACGTACAAGTGTAATCACATCTATCGGCTTTCAATAGATCCGTCTCGCTCCCTATGGAAAAGACAGAAAAACGCGTGCTATCATCTGCTAAGCCATCTTAGTCTTCATCACAGTCAATCCTGTAGTACAACTACAATATCAATAACCCGTTCTTCCTTACGTCGACTCGAACATTCGTTGCTGTTTCTTACGTTACTGTGTTCTTTCATCTGCTCGTCTGATGGGTCAAAGTACTTACTAGTAAAAGTGTAAACTTCAGAAGTAGCAAATTCGATGAGAGAGTGGAGCGAAGATTCATAATGTCCGCCCTATCTGAGTCGGATGGGCGCCTGAAAGACTGGGCATGGGCAACAAAACCAAAGAAGGCCAAGTGAGAAGAATTTGCACACTTCCTGGAAAGCACCATTATACTTTTAGCGTTGAAGCTGTTGTAAATGTAAACTAGGTAGATATCTATACATTTACTTACAGACGCAGTTATGGGCTCTCAACCATTTCTATGATTTAACTAGTTCAATAGTTCAATAGTTCAACTCAGAGGAGGGGATAGAAAAACTTCCGCCAGATCGAGGGGTGGCCGCCTTGCGATCTATGCTCGGAATGAGTTGCTTTTTCCGCGCTGCGCGGGTGAGTCTCGGCTGCGAAAATGGGTCCGCGTGGCGCGAGAGAGGCGGCGCGGCGTGAGCGAGTCAAGTCTGCGCTGCGCGAGTGAGTCTGGGCGAGTTTTCCTTGCGTGAGTGAGTCTGCGCGGTGTGAGCGAGTCAAGCCGGCGCTGCGCCAGTGGGTCCGGGCTGCGTGGGTGACTCTGTTTCGCGCTCCTCCATGATACTTCAACTTTTTAGTTTCACTAACTGCTTATCCTTATAAATATCATTTTCTTTATCCAACACCTGTTATAATCTGGACGGGGGAGATCAGGATACAGAAAGGATCGCGACGGGAAAAGACAACACCCTAAGGAGTTCTTTCTGAGTGTAGCCCTTACACCAAGACCAAGATGCGCTTCATCGTTTTGCTCGCGCGTCGCACTTTGCGCGCAATGCACTTCAGCTTTTCGGCGTCCGTTCTGCTGGCGTTGGCAATCTTATGGTTGTGGGTGAGGCATATGATAAAGAGCTGTAACTTGTAAATCAGAAGAAATGTTGTAACTTGCAAATATTTTTGCATCAGAAGATAGGTGTTCAATGAATACGCTCTCGGTCTGTCCGTCCAACATCTCTATTACTTTTGCTAATTGTGTCAGTGTCTCTCGAGAAGGTGATGATGGAGTGGTATTGTGAGGATGCTGCTGTCAACGCGGACGACGAGAAGGCGACGTCGTTTGTGGAGATCGACAAGGAGGAAACGAATCTGATGCGGACGGAGCTGGATGCTCATAGCATCAAGAAGGCTATCGAAACAAAGATAGAATCGTATGGCGCCACCTGTTGACCGCAAAGGAGAAAAGTAGATGATGTAAATATTTAATATAACGGGTTTCGGGTTGCTCGAGTTGCAACGGGTTGCTCGGGTTGCTGAAGCGCAGGGGTTCCAAATCTGGAACCGAACGGGTTGCCACGGGTTTCCAGGAGAGCCTTGACTCAGCAAAATGGGGCGAAGCCGGGCGGTATGGAGGAGAATCCGCACGCTCGAAGTGAAGAAATGAAGAAGAGCGCAGCTTTTGTCTTTTGTTGTTGCTCATGAAAGGGGGAGCCACGTGCGAAGGGCTCTGCAGCCTTTCGGGCTCTTTTTTTGTAGCGTGCGGGCGCGTGTTTGAAGCGAAAACAAGGAGCGAAGGCCCCTTCTCTCTGTTGTTTTTTTGAGGTGAGTGCCGCTGTGGTGTGTCGTCTTCGAGTCGTTGGCGATCTCTCCCCTTTTTCTTCGGGTGCGAGCGTGGCCAATCTACTTGGAGGCTGAGAGCGAGTCTCCGTGTCCGTCTGCTGGCTTCGGCGGGCGACGTGTCCAGTCTTGGGCACGGCAGTAAGTAGACTGGAGGAGGTTGCTAAGCTGAAATGGATTGGCGCGCTCGATATTTATATACGAGCGCATCGCCATCAGCATGCAACTCGAACTACTTAGACGTCGCAAGTAGATAGGGCGCCGCCGCTAGTTATCTTACCCATTCTCTTAGATACGGCACTACTCAGCTGAGAGAGAGGAAGAATAGGCGGCCGCACTTCCTTGGCCAGGAAGATAGGGGAGCTGACTTGCTGGGGCCTTAACTTAAGGGCGCACTAAGAAGAATATCAAGGACCAGAGACGCGGCGCGTGGTGTCGTGCGCTCCTGTTGAGGTCTCTCGTAGGGTCATAAATCTGCGCCCGAAGGGCGCCGCGCAAAAAATTTGGGTTGGCAACTCGAGCAACCCGAGTAACCCGGCCCGATATGGGTCAAAAAAAGCCTCATTCTAAAATAAGAAGGACTAGCACTAGAAGGACGCTCATCGATCATCTAGTACCTGTACTTTTTCTCTTTTACTTTTGTAGGTAGACTCAGTCTCAGAAAATGTCAAGAGCAGCTAAAATTCTCTATGTCAGCTTCGGAGTAGATGGTGGCGCCTTTCACATTCCTGCACTTCTCGAGGCAGCCCCAATTACCCAAGCCAAATTCCGTCCTAATGTCCCGGATAAGACACTCGGAGTTTCAGTACGCGGTCGCAACGATTATGACGCGCACGCGTCTGCGGATGCCATCATCAAAGACCTGATGAAATAAAAGTATTTTATGCAAAAATCGAACCTACTTTTATCGCGTCTATCGGTAAAGCGTGAAAAGCACACTTTGACTGGTTAGATAGTCAACTAGCTAATTGACCTGAGTTTTGGATGGACGCGGCGGAGATAGAGAAGGCCCGGCTTAATATTTGTCGCATTCTTCTCTTGCGAAGCGATTGTCGATAGCGGGGCTGGGACTCACTCTCTCCCGTATTTATCTCACCTCGAGCGCCTGGAAGCTATAGCTAAGCGCAAGCTATACACAGCTCGGGGCGAAGAGATTCCTGGGGCAGCGGTTCGGCTTGCTCTGTCTTGGTCGTTCTTCGTTCTTGTGCTTACTTATGTAGTTAGCTAAGTAGTAGCGCGCTGGCGCTGACGCTGCGAAACTGGATCAGAAGAGTGCGCGGCTCAAGCGATAGATCGCAGCTTTTCCACTACCATCAAAAAAGTGACAATGAAGACGAAGCTCAAGTCGGAGTTGTTGCGTCGTGGTCGTATTCACCAAACAAAAACCATTACATGAAAACACATGCCCGACTGAGTCTGACGTTACATTTTTATTTTTTGGAATGAGAAGATCAAGAAGATGAAGATGCCTCGCGACGTTCTCATGTCACTATACGTAAACCTATACCTCATTTTTACAATTTTTACTTCTTCACTTATTTGTATCTGGTAAGTAATCTGTTACTGCAGAGGGAGAGGGCAGCCTAGTATCCTTGGTTGGTTCCAATGGATCCAGCCGATTACTGTACCAAACTACTCAGAACAAGGGCTAGAGAACTGAGCAGTTGTAGCTGCGGGTCGAGTTCCAACTAGCACTAGGACTAGCGAAGAGTTGTGGAAAATCCGTGCTCTAGCCTCCGTGATCTAGATTTTGAATTATTATACTCTTTCTTTCTATTATGAATCTGTTTCTTTTACAGAGTCACTCAAAGACTACCTCCATACAATGCAGTAAAACGAAAGTAAAGCTCGTTCATCGATTTCAAAGGGACGCTGTCTTCTCTTTCTGCTGTCTGGCTAACTTCCAATCTCAAAAAACTTATGCGTCACTCTTGTGGATGACTCGCACAGGTAGTCTAACACTCTGTACAGAATTAGTTCATACAGATACAATTCGATCATTTTTTTTGTTTCCATTAATTTTTTATTCGAACTTCGTTTCGCCATTTTTTACTTTTACAACGAACATTTACACTGGGGTGTCATCCACCTCTCCACCCCGATCAGTTGCGAAAAACTATCGGAGATGATGAAAAGATTTTATACGCTCACTCCGTCACAAGTGAGCCCACTCCTATCCTATCTTATTTTATCAAACCAAGAAAATGAACAACTTCTCGTTAACGCCAGGTGCCAGTAGCCACTAATTATGAACAAGTCCAAGCAGAAGCATATCTAGCATTTTTTACAAAATGCTATGCTAGTGCAAAAGCTCTACAGGTTGTTTATCAACCGAAATCGTTGCTCACGTCTGAGGCGGTCGATCTTCGTAGAAGCTACGGCATCTTTCTTTGTTTCGCTCGACAATGTCAATGAGGCAGGCGCATCCACAGCTCTGTGCTTCCATTACCATTATTAACTACACTAGCCTCCACAAGCTTCGCCCGGCTCCAAGTTTAGCACTTCTGCGCCCACGGGCTACAAGCTAGAGACAGCCCGCGGGCTGGGTAGTCCACCTCGATGAAATGACTAGTATGGCGAGACTGCTGGCACTCGCGTACTTAGCTCCGTCGATTCATGGGAAGACGAGCGGGCTGCTTTCGGGGTTTTATTGGACTGGCGGGAGGATCACGCAAATTCTTCAGAATTTGCAAGATCCCCACGGCAGTCCAAGAAAAAAACCGGATGAGAACCACCAAACACATAAGGACCCGCAGAGCCCAACGACCATAGCCGGCCCCCAGATGCAGGTAAGAGCGAGGGCAGGGGGAGCTTGGCGGGCCAAGAAAAAGCAACGCATGGCCGCGCTGGCTGGGTCTCTCTACGTGCAACCGCTGCGACTCTCTCCTTCGTCTTTCGTCGGTCAGAGAGGTGAGGCGCTGCCTGCTGGAGGCGTGTGGTGTCAGGCAGCCTTTCGGGAGACCGACGCCTTTCGTCAGGCCGACGCTCTTCGTCAGGCTGTCTATCTTTCCTCTATCCCTATCGTCAGGCTGACGCCTTTCGTCTGGCCGACGTCTTTCGTCTGTCAGGCTGGGTGGTGGCGTTTCGTGTCGTCGGTCGTCTGATGTCTTTCGTCAGACTTCTATCCCCAACTTGCGTTCCTACCCCCGTCGGGGATTTTTCTTGCTTCTTTTCTGGAAGTATGCTCAGGGGCTTTCTCGTACTAATTGTCCGCAAGAAAACAGTCGGTGTCTAGGGTTGAAGATGGACTGGAAAGGAGATATAGGCAAGGACTTCGAGGAAGGCGCGGATTTTTGTGGCGGTGATCTGTGGGGTGATTAATCTTATCATGCGATGTTATTAGTTGCAATGTTCTAGCACTATCAACCTATAGGAATTATGTTCATGAGTGAATATGTATGCTCTACTACACCTGCATGAAGATCTTCTTCAATAGCTCCGCCTCAGGAGCCGAGTCTGAGGAGGAAGTGCATGATACTTGGAGATAAGTCGCTTACCTCTGCAGTTTTCCTTCGTGAAGCCGACTCGCATAAATCGACGCGATTGTATGGCTGTACCGAAACGACTGTGAGGGCGACTGTAAAGCGCATCATGGAGGAGAAGCAGATTCTAATTGTTGTTACGAGTTGTGCTTCAGGATCAGGATCAGGAAAATGAGACAAAAGAGAAGATTAAAAGGCCGAGCAGTATCTGCAAGAATTTCACTTTCTTTTGATCGGTGATAATAGACTTAGACACTTCTGCCTTTTCCTTCTGTCGATGGTCGGCATCTAGACACTGTGACATGATGGCTTGAGAGAGTAGCAGTTCTGTTTTTTAACCCCGTCGAAATTGATGAGGAAACAAGAGTGACACATCAGCATTATGCTCTCGATAGTGATCGTATCGTGTGCTGTCGGAGTCGGTCGTCGTCGGTTATATCCATCCTCTCCCCGCCACTAGAAAGGAGACTGAAGAAATTTGTGAGGAGCAGCAGTCAGCACGTGTGTTAAGTAAGTACGTGCTATTGGTATTGTGGTTTCGATGTTGTGCCTCGATCCCCGCCTTGTCTTTCTCAAGAATTTACGATCGATTCTATTTTGATTGAGTGCTCACGTTTTTAGTTTTGAAACATACTCATTCTCATTAAGTTGGTGATGTAGATACTCTAGCTCGTCTTCTTGTTCTTTAGAAACAAATATAGCATTGCGACGAGTAGATTCGTGTCATCATCATAGTATTGCGACGAAGTGCAAGTGCTGCATAGTGAAAGCTCATCCATCATTACTTGATACATAGCATTTCTTCTTGCAAAATTCGTGAAAGCAGTAGCTAGCGCCCTCGATGTTCCAAGCTGAAGAAAACTGCCCCGATGCCAGGCAGTTACAAGACCACTGAGACAGCGCAAGGTGCAAGAAAATAGTCGAAACGTAGACCTCCTGGATGCAGAGTTCATCTTCGAGGATAGCGCCACCAGTTGTGATGAGACCAATGGGCACGATTTTGAAGCGAACTTCTTATATAATAATCAACTCCTGCTACTTCGCATACGTATAAGCGTCTTCAGCTCGACGCAGTGGCACACGAAGCGCTGAATGGCGACGTAATAACCTCGTATTCGGGTCAAAAGCGTTCTTGAAATCATGGCGGCGACTCCGCCTCCAGGCGAGAGCGGTGCGGCGGATAAGGACGGCGAAAGTCCGCTTCCGTCATGGGAGAAGCTCGATTTCGGTGCTGGACTGCAGGAATTAACGATACTGAGGGCTATTGAAGAGTACCTATCCTACCACGGCTTCGAAAAGTCCTTGAAATCCCTGAAAAAGGAAGCTGGTTCAACGCTCAACTCCATGGGCTATAACGGCGCTGCAACAGCATGTTCCCCTGAAGCGATGCTGGAAGCTTTTGACGAAGGTACCTACGAATCCATTTTCGCACTCCTACCGCTACCAGCGCGGTCTTTGCACGAAGACCCTTTGTTCTTAGCACCCCAAGGCTAGGGCTAGGTAAGAGCAAGAATTTCTTAACTTCATCCTCCGTTCTACTACTTAGTCTTAGTTTCACTGGTGAGCCAATTTTTGATCAAGACTGTACAAAACTCTTCAGGTAATGGCCACAGTTTTTTTCGAATGTGGAGGAGATTAGATACGAATCGCGCGCACGGCTCGCTGGAATTACGTTTGCGTGTCCATTTTGCCATTCTCCCAATGAGAAAACGGCTTCAAAACAACGAAAAATTTCCGCGACAAAAACAGGGGGAATTTGAGGAGCTCAAGGACTACCTTGCGGAACACCAGGATGAAAGCGGTAAATCTTCATTCAGTTGAAACGGTATAAGACGATTTAGAAACTACAGATTCAAGTTGTCTCTGTCACGCTTACGCAGGGGTATTTCATCCGTAATACGACTAACTACTTGCTTACGTTTAGGGCGTCCTAATAAATATGATATACTGCTCCTGCTCATGTTGATGAAGATTGTGCAAGTCATCACATCTTCTCTATCAGGTTCTCTCGTTGCCTTTTACGCATTGCCATTTGTGCCAGCACCACATCAACATCCGGAATTGAAACATATTTTCACCCGCGCATGGTTAGACGAACTACGATCAGACACGCTTCGCGTTCTCCGGCAGTTGTGCTCTCAGCAAAAGGCTCCAAGGTTTGAGACAGTCCAACCTTTGAACTTGATGCACGCCTGTAATTCGATTTTGGCTCAGTTATATTCATGTTCTTCTCTCCTGTCTTGTACCATGACTACCCACAAGAGGACCGATCATGATCTCATAAGACTCGCATCAAATATTTGTTTCACCCCTTTCAGGGCTCCGTTTCTGTATGCCTTGGTCGAAGGTCCCATCAGCGGCAGCAACAGTGCCTTGTACCCTGTGCGCGAATTGATCCAGGTCGCTGAGCTTGCATTGAAAGCGCTGAAAAACGAGTCGACCCCAAGCTCATCCAGCACTTGTGCGCAACCGAACGTGGGTCCTCCTCATGGTCATGGTAGCATGTCGAGCCAAAATCAGTTGCAACCGCCGGGCTTGGCATCGTCAGGCTCGTACCACGTCGGGAATCTCGTTGGCCACCGGGACGCCCCGCCAAATGCGTCCACGACTACTGCAGCACTGCAGCAGTTGCAGAACGACTTCAGTAGTGCTAGTCAGCATTCGGGATCCGCGTCCGCCTCTGGCGGCTCAGCTGTGGGTGGTCAGGGATGTGGTGGCCCAGTAGCTGGGGCGGGGGGACGCTCGGCGGGAGGCGGCGCGTCATCCTCGTCGAGCCTTGAAGTTCATGATGATTTGCGGCGTCGGTTAAGTCAAATCATGGAGAAGATGTCTTCGCTCGGCAGTGCGGGCCGAATATCGCGCGAGACGCGAGGTGAGATGAAAAGTCGTGGCGGGCATTCACGCGGTGTCGCTTCACGCCAGAGTCTCTACATTAAGGCAACCTCGAGAAATGATTATTATCGTCCTTTATAGCGATAGAAGCAGAAGTGGCCTGGTGGTAGATGATGATGAGAACATTTTTTTTGATGATCTGTCTGATTCTTACTAGCTTCCACGAAAGTCGTGATACGTTTCTTGTTCTAGGTTGTGAATTGGGTATGTATATGCGTGATATCGACAGCATTCCGATTCCGGAAGCAAAACCTTCTAAGCATTGTCGTTATGGAGCGCGACCAAAGGGGTCACGGCAAAGCACTCTCTACAGTCGATCCAGCGGGCGGAGTACTTTCCAGCCGTCGCTGATCGGTCCGTGCGCAAGGTTTGCGTTCGGACGCATTCGTGACGCATTGAAGGCACCAACCAGCGACAAGCAGGAGCTCTTCGTGTCCATTCTGAAGCACTGTTGCTCTGCCTTCGACCCTCTCGCGGATCGCAGAGCGTTTTTGCACGGCGTGTGCTGCTTCGACGTACTTTGCGTAAATCCAAGGGCACAAACCTCTGTGTCGAATTCCCCTCCAAACGGCCTAGTCGTCGACCCACAGGCTGATGGTTCGGAAGCTTTCGACACCTTCCTGGAGTTTGATGCTTGCATTGCGCTCATCGCCGTGATCGCATGTGAAGCAGGAGGTCGCTACTACTTGGGACAGCGAGCGAAAATGTTGGTGCGCGGTCTGATGCAGCATTTGGGTCGGTCCGATAACACGGAGTTGCAAGGTCTCGTCGCTTTGCAGCGCTTGTCCCTCTCGCAGCGGATGCAGGAAGCCATGATCGCGGAGAATCTGATGGCATGGATCTTAGGAGAATTCCGAGAGTTCATTTTGTCCTCCCTGGCTTTTGGTCCACCAGCAGGAGATCTCCTGAATCAGGTCTCCGCATCGGCGCCAGGGTCCAGTGGTAGTGCTGGTAGCATGAATAACGCGGGGCCCTTGCAGCACCAAAACTTCGTTGGTGGCATGGGAGTGTCGTCAACATCATCGCTGCAATGCGGGCCGCCTGGTGTTTCTTTGTCAACAGAGTTTACACCAGGTCAACTAGTGACGACGTCAGCGGGTGGCGGAACCACGACAACGCAGACCACCGCAGGCCTAGACCCCGATGTCCTGCACAACGCGTTTCAGCAGGTCGGTCGCTTTGTCAGAGACACAGCAGAGCAGCAGTACTACAGCCCTCCAGGGACGATGACCATAGCAGGAACGGGGGCTCCAGGTAACTCTACAGATGGCAACATCAATTACAACATGGGGGTTGTTGGCGGTTCCTCGGCGTCCTCATTTTCGGGCGGCGGATTTGCGGCGCAGCCTCCTGGTGTCGGTGGCTTGGTCGACGGTGGAAACGGTCCTCTTGGCGACGCTGGCATACCATCGCGCACCAGCAGCCAAGAGAACAGTTTTGACGCCGCAGGCAAGATCAGCGAAATCACGCTTGAGTTCGGGTCTGCCTTGCTGATGAACCTAGCGTTGAGGAAAGAAGGGAAAACCAGGCTTGAGAAGGTCCCGGGAGTGGTGCCGGTCTTAGCGGCGCTCATGCTTTCACCTCACATAGAAGCCCAGGTGCGCACCTACGCCAACGGGACTCTTTACTCCCTTTTAGGCCGGTCTTTCTTTCGGCAGCAAGCCGAGGCAATCGGTTTCCGGCAGATTTTGCAGTCCTTGCTGGATGAAAGCCGCAAGGCAGGTGTGAACATGAACAATGGCAGCACACCGTCAGGCTCGTCTTCTGCTGGAATGTCTAGTAACGGAGCCCCACAACAGCAAGAATTGAATGCGTTTGGAAGGCAGATAGAGTGTCTCCTTGAGCAATTTTCAAAAACCCCGGATGCCGCGCAACTAGAAGAAGAGGAAGAGGAAATTGACGAGGGCGATGAGGAATGCTTTCTCGCGGAAGAGGAGCTTTCGGCATGGGTCATTCCACCAAATAGTTAAGGCTCAGCAGGTTGTGAAAATTCGGGTTCAGAATACTCCATGTATCATCATGTCTAGATACTTCATCTTCATCAACATCACTTTCATTTTATCCGGCACTCAAGAATACGAAAATCAATTGATATCAACATGTTGAACAGCAGGCCTAGAACTAGACGTCTCTAAATCAGCAAAGCGTCACTTCTGTCGGAGCAATTTACTCTGAGTGCCGACTCTGCGACGTACCAAGATGGTCAAAGGGCGTTCGCTGCATTTTTGGAGAACATGCAGCGAACCATTCGCGATGCGCGAGAAAGCGCCCAGGCACGAAGAAGGCACCTGTTGGGCAACGAGGGTCCAGGAATCAACCCTGGTGGCATAAGCATCACTATCGGTGGAATGTCCTCAAGTACAGCTCCAGGAGGAGCTGGCTCTCAACATATGATGGCCCCTGGATCGGGTGGCGGACATCCAGGATCTTCCGGGGGCAATGGTGCTGTGGTGTATAGCTACCATGGGGGATCTACTCATTCCTATCATCCCGGAGCGTCACCAACTCGAACCAATTCGCATGGCGGGGGTGGCGGATCAGCAGGAGGCTTCCTAAACGGTTCACTCTTAGTGGGTGGTAGTAGCGCGACCTCATCACATTCCGCCTACAACCTGGGTGGTCAACATCTTCACGGGGGCTCAAGTGGTAATGGTGGTGTAGCCTCGTCATCTTCGAATAGTGGGGGTAGCAATGATTTTCCACCTGCGTTTCAGCATCCGCCTGGTGTTGGCGATCTTCCCTCGTCATCGAGTATCCACGGGGGACCTAGTACGCTTCCACCAGGCCAAGATCCGCAGCAATTTGTCTTGGCGCAACACCAGCATCATCCGGGACATCACAGCAGCAGCTCATCGTCCGGCAACCCGGAGCAAGGTGGTGTGGTCACTTCTGCTCGCACGAGTCACGGAGGTGCGCCCTCTTCCCTGCAAGTCATCATGAACACGTCGGCTAGAAACCAGAGTGCGTTCGGATCGCAAGCAAAAACCGTAATCCAAGGAAGCACCCTGATTGCAAACTCAACCGGACTTCTTGTGAACTCTATGCGGACGCGTAACAGCAATCAAGGTGGCGTGTCCGCGACGGGTGGAGCCGCGCCACTAACAGGCCTCTTTAGCCCACCGGCCAGTACACCGGAACCACCCTCCGCGGGTGCCGGGAAGAAGAAAAGCTACGGTTCTGGTTCTACATATTTGTATTTGATTTGTGAGTGTGAGCCCAGCAGAGCTCATTGTGACAAGAGCTCGTTGAGATAACGACCCTAACAAGACAGTCTCACTAGAAACATGAAAGCAAATATCAAGCTTTTGTTCAGACAGGTAAAGGACACTATCTCTATCACTATTCGTATTTTTCACAGGTGTCGGCGCATCCTCTGCGAAGGAGCAGAGCGGGTTGAGCGCCAAGTCTAAGCAGAAAGGGGGTCCTGCAAAACAATCACTGTCTTCCAGAAAAGACCAACCTGCGCCGAAGGAACGGTCGAAGCCGAGGAGTAGCTTCTTCGGCATCGGGCGGTGAGAAGTTTTTGGTGGCTCCTGAAACTGGAAATTACACACGCCATGCTCATGCGGCTCGTAAAAATCGTGTTAGAAAACTATTCATCTTCCTTCGTAAAATCATTGGTTTCCATGGTGCATGCGTCATTTAAAAGGCTTGGCGAATTCTTCATTATTCGCCGTCAGTAAATATTCGCAATTACAACTTCTTTTTCTAAACCTATTTCGAGTCCTAATCGGAAACAGAAAACCTAGTAGAGCATAACTACTTCCAACAGTCTACCTCGATTTCTACCTGAGTACTTGATCAACAGAATGAATCACAGAACTGCAAGCAATCCCAAGGCCAATGATTTCCTAGCACCTTGCGCCTTAGTTAGTCACGCCACTCAGAGGACTCTAGTTCTTTTCCTCATTCAAGAACTCTTTTTTGTGTTCCGCACATGACATGACGTAAGTTAGTAAACCATTTCCGCCAGGCCAGGCTCACGTAAAGACAATGTCAGCACGACCTTCGGAATCTCATAGCTTTAGCGCAACTTCCTAACCACAGTGATAACTTCTTACCACCACGTTCTTGCAGTCTTATTATTTGTTGTTATGACTAGAACTAGAAGTTCGTAGTAGAGATACTCGTGGAGCCTTATCGCATGATTAGAGCTCTTTGGGTGCTACTAGAAATGTGTACGACAGCAGTCCTTTTAACTCTTATCGTTTTTCCAACTTCAAGTCAAACAAAACATAGAGAATAAATGGGAAGAAAGTAGAGGCCGGAACTTCACACCCAAATAATTACCACATGCACATCTAATGAAGAAGAGAACCTCAAACTCAAATATTCTGATTGCGAATGCGATGGCGATCCCCCAGCACAGACTATAACTGACCACGGTGCACTAGGCTAAAGCAAAGGAAAGTCCGTCTTCCGTTCAGTTCATAAGATCCCATTCTCAAAATGTTCGGGTCGTGTCGATCAGAACAAGCCGAATGCACAAGTGGCGCAGCGGCTCATGTTCTTGTGCTTTGATTGTTCCCTATCCCTAGCAGAAGTATCTGCCTGTTCATCTCCGGAATTACAATTTGCTTCCAGATGAAAAAATCGATATCGAAATTTTCTGTATCACGAGCTCCAGTACATGAACCAACGAACATCAGAGCCAAACTTTTCAGAAAGGAATAAATCGAAATGAAAATCTGTACTTCTGTTAGAAATGATTCGCAGATTAGATTTCAAGAGGCAACTCAATTTCTCACAAAAGGAACAGAGCGTGAAATCTTCTATGTTCTCACGTGGTCCACTATACTGTCTGCTCCTCATCTCAACCAAGAACTCCTAATGTCTGATCCGCGATTGAAAATGACCATGCACAACACAACGCATAGATATTGATGAAGAGAACTGCTCCATGTCATTTTTCTGTGTGGCAACGCCAACGGGAAGCCACGATGTCTTGCGTGACTAATACATCAAGCAATTGTTAACTATTCATCAAAGTTAGCTATCTACTAGAGGATGATGAAGATGATCATGGAACTTGAAGATACTTAGCTCTATCAACATTTTCTGCCTATGTATTGCAACAGATGAGGATGCTTGAGGGAGTTATTATCGACGATCGTTGTGCCTTATGTCAGAGTCAGCCTTTTGTCAGTGACTTACTCTTACTGAACTAAGATGACCAACAGTAGTTACGCTTACGTGTAAAAATATTAGTTCCACTAGCGCAAGCCTTTGTCTATCCCCTATGGCATTACCAACTCCAGCTTTCTCCTGAAGATTGAAGATATGAACAGGATGTTGTGGGAGATAAGTAATGATGTCGTTGCAGATAGTCTCTTGCGTGACGAGTACTAGCTGATGTACGTGAGAGTCAATTACTTGATGCCTTTTTTTTTCATCTTCTCGAACATTGAAATTTGTTAAGACAACGTCACGTACAACTGGTAGACAAGGATGGTGTCACTCCCGGGCCCTGAGATCGCGCGGGCCTACACTGTGCTGGGGGTACAGCGCGATGCGAGTCCGAACACGGTGCGGCGATACTACCATAAGAGGTGTCTGGCGCTTCACCCAGACAAAGCTCCCAAAGACGATGCTTCGCAGAATGAAGCAAAGCAACGCTTTCAGGAATTGCAGGAGAGCTACAACAAAATCAGTACTGAGCTCACCAATGCCAAGTTACGTGGGGCGGCAACGGGCGCTGCACCGGGTGGAGCATCAGCAGCAGGACCACGCTTCAACTCGTATAACTTCGGTGCACCAGGGTCATTCGCTCACAGCGCAGCGGCGTTTCACCAACAGGCGGGGTATGGCCCAAGTGCATCCACAGCCAGCGCAGGGGCAAGTGGCCCTTACGGGTTTAACCAGTACCACCAGCCCAATGCGAATGTTCCACCCCCTTCCTCTGCGTACATGAACCCTGATTATCGCGACCCTTTCGCGAACACAAGTTGGACAGCTGGCGCATCAAATACTAACGACACACGACAACCAGCTGGATCAACTTCCTACTCTTCAAGGTCGACCTCTGCTTCCACCAACAACAACTTGGACGAAAGCGATGCAAAGCTCGGCCCAATGGGCGCAAGAGGCCTTGGCCGGTATTCTATCTACAAAAACAAATTGGTGTGAAGTCATAATCATTCAATCGGAGTTGCACTTCAAAGAGGGGCGTCAGCTACGACCCAGGAACAAAAACATATCATTCCTCTAGGTTTGCTACCTTTGCATGAGCAAGTACGTGGTCGTATTTCGCGTATTGACAAAGTTTCGACGTCTATTTCTGTCTAGTAGTCCTTTCTTGATAATCTCTAGCTTGACATGAGCATGATTCTACCTATTCCTCAGGTGGGGCCAGACAAAAGCAGCCTCATCCAGCACAAACGGGGCTGCCTCATCTTCCTCGAGACCAAATCACCCGCAAGCAGCTTCTACTTCATCTTCCTCGTCAACCTCCTACCCCCAGCGACAACAACAGACTACCCACCAACAAGCGGAGAGGACGCCTGCCGCTACCGACCGGACGAACGGAACTGGGATCCCTAGTTTTCAATATCGCGATACTAGCAATTTGCGCGAAGAGTTCATCAGGCCTGGGCCGCGCAACGAAGCAGAGGAAAACGACCAACTCGAGGAAGATCACCGTCGTTACCAGCAACAACTAAATCGCAGGGACCGTGAACTGGCGAAAATGAAGGAGAGGGAAAAAATGCGGAAGGACAAGGAAAAAATCCGGAAGGATATGCGAGCACGGGATATGATAGTACGCCTTGTGCGTTCACGGGCAGCTTTGAATGGCGCGAAGTTTGCTTATGACCAAAGAACCGAATTTGAGTTTTCCAGCCTCAATTGGGCCGTGTCAGTAGTTGTTGATAAACAACCTGAACCTTCATGTTTAGTACTTTCAGTTCGGCACCACAACTTTCCATCCTATTGTATGTGGCCACTTTTCGATTCCTGGAATACAATACTGTCGGACCTTGTCACTTTGCTGGTCAAAAATCGCTTCAATGTTCCGGCAGTAGCATTGGAAGGAACCCGAGAAGTGGGATCCCATTTTTTGCGGATTCTACTCGTGTTGCGGTGTTTCCAATTTTTTGCTTTTGTCGGCTCAGGTCTTTCCTGATGCTGAGCACGAAAGAGCCTAGCTGCTCGGGGCGTAATAATTGTTACGCCCCGCTGGTCTGTGATTTTTTAGTGCAGCAAATTTGTCGGCGTGTAATAATTATTACGCCCTGCAGTTATAGGAATCCTGGCAACGATTCCGACAGTAGCAAACCGACAGAATTGAAAAGTGGCCACATACACCTATTTTTCAACTCAAGAACACTCAATTGAACTAGAAATAAGTTTGCACGTCTCATCCAAGAAGGAGTGATGTCATCAACATACTCAGGATCATTAATAGCTCTTGCTTCCTTGTTACTTGAACTTCTGGCTTTGCTTCCCTCCTACTTCTTTGGGTTTCTTAACTGTGGTCGACCGTTTGTATTTCGGAACTATTCCACGTCCACCCTTGCCATGCCGAAGCCTATCCATCTTCCCTGTTCCACTTTCATAGTCTGCTGATTCCGACGGATTTTTCGCAGTCAGATGCTATGGTGATTCCTCCGGAGACGAAAAATGCGCACAAACCGCAATACACCAGGCAACTCGCAAGGAACAATATGCGTGTGTCCAACGTGCATTTCTTTGCGACTCCAAGCAAAAACGACGAGTCAAAGCTCCTCATCGAAGACAGGTCATCGAACGGTACCATGATAAACGGCACACGGATTCCCGGAAGGAGCATGAAAATGGGAAAGGCTGAGCATGGCGACACGGTCACCGTCGGTAAAAATCTTCATTCTTGCACATTGTTGGAGGTGTTATTTTTAAGAGTAAGTAGCTCTAGTAGACGAGCAAAGAATTATAGTAGATTAGGATTGGCGAACCTGTTGAATATGAATCATAGACCCTTGATTCTTAATTGGGTTGTTGTGAGGTTGAACGTTCATTACGCATCTGCTGGGTCAAGCCTTCCTTCGACCTGTTGGCACACGGAACAACACAATTTCAGGTGCCGCCAAGCCAAACATCGATCTGGTCGTGGATTACGATCCCCATGGAAAGAAATTTGACACGGCTGACGCGATGACTCTTTTCACTGGATTGGAGAAGATGGAGATCACTCGTGAATTCCTAGCACGATCAGGGTTGGCGCGCGAGATACGCATGTGGCTACATTGCCCCCCGATAACAAAGGGTAAGTTTCCAGAGGTCCAGCGAAGAGCGGACCACATATTCAAAACCTGGCGAGAAAAGTGTGCTGGAACCGCGTCCTCGTCAAGAGCTCCCGCACCCGCAAAAGAAAATGAGGTCGTCAACGTCGAGGACAGTGAGGACGAAGATGAATAAAAGTCCCGGATTTTCGATGCAGCAGCAATTGAATGTTGTTGAAGACAGATTCACGACGTTCTCAACGAAGTGCGGACTGGGAGGCTCTTTTTTTAGAGCGGAGCTTAGGCAGTAAAAAGAAGTTGATCCTTGTTGCAAGAAAGAACTGCTCTAGCGCTCCCCTTACAGTGAACCGCTGGCGTACTTTTCATCATGATCTACCTCGAGGACGCTGGAAGGTACACCACGGCGACGGAGCTTGAGGTTGATGACATAGATTTAGATATTGATAGTGCCCCTTACTTTATCAGTAATCCTGAAAATAATAGTTTGCAGTTCTTTCCGCCCGCTTCTGCTTAGCCATTTTTGACGATTTTCCTCCTCCTTGCAAGTGCAGCGCAGTATGACCACACGCATAAATACTGTCCCAAAAGAAGAAGGCCACTTCCCCTACAGCAAGCCCCAGCTCGAAGCGATCGATCCACCACTCCGGGGCTAGTACTACTGCAAAAGCATTGCTGGTCTTCTCGTTCTCGACCAAAAAAGCGCCGTTTGCAACAGTTGATAGATTGACAACAGAACTCTGTAGGATGCTAAGTTATCAATAGATGCAAGAAAAAGATCAATGGCCTTCATCAATGAGCATTACAAAAGACGCCGTGGTCATTTAGAAACAGTACTGGGACCGCTTCATTTATTTGTTCATATCCTGCAGTCACACAGCTTGTGGCGGTGAAAGTGAAACGTAAGTAACTAAGCTGGTACTGCGTGAGGGAGTCCGTTAAGGTGAGACTTCGTTGGTGAAGCAATCAGGTATCGGAGATTTTTCTGTGGCCGATGAAAACTATGAGTATGTGTATGATCCGAGTTGAACAGTAATTGTGCAGGACCGTGGTCTGTTTTTCTGAGTGGTGAAGGCTATTGCCACAAGGAAGCAAGCTTGAGTGTGGAGATCCACATGAGTCGGGTGAGGAAATGAGTGTAGTGAGTGATTCAGATTATGAACACTGAGTCGCAAATTACAAGGTCGGTACGATCTGTGTGTCTGTCTCTGTCTATTTGTCCGTCTCCGTGCTGTCTAGTGAAAAAGCGGCAGAGGCACGACGAAATCTTCGATGAAGAAACGTGCAGGCATATGCCAGTGCATAATTTTAGGTATGCCTGCAACAACAAAAAATCTTGTATAATTCCCTGTTCCAGCCGAAGGAGCCCCACGAATAATCAAAAATAGCTACGACAACGTCAACGGCAAGGTGTATTGAAACAAATGAAACAAGACCTATCCTTATGGTTTCTATTTGACGCTCTAAAATGAACGGAGCAGAAGTATGCGGAGCGGTAGCTGTTAGATAAATTGGAAGAGAAAAAAATCATCGAACGAGGGACCAATAGAATCTCGTTTGGTTTTGCGGTTTCGGTCATTTATTTTCATATATACTTGTGAGTTTAGGGGCTTCCTGCTCTCCTAAAGTTTGCTTGCAATATGAAGATGACCCAGAAGCGATTGCTGTAGCAGTGAATTCGCAGAACACCTCTAGAAAGAGCAGCACCTTAGGGGGACATCTCGATTTTGTTCAAGAACAAACATCTCTCAGGTGGTCTCTATCGGAAGAAGGCTCTTGTTCTTGAGACAAGGAGCCTTTTATTCCCAGAATTTGGCTTACTGATGCTGCATGAGAATCGACATAAAGAACATTCATTCCCTTTGTAGTCTTGCTCTTCCGAGACTTCATCTTCGAGGAAATTAGTAGCCATGTTGATCTTGAGCGGAGGTGATCCAACGGAGTTCCGCGGCGAGGCCAAGAAAAAATACGAAACATGCTTTTGCTGCATACCGATATCAGCAGGAGTTGCTGCTCTGTCAGCAGCATTGTTCGCCTACGGGATGGGGACTATTTGTCTGAACATGATTACATGGTACAGAACAGAAGCGACGCTGGATAAAGAACCAAGCACCCTTACGGCACATCTGGCGCCAGCACCGGTTAGCTGTATTGGGATGCGCGGCTCGAGTTACACGCTGCGGCGATTCGTGGATGTAAATTGCTAATGTTCTACTTGCTCAACGTCAAAAACGTTCTTCATTGCTTCGATCATCTCCCGTCTCTCATACTCAAGGCTCACCTCATTCTTGTATGACTTGTATATAATTTAGTACTTGAATTATAATCTTCGGTAATGGTAAAGGTGAAGGTCATGGTAAATTACTTCAGCGATTACACCGAGATGAAAACGAGGAGAAACGTCAATACCTCTTTGTTCTCCCACTGAAGGTATCTGCGGCGACGTTTATAGGTTTAATCGGAATCCTCGCGATATTGGATAACTCCGGAAAGAAATTAGTCTTCCTTCGCAAAGGCCTACTTTTGCTTATCAATGTTCACCTCTTCGTGTTTGCGTGGGACTTCATCTACATCATGGTACTTGTCCTACTAGCTTGTTCGTGATTCGTTCCAGACCCTCCTCCAATTGCAATTCTACCCTTTCGATTTATCCGCTGAGTCTGACTTCTCTAGCATTTAGTATCCATGAACGGTTATGGAATTTGGTAACCTGATTTCGATCACAAGGCCTAGGAAGACGAGAATCTCGGTGATCAAAATCCGGGACCAGTCGGCTCATCTATTTCAACCGATGTTGAGTGATGTCTTTTACTCGCACGCGCTCCTCCATCTCATCAACAGATATGTCCAGAGTATCCGCTGAACGTTGTCCGAGCAATGCTGGTTGACGGTTTCCTTATCGGAAGCAGAAAACAAAGCGAACTAATGAAGTGGATCCGATATCCGCAAGGCGACGTCAACGATCTGGCGGATGTATTTCAGCTTCCTTTGGTCTTGATGTTAATACTTAGGTATGTCGATGTCCTATTAGTACTACATACTAGGTGAAGCAAAAAGAGGTTGATGTAGACATTGTCATCGTCGTAGACGGTCATGCCTCAGGCTCAGACTGGTTGAACCCGAAGGAGAAGGCCGAAGGCTCGCATCGAGCGCAAGAAAGACTGATCAGCAGGATCTTCGTATTCCTCTTTCCCCTATTTCCCTCAGACCAACGTTTTCGGATGGTATTTCCTCCAGTTATCGGCTTTCTGCCTATTTCTATATTACATTGCTGTCCGGCTCGTGAATTACGTCGAAGAGAAATGTCGAGGCCCATTGGGTTTAGGGGAGTTCTACGGACTCCGATCGACGCATGCAAGTGGTGACGATGCAACGAACTTATTTGGTCTAGAGGAAAGGCACCCATTAACAAAACCCGTAGACTTTTGGTCAGAGTATGGCTTTGATGTAGGCGGGAAATTTTATGTGAAAAGCGACACAAACGAATTTGCTTCTGCTGCATAGTGCTTTGAAACGTTGTATTTAGAATAGAACATAATTCACTTTCACGACCATGATTTCGAAAAAGAAACCTACTCCTATTAAGGTAAGCATCGTATTTGTCATGGAGCCTGCTGTGAATGCTTAGCTGCTACGGCTCGCAACTTCTAGGAAATTATCGAGCAGTTTTCTTCCTCTATCGCTATCCGTCAGTCACCGAACCCGAATTCGTCACGTGGTTATGAGATAGTTGCTACGTTAAAACTTGAGTCGGTTTTCGATCACCAGGCAAGAACTTGGATCTTCCACTCGCGCTTACAAGAACTCCACTCATCTGTGTTTGTAAGCATCGGTAAAAAAACCATTGATCACCTCTTATTGGACTGGTTTTAATAGCAGCAACGCAAGGCACATGGACATATTTATACTTTTCGGTCATGATATCGATATGGCTACGTCAAAATCGATCCTTCATCTGTCACTACACAGAAAGAGTAGTAGGTCGTGAATCTGTGTGGAGTGTCGGTACTCTTACATTCGGCGTCGAGTTGGTGTAGAAGACATTTATCATATTCATTGTATTACCGCGTAGGATGAGCAACAAAGTCCGTTTCAATTTCTAACTAATTACAAAGACCCAATTCTCTCTTGCTGTTGTACAAGCAATAAAACTACTGTGTAGGTCAGAGTAAGTACAAACAACATGAGCATCAGCTTGAGAAAATAATAGGAACAATCCTTCTACAGCACAACTCGCTGAGCGTTCTACTTTACGACACTGTCAAGACCAAGAGATAGGGAAAGCAACCCACGCCATGCCCACCAAGAACAACAACACGTCGTCGTCTGGTGCGCCGCGTGCGCCCTCCGCGGACTTGCGTGCTCCCTCGACAGATTCCCTGTTCCGCATTCCGCATAGTAAAAATTCCAAGTGTACGGATGCGCTAGAGAGTGTTGCCGAGGCAAATATCGGGATGAGCGGTCGTGAGGGCGATGCGTCACAACAAATAGAACGAGCTGCAACCAGTGAGGATGGAAGCGCCAGCCCTAGTAGTCTGCCTGTGGTAGGTGGCGGTATTCTTCGTGCTGCTCCGACTGTCACTATTACCTCCAGGAGGCCGAGTGGTGTTGTCGTGGAACATCATACGCTAGCAGACGATGACGACGACGAAAATGTGGAAGTGATCATGGACGATACGACGACCGACGCCTTGTCGCATCATGCGCGTGGTCCTCGTCAAGTGTCTAGAGCACAACAGCATGCAGCAGGACGATCAAATGAGGATGTCGTGTCGTCGACAGATGATAGTTCAGAGGCTGACTCAGACGAAGACGCAAGTGCACTCTTATACGGCGAGGAGAGCGACGTGCTATGGCGAAATCCGGAAATTGCGCAGACCCCGGTTCTTCTTGGTGCGTCTACACCAGACGAGGTCTTTGAGCAGCAAATCGCTGGTCACAATATGGCTGCGACACCACAGGAGGTCTTGGGAGTAGCAACGCGAAAACACAGCAGAATGTGGGATTGTTCAGCTGAAAAAGGCGCTTCAAATCTGCTATTAAGGAAATATCAAAAGAGAAACTTAGACCACTACTCAGTACAGGTACACTAAGTACCCATTTTTTAGTTGGGGTCGTAGCTGTATCTTCTTTAAGGAAGACCATGTTTTTCATCGATCTATATGAATATGATGTAGTTCAGAAGGAACAGTAGAGGACCACCCACCTGCTGAGGGTGACTTCTAAAAATAGTGCATGAGAGTGGCAATATCCGTGGTCATGGAGGCATCAGGAGAAAGAGCACCGTGGATGAGATTTCACACCTCGAGCGATCCATACGGTCAATTGGAGGCTCTCCAGCGGCATCTGTGACAACTCTCTATTCCATGACTGGCGGCGGCGGTCCAGGCGGAGGTAAAATACTACAACACCTTTGTCCTTGTTTGAATTCGATTTTCATTTTGCTTCTCGTTAGTTCAGCTTACTAGGTATCGTAAGCGTAACTCCTCCAAATGCTAATCTTTGTTTTTGTGCGTGACCTGAAGAGCATATTAGCACTTTCGCCAGAAGATAGAAGAAACGTTCCCTTCCCTTCTTGCGACTGATGCTATTGTACAGTTGCAGCGAAATTCGATTTTTCTCTTCAGGTGGCGGCAAACAAAGCAAAGGAAGCACCCGTTTTTCGGGAGCAGAAGAACAGGACAGTACTCGCGCGGCCTCAAAGGTCTCGTCTGCCAGTTCGTCGTCGTGCATGGGCGTGAATGATAGTGCACGTGTTAGGGATCCTCCAGGCAATGGACAAGTATCCTTGGGTCGAGCTGCCCCCGCTGTGTATCAGTTCCAACATCGAAATCTTTTGGAAGGAGTGTCTTCAAGCTCCGGCAGAGGGCGAGGTGAACCGCACGCAAACAGAGGAGATGATGCGAGTCTTCCTCATCGAAAGGGAGAAATGGCTACCTCGTCTTTGCATCCACCTAACCTGTACCACGATGCACGGAATAGCCACGAGTTGATCATGATGAGAATGAATGCCACTTCTACTCCTTCTGCGATGATTCGCGGAACGAATAACTCTACGACAGCTCTGAAAAACCATCTTCCTGGAGCTGTACCATCAGCAAATGCAAGTAACTACCTGGGATTCAACAATACCACCATACAACGTGGGGGTGCGAAGAACCGATCAGCCTCGTACGACTCATCTGTATGCACGAATACGCTGAATCCCATGCTTGGTCGAGCTAATCTCGCAGGTGGCGGTCCGCACCGTGCGACGCAACGCACAACATTCGCTCCTCAAACGCGCACGAGGGATCTATCAGCAAGATCCCGAGCGGTACACCAGACTGCATATGGAGATGCTGCCACTGCAAATAATGCTGATCCTCATTCTCATTCGCGAGGCCCTCGCGCAACTTCAAAAGACCCACAGCCAGGCAGAGGCGTGCACATAGGCGGCGCAGTGGAATATCATCCGACAAGGTAACTCTCCCTATCACTGATCTCGTCCACTGCTTTCATCTCTGTTCTTGACGCTAGTTTTTTTTTTGGATCCCGGGGCTACTGAAGGAGCGGCCCCAGCTTTATCCGGTTCGCAAACCGGCGGCGGGTGGAGTCCGGTTACCTCCTTATAATAATGTGCACTAATTGCCTACGAACCCGCCGACTCTAAAACGATGAACCCTAGGGGTGAAGGAGGTGGGTTAAGAGTCTTATACAAACCTCCACCGGCTGCCAACCGTCCCACTCTTATACGCCTACCTTCAAGGCACGAGCGCAGGGGATGCCGACCCTGCTAACTCTTGACTAGTGCGCAATCAACTGACAAGTGAACAACTAGAAATAGATGCCTACTGGCGTAAGGCCCTAAGTACAAAACGTTTTGCATTGTTGGGGGGGCACTAACCTAGTTTCTCTTATCTTCACTGCCTCGCGCTCCCTCCTTTCGCGGCGTGCACCATCCTCAACCGGATCCCGCTTCCGCAATCGCCATAAAATACCCAAAAAGAAAAACAGAAACCGGAGAGGTTACTCCTACCAAAGGGGCTACCTTATGCCTGCTAGCCACTTCTCTGCTAAGAGCGGGCGGGAGATATAAGGATCGGCGAGGGAGAGCGATGGGGCGCTCTCCCCCTTTTCAATCAAGCTGCGCGTAAGATCTGGAATCTTTCTATTCTTCCGTCCTCTTTCTTTTTGTCCGTAAACAAGTCCGCGCCTCTCGACTCATACATGACAGAAGTTGGGAACACTCTAGACCCCAATCAGTTTCCAAAAGGCGACTGGCGGGTCACCAAAATGCTTAAAAGTCACCCAGGTAGGTAGGTGGCACTTATGCACTTCGGTTTCACTCGACTCGCAACAGAACTATTTCCGGGATTCATCCACCGGCTTTCACCACAAAAATCCAAGAGCTATCCAAGTGCGACGGCCTCACGCTAGTGAGGATTATTCATCAAGTATGATACAACTCACTCTCATTTACGAACATCACACACTGAACCTGAAGTGGCATCTCAACACAGGCGCGTCCGGTCCGCGGAGCGATGGCTACGTCGTGTGTTATCGCAAGACGTTCCACGACTACCGCGTTGTCGGACCATCAAACCCGACGATAAAGAAGATGCAGGTGCGAAAAAGAAAGGAAACAAGGTTGCCCTATCGCCAACTACGAAACGGAAATATCAAGAAAATGGAACTGAGTACTGCTATTGTTTTCTTTCTATGATCCATGGAGAAAATATTGCGAGATTGTGCCTCCTCAACATCCACAAGTAGAGACAACGTTACAATAAACTCGAGGATTGGAATTCCGACTCTAACTGCATTTGTGTTTGCTGCGCCTGCGGACGGCGCAGCTGCAGTCGTCATTTCCTATTTTTACCTGGTGTACGTGTACGTCTACGTGTACCTGCATCAATTTTAATACTCAAGTTACTGACTCTGACTCAGCGAACAAGATGAACTATCTTCAAGTACAGCTAGTATGAAACCCAACAACTACAGGTTTTTTCGTCATGGTTCGCGGACTTCCCAGAAATCGACTGTCGACGATGGGAGGTCGTCAGACAGTGACGATTCGTCTTCCTCGGATTCTGCAAGTTCCTCAGAGACCGATGCAAGCAGTGAATGGTCGAGCTCCGACGCACAACAGGAGACAAAGAAGGACCGTCGATTGCGCGAAAGTAAGGAGTCGTCACGCGGTGCAAAGTACGAGGAAAAGCCATTTCGAGCATTCTGTTGTCCAAATAAGGAATGCTTCGAGACATTGCAGAATTTTCTACAAGGAAGTTTTGCATTCTCCCAGCCACCTAGGGCACAAGGCGCAAGTAAAGCAGGAGGACGGCGAGGTGGGAACCGCTGAACAGGAAGAGGGTGGAAAGATAGCCTTTTCCTGCTTCGAATTCAATCATTATCATAATCATGCCATGCTAAATATTATAATTATTCTCAGTGCACCACTGAGACTGAGTAAAGTCTATCAGATTGCTGCATACCTATCCCTAACCGCATCAATATCAAGCATTTGCATTAGGATTAGTTGCCACACAGCTCTCCATTAACATACTAAGAATAAGTGTAGATGTTTGACAAACAGGAGATTTCTTTATTCCCAGATCAACATGAAGCCCAGATTTATCCTAACAGAAAATAGTCCAGCAGGGGACGAGTCGCAGTAGCACCAGCATGATAAATGACCGGAGTCAAAAGTAAGTGAATCTAATCCGATTCGCAATTGCATTATATATATAATCGAGCTAAAAAGTAAAAACTTGCAACAGATCAAGAAGAAGAAAAACTACAAGTTAGTAGCAAGAGAGTTTATTTGAGACTGAGAAACACTGGGTGCGGGTGGCTCTAGAGATTGTCGCAGAATACTGCAGACCGAGGGGACCTCACCAAGATTTTTTCTGAGTAAGTCCATCTACGTAGTAGGAGACCCAGCACTAGAATGTTGCATTTATAGCGCACCTAGGATCTATGTGGTTTTTTGTCTTGAATTCGTGTGCATACAGTGACGAAGCGAATTAGAAAATAGCGAGACATGATCGAAATACACGTACCTCCGTAGAGGAAAATTTAAAGAAACTGAGGTGCTCCTTTCCCGTAAGCCTAAAATGCTCCTTTGTAAGCCGTAACGTGGAGGAAAGCGAAGCTATACCTACAGCCTGCTGTCGCTAGTGCATCTGATGGCTGTGCGTTTTCGAAGTTGTGCTGATCTTGCGGCAGTTTCTCTCTTTTCGCGATCTGATCAATTGGCACGACAACTGAGAATTTGCCTAAATTGAAAATGCATCCGAGCGAAGTCGTCCTCGTCATCTTCTTGTTACATGTGAAATTGAACTCGAAGAGCGACCTCCTTCATGGTTTTTGTCTTGTAAGGACCAAAATGGGAAGTTTTTTCTCAAGCATATTCTCCGCCGTTTTCGGTGGGCCTGATCAAACCAAGGGCTATTTCGTTGCCCCTGGCGCAGATGCGACATTTGATGGCGTAGGGGTGACACGTTGGAATGGGCGTGTAATCCTAGCAATGGGATGCTTTTGGTGTGGGGAGCACGACTTTGACGTCATTCAGTCCCGTGATTTGTTTCATCCGATCTTGTCTGGGTACATTGGCTCTGCCCACAATGCGCCTTATCCGAGTTACAGCAACTACGTGCGACTGGGCTACAAAGAAGCAGTGGAAGTGAAGTGGCATCAACTGGAGAACGAGAATGGTAAAGGTAATGCAGTGATGAAAAACAGCGCGATGGAACAAGAGGACAAAAGTGGGATTCCCTTCTCCGCGATTCTCTATCATTTCTGGACGCATGTTGACCCGCTGGACGCAGGCGGACAATTTTGTGATCGAGGCCAGGCTTATACCTCGGCTATCTACTGCAACACAACCGCTCAGTGTGATACTGCACGCGCAAGTAAGGAAGCAGTGGGAAGGGTGCTTTTTCCTCCTCCAACGTCTAGCTCATCGGGCGGTATGGGGTTGCTGTCAGAGAACACCAACAAGAATGGAAACTCGAGTAACGTGTCTGCCGACGCAGCGTCAATTGCTGCTGCGATATATGATGAAGCTGCAACGAGCCGCATCGCCACACCCGTGTATCCCTTATTCCATGAAGAGCATGCGGAGGCTTCATTTTCTCCTCGGCACCATGAAGGTGAAGAGAGATCGAAGCACGTTGATCTTCGTGATCACGAGTCTCAAGACGAAAAAGGGAACATGAACACAGCGAGCTCCAAGACAAGCATCGCAGCCGCAAAATCTAAGGACCAACTGGTCCAAAACTTTCGTTTCTATCCCGCAGAAGCGTATCATCAACAGTATTGGCTGAAAAAGCCAGGGCTCTACGCTTTCTATAGGAAACGGTGTGGCCGTGACGCAAGACTCCAGCAGCTTTGGACGCCTTTCAGAAAGGAACAACTGCGACGGGAGCTGGGCTTGAAACCAACAGATGTATTGATCAGTGCTCCAGAAGAAGCTGTGGTTAATCTTCTCAATGCTCAGAAGGCGGCTAAAGCTGGTGATGCAGCAGCTACAGTGGAGATAAACGAACTTCACCAGATTCTGTCGAGCAAAATATTAGACGAACCTGGTGACGACGAGGAACAGGAAGAGCATCAGCATCCCCCTCGTGAAGAGACACACGCAGCGCAGCTATACTCATCTGCTTCTTTGCTGCTGGTAATTGCTTGCGTGGTGTCGTCTTTGGGCATCGCGGCTGTGGCCTTTCTCTTTGGATGGACTTTACAGCAGGAAACCACGTGCGGCTGCGGAAAAGAGAAGGATGGGTGCTACTTCGAAATTATCGACAACGAAGACACACAGAGGACTCAGCAAAATCCATGAGCTAGAAGCGGTGCAGATCTTCTTTAATGAAAAAGATGTTGCAGCTGGCTGCATCGGAGATTGATATAGATATTGCTTCTGCCGTCGCCTTCTACTACATACTTATTCTTATAATATATATTCCATTTTTTCATCTAGTTCTTCATAACGCAAAATAATTGTTTCGACTAGCCTCGCTACCAAGATGTCTCTTGTTGGATACGCGTAAGACGCCTGGTTGAGGCTGTACAGAAAAGGGATTAGCAAGATTTCAAGCCGTGCTTGCCGCTACAGCGAGTGTACTCGACTGAAAGTCCCGGCTGCATTGCGCCACGATCCATATGGCTAACGTGAACCCGTCAATGCCCCAAAAACAAAGAACGGCTGCACAAGGAAGTACGTAACTTTTTTTCATCCACAATTTGAAATTACCCGAAGATTTTCGTGTGCACTAACTACACTGCAAATTGGGCTCCTAAGTAAAGCGTAGACGCATTCAAAAAATCGTGCGATTGAAACAGCAACCATTAAAAACACACGACTTCTAGTACTAGTTGAACTAGAAGTCACTCATGAATATGAAATATTAGGACAAGATGTCGGAAAGGGAAAGTATTTCTAGTGTCCTATCTTCGTGTTAAAGGGTACATCATCATCAATTCATCCTCCGCAAAGACAAAGGAAAGCGCGAAAGAAAACAACAAAAAGACATGTCGACATCAGCGCGCCTTCGGAGCATCGTCTACAGGACGCGGAGTCGAGAGCAGGATGCCGCACCGCCGTTTCCGGATCCTGTGTCGTCAGCAGATTACGGAGCAGAGTCGGCGTTTCCCGATCCCACACAAAATGCCACAACCGCGCGTGTTCTGACGGTAAAAAGCGAGACGCAGAGGCTTATAGAGAAACAGGCAGCAGCGTTGAAGAAAACGCATGTCGCCAGTGCTGAAGCAAACGCGCTTCATCTGCATTCCACAAGACGAGGCGGACCTGCCATATTGCAGGGAGAGGGTATCATGAGCACTACACAAGGACCTGGAGAAGCAGAAGGACGGCAGAATTCTAAACCTGGTGGTCAGAAAGTTGAGAATGTTTCAACTTTTTCCACTTCTTTGGAAGGTCGAGGTGAAAGGACGTCGCAAAGAAATAGTTTTTGCTCAACCGCAGCTGTAGGCTGCTCGTCGTTCAGCGTGGATGAAGCTAGCTCCTACTTGCCGAGCTCTTCTGCTACAACAAGTGCATCATCTTCGCGAATACCCAGTAAAGAATGCTATGTCCTTGGCAGAAACCAAGAGCGGAAAACGTGCTCTGACGCCGATATTGAACTCGAAAGGTGGATCACAGAAGATAATGGAGACGACGCTACAGGACATCATGATCATCTCGAAACCGACGACTTGTTTTTGGAAAGCGTGAGGGCGCGATCAGCTCGCAAACTGCGCGACAGCTTGCGAAAAATGCCATCACCTGGGGATTTGCTTCGACCAGAAAGCAATTACAGCACAAAATCCGTGAGATTGAGAACGACGTCAACACCTTCCTCATCACGACCCGCATCGGGTCACTTTGTTCCCGGTGGTAGCCAGAGTGGTGGTGATCACCGTCATGTGGGAGAGACACTAGGAGGAGGCGAAACAAACAGGACCTTACTCAGCCCTTTCTTCAATAATGAGAGGACAATGATGCAGTCGGTGAAAAACCGAAGACAGAGTTCGTCCAGCGTTCCGGGTTTAGAAGAGATGAAGAGGCCGCCAACACTTTTGAGTAGTGCATCTCCAGAACCACAAACAATTAGCAGCATACCCACGTCCACGTTTTTCCTAAGAGCAGGACCAGGAGGTACAACAGAAGAGAAAGACCTCTTCAAAAACGGCGTCTCATCAACAACTCCTGGATCCAAACCACGCAGCAAATCAATGTCAACGACCGACGGAGTGGCTTTTCTGACTGGTGCTCAACACCAACTAGATCCACATGCGTCTAGCGCGACCGCTTCTCAAAAGCCGAATAGTGATGGTCAGCAGAAGCACCATGTGACATCAAGTACTAATGCTAGTCGGAAGAACAGCACGTCTTCTGGCTCATCAGATGCAAACTTGGGAGGCAAGCTTTTCGAAACTGGAGCCGCCATTCTTCGTCGGCTGCAGAACGATCAAACAGCGGTGGCGCTGGAGGCTCAGACAGAGAGACTACAGAGTGCTCTTGCTTGCAGCGAGGAAGAAGCTTATCAACTGCGCCAAGAGGCGGCGGCATCGCGACGGGCTCAGACTACACAAATCGCTGAATTCGCAGAGGAGCGTGAGCGTATGCAAGCAAAATATCAAGTCGAGATCGAAACACTTCGCGCTCAGACAGATGCAGCAAACCTCTTGCATGAGAGTAAGATCCCGTCACGATGATCATGATGATGACGATGATGATTTTTCTTGGTAGATTTGGAGTAATTCTTTGTCTTCCAAGAACCAATAGAACTCAAGAACTGCTAGAATCTCAGCACCAGGCAGGCTGTTCATTCTCATGTGGAAGAACCGTGCTTAGTCGAAATTGTCTACTGCAAAAAGTTAACTTCGTACCAAATTCTCACAACACCAGAGGATGTGCGTCAGTTGCGACTACTTGTCGCGGACGCTGAACGTCGAAAAGCCGAGATTGAGTCCAATCTAAGAACGCAACAAGCGCGTTTCCAGTCTGAGCTGGCCGACGTTCAGCAAAAGCTGAAGAGTGCGGAACAACAGCAAGCCACTCAGAGCCAGCAAGGGTCGGACTCAGGCGGTGCGTTGAAGACTCGATGCACCCTAAATGAACAGGGGATAGACGTGGAAAAACGTATAGCTAACGCTGGAGACGTTGCGCTACTGCGCGAGGAGTTAGCCGTGGCGCAGGCAGAGAGTGTTCGTCTACGCTGTGCTTTGGATGAGCAGGCAAGTGCAGAAAGTGTGGAAATCAAGGCCATGCAAAGCATGGTCGGTCGCCTGGAGAAAGAACTTACGCTTGAGCGTGAACGAACAACAAGGGCGCGAGCGGAGCTGGATCAGCACAAGAAAGCACGGGACTCACTAATGCATGTACATCATGTTCGAACCGAGGAGGGCGTTCCCAGGATTTCGGCGAAACAGAATGCAGAAGATGATCAAGAACAGGATATTGCCTCATCATCATCGTCGCCTAGCACTTCGTCGCGGAGAACCACTTTAAGCAAAGACAAAGAGCAAGCTGCGTCTCATGCTTCCGAAACAGTAGCCGGCAGTCCATGGTCCGAAGAACGGGCAGATTTGATAAGGCGACTGCAGGAACTGAGAGGAAAGTCTGATGCCGCGCAGAGCCTGTGTGAGGCAGAGAAAGCTGCGAGCGTCCGTGCAGACGAAGTGCGCAAACTGAAAGACGCGCACGCAGTTGAAATACAGTTGTTGCGAGACAAGATCCAGAGCCTTAAATTTGACTTGTCTTCGGTGAGCGAGCACGAGGCAGCGAGCGCGCGTCGCGCGGCGGCTGAGTTGCTTGTGGCGCGAAAGGAGGCAGAACAAGCTCAGAAAGCCGCAGAGGTGCTGCGTGCGGAGGTAGAATCCTTGAAAGAGGAGCTGGCGCGAACGGCGGAATCGAAGAAAGAAAGTGAGCTTCAGGCGACAGAGCATTTGGAGAAGATAATTGAGGAGGTTCGTGAAACAACAAAAGTTGAATACGCGTCCCGAATCCACCGCCTAGAGCGGGAAGTGCAGCAAGCGCATACTGAGGCCACAACGGCGAAAGGCGATGCTACGCGTGCTCACGCCGCACTCTCGGATTTGGCGGTTAATGAAGAGGCTCGAGCAGAGCAAACAAAAGCGTGCCTCGTGGCGAAGCACGCAGAGGCACTACAGGAGCAAAAGCGGCGATTCCAGCAACAGGCGACTGAACTGGAAAACCAGAGGGCAGAGGGAGCAGCCCGTCTTCTCGAAGAGAACAGAGAGACAATCGAGCAGTTGCAGACAAGACTGGACGAGGAACGAAAGAAAGTGGACGTTTTAGTTCGGAAACAAATTGAAGATGCAGAAATTGCAAGCCTGTGTGAAGAAGAGCTGCGGAAACAGGTAGAACTCAGCGCATATGAATCTTGAAACTTTGAGCGTTTTTTTTCAATGACTTGAACAATCAGCGTTGTATCAAATTCAAACTCAAAGTAGACCGTAAAGCAACGCAGCGGGAATTGATTCTTCATTGGAATTGCTAGTGATGATCATTTATGATCCTCATCTTCTTCATCTTGTACGTACTTAGATGTACTGCTTCATCTGGAGGAGCAGGTGCTAAAGAAAAACTGTGACTCATTTATTTGATTCGATGTTCTCTGCGCTTCCTTATTGCGCTCCAAACAACAAGCCACCCTAAATTATTTGATTGGTTCAGGACAGGAACTAAACTAATTATATCTGGTCCTTTTGGATTCAATATAGTTTTGGATTTCTACTGTCATTACCAGCAGAATGTATTGATATTACTAGGTTGTAGGTCTGGTTATGCTGACTGGATGATGATGATGATGATGATGGTGACAGTAGTCCGACCGTGCCACTGGTGCTCTGCTTGTTGTACAACATCACAGTACACTTCTTCCTCTACCGCGGAGTAGCGTCTCAGGCCAACTTAAAGTTTGCGGCCTTGATTTTAGTTACTTATATGAACTGTATGACGGATCAAGGTGCTCGAGCACTAAGAATTTGATGACGATGATGATGAATATGAATGCATTTTTCTCTTTTTTGGGCTCTTCTGTAGTCGGTCGACGCAGCCTGTCCTTGGTACAGTGGGAGTTATTCATGCAAGAGGTGCTTAATTGAATAACCCTGACCCTCCTGCTGGCGTCCCCCCTTGATTGAATAACCCTGACCCTCCTGCTGGCGTCTCTGTCCGGGCTTTCTTTGTTTCCGCTTTCTTTCATGAGTGACCCCATGACTTTTGTTTTGTCTGACCCCCTCCGCCTTATCCTCATGATCCTCTGATATTAGAATGATGGATGCTCAGGCAGTCTCCCTCTAGGTATTTCTTAGCAGTGCGAGCTTTTGCACTGTTCTCTCCGCTTCAAAGCTTATTTGATTCGTTCAGCCCCATGATTTATCAAGACTTCACCGAGTACGCCGTATTTCTTTCTTCAACACTGAGGTCTGCAGCGCAAACGACGACAAGGCGAACGCGGAATCCGCGGCAGCACAAGCTACAGTAGAAAGGACGAAGCTTAAAACAGAGTTGAAGGAGCTTACCGAGGCCTTCAAAAACCAAGCTGCAGAACATGCCACGGCAAAAGAAGCACACACGCGAGAAGTAAAACGATTAGAAAGTCTTCTTGTCCTCTACTCATGAGGAGATCTTGCACTTGCAGATGCAGGTCAACGAAAAATCTCTGTCTTGCTCGTGACCAAACATTTGAGGCGGATCATGTCTCTGCCGGTGCCGTTGTAGTTGTCAAGATCCTCGATTCATCGGCAGGATATTGATGTGTGTATGTCGCACATAGGATTAGAATTAGCGCATCCCTTCGCAAAACCAAGAAACGTTGAAACTTCACGTCCGCGTTAAGATGGCAGGAGCCCCACACTGTGTTCGTTTGCGAAGAGTGTTAGTCGAGCTTCAGATAGTGCAAAAATCTGGAGCCATGGCCCCTGCAAAAAATCGCATGCCAGATAACTCGTATAATCTTAGTCTTAATCTCGTACGCGTTGGAACCCTTGGCGTTGATAAATAGACTGAAAGTGCGTTGTGAGTTGTCCACATCCTTTCGCAGTGTCGTCAATCTCGTCGCTTTGTGTTTCTTGCAATAGGGTATCGCGATGAAGATTCCGGTCTCGCTCTCGCGAATCTGTGGCGCGCGTCAGTGATGCTGGAGCTAGCATCCCCTCTTGAAGTTTGTATCCGGATTTGTTTTCAACACGTAAAGACTTCCGCCCACCCCCACTCCTCCTTGACCCTACAAGTTTTCAACTGCATTGACATTGAGCAGTCAGGACGATCACGGAGATCTCCACATTCATTTTGTAGACCACCACGAGGAGATTGCACGAGAGGGAGAGTAGATGAAGGTTCAAACAGTTTGAAGATGATCTGTTTCGGGTCCTCCAGGTCCAAGTATGCCTGTGTCTAGTGAGATTGAGTTTATGACCAGCGCATCTTCCCATGTTCAAAAACATCCGTCAAATCCAGAGCAGTGAGAAGAAAACAAGTCGGTGATTGGCAGAGGACTCTGTGCGTGGAATAGACAGAGCATTTCCGCAGCACCCAAAGATAAGTATCTATTTCCCCTTGTCTCTGTTTTTTTTTGCTTCGGACTATCTTGATCAACCGACAGATCTTCCTGTTCCGTATCGGTTCCTAAGTATTGAGAAGGTGAAGGTCCCTCTTGTCAGAAGTAAGAGACGAGGAAGTTTGACGCATCGCCAGATAGATCGGTCACATAAAAGTGTACTTAGTACGGTAGTGCTGTCACCTCACGAATAGATCACATCCTGGCTTGATGATCCTGCCTTGATGCCGGCAGTGGCAACTTCTAGCTCTAGCACTTTCATTTACACCCTGTTCTTCATCATCATCTAGTATGTATAAATATGTCAATGTCACGTTCTACTACAGTGAGGTTGCTGGTGGCTCTGGTCCTCCACCTTCGATGGAGGTAATGATGTTTTAGTTTTAGACTAAGTACTTCTTAACCACTACGAGGAGTGTCTGTGTCTCAGTCTCGCACTCGCCGTTCGGTTAAGTAGATATGACTCATCTACATCTACTCTTTCAAACCCGAAACCCTTTTAGTTGCAATGCTTCGATCTTCTGGTGTATGCTAGCCAAATAGATGAGACTAGTACCACTTTCTTCATCAAAAAGTTCCAAACAAAGCCAGAGGGCAGACAACACGTCACAGTGGAGAAACGTAAGTGCGATCGAACTCCGTACTTCAGTCATCAGCGCGAAGTGCTGCGCAAACGACGATGACGTCACAAAGAGAATATAAAAGTGACGCACATAGTTCTGCGCATGTCGATGCTGCTGCTGGGGTGGAGAGTCCGGATCTAAAAGAGCAACGTGCTGCTGGTAACAGAGCGGCCTCATTTTTAATATTTCTCGGTGTTCACCTCTACTGCCTTGTTCTGCTGTATCTCGTCGCGGTGTCGTCGTGCTGGACAAGAAGCCTAGGCCTAGTAGACTTAGTCGACCTCCACGAAAATTTCGCAGCCGCCTTAAAGGTCGAGCCAGAAGAGATGAAAAGTGCGAGTGTCCGCCGAGCATTCCTGCAATTCACAAGACTCAGTGTATTTCATTTATCAAACACCGATTCGCTCTGTCCCTGATGTCTCCAAGAAGATGATCAGAAACAAGCATTTTATTGACATTGAGTTCTCCTTTATTTTGGTCTGGACAATTGATTCCCCCGCACGAATATCACACTCACCTATCCTTCCATCACCCACAGTGGATGCTCGTTGCGTGCATCGTAGTAGCGATATGGACGGGTTCTCGTACAGTAAGGGGCTGCGCGTCGCATGCTACTGCCGATTTGGTCGGCATATGTGTGAATGCAGCAGTAATTACTCTTGCTGTTTGCCGACTTACCTTGTTGCGAAACGCGGCATCCCCGGGTGCTTTTGATCGACTGCGAGGTCGGCACGCGATGGCATACCATTACTGGTATTCTTTCCGTAGATCATGATAAATTTCAAAATAGAAACTTCTAACTACATTAGCTGTGTCTCTACTTTGAATCATCTGACAACTAATGAACACGTTATCATGCGCTGACAACTAACCTGACTCGTCAATCCACTTTAAATCAGCATGGGCACCGAAGCAATGGCGATAGTGATGCTTCCCGCAAGCTGTTGTCTCTTTGGATTTCTTTGGTCGCACTTCGTGAAGAGAACAAAGTGGTCATCGACGCATACTCCTGGTCCTGATGTGGAGCAAAGTAAGCGTGAGTTCCTTGACGGCGACATCACGGAGACGAAAAGCATGCAACAATTAGAATTGATAGAAGTGGTCAATGGTAATACTCACGTTGTCCTGACATTGGCAGACAGATGATACACTGGAACCATAATTAAGACCAAGGAAACCTATTTCTCTTCACGCACGACCACCAACTTCTAGCTCTTCATAGGGGTAGTCCCATAGAGATACACACATAAATAAACTCATATATTTTGGTAAAAATTACACTAATCGATCCTATGGAAAAACAGATGCCTCCTATTTTGGTATGCAAGTACTGATTGATCGATTGCGATCGATTGAAAATCTTCGTCATCAATCGCAATCCTAGGTATGCGAGTACTGATTGATCGATTGAGATCGATTGAAAGTCTTCGTAATCAATCCTAGATATGCGAGTACTGATTGATCGACTGAGATCGATTGAAATACCTCGTAATCAATCCTATGGAAAAACAAATGCCTCCTATTTTGGTAAGTATGCAAGTACTGATTGATCGATTGAGATCAATTGAAAATATTCGAAAATTTGGCAAAGATATTTATACTTTCTATAGTATACTGGTAAGAAAGTAAGACAACAATCATGATACCGTTGGCGACAGCGATGTCGAGGCATCCCATGCTATCCTACTCTTCTGAAGCAAAAATTTTAATTTTGTAAGTACTTATTACAACTGTAATATCGTTCATCTACTCCTTCAAATTACGACGATCTCCGTAACCCTGCTTCAGTACACTCTTCCTTGGTACTAGGACGATGATGCTTTCGTCCATACATGCACATGCCACGATAGACCATGTTCGACCTCGAATCCCAATCCCTGCAAATGCAACCTTCCCAAATTCGGAGTCTCACGTATGTACTTACTTTTTGCCCAAATTCGTAGCCTCACGTATGTACTTACTTTCTTTGTTAAGTACTGGGATGATGCTTTCATCCATCGCTGTATACCTGCAACATGACGCACGTAGTATATTCTTCATGCAATGCATCCAAGATGAGCTTTCGTATCCATGCCTCAACCATTTCTTAGCTCTCCCCCATCGCCATCCATGCTCTCGAAAAAAATGGAAAAGAAAGTGTAGCAGGCATGCATCTGCGGAGCATACATATGTTGGAAAAAGCGGAATTGGAGTCGTCAATGACGACGTCTCACAATCCTGCTTCGCGCAGTTTCTGCACCAATCGGTATACGTCGATGAAATCTGTGTACGAAGATGAGAAACAGAACTTGAGGTAAAGCTGCATGGAACAGGTTTGCTGTTCTGAGTCCACGAGTATATCTTCACGCAAAGCGATAACTTAGATGAAGTCCATCTCCATGTCTAAGAAGTTCATCATTCCTGAGTCGATGCTAGCTGATAAAAACAAATAGTGATTTCCAGCTACAGCACGGATAATCTCTGTTTTCTGGACGTCTACGATTATGACGACTGAGCACCTGAGATCCTGATAGGATCTAGATCAATCTAGATCTGATGCCGTGGAAATGAATTAGCTGAGTGGACCTAGTCGAGATAGCAATGATTATCAGCCTTAACCAGCTTCACAACATACTCCCAGCTGATGCATTTGATTCGCCAAAGTTTTCACTTGTTCATCGACTTTTCGGTTCTCGACTTCGGACGCTTCTGCCTCACCGAGCGCGTCGCTCTCAACGTGAACTCGTAGCGTAGGCGAATACAAGCACCTCGTCTCATCCTCTTCAACGCTTGCACGGTGGTCCTGTACTCGAAAAACTGAAATAAGCGAGCAGACGAAATAATAAAAAAGAAAGCCCTTAAACAGTTCACTTCAAAGGGTCAACTTCTAGTGGGGACGCCCGACTACGCCCTTACTTTCAGTCTGAAGCAATTAGATGCGCGACCATCCAAGCAGGGGAGTTCTTCGCGCAGTTCCAGTTGTTCAGCTTAAAATGGGACTTGAATTCGATAGCGGTCTGTCGTTCATGAATAAGAACGGCCATAAAGAAAGAAGAGCTCAGAGAAGTAACTTAGATTTCATGACATGAACATGATAGATAAAAAGCCAAGGGAACAGCGGCTGCGCGCCGGAGGCGCGCCCCCGCTCTCCAAGAAGATCTCGAGATCCGCTACGCGCCGGCACGCAGCGGATCTGGAGCTGCCTGGGAATCTCGAGATCCGCTGCGCGCCGGCGCGCAGCGGATCTCGAGATCTCCTGGAGAGCGGGGGCGCGCCTTCGGCGCGCGCCTCCTTTGGAAAGCTCCAGAACAGCTGGAAGCAAGACAGCTACGAGCGCTCTTTTCTCCTTAGAAGTGAGCCCCTTCGTTCTAGGGGTTTGAGGGATCTCGAAGTGGCATCGGCGACCCCCCCTTCGAGATCGTCTGCGCGGCGACGCGCAGGCCATCTCGAGATGGTTCACCTGTACCAAACCATTGGTTTGGCATCGGATCTAGAACAAAGGGGCACACGTCGAAGGAGGCTGGCCTTTCGTAGCTGTCTGGCTTACAGCTGCGCCGAGGCTTTCCAAAGCAGGGGCGCGCTTTCCAGGAAGTCTCGCGAACCGCTGCGCGCCGGCGCGCAGGGTCCGGAATTTTGGCTCTGTGGGGCGAGTGTTCCACTAGGCCAAAACCCCGGACCACTGGCCCGGAATTTTGGCCCTGTGGAACAGATCGCCCCCGCGGCTTCTTCCACAAGGCCAAAACCCGGGGCCACTAGTCCGGAATTTTGGCCCTGTGGGGCAGGTCGCTCTCTCGGCTTGTTCCGCGCACAGGGCCTAAACTCGGGGCCACGCGCTCCGCTGACAGCTCCACTGGTGTCCGACCTAAGCCCGCGATGATGTCCTGCCTTCGAACCCGTTTGCGAAGCAGTGGCACTACCATAAAACAGACGGAAAAGTAGTCGACTTCTACCTTAAAGCCGAAAACTAAAAAAGGGCTCCCTCTTTTATTTTTTACTCAACTCGCTTATTTCAAGTTTACGAGTACATGCACCACCAGAGTGAATTTCGACTCTGTTGGACTAGCACCTGCTTCGTCCGCGTTGTGAGCAAGAGACCCGTGGTATGCGGACCGAGAAAAAGCGCCGCCTGGTTCAGCTAGCAAATGTTTGAAGAAATCTTTCATGAGTTTCACCCGGCATGGAGGATTGGAGCTCATGATTGCGGGTGGTGGCCCACGGGTGCCCGCATCTTCATGCGTTCTTTTGAGAAAATAGAGAGCCCGTGACAATTCTGTATCTTCTTCACCAATTCCACAAGCTGGATCTAGATCATCTACGTGCTTTTTCCCACCGTCGGCTATACAAGCCAGTAGACCTGTCAAACTTTCGCCCGTGTTCAACTTCTGTATCTGTTCACTGTCCGCGGGCGTTTTCGCATGCCGTGGTCCGTGCAATGGCTCCTCCCCTAGTAGTTTATCATGCCTTCCCCATATAGTGAGTAGTCCGTACGAGTGACTCCGTGGAGCTACTGCTGCCGCATTGAGCAAACCCCTTGTCGAGAACAAAACCTGCACTTTCTCCAAATTTTGCAGGACATTGACTTCTACTTGGTTACCTGGTAATATCTTATCATCGTCGACGACGTAGGCGTGCCCCTGTGTTTGCGTGAGTGCGACACCGCCGCCTATCAAAAGGGACCCATCCAACAGCACGGTCTTGCAGCGGTACTCTGCGGCAAGCTTGCTGACTTTCTCTGCTAGATCTGCGGTCGTGGGTGTCAAGAGCACATTACACATCACGAGTGTTCGATTTTTTGTCGCATTGGCGCTGTCCGCTTTGTCATCTTCATCATCGTTGTAGCCGTCGTTGTTCGAATCCCGTTCCCGACCTAGATCATCAGGAAGAGTAGTTTTTGCTCCACGATATTTGCTCCAGTTCCCCTCAGAATAACCACCACCTGCGTTCGTCTTCATCACTAGCGCCGATTGGTGGTCGGATTTTGATACATTTTGAGTGTTCACATGATCCTCTGCTTGATCTTGTGCTTCTGTAATAGGCACGAACGTTTTCCTCGTTCCATCGATTCTGATGAAGTGATGTCCTGGCGCTGACTCCATAGCCTGTCGTCCATGTGCGACCTCCTTTGTTGTTTTTGCGCCATCCACTTTGGCTTGCCCTGCTGCCGTCTGAAAAACGTGCTCGATGTCAGAACACCACACTAAGTCACTGCTTTGATGTCCATCTCCATCGTCCCCTTGCTGAGGTACTTCAAGAACAGATGGAAGAAAGTTTTCCTTATTTTCGTTTGCCATCGGATAAGAAAAAGAAAATTGCCGTCGGAGCCATTGAATCTCCGGTAGCTTTTCCACCGCATCGCGAAGTAAAGGCTCAAAGTGTACGGCCTCCTCACTGGAACTATAGCTCTTACTTCTGACGCCAAGCGCTTGGTGGCTGCCATTCTCAATCTCGCTTTTCTCCGGACTCGTTGAAATCATGATAAACTCTCCCTTCTCTTCCCTATCTTGAAGTCGTCTCAACAGCAGCCTTTTGCGTTCCTGTTTCTCCTTCGTCGATGAGCTTTGTGTTGGCCCGCGACCGTAATCTAGAAGTTGTTCTGGAGACAACATCGTGCCCTCCTGTAATATGGCTGTTTTTGCGGCCTTGGGTAAGAGACCCCGCCGATGGCCGTTGAAATACAACCACTGTGTCCGCAGAGTGAAGAATTCATCTTCATACTGCACCCGAGAAGGGACGTAGAAATCCTTTTTTCTACTTGGGAAGAGCTTATCAAGAGCGCAGGCCCTTCGCTCTTCGGCTGCACGCAAAGCGCGAAAGTCAGCGGCAGAAGTGGAGTCAGTTTTAGTCGTAGCTTCGTGCGTCTTCATTTTGTGCATCGACCATGCTGACTAAGATCAATACCTAGTACTGCCAGTACGCCAAGAAAAATCTACAACTGGAACTGCTTCATATTTATACTTTAATAAGGCGGCAGTGTCTAAATTTAGCATTCACGCGCATGTTCTCTGCAACCCTCCCATTCTCTCTTCTTGGTCATACGACTGTCAACACTCACTCAGGATGATCTCTATCATCCTCTCGCTCGCCTATTCTTGCTGATACAACTGGAAAGGCAAAACCACAAGTACTAACCGCTCTGGTGAAATTACCTCGGCTGGTGGTGTCCACCTACGCTCTGCAAGATGCAGCGAACTTTGCAGCATTGTATGTTGTGGTCCTGAGGTCATGAACATGATCAACAAAAACAATAATCTTGCCGGTGCTTCTTTGACACCTCGCAACCCTAGCGGAATTTCCGTTTCGTTCCTCTTGAGCTCCTTATGCTTTGCGAGCAGAAGAGTTGTAGAGAACTTTCGCTATGCATGGTTCAGGAAAAAATAAATGATTGTTTGACGTAACTGGAAGATTTAGATTCTCCAGTGGCCTGAAAAATGGCTATCAACACCGGGCGTTGATTGATATTAAATTTCTAATGAAATAGAGATAGGACGAGTATGAGTTTGAGTATGTTGAGAAATATGGGAAAATAAGAGAAAGAGTTGCTTCGCTTTCGTGTTCTATCTGAAAATTCCACCTCCCGCGGTTGAGAAGGTGCTTGCAAACGAAGGCGAGTGTCCAAAAGAGGTAGTGCTTCCGAGATTGCCATATCCACCGAGACCCGAGGTAGCCGCCCCACCCGGCGTGCTTACTCCACCTCGATATAATGGGTCTAGTCTGGAGTTGTGTAAGTCCACACTGCTGCCTCCAAAGCGTGGCGTCGCGAAGGCGTTGTTTGCACTGAATCCGCTGTTCCCAACACCGCTCAGTATGCTGCCAGAGTTTATCATCCCTCGTTGCATGTCCGCGCCAAAGTTTGTGCTATTTATGCCTCCTCCCGCTATTTTAGCACCATTCCTTGGAGACGAGAAGTGAAGTTGGTTACCAGTGCTGCTCCCTCTATTGTTTTGTCTTAGTGCTCCGGTTTCAGCAGCACCTGCTCCCGGTCCCGCGGCAGCTGAGTTGGTATTCATCAAATTCTCGTGTGAATATAGGTTTTTGCTCGATGCGCGTAAGTGCATTTGCTCTGCGTCTCGGACTACTGTGACGATGCCCGCTGGAAAATGAGGCCAGTCTGGGTCGCCCCGCTTCAGCCAGAAAAATAACGCAAATGCTTCCAGCAAATTCTGCATGCGATAGACAGTCCGCGAGTGCGGCATGATCGTGTTCAGCATGCCTGCTACCACACCACCCGCACCTGACCTAAAGCCAGAGGACTGCGCGGACAGTGAACTAGCTGGTGATCCCGAGACCAAAACATCGTATCCCACGCCGCCCTGGGGTAGTCGCGAGGCGCGCAGGAGCACACTAGAGTTGGAATTCATACCCGCGGAAGGGGTAGAGCCAGCTATTGGGTAGGCTGCGCTTCCGGCACAGCCTCCGGTCAATCCGGTGTTTGATGTAGTCGTGTATCTAGCGGCAAACTCGTGTCCGAGGTTGCTCTCTAACGTTTTCATCATGAGATTCTCGAGAATGTGCGAATCCGTTATGCGTGTTACCTGTTCGTGAGTTCATCATCAGCATTACTACTATGTATACCTAGACCTACGCATGACTTGACTTTAATGAAGGCCAAGCCGAGCAAAAATGTACTTAACAAATCTGTCGAGCACGGTCGTGGTCGTTCTGGTGTTGTTCCTTCATCACTGAAGTGTCAACTACATAGGGGTTATACAAACATAGATACTTAGTCACAAGTACTTCTACTTCTTCATGTTTGAGTTTATTACCTGGTCCCTATGTTCTGCGTTGTAGTTCCGCTTGAATCCGTGAGTGTGAAACGCTACTAACCTCTGAAAGACGTAATTCCTCGTTCCGGCGAAGGACGGATGACACAGGTAGACTTCCATCTCTTGTCTGCGTTTCCACTCTCTCACTGCCGTTGCGTCCTGCGACAGCTCTGGAGGTAAGTTGCGATCAAAAACACTCACGATGTTCAAATTTGATCTATCGCCAGTGCGTGTCGTCGGCTCCTCAAAGGAAAGTGTCTTGCCAACACGTCTCAAACCCTGGGTCCACAACTCGTCGCTTTCCCGGAGTTGCTCTGTTACAGGGTAGTTTTGCTCGTGATGAAAAGACAAAGTATTCATATTATAGAATAATTAACTCATTGGTGTGCCAGGTCCGGGATGGGATGGATCGGATGGATCGGATGGACTTCCCACCATTTCCAGTAGGATCGGAAGACTTAGGGGGGTCCATCCGATCCATCCAAGTCCATCCTACAACATCCGTTCTATAAATTATTCTATCATATTCTTCTTCTAGGATTAATGAATATCGTTGTAGGAAGAGTGAAATGGACATTGATATTGCGTTAGAGGCAAATCTTCAGTTTTGAGAAAAGTTGTCAAGAATGTAACAATTAGTACGAAGAAGTGGCGGAATGATGCTGTTCTGCACCATCGCCTCTAGCTGCTGCGCTAGCCAAGGAACCGCTGGAAATTCCTGTCTTACTAGTTGATCGTCGTATTTCGCATGCTCCGTTTTTCTTTCTCCAAAAACCATACTCTGCAGTCTTGATAGTGCGAAGCTTCCCGCACTGGGTACTGGTGGACTTACGAAGGATGAGCTCGATGTGGAGCCACCGCCAGAGGTTTCAGGGACAGAGCCAGCTGTAGTTGGGGCAGGGAGATGAAGATCAAAACGTCGAGCATATAAAAGAGAAAACTCAACATTGTCGCTGCAACGCTTGAAATACGTTGTTTAGTCTGTAGTATGCCTATGAAGCAGTCTAGCGTTTCAATTTCTGTTGAGTTCTAGTATGGTAGAGCACAGAAAAGCCCTTACCTGCTCCAATCGCGTCGACAAATTGGCTGCCGCCGCCCACAATGCTAGTGTTTGGCCATGCGCCGTTAGGACGGGTCTCTCCGGGCCGGAGATCCACTAGTGGGCCACTCGGGTAGGCTCCTTGCGCTTGCGGTAGTCCCCCAATCGTCGGACCGCCGTGGGCGCCTGCCATGCCACCTACTGCTGAGCCGTAATCGTATTTAATGCTTCCACCAACGCCAACGCCTTGGTTTCCACCTGGCACGAAGTCTGCCTTGGTTGCCATAAGATAAGCGAAGAACAAGGCTGCGCCGCATGTTAGAAGCACGACTGGTGAGACTGGTAACCAGCCGGTCGGTGGGTGAAAGCGGACCTGGCCACTAAGTTCCTCCTCCTGAAGCTGTCGCTGAAGGGCCGCGTACATCTCTGGCCTTGGGTTGCTTCCGTCAAATGAGGTAGAATGCGCATGCTCGGGTGAGCCTTGCGGACTCAGGAAATACAACACCACACCAACGACGCCACAAAAAACGACGATGCTGAAAGTATTATGGAGTTGAAGAATCTCATAAATTTTCAGAAGAGCAGATCCAGACTGCGTATACCTCCCGTTCGTTGCCTTACTACAAACTTGAAATTCAAATGAAGAACTCAATCTCAAACGATTCTCTCATACTCATCCACTTCTATCAGAGGACGCTCACGCTGATAATATCTCTTTGAGGTTTACTATGAATACCGGCAAAGCATCTCCGTCCTTTTTTCGGCCGCATCATACTGAGACTGCAGGTTTCGCAGAGCTGGGGAGATGTCTGGCACCGGTGGCGCACGGTTTCTCAGACCTACAGGTAACGACGCCATGACTCTATTTTTTTTGGGAAAAATCAAATGTTCCAAATACAGGAGCAGCCGGGTGTGGCTTCAAGATCCAAGAATTGTATGTGTATCTGCGACAAAGCAATCCGAATCCAGCTCAAAGTTTAGTGAGACTAAGAAAATATTAAAGCAGAGTAGGTCGCTGTGGCTAGTATTCTTGGAGCCCCTTGCTCTACCATCTCACTATCATATCCACCCCACCAGCACCACGGCGACAACAAAATCTACATGAATTTTTTCTGTACCGCCTGAGAGGACAAAATGTTTTGTCAATTCAACATCATCACGGTCTGCCTCATGGCAACATCTTCATGTTCATGATAGGAACTAAAAAGTTAGTAAAGTCTAAACAAGTACATCTATTGCAAGATAAGCGGTAGTCATGATACCACGCAGGAGTGAACAAGACTCCGTGTCCGTCTGTGGCAAGCTCCACACGTTCATGAAATGCTATAAGCGTTCACGTTCTTACATTTGCTAAACTATTGGTATAGCTACAGGATCGCTTTCACTATGATTTTCACACACGTCATTCACAAGACGAGGATGTTTACAACTACAAAGTAGTGACTCCATGCTCATGTTGAAGATGGGAGAGGAGAGAAACTTGGGGATGTTGAAGAACTACAACTTGAGCCGTTCGCTCATATATTTTTTAGACTTTGACCGTCATTGAGTCAGAACAATGATGTTGTAGATAAACCAGGAGCGGGAGTTGAACTTGAAGATGCAGATCTTGAGTACAATCACAATCAGCAGTTCTCGATGTATTTCGGATTTCCACAGAATTTGAATTTGAATTTCTCGGAGAGGATCTTCAATTGGCTGAAGAACGCACAACATTCATGATCTTCGTCACAGCACACAAGACTTCAGAAGTTTAAGCAGTTGTCTTATGTGACACCAAGGGACAACACAAAGCGGCGTAAGTACTCAAAGCTCTATTGAGGCGAAGAAGGCCCGAGGCAAGAAAGCAGCCACTTCTTGCGGCCACACGGCGAATGTTCATTCGTTCCTCACGCACGAGGTTGAGCTTGAGCTTAAGTCAGTGATCCATTTGTTCATTTACATTTTCGGATACAACGGATGTCACCTCCTAGCTACTGAGTTCGTTCTTCGGTTTTTTCCAAGTCAACAAATTGTTCGCATAATGACGGTGACCACGGTTACTCCGGAAGATATTGTGCAGAATCTGGAGTACCTAGAAAAGCAGCGGCCGCAACTACTAGTTGCTATTTTCATAATCATTGTTGTTCTATCTTTAGTCTTCACTTGTTCTTGTTGCTTGTTTTAGAAGTTCATTCATGATTGACGCAGCATAATCACTTTACTAAGTAGGCTTTTTTAGTTGACTGCCGAATCAAATTCAAACTCAAACAGAAACAGAAAGTCAAAGGCTGGCAAACAAGGCAGTCGCGGTGGTAACTTTTGAATCGACTAGTACTAATGGGTCTCTATGTATGAAAAATTACGGGTTATGAGAATGAGCTGTTGTCCATTCTTCCCTAGCTGTTTTGCATTTTTTGTACGTCTACGTTCATCTCTTGTTATCAAGAATGATTTCGAATAAACGCGTTTTTGATTCGCCTTCTTCCTCTCTCCCTCGCGCTGGAGTCTATCCCACAAACGCCTAGTAAGTTGGTCGCCTAAAAAGGCATAGTCATCAGCAAATGCGAAGCCCTAGACCTTCTGACGCTCGTCCGTGTTCGTCTACCTGTAGTCGCTGCATCTCCGCTGCCACCGACTCCGGCTCCGGCATTCAGAGTCAATACTGTATTCCTGGCCAGAGGACCTGTTGGGCCGAGTGCTAGTGATCTGATGATTTCACTTTTCGCCCGCCCAACCTTCTTCGAGCTCTGCTGCACTCGAAAAGCGTCCATCACAGATGACAAGGCTATATCGCACGCTATTTCCATGTCCTTCTCCATTGACAAACCACTGTCGCGTTTGTCTTTCTTCTCTCGGTCTACTCTACTGCCTCGTTTTTCTCGGCTTTTCATTTTCTTTACTGAAACTTGATTTTGGTCAGGTGCATCCATCGAAACAGTTCGTCTTCGGTTTACACTTTTTCGCTGTGCTGGCGCACTAGAGCTTCGACTAGAAGAAGCAGCAACAGGATGAAGTGCTAGATCTACTTCTTGTTGATGCTGTGACTGTGCATGTTCTACTGCTTGTACTGCTCCTCCTTTATTTGATGATATTCGATGGTGTGGTACTGGTAGCTGTTGGGATGGAAGTAGATGTTGTTCTCGCTTTTCTTTTTCTACCTCTTGCTCGTTTTGTGTATTTCCGCGCGGCGACTCTTCTGGAGTATCTGCTTCCGCCAACACAGTTGGCCTTGCTGAAGGCATATATACCGTGCTTGACTTTCTTCGTGAGGATGCTGTTGAGGTCGTCAAGGTTTTTCGAGTTTGCAAATTCGAATTAGTACTATCTCTTCCCGCTGGTGGCTCGTGGAGCTGCAGCTGCAATAGCTCGTGTTCCTGCATTGTCTCAGCACTGTCTGTTTTTACAACGAGTAAGTCTTCATTGATGCCGTCGTCAGTGCTACGGGAATCTATGTGCATGACGCCAAGTAGATCTCTTGGCGCTGCCGCGCTCTTCTTCCTGCCTCCAGTACTGAAGAGTGTGGGAATTTTCCCGGTGAACGTGAAGACATAGCTGATGCGCTCTCGAAAACCTACTTTTTTCCCGCCGCGGTTGCCCCTTGTTCTCCATGTACTGAACCGCGACCAAACTCCTGAGGAAGCCCTGCTGCGCACCGTTTCTCTACCTGAGTCGGTTGTAATCACCTCGCCCACGGGAAAGGATTCGTCGACACTACCTCTACTCTGCGCAGCTCCGCCACTCTTGTTGATGAAGCCATCTTGCTCGTCAATTCGTACATCGGATAAAATCTCGTCTTCGTCTAGAAGTTCTTGTTCTTTCGTCTTTCCTAATCGCCTCTCCTGACGCCATCGTTTCAACTCAGCAATCAGCTTTTCGCCCTCCATAGCGACAGAACCGCAGATAAAAAGCCACACACTGCAGGCGAAGATGGCGAGCCCAAATTTTGTTCCTCCCGATAGTGTCGTAGATAAATCAGTGTCATCTACTAGAGAAGACACAAAAGGAGTGTGGCAGACACCGCAAAAACTCTGCTGTCCGGAGGGACAGAGAGCGGGATACAGACACGCAGTCTGGTCCGCGTTTGGCGCCCAGCCGTCGGCGCAACTACGACAAAAGCTCGCTCCACCAAAGGATCCTGCATCAGATCCCGTTGCTACCACCAAGACAATGAAAGAGAGCGAATGCGAAAGCTTCGTTGAACATCCATAAGAAAATAACACTGCTTGTTGATGATAGCTTGCTTGAAGAAAACATTATCATTCTCTTTTCAAGTTCATCAGCTTCATCAGAACCTCACAGTCACCAGTAGTCATACATCGTTCTTACTGTAACTTCAAGTCTCAAAAGGATTTCTCCTGGCCATACATTGTATTGCTCCAGGTGGCGGGGAGCCATCGGGAAGGCAGGAAACAGGTGTCTCCCATGCACAAGAACAGTATGGCGACGCCGGATGATCCTTCCCTCCCGCGCAAAATTTGTTCGGTTGCACTTGGCATGGTGACTGACATTCCTTTTGGGCAGATCCTGAAGTGCCAAACCCAGGCCGACCGGCGCACCTGAAGAAAAAGGGATGATCGATGAATCAAGAAATAGAAAGTGAAGATGTACAATCTTCTTGTTCTTTGATCAGAATGATCAAATTCACGAAATACATGAATACCTTGTTACTGGTTCGGTCGGTAGCTGTTGGCCACAGCACGGGAGATAAAAGATGTTGCCGTCGCGAAATGGCAGTACAAATATCGCGGCCATAAGGCCGAACATAGCGACAATCGCTACCCACTCTATCAAAATTTGTCGTCGTTCTGCTCGTTGGTGCTCCCGCTGTGTGTGTTGAGTGATGTAGTCGGAGTGGCAGGGGTGATGCTCGGCATGGAACATAATTTCCCGCCCTTTGTTGATCTCGAACCGCAGAACATCACATTCAACATAATTAATATTCGTCTGAAGAGAAGTTAAGTTTAAGTCGTGTCGCGTTGTCTCCTTTATAAAACTGAAGCGTAGAAGAGGAAGAAGAGGTAGAAAAATTACATCAGTACTAGAACATACACAAGCGGCGCCGTCTAGAACAACATCAAGTACATAGGTCTCTGGATCTAGCCCCTCGTAGCTCTTCTGGATCATATGCAGTGTATGCATCGAGGCCATGTTCGTCAATTCTGTCAACCCCGACTTCCGCTTCGATAGGACGTGCCTGGTGCTCGAGGTGTGCGTGCTGAATAAGCGTCCAGGAACGACACTGGATAAACGCGCGGCAATGCGCTGACTCAATGATTGGTACTGTGGGCCGAATCTATCCTCGGGCTGCGACGAAGTTGAAGAGGAATCGGCTTCCACATCTCCTGTCGATTCTTGCCTTGAACTGGCATTTTCAGTTGCGTCAATCTCTACAAATTCTCTTGGATCCGAAGAAAGGCGGTCGTTCAAGATGTGATCTGCACTTCGCCAGGATGCTGCAGAAAAAGTCGGCAAGTTTTGCTCCTCAGCTTCGAAGGTTGTCGTTTTCATTACGGTTAGAGGGTTTGTTTGTGAGAATGCCGATGCTCTCGTGTCCTCTCGTCCCTGCCCATGTCCTTCGATGCGACGAGTCTTATCTACATCCTGCTCTCGCAATTGGCTTCTAGTATTGTAAATGCTTAGCGAGGCTTGATGCGGAGAGCGTTGTGCTGTTTCGAAGACTTTTCTGACACCGCCGTCGGCAGTCTCGTTGCCAACATCGAGGTTGGCTGCAGATGAGCAGGAGGATGAAGAGTTTGAACACGCTGATTCTCGTCGTCCAGCGGACATTACAAAACCACTTGATCTACTGTTTTCATTCTCCTTTGCTTCTTCGTTTCCTCGTCGCATTAGCTCTAGCTTGTTCCCTGCTCTCTGTAAAAGACTAGAGCTTGTTTGTCCTGCAGCTCCTGCTTGCGCTTGTAGAGTGTCGTTCTTTTCGCGTTCCTGGATGATCAGCTTGATCTTACTGCTCATATCTGACGAGGCGGCATCGCTGCTTTGAATCGATCCTGTACTTCTAGTGGCGATTGCATGATCCTCGGCCTCGACGGAGGTCGAGATTTGCTTCTGCCGCTGGAGCTCTTCTTTTTCTCTTTCGCTTTCTCTGATATAAAGGGCGGACTTTCCATCTTCCGCCACGAGCATTGTGTTTCCCGCATCAACGCCGCGATCTCCGAATCCATCGTCTCCTGTACCTTTCTCATTGTTTTGAATTTTACCAACTTGTCCTGTTCGACTACGAGTTGCCTTTTCCACTAGTTCTTTACCTGATTTGTATTCGTCCTTCTTCTCCGTGGTCTCTTTCCTGCTGAGGTATCTCCGTGTATCTCGAGCGGCTTGCCGATTCGCCTCTGCCAGTTTTTCGGCCTTCTGCTGTCGCTGCAATTCCAAAGCGTTCTCCTCTGGTAGCTCATCACCACAAAGTCCCAAGATGGGAATCGCCCACACTAACCGGTAGCGCCAGGAAATTACCAGCAAAACGAAAGCAAGAAGCAATACTTAGAGATTGATACGTAGTAGAAGCGATAATATCACGGTCGCACAGTGCACCATAGTATTCGTGGTTACTGTAGTATCATTTATCTTCGTGTACGTGTTCGGGATGAATGTTTGTGCAACTAAAATGGTCCTTTGCACTTCGTCCTGCGATTAACGACGCGTCCATCTCCATGAGTAGAACCTCTACTAGTACAACGCTTTACCACATGCGAAGGAGTATCTTCTCCGTCCGGGTGCCATAGCTACTTAAGTATTTGTATTACCCCCGTCAGCCATAAAATACGGCGCTCAAATCGATCAAAAACGTATTCTGGGAAAGCGGCGATTCAGCATATATCAGGTTCAGAAAGACAGCCATCGTGCAACAGAGCTGAATCAGGGGTGTCACTTGCCGAAAAACCTCCATCAAATTCATCCGCGTCGTCAATGCGCCACCAGTTTCACTATGAAAGAGCGTAACTGAAGATACAAAGCTGTCCGACGTACTAGAACGTCAAACGAAAAATCGATAAAAATTTGGATCATAATATCATTTAGACCATCTGCCACCACGAGATTAGGACTGCTACTAGCTGAAAGAATTGTGTCCCGACTTCAGGTAGCACTAGTTTGGTTCAGAAGTACTAGTCAATGCAGCACAAGAATGATGGAACGAAGAGTGGTAAAAAAAATATGGGTTCTAGTACACACTTTTGTCATACACGGTAATCAAAAGTCCGCATAGCATCGCCTTGTGCTGTACATCGGGTCTTGTCCAACAACGCACGCAGCCTCCGTACGAGTGATCGATGATGGTCGTTCCAAGACCAAGCACACTTGCACTCGCACTGGCCGCGGCAGAAGACGCCGATGACAGGGACGATGACACAGTTGAAGCGATGCTGTTGATCCCGCTAGCAGATAAGGTATTTGAAGAGTAGTTAGTTGAATTTCCGATAAGAATAGCGGAAGCAGCTGCTTCCGCGTTCGCTGCTTCAGTAGCGAGACTCTGCTGAAGTGCAATTTGTTGTGAGGTTTGCCAAGGTGTTGACGTCTCGCAGTAGAACCAGACATCATCCTCACAATGCTCGTACTGAACCCTGGAAGTGCGATGCTGAAAATCTTTCGGAAATAGCGTTGGCAAACTTCCTTTCCCGTCGCCGGCGGGGCAGGAAAAATGCTCGGTGTCAAATGTCATCGTCTTCTTGTGCAACAACTTTATTATCACTTGGTAATGCTAATCTTCATCAGCATCTTCAACATTTCATGATCTAGATATTAAGAAAAAGAATGTTGTCCAGTTTTTACTTCTTTTTTAAGATGTTTACTCACGGTGTCGGTGCAACAACAACCAATCATTATCTACATTCAGTTCTATTGCAGTCGCTTGTAATGGACGGCACCATCTAAATCTCCTGGATCTAATGAACCACCTGTGAAGATTTTGAAATTTGCGGCTGATTGGGTGTTTCAGTTTTTGAGGATGACTGCCATCTCCTGTGTGTTGAAGACATCCTTTTCCTCGAGATGATCGTGCAAAGACACCGGGACCGGCCAAGCGAAAAAGAGTTACTGGAGGCGACAGCCGCTTCTCCAACAACTGAGAGCTCCTCTTTACGTACACTGGTGAGAAGTACTGCTCGTCCTGGTGCATTGATCCCCAGGCTCGCTATTTGTTTTCATACGTCGCGCTGCCTCTGCCCCCTCTTTCGGGCGAGTCAAAAGATCACGTCATGTGCATGTCAGTAGTTGTGATAGTGATACTAGTGCTCGTGCGAGTGCAAAATGAAAAGAAAAAAGGCAAAAGATCTTAAATGAATTGCAGCTAAGAGAAGTAGTTCGTTATTCTGGGTCTGTCTTAGTGGTGATTCTACTTCAAGCGCTCTTGTTGTATAGTAGATAGCAATGGCGAATTCTTACAACAAATGAGCGAGTCGTGTCAACAACAAGTTGACACACAACTTCAACTTCAAGAGAAAAAGCAGTTAGCACATCGCTATCAGGTGCCCGGTCTTATATTACTGCAAGCCGATCGAGCGCGTAGCAGATGAAGGCCTCCTGCAGGTCAGCTATATTCGGACTATTTGGCCTTATCCGCTATCACAACGAGGTCAGCTATCAGCGCCTTATTCAGTGGCGGAATGCCATGGTTCAAAAAAACCAGTTTGATCTGTTAAAGTCGACAAAGAAAGGTAGACGAAATTTTTTCGCTTTACAAATTACAAGAAGTTTATAAGGAAAAATAGAGGAACAGGAAAGGGAAACGAAATGCAACGAGCCAGAAGTTCATGTGATAGACACGAAATTTGAAGGACTAGTATACTATATAAACTTCATTTTGTTCTTCTATACCTTTTCCTCGGTGGAGTCCCCAGACCCGGCGCCGTTGTACTTCGCGTCCAGGTCCGGGTTCTGCTCTAGAAGTTTCTTCATCAGCCTCTGATCTTCCTGGGAAAAATAAATGTTCTCGGCAGCCTTACCTGAAGTTCGAGGTGTGGGTGTAGGCAGTAGGCATTGACAACATAATAACATATTCATATTCAACTACCACGACCGCTACCTGGTATCAGAGATATTGACAGGACAAGGGTTGTGCTGTGACGTTGCTAGCCAAAAAAGAGGTGCACGTCCTGCTCAGGCTCCTCTCGCTTTGTTGATACTCAGAGTCAGAATAGGGTTTTTAGGGAGGAAACAAGTCCGAGTCCGAGAAAAAATACTTATGCTTGTATTCTGAATAGGATCGTGAGCGTGAGGAAATAATGAAATATATTGCCTCTCTCTTCGAGAAGTTTGACGCCTGAGAGTTGTCTCGAGTGCTGGTGTCGAAACTCACGTGCCGCTCTATTCTGCTTGCGGCAAACTGTTCGTGCAGCCGTTGTTAACATCTTCTAGCTAGTGCTGTTCCCAAAGTCGTCCTTAACAAAGCCTCTTTTTCGCTGAGGCGGCGGCTCTTGAGTTGATGTAGTCGACGATTGTTTTGCGGTGTTTTACAGAAGGCTTATTGTTATTGTGTCTATCGTCTTTGCGCACCAGCACGTTTTTTCTGAAGATGCACGAAAAAAGTACTTGACCGGATACGAAGGAACAACTGAACTGGGGCACTTTCTCAAAGAGCTGCTTCTCTGATTTCTCCCTTGTTCAATGCCAGTTTTTCGAAAGAGGCTAGTGGAGTATACTGGTGTTTGTGTCCTCCTTTTGACACACCTGGCGCTAAACGGTCCGATCTTCCCGGGGAAACCGAACAAATATTTGAAAAGAGAACAAGTTCAAGTTGAGTTCTTGAAGAGAGTACTCGGATAGAAGAACTGCTCAAAAAAAACGTAGACTGGGTGGAAATCAAATTTCTCTTTCGTACTCAATCACAATCAAGAAAAACACAATTGACACTCAAAGGGCCTCCACCGTAGTAACGACTATTGTGCGTGTCGGACTTGAAGATTGATTGCTGGGAAAAGAATCTTGATAATCACCATCGAGCAATGGTACTTGTACAACTATTTCTGTCAAGGTTGTTGCGTTTCTCTCGTCAACAGTAGCTGTCTCAACTCATTTCCTCTCTCATACTTGCCGGCGCTTGCCGAAGAGTTGACGTGCATCTCTCGAAAGTTCAAATTCTTGTTGCTGCACCTTGACTATTATAATATGTCTTGTTCTCGCTCAGGCTCACAGCGGAGGAAGGTACTTCAGAGAAATGTCGGAGCTGCTTCAATGTTGTAAGAGAAGTACTTGCCTCCACTGATCATTTATGAGCGCAACAATGGTCACCATGTTGACTGTACTCTAATTAGTATAATTTCGTACAAAGTGAAAGGAGAGGCTTTGATGTTTTGTGGCGTGGACATTGCGTCGGGTATCCATTATTCCGAGGAAGAAGGCGCGGGGAGAAACCTCCACGTCGGGGATGGTCATAGGCAGTGAGACGGGTGGGCGTGCTGGGGGTGCATCGATTCTTATTCTACGAGTACCTACCAATCATCATTACGTTCCTATAGAAGAAGCGCTCTACTCAACATTGTCACGCCTCTGACTACTTCTCTCGTAATTGTTTTTGTTGCACGACAGGCTGATATTTATGTGCTGCGTCCGCGCGGTATTGCCGTGATACAAATAAGAAAACTGTTGTAGCGTTGGCGTAGCAGCAACGTCGACAACGCTATAAACAAAGCATGCATGTTGACCATGATATCTCTTTTCTGCTATAGAGTAAGTATGAGACATCACTTCGTCAATTCCCGACGGAAGATACTTATTTGTTGTTAAGCACGTTCTCCGAACACCAAGTTACCTCCAGTGGTTCAATTACCTTCACGCGAAAAACATCACTTTATCTTTATCATCTATTGTCTGCAGCGATTTTCATTAGTTTTACTCTGTCCAACCAAAACCTTAAGCAAGTCCAAGAATGGTGCTGGTGCTAACGCAAAGTTTGAGTCTGAGCTATGTTGCAAGAGCGACTTTACTGCGTAGCGATCAGTGTAATTCGATATTACCATCCACGACATCCATCTCGTCGTCCTCCTCTTCGCCCCTGAAATTCGGTAGTAAAGCAAGCCGTTAAACAAGTCAATCTTTTTATGATTCAAATTATGGACATTGAGATTTAAATTCATCAATTGAAAAGAAACGTGCCTCGTCTTGCCTTCCATTGCTGAATGGTTCCGGTATTTGGTAGCCTGAATTTGATCACAAGGATTCTCTTCTTGTTTTCCTTATGATCAAAATCAGGCTACCAAATACCAGAACTATTCAATTGCAGTGCGTCCTAGAAGTGAGTAAATAAATATACCATATAGTATAAGTATTTCATATTTGTTACGCTAAGCTGCAATACCAGTCGTCCTCTGTGATATCTGCGTCTTGGAGGGTAGGCTCTTTCGGCGCTTCTTTTCCATGCGCAACGAAAAACCACGCTGCAGATTCGAAGTCGTGCTCCCTCGACATATCAAACGCGGTCAAGCCCTCTGTTTTTGGAATTTCGATCTTCTATGTGAGGCATAGTCCACGACTAGCAGTAGCAGCACCAAGAAGTTATTATAATTTGCGCGGAGGAACTGCAAGAAGAACAAGAAAATTCACGTAGTTATCAATTCAAAGTAAACCGAGCCATCAACATCATGTTTGTAGTACCAAAGTTTGTTTTTTCCGGGTCTGCTTTGTATGCTTTGAGGCGATTCAGGATGTTTTTTCGTGTCTGCTCATTACCGATATCTCCCGCACTAGTCGCAAAATGATGATAAGCAGTGTCACCTGTAAAAAAAGGTAAGAACAAGAGGGATATCCCCCGCACTAGTCGCAAAATAATGATAAGCAGTGTCACCTGTAAAAAATGGTAAGAAGAGGCCACCAATGAAGGAAAATGTAGAACGAACATGTAGCAGCAGTAGCTGGAGGCCCACCTAAGTAAGTAAAAGTAGATATAATAAGAGACGGAGTGCGTCGAGTCCTTCGAGTAGAGCTAGTATTCCTGGTGCTACAGACTGACTGATAGTAAAGAACAAGAAGTTGAACTTGCCAGACCATGAAGATCTACTTCAATCGAGATTTACATTTACCACGGGACACTTGTCGTGAAGATATTATATATTAATATATAAATATATATAATCAGGCTTTTGGCGCAAGTTGTTACCTTCCATATCCGCAGCTGTGAGTGCTACCGCTACTATCTCACTCCGGGTCTCGTCCAGGGTTCTCTTCTTCTCGTCTGCCTTGATGTCTTCGTCGATCTGCCTGAGTCTTTTTAAAACTCGAATGAAGTCGTGGAGATCTTCCTGGACGTCCACGGATAGCACGTCCCTCTCCCATCCTCCTTCCTGCTCGTCAACTAAGTCGTCCAGCATGTCGTCCTCATTTACGTCTGACGAAGTTGATGACGACGCCGCGGACTTATCGTTTTTCTCGTCGTCATTTGGATTTGCCTTGTTGGCTGACCCTGACGAGGAACTCAAGGTGGATGCGGCGTTCTCTGTCGTCTCAGCAACGCAGGCTGGTGTAGGTGTAGTTCTAGTTGTAGGGGTTTTTTCGGCATCAGCCACAGCAGCGGTTTTCGTCGCGCTGCATGAAGCAGATTGCGCAGCAGACACGGTTCCTGTCGTGGCTGCGAATGTGCCTTTGCTCTCCTCTGCAACTTTCTTTGTCGCTGGAATTGCACCATTTGAAAACGAACAGGTCGAAGTAGAAGCAGCCTCATTTTTCTTCTCGCCGCTAACAACAGGCTCCTCGTCTTGATTGGACGACGATGCAGAGGATGTTGAGGTAGGCGTAGTAGAGGGCTTAGTTGTCTCGTGCTGCTCGCAATTTTTTGTACAATTGGCTTCCATCTTCGTCTTATTTCCTCCGGCTGCTGCCTGCTCAGCCGCCTCTGCAGCCCTTTGATGGGCGGCTTTGTGCCTCAAATGGATCTCTTTCGTTGCATCGTCTTTGCTGTCGTAGGGATCTTCGGTGCCGTCACTCAGCCGTATAAGCATTTTTTCCTCCACGGCACAAATCTCGCTCAACGTTCGGTTACAGGGGTCAGCAGAGTATGAAGAATGCGAATATGATAGGAGAATAATCACATTTCGAGTTTTTCCGTCTTCTAAGTGAATATTGCAGCACGGGTACGGGAAGATTTAGATTACCACAAGAATTAATAAGATGAAAGTATTTTTAGTACAAAGTTCACGTTCACCTTCACATTGTGCTTCAGTAAAACAGGAGTCGTTCTTGTGCAAGAAGAACCGGCTCAAGTTGGGTTTTAGTGCCATCACTATGATTCTCGGACTCGGAGGGCGGGTTACTTAGGTATTTCTGGTTGCAACTACAGTTTTTATTGAGTCTTAATAGTATTTGAGTTTTCATCACAATATTCAAATTCAAGTGAGTAAAAAAGTTTCAAATGTCAGATTCATAAACCTGTGAGATTCTTGACAAGAAAGTCGAAGAGGTCGATGTGCCCCCACGAAAGGCTGGCCATTAAGGGGTTGTATCCATTGTGGTCGATAGAAATCGGAGAGTATTTTCCGCTCTTCATCATTTGCCTGACCACAGGCAGGTCACCCTCACCGCTTGCCTCCCAAAGGTTTGCAGCCTCCAATTCGCTAATCGGCGCCATCTTTGTGATTTTACTCGGGAACGTGTAAATGCAAATCAAAAAATGCGAAAACGACAATACAAATTATTAAATTCTCAATGCACTTTGCAGCTACGGATCGTGTAAAAAGACTAATCAACTACAATGATGATGTGACCATAACCAGGCTGGGGCTCTACAGTGAGAAAATGAGGAAAGAAATGCAAATGTCTGTAGAAGAGCACAAGCACTATGAACATGAAGATCTCCTTTAGAAGCAGACCCAGACCAGATGATCTTAGTGGCAGCATACCCGTGTGAGCTTAGAAGCATCGCAGCGTCGCAAAGATCTCGTATGTTGTAGCTGCGTATATCTGCTGTGATTATTTTGCAGTAGATGACTGGTGCATTTCTCCTGAACTGCTTCGCGTTTTACATGACTCGTTTCCACGAATTTCAGAAGATCTCCTGAGTTACAATTTTGTTGCTCTTTCTGATCTAGATCTTTGCCTTTAGAAGAATTGTTACGTAGGGCTTGACAGATGATGTTGCTTGATGATCCTTGACAATTATTAATAGAGATTTCGTGAGACGAGCACCATAGCGCAAGAACAAAACTCGACGTAATATTGCGCTGCGCGTACTTGGTTTGCGTTGATGATGATCATAAGCTATGGCGTGTCACGACTAACCATCGTAAAACTAGATGTCTCGGACACAGACGCAATCGTCCTCGCGCATGTGGGGCTTTCACAAGCGACTGCGCCACCATCGTAGCTTCCAGTTTCATGTGCACGAATCTTCTTGCAAGCAACGTGCGCATGCGTTTCCGTATAGAGGATAATATTGCTAGTACTAGTTGATAATTGATCGAATTTTATCTCACAGTCACTTTATTGTCTTTGACACGAACACGAAGTTAGTGTTAATGTATGTTATCTGCAAGTACGTTCACGGAGCAACGACTCAGAGAGGACAACACAGATTGATATGATTTTGATTTGGTTGATGTTGTTGTTGATGTTGTTGTTGATGTTGAGACATGTTTCATGTTGGTTCATTGAGACGGCCTCCCTTACTCCATCGGATCACCGTCGCTATCCCTATCACTGGGGGTGCGTAAAGGCTGCTCACCAGCAGAGACCATGAGGTCGTCGGCACCCGGACAACAGGGACAGAACATCGCATATGCGAGCTCCCCAACTTCTGGTTCATCTTTGGAGCGCCGTCTTCGTCCCATAAATAGTAGCAGACCATGCAGCGTCGAAAAGCACAGGATAGACTGTAGATGTTGATGATGATCGTTATATGCTTGAGACCACATAGGATCAGTTGGATGAACGGGCAGGCATGAAATTGTATTTAGATCAGAAATAGGCATCACTTCGGTCTCGATCTTAATCGGAGAACGAGAATCTATATCCGCCACCATACCATGCAGGAACAGGATGCAGGTGGTAGATTGAAATTGATCCTGACTGTACAGAAGACGAGTTGTAGTACCCCCACAAAGAGCAACACCCCTGCTAAACCTGAGGCGTACTTGAGAAGCCGCGTTATTATCCTCGTTGTGAGTTTCGTGTAGCATTCTACATTTGGGTCTGGGTATACTGTTGTGATCGGACTGTAAATGTCTCCGGGTTTGACTTCTACTGGGGTATCCAGGCCATACTTCGATAAAAGAGGGTCGGCGACTGTGAGAAGGAAGAGGGATGATAGATGAAGATGATGATGTATTGGTTTTGTAGATCATCGAAAATTTGAAACAAAGTTGGATGATGCATTTCGACTTGATCAGCATGAATCTACTCACTCAAAGACCTGTGGGTGTCAAATCTCATGCTCCAATATCTTCAAAACTTAAATATCGTACTGGTATTGCTACTGAATGAACAAGAATAAGAAGAACCACAAGTAAGTACTTTCTCCCTCATCTTCTTTTGGCTTGATTCGTTTCCAGTGGGGTACTTTCGGTTCCCCGTCTACGGTTGGTGTGGCCCAGTCTGGATTGTTGGGACTCACTATGGCGCATTCTTTGGCTGATGGGAAGAGATTGATTGCTGTGCATTCCTTGTCCCGGTTGCAGATTTCCCGGCAGAAATCGAGAGTGCTCATCATGCGTGCCTCGCTCGGCCTTGGCCTTTGGGATAGCCACACCATTGGCGGCTTGGTCTTGGCGCCTAAGAGGCAGACACCAGAGGAAACAAAGGGGTTCGTTTCCGCATCACGCTGCCAGAGCATCCCATTGCTGTCGAGAAGTCCGAAGGATTGCCGTGAACACAGGTACGTCAGCATTGAGCAACCGCCCATGTCGCCGAGAAGCTGGGCCCTGAGTTAGCGAAGACTGTTGTTTCTATATTTTCGAATGATTTGCTCCAGGAGACGAAGCTGAGAAGGAGAACTCTGTGGTCAACATCATTAACTCGGCCCTTTGCCTTCATCATGAAGATTATAATGAGATGTGGGGTACCATAGAGGGCATTTTTAAAGTCGTGAAGATGTATCAGTATGTATCAAAGACAAAAAGCAAGAGTAAGTTGTGCCTATCCTGGCATGTCCCTTCACATGGCTTGATTTTGCTGTCGGCGACTAGACCCGAGGCTATTCCTGGAGAGTTGCCGCTGCTTTCCGGCGTACACTGCATAGCCTTGTAGAGCTGTTTGTAGGTTTCAGCCTGACACATGTCGTGTACTTGCCTCGTAATTTGTGGTGTTGTTTCTTCCACGAAGCTCAGAAGACCGGCTCCAAGACCTATGAAGGAGCCGCCGAAGGCTATTGTTGACAGCAAGTAGAAAGCCGTTAGTATTTTTGCGTTCTTTTTTCGAGCTGCTGTCACACCAGCCACGCCGGCAATTGCTATGAAGACGCCGGCTATCTTCAGGCTTTCAAGAAGAGAACTCAAATCCCACTGTCCCCCGCTGTTCGCGCTGACGACCCGCCCGGCGCGAGAAAGACTGGTATATGATTGTGTGGAGACGATCTTCTACATCTTAGAAGTTGGAAAGTAATCACCCTAACCCTAAGCTCAATCGGAGGGAAGAAGATAGAAGACCGAAAACTGAAAATAACCGAGCTACTGACTGAAATAAGAGACGTAGTCTCGAGCTCGACAGGCTTCTCTTCCTTGTAGTTCAGTCTGTAACTCGGTTATTCTCGTCTGTTACTCGGTTATTTTAGTTTTTCGAGGAAGTAGGAAATCACTGAGTGAGCACCAGCGCACTTTATACCATTACCATCTTCGGGTTGTTGTTGTATGTAAGAATCATGTGTGAACGTACTTAGTCATTACCCTCGACTTGTGAGGCCGCTGAAGGACAACGCCGACAATGCGATTCCTAAGACGGAAACTGCAAAGGCCCCTGTAAGAAAGCCCGCGTCCTTCGAGCACAAAGCTGTAAAGACCAACGCTCCCACCAAAATTAGAACTAAGAAAATCCATTTCCAGAAGCGTTTTAGGTCCTCTTTTCCGTTTAAAAAACAGGACCAAATTCAAGATGCCGGGAAAGATAAGTTTGGATTTTTTCCTGTAGCCTTAATAAAAGGACACAAAAGAGCCCACCGACGACGACCAGGAGCTTCATGTCCAGCTCGTAGTACTGTAAGGCTGAGGCTGTCATCTCCCTAGAAGTTCACACGAGGACGCTGTAGTTATTGTCTTCTCTTATAGGTCCAGGCTTCTGTCCTTCTTCTAACTAAGTAGTTCTATCACACTACTGGGCATGGGCTTGATCTTGATGAACTTGTTTGCTTCGCCAAAATGGACTGGCTTCTCGCGTTCCTGCTTGCCATAGCCAGCAGAGAATGACGCTGCTCTTGTATGTGCCTGAGTTGAGCGTTTTTCTCGCGCGTTAGCAGGAGGGGTGTTGTATCAGTGACTTCTGTGTACCCGAGTTAGCGAGTGCGAGCGGCGGCCGCGGATAATATCCTAGCGACTGGCAGTAGAGGCCTCAAAGTTTACGCTAGAGGGGTCCGGTTGGATAACTGGCTCTGCTCCGTAGACTCGCAGTTCGGGAAGTCCGTCTTCATTACATCCAATCGAGTTTCCATATGCATTCGCATTCTCATGTTGATTCTCAGTCGAAATTCATAAGAACTTTTCTTGGACTGAAGATCTTGCAAAACCATACGAGGTACAGAAAAGCTACTACACAGACGTCTAGCTTACATCGTCGGTTACTTTTAATGTCTACATTCATCTATTTTTCGCGGCATGATTTTTCGAGTTGTATATGATAAACTTGACCAGCAGGTCTTGTCCTCTTGTGTATGGGTCTGCGCCCTAGTAGCTCCAGCTTGGTCTTGAGTACGATAATATCTCAGAATTCTCACTCCACGTCCTGCTCCTGCGTCTCAATTTCTATTTACTTTGCTCCAGGAAAATTACTGATCACTCTTCGCATTCCACCTACACCGTTTCTTGCTTTGCTGGTTTTTACCGAATAGTTCTTTGCTTCTTCTCGTCTAGCTTGAGGACAAGCGCAACTAATTTCTTTTCAGCCATCTAAATGTAAGTAAACGTAAGCAGGCCTATGTTGGCTATGGCAGCGCAGGGCGTTCCAGATTCGCCCTTACGTCATCAGAAAGAACACATGATGACGTTCGTATTGAAAACCAAAACAGCGCTTTTTTAACTCGCAGCAAGAGCAGATGGTATGCAGGACACGACACTGTGTCCACCTCCACATTGCATGATGTACATCGGTCGCTACTGTCGCTACTTATCTTCCTCTTGTAGGAAAGAGGGCACAACAACAAGAAGGGCAGCGGGTAATATTGGGGAGCCAGGTTATTAAGGTTTATCAATCCACCAAGGGGCGACTCTTGCGTATTTTGGGAATGGGATGCGGATGCCGTACAGAAGCCGCTACAGGTACAGATTGTCATCCGAATATATCGCGTGCTGTCTTAGGTTTTCGCGCTTTTTGGTCAGGTGATTGATCACCTCCCGCTGGGTCCGCACTTGTTGAGGACTTGCCTTTGTGAGGATTCGTAAAACAGCCTTTCATATGCGCTGCAAGACTGTGCACTGTTGGCAGAGCAGCCTCTTTACTGGAACTAGCTGCACTAGGACTTGCTTCTTCTTCCACATTTCCACTTCGAAGCGGGCCTATTCTGCGGACGGAGTTGTAGTGTTTTCCTTCGTGGTAATTTGGATGGTACGAAAGTGTCACGAGAGGAGCAGTCTTGGCGTCAAAATTGTACATCTCGAAGACCTGCGCACCCTGCTTAAGCGTCTCCCGCAGAACATCGCCAACTGAAGATGGTGAACTAGAGGATGAAGATTGTAGATGTAGGGTACTGGTGTCTGTTCCTTTACTACTCGCAGTTGCGCCTCCTCCTGTCAAAATTGCTTCCGCCGGCTCTTTCTTTTCGTCACTTTCGGGTTCGTCGTTCATCCATGCAGGTTGTGCGCGCTTTTTCTTCTTCGTCGCACCAGAAAGTGCTGCCATCCCCTCTATGCGACTAGCGTTCTCTTTCTGAAGCAGAGCAGCAGCGGAAAGCGGCGCTTCGTAAGTAGAGGGTAATAGGACTGCAACGTTGACTTCAAACAGCCTACCGAGGGCCTGTATTTCAATGTCGCCTCCCCAGGTCTCTTTCCTCTGCATCTCGCCCAGATACCGATCGAAGTTGCCCTGTAGTTGTATCAGTTATCAAGTTACGTCTTCCCTATGCTTATAGTATAGGTATGCTTAGTATCAGTTCAACATTAATTGATTTCACCTAGTAGGAAGTAAGGTAGTACTTAGGCACAGGCAGTCCATCTTTTCGTGCACGAGTCATCTTTAATCTTCCGATTAAAGACCAGACACGACTACAGACAGTGATAGCGTCTGAGCATGAAGGGTCAAAAATTCAAAAAACACGACCAAAAAGAATACCTCGACGAATGGCTGAAAGTCGTCTCTATTTTTGCGCATAAACTCGACGCATTTTTCGCGGACCTCGTTATGTCTTCTCGTGTCTTCGTGCATTTGCTCCGCAAACGATCGGAATAGACAGGCTCCGTCGGCTTTCATCCGCTTGATTTCTAGTCCGAATTCGCTTTCCAATACTGCCTGCTCCTGCCGAAACACCCGCTCCCATTGTGGCTCAGCCAATACTTCTTGCGGAGCCGTCGCACCAACGACGTCGTGTGCATCTCCTCTTCCTTTAACTGCCTTCTTACCCGACATCAATCCGGCAAAGGCGTCATCATCAACAGGAGGAGCTTGTTCTTGCCGGTCCTGTTTTATCTTGCTCTTTTTATCCGCAGTATCCGCTTTCTTCTTGTTCTTACGGGCAAGAAGTGCTGCGAGTGCGCCCTGTGGTTTCTCTTCCACTGGAGCATCGGACGGCTGCTCACCCATTTTGCCGTCGAATTTTTTCGCTAGTAAAGCCTAAGCTATTCTTAATGGAAGATGTCTGCTCATCAACGGGCCTTCATCGGCAGGACACTGAATAGAGTGAAATCTACTCGTCACAGACACTTAAGTGTTCTTGCTAAGTAATGTACTACAAGAACATGAAAAACGGCTATGACCAATCTGCGAAAATCCCCGTCCACCTTGTCCGCTCAGCACTGTTGCATTTTCTATAAAGAACGAGATGGAGATCATGAACATCACGATGATAGAGTAACAAGGACCAAGACGTAAGCCTGACTCGTCTAGGTTCTTCTTCTTGCTGTCAGTTATGAAATTAATGCTGAGTGGTCGTACACGTACTTTCGGGGGTCGTCAAGCACCATGGTCATTTTCGATTCTTGATCGACTGAACGATTATTGATCTTATTGCGAGGATCATCTTGTCGTGCAGGTGCAATATTAGTATGAGTATGTGGATATTTCCCATGTTTCTATTCGCGGACAAGATGAAAGAACAAGTGGGCGCCGTCATAATTCGCACGTCGGCTTCCCACGACAGACTCTCCTGAAGAAGTAGATTGGTGGTTATCTTCATATACCACATTTGCATTTCTTGCATAAATTCATTCTGATTGATTGTGTTTCTTTCTGCGGACAAGAGAAGATCTTTCACTTGCAACTCTACTTAGACTTTTCTCATATTCCTGCTGCCTCCTCCTGAGGAGCTTGGAGATGGTGGTAGCAGTGACCATGGCAGGTATTGATAAGGTTTTTCGGCTAAGCAGCAAAACGTTGCTCAAACCGTGATGAGTGATGGTTTGTCCTCCCCGCTTCAGGACGCCTACCTCGCAACACTATCTACATCCTCCTCCATGTTGAAGAACTTCCATGGCGGAAAGCGAGGATGCTCGCAGCCTCTTCTTGGTCGGTTGCTTTTCGACTGATGTTACTTCTTAGGTAGAGGAAGAAATAGAAAGGTGTTGCTTTTTGATGTCGCAACGAGCTTGGGGATTCGGATTGTTTGGTTTCACATTTTTGGTTCTATTTTCGCACAACTCATGCTTTCTTTTCATTTTTTTCCTTTAGAAATGACAACATCAATATCTACTCTTTGTTTCTGACATTTGTTCTTGTCACCCTAATTCTTAATACTTCCCACATCCAATCGGCTACTTCTCTGGGAAAAATTAGAACAAGCGCTTTCTAATACCCTATTTCGTATCTGCTGTAGAAATGATTTTTTCTTACTTATACATAGATACCCATCCGGATAAGAGAAGCGACGAACAGTGGTGTATGATGGCGCCTCTATCCTTTTTATCACACTCGTCAACAAACTCAAACTACATATGATCCACAGGGCTTAGGATCTTCCAAGCGCGCCAGTTGCTGGTGGTTTCTCGCTAAGTTGGTCTCCAACCGGTAGTTGGAGGGTCGTTAATTCAGTCACTCACCTTCATTGCTAGCGCTTTTCTGCGAGAAACGACCACGAACAATGCACGGCCACCTCGACGAGCGAGAGCCCAATACACTGTACAACCGCACAAAAAAACGAGGACCAGGAAAGAGATCACAAGGGTAGAACGTAGACGACCGACCAGACTGTAGAAGAAAACCCTCATAGTAGCAAGAAGGCGTTGACGCATTCTCTGAAAGGCGAGAACCTTTATAGGCTTGGGGCCCTGGTGCCTCACCACCAAAAAACAAGGGCCATGCATATTACCCTTCGACCACCCCCGTTCGAAGAATAAAACACAGCATGAAAAACAACTATAAATCTGTATACTCTATTTAGTACCCACCTTCACCTTGTCCCGCTTCGCCTAGTATTATAGATCTAGTTTTTATAACACGGAATGAAATTACAATTATCCTAGTATTCCTATTCCTTTTCCTGATTCTGTTAACACCAATACTCTTCTATTATCGGCGAGAGACAGGAAAAATGGAGAAGGTGACGGAGAGAACATAATAGTACACGACATGAATAAACACGGGGATGGAAGAGTCAGAGTGGAGTGAGCGAGCTAAAGTCCTCATTTTCCATGATGTTGATTGTCCAACAGAAACATTTTTCACGGAATCTATCTTTTGTGCTTGATTTCGGCCAACAATTACACTTTTTCTCGATCTACTTCTGACATTAATTTCATTTAAACCTAATAAATACCAGGTCTTTCTCAACAATCCCCTATCGCTATCGGCAAGATCGCGAGAAATTATCTTATTCTTAGCGCATTTCTCAGAAGATCACTCTTCTAGAGGAGCTATGGTGAATATATACAACGACCCAACAAAACAACAAAAATTTTTTTGATACAAGAAGATTAGATTGAATGTATTATGACACCACGGCATGACATTACCAAGTTGTTGACGAGGTGGAGCTGACATTTTGCTATAAAATAGAAATACATCAAAACAGGAACCAAAGAAAATAATATCACGGATATTACCACAAACCATGGAAGTGTCATGGACAAGCATCAATCTATGTCGTGTGCTGCTATGTGTGTGATTAGGTTTAGGAGCGCTGGATGGTGTAATGAAAAATGATGAATATGGGATCAGCAGCACTACCTAGGCACTACACCTATCCCTATTGCCAAACAAAAAATAAACAGCATGATAAGCGCACGCGGGTTTACTAGGATCACGAAGATCATCTTATTCATTTACTTGCAGTAACGAAGTGAATTATATATACCTCAACTTAATACATAAGCTTAGTCACTATCGTCTGCGAGAGCAACCACTCAGCGAACTGGCGGCGATGTACGCGCAGTGATTTCATCTGTTTCTGACACCTCAGTCTGTGTTTATGGGACAGGGGGCGTTTGAATGAACGGACGAAAGTATCAAACACTACAGCAAACTCTGTATTTCAAATTTTGACGAAAAGGTAAGATAAGCACAAAGCGAAATACTGAACTCAGACAACATCCGACAGCACTCAATGTCCATGAGGTCGAGGACAATAAGAGCAATATCGGAAAAGCCGGATTTGATATAGGTCCGTCCGCGTCGTGCTACATGAAGTAGATGATGTAGAACACTGTCAGTTCTCTAGTATGATAATGAGACGAGGTGGAGGAGCCTTCACTATGATCCCTTCTTGTTCTTCTTCTTCTTCTTCTTCTTTTTTTTGCTACCACGATGTATTACTATTACACTAAAAGTAAAATTGTTCATAAATTATGCGTTTTCGTTTTTACATTTTCGAATCTCCTAAGAGACATTTTTCAATTTCATTTGATTATCTTATATCATATGAAATATATTAACATAACTCCGAAGTTGGAAAGGCATGTGGAAATCATTCACGAAAGATATTCTCAACACCCTTGTCTTTGTTGAAGATGAAGGTGAGCAAATGATAAAAATGGAGACGCATGATGTTCCGAGTTGAACCCATACCACCAACCAGATCCCCGCTTTCTGGTGCTTGCTGCGAGTGCTAGCATGCCTGCCAATCCGCGATACCTCATAAAGAAACCGAGCATGGACAACGCCGGAGCGCAGACAGTAACCACTATCACAAATAAGCGTGCTGGCCGGAAATTTTGATGAGTTTCAAGGCCAAGATCCTCATATGCACACAATCACAATGGTCTAGGTGCTCATCCACAATGCCCCTCGTCCCCTCGACGTAACTAACTTCTTGTTGTCCGAAGTAAAAAATCAAAATGGTTGTGGTGTGTGTGTGTGGATGGTGTGCCCTTGATTTGTTTTTATAACTTACACCCTCCAGCATACAAATGGAAATAAGGTTAAGACAACATATCACAACCACTACGCTAGTAATTCGAGCGCTAAACTGACACGACCTGTGTACACAAGTAGAATACTACAACGAGTCTGATGCTAGTATTGAATTCAGTGTGCCAATTGTGATCGACATTATTACAAGCTACGCTACTCTTCCTCTCCGGTCATCCTGATGCAAATGATCTCCATCTTATCTATTTATCAGCTCTTGATTATTGTTTGTTGACGAAAAAATGAAAATGAGTAGGAATGTACTATGTAGTATAGGTATAGGTGTTTTCTTCTGCTCCGTGATATACATCTTCCATGGTTAAATTTGATCAAACAACAAAAAAAGGTGGCACTGCTAGACGCTAGCGAGTATTACTGTTCTCTCTGGAAACGCATGAGGTGTCTGTGACTTCTACTTTCCTGTCGCTCTAGTTAAGTATCATATTTCACGTCTTTCTCGTCAATGAACACATTCTATCTTGAAGTACTTCTTTTGCCAGCTCCAATAGAAAAAATTAACATTTTTACACCGATTTCCATGCGTCGTTTCCATAGAATCAATGGTCTGAAATACTTATTCACGTTCAAAGTACTCCTGCTGCTCGTACTCTGTTGATTTGAAAAAATCATTTCTGTTGCGTCCACGTTATTATTATTTGCCCTTCACTAATATAAACTGCTTCCTCGCCAAAGCCCGCTGTAAGCCCGACTCTACCTCTACTCAAAAGCTGTTAGATGTCGTCATGCGAAGGAATCGTGTGGAGCTGATATATCGGGTCGAACTCATTATATTAGAGCGATGCGAAATTCATCTCAGGAATCATCTGGCTCGCTTTTTCTTCTTGTTTTCTTCTTCCAGATGACTTGGGAGATGAATTCCCTACACCCATAATTATAGAACGACAAATCCGGCGGAGCACGTTCATGGTCATAGGGCTCTGGTCGTGTCGTGTCCTCTTCTGCAGCATCTCCGACACGTCCGGAACCAAGAGATTCTCCTTCTTTCCTTGCGTGAGCTACAACTACATCTTCGTCTTTCCCGCTTCTCGCATTAGAGGCTTTTTTGATCTTCGAATCAATTGCATGAAGGTGCTTCTTAAAAACAGCGAAGAAACTAGAACTACTTTATTGTGACATGCGCCATGTGGATCCCGATCCCTAGATGTTGACTATAGATTTTAGGTATAGGGCGGCGTGATGTCAACATCTATTCTGAGTAAATTATGGTACAGAAGTTTTCTTCATAACAAGAACAAGAGGAGATGAAGAATTGTCATTTTGCTCGCACCGGATCGGAGGGATAAAAACGTCGCCACCAAGGAAACCACCAGAAAGCGGAGTTGTTCGAGCTGTTGTGCGCGTTCCTGGAGTACTATTTACCGAACTTGTCGAAATCTCGAGATCTCTTTCCATGCGACGAGCTGACCCTCCTCCATACGCGGTTTTCGAATCATCCTTCCATGAGACGTGGTTCACAACATGCCCTGCTGGTCGTTGAACGTCCGAGAATAAACCACGTTGTTGCGACGTACACTTATGACTATAATGCTCAAGCTCATCTTCCCGCTGATCTTCTTCTTGATGGAGGACTATATTCTCCTCATCCTGTTCTTCCTCTTCATCCTCACCATGCAGCTGTTCGCCTTCGCTACTCATCGACGGAGAGTCAGGCTGCATGGGACTCCAGTTCCACGTAGTCACGCCTAGACGCGGTTGCATCGAGTTCGCGCGCTTAGGGAGCGTTATCAAGCCCGGCGACGCAGGCTCACCAGCAGCAGGCATGTTAGACACAGACTTGCAGTTTATACCTATTTCTATGTACTTACTGTTACCTTGATTGTATTTTTCTTTTGCTATCGCTTAATGATGAATATTTGAATGAAACTACAATAGATCATTCATTTCCTCAGATTCGCATTCAGGGACAGGGCAGACTTTTGAAAATAATTAAGTTTAAGCCTTAACGATGGTGGTAAAAGTACTAACTGCTCCCTCATGCTCGGCTCCAGCAATATGAGTTGACGAAGTTAATGTCGATTGGTCGTGAGTTTCTCCTTCTGTCGACGCACCAGCAACATCGAAGGAATAGTTGAAGTTGGGTAATAAAGTCTTCAAAAGATGTGTTCCTTGATGCTCTTGCTGGTCATTGTGATGAACTAGTTGCACCCTGCCTCCAAAAATGTGCTCTTCACGATTTCTGATCGTGGTCTCCTGGGGTATCATAGCGCTGGCACTAGCTTTGGTGTGATTGATAGTATTTTCTACTTCTTGGTCATCCTTTACTTCTCGAGGCTCCGAGTCTGAGGTGTTCAACGTCGTTGTACCACTTCCACCCAGCATAGGACTAGTTGGCCACGAAAGAGACAGAGACGAGCCCGTACTATTCGTAGTCGCTGTGCCGTTGGTCGAGATCACGCTGGCAGTAGACGCAGTGGATTTGCTCGCAGCAGAAGGCGCACACAGCATAGGCTTGTGAAGGTGTTGAAGCATCGCCGAGCTTGTGTTGAAGTCAGTAGCACAGAATTGATTGGACGTTGATGTCCAGGAACAGGTGTAGTCATTTTTTGGTCCAGAGTCTACGTCCAACCGTGAATGATGTTGCTGAACTAGTAATCCGGCGCTGAGCACAGCGGGTGAAGAGAAAAGGAAAGGAACAGGACTGCGTTGGCGCCGTTTTGCGCATTTTGTTGGCGATGACCCGTCGTCTTCTTGGTCCTCATCATCGAAATGCTCGGTCATTTCCCTCAGCACGTCTCTTTTCAGACGATGTATTCCTTCCCCAACATTTGCGGGTCGGTAACTCAAATTCCTGGCGGCAGCATTTGTCTTGACCGATAATGGACCCTCTACTGATCCTTTTGTTGCTTCACCATCGAGTCCCTGGACTTGCTGTTGTATTTTTTGCTGATCGTCAGACACTTGTTGAGGTCGACTTTCCTCTCCGTGCAAAAAATTCAATTTCAAAACTTGACGCGGTCTCGGCGGACACATCTCTAGTGAAGCGTCTTCAGTTCCGTCTAACACAGCAGAGCGCCTCTTCAACGGAGATCGTTTACGGTATTGCATCGCACTTTTGTGCTCCTCCTGATCCTGTGCATTTGACATACAATCGGATTCACGGCCTTTCAGCGTTTGATGATCGATTCGGAACTCTGTTTTCTCATGAGGGCCGTCAATCGCAGGAGCATCCGTGTCGAATACGCAGACCGTGTAAATTGCGTTACCGTTACTTTTGTGGCTGCTCTCAACCTTGAGCTTGAGATCCTTGATCATTTGGTTGTCTTGTTCGTCCGTTGTAGTATTACCTTTAGAAATAGTACTCAGGTCCGCTTTTTCGGAGAGTTTCGGGTCTGTATTGCCAGGCCCAGCCTCTCCTCCTGCACTATTTCCGGATTGATCATTATATTTTTGCACTGGCACCTTTTCTTGTGACTTTTTTTCACACGACTCGGTCGGCAAGAGGACCTGTGTGGTCGTCGCGCCATCGCTAGTACCGGCACTCGCTAGCGGAAGCGATCCCATGGCTCCTACTGGCGATGTCAGAGCGATTGAGGGCGGGTCCTGGTGGGCGGAGCCTAGATGGGGTTCGCGGCTGTAGCGAACCGGCAGCCCCCTGCGCTTCGCCCTCGCGCGACAAAGCAGTATGTGCGTTCGGACCGCTTCCCCGACGTAGTGGAGAAAAGCGACCTCCAGACCGGAGTCCCACTCTATGATGTCGTCCCTGCTACCCTTCTGCGTACTGCTGATCTTGATGCATCCATGCGCGACGTCGTGGTTGATGCTCAACTTGCGCCTATTGATAACTTGCTTATTGGGCGACGGCAAGCAGATCATCTCATCCTCAGAAATGGATGCGCCGAGAAACGACGACTTGCGCTGCACGCGCTGGCGTGCGCTTCCTCTCTTGGAAGATGGAGGGCGCCCGATCATGGCAGAGCTACCGCTAGTTTTACTCGACGAATTGCGGGAGCTCTTGCGGGGGGCTGTTTCTTGCCGAAGCGGGAGCAGGCTGGGTCCATTGGGAGCAACTGGCTCATTCGGCGTCACACCTCGTGGCGTAAAAAGGCCAGTCGCGGTACCAGCCTGAACAAAGCTCGTACTCGGCTTCGCTCCTGCGCCAAATAGCAAACCCGTCTCAACAGAACAAATGCGACCATTTCCACCAACATTTCGCGCCATATCCGCACATTCCTCAAGCACAAGCTCCATCTTAGTCATATCCACAGTGCTGCTGTCTGCGGCTCTGAGCACGAGTGAACCATCGATGTTCCGGGAACCAAAATCGCAATCCCCGGAGTCGCTGATCGACGGGAAGCGTTCCATGTCCGATGGAAAACGTTCCATGTTAACACAGAGCGATGAGGTAGGCGCTAACCTCTTTTCTTCGGCCTCGGCACCGACGATGGGCACAAAACTGGCGCGCGCTGTGGCTACGGCGTCACCTGGTTTCATCGTGAAAGTGAACATGATTCAGATTCATCAAATGATACTAAGTATAAAAGTGTATGAGTGGAAGGAGACTACTCTTCTGTTACCTGCTGCATACTGAAAAACAAACGTGCTGTACCTGCTTCATCATGATATCATAACTTTTATCAGAAAGAAACCTCGGTGTCGGTGGCATTACAGAGAAACCAAAAAGTAGTTGCAAGTAAACAAAAGTCGACCCTTGACTATCTCATTATTGCCGGGAAAAATCAAAATGCGTAAAATGGACGTGGCACCTCCTGGAAAATCCAAGCCTTGTTGTTCAAGTTTGTCGTTCAGCGAGGTTCCGTCCGTTGTCTTTAGCTCTACGTCAAGGGTTGAGTTCTCTTTGCGGGCACTAAAGAGTTGCGGGCACGAAGGAGCTTTCGGAACGAAGCTGAGGGATCGCTGAAAGCTACTGGCGGCATCGGGAGACACGGCTGCAAGACCCTGATAGGACTGTTGTTCTGATGAAACATTGCCCACGGTCGGTGTGACGGGACCTGGAGGAGGGGTCTCGCAAATCGAAAACCGCTTGCACAATGCTCCGGCGTGCTCTCCAGCATCGCTCCGGCTCTTCCGCTTCGGGGGCGATGAAGACGGCAATACAGTCATACTTTGCTTTTGTACGTTTAGGGCAGGCCCAGCAGCCGCACCTGGGCGATTGTCGAGCTCTCCACGATTAAGCGGGTCATGCAGTGCTGCAGCTTCCGTGTCTTTTGTGCTGTCCTGCGTTAATGTTCGAAGCAAAGGACGAGCGGCATTCATCTTCGGTGACGTAGACATTGCTGAGCCTGCTCCTCTAACATGTGCATCTGCGTGGCTGCCGTTGCAGGAGCTCGAAGCTGACACCAGCGACGATGCGCCTCGAGATGAAAATACGGTTGACCACGGAAGGGTGCCCACACTGCTCGGCGTCGTTGTTTGCGAGTTCTGCGCAGCGCCACTCTTCGGGGAGGAAACAGTAGTTCGGCGGCAGCTCATGCGGCGACTCGAGGACTTGCGTCTCAGACTACGCGGCACAGCCTTCGTGCTCTTTTCGTCCACACTTTTTTGAGTTTGCGAAGCCGTAGACTCATCCACCTCGCCCGAAGAGCACGAGGAATATCCACTAAAATTGCACATTGACATCATTGTCACACTTGCTCGAGCCAACTCCTCAATGTTTGTGACTCGAGCACGCTCCTCAACTTGACGGCCTGCACAAAGAGGCTCGCCGTGCTCAGAATGGCAGCTGCTCACGTTCGGGTTTTCCGTCGATGCACTTCTACTCTCCTCATCAAAGCTGCCAGCTTCGACAAGGCTGTCGTGACGACAATTATTCTTCTCAAGCATCATGTGTATCGCTCCACCTTGTCGTAACAAGCCAGCTCCGCTGCTTTCGCAAACATCCGCTGCAGAGGAGCTAGTAAGCGCCACAAGCGTAGGACTGGTGTGAGGTACACACGGAAGAAAGACCGTATTCTCTTCCGCGTGAACCTGGTCGAAAGCACCGCTTAAATCGACCATTCTCTGCTGTCGGGAAGGGTCGTCCTCGGTGGGCTCCAGCCGGCGTGACTTTCGCCGTTCCCCAGGCTGGTCCAGCGACACTGAATCAAAGCGGCACCGCAAGAGAGAAGCCCGACCGCGCATTCCAACAGGACTCTGGGAGGCACTATTGCTACGGGGTCTCACAGATGCAGAAGGAGCGTCTTTGTTTTCCCCCGAACTTGGTTTGTCGAGGAAAAGATCGAACGGATTGACGCACGTGCGATCACATTGATTGTCGAACAAACTGTAATTGTGCGGACTTGATGTGGGAGAGATCAGAAAATTCATGTCGAACGCATCGCCGTCAGCTACGAGCGCTGTTTTTAGCAGACAAGGGCCAATCGCTGTCGCGATCGTCGACGACGACGTCGTCTCGACTTTCGTCGTAACATCTGCTGCCGATGCTGCTACTCCAGTTGCAGCCTCTATGTCCTTCGGCGTATTCTTCTCCTCCGTCTTTATATCACTGATGCTGCGACTCGGTGCACTGCCCAACGTCAGCTCGAGTTCCGTTTCGTCATCGAGGCCCTGTTATGTCAACATACGAAAATTTATAACAACTACAGCTCTAGCTTCTACTTCTACCTGTGCTTCTAACTCTAACAATCTTTGCTTTTAACACACCCATAACGATAACCTCCAATACGAACAGCATAAAATAACGGAAGAAAAAAGTAAGTAGAAACTAACAGAGGATGACATGGCATTTAGTTTCGTGTTGATATTGAGTCAAATATTAATATTCTTCAGCATCATTCTCAAGCTCATACTGTCTCGTGGCAAGAAATTGTTCTTTTCTAATTCCATCTCCCTAAACCTAGTAGTCATCTCTCACGTCCTGATACAAAAAAGCACTTACCGTGAGAGCGAACTCCAGCGGGCCGGTAAGCGTAAGATTGGAGCCAGTAGGAGAAGCGCCACCCCCAGAGCTAGCGGGCGATTGTGGCTGGGGCGAGTCGTTGAGGATGCTCATGCAGCTTGCTTCCACGGCCGCTGGCACTGGCTCAAGGTCAAGGTTCTCGATAGTATTAAGCCGGCACGCAGGTGCAGGAAGTGGCGTATACCGTGGACTCTTAGCCGCGGCAAATTCTTCGTCCCAATAACTGTGCAGTCTGTGTCTGCTTTTACGAACAGTGACCATCTGACTCTGGAGTTCCGTCAGATTTTCAGGCATCTTCGTGGGGAAAAGCGGACCTCCGGTATTTTTCTTATTGAAGGCACCAACCCCTCCGCGGCGCAGTGCCATCATCTTTTCCGTCCCTGAACCGAGGAGGCGGCCCTGAATATTCCCTTTTTCTTTATGTCCGAGAGCGCCGGCACCAGCAGTGGCTCCTGATGCTGCATTTTTGAGTTCTTCGCCATCCGCATTGCCGTTGCTTGCAGCAAAGGCGGCCTGCATCTCACGCCTTCGGACAGCCGGTGGGCGATACAGTTTGCGACCACATGCTGAGGTCGTCCCGCGCGTTTCTCGGCTTGTTTCGTCGGTTTCTAGCATTGGAGGAATGGTAGTCGATTCCGAAGATAGCGTCTTAGCGCTATTCACGCACTGCTGTAAAGATTTCGTGGCGCCCAATCTACTGGAAGTTGCCTCCAGGGGAGTCGAGACTTTCGCGGCGGAGCCTGTGGGAGAGACGGGCGGTACTGTTGTGACTGCATTCGCATTCTCGAATGTCATCGGCGACGGTGGTGTTGTGCTTTTTTGGTAAGTAGTCGGCTCATGAGTCGTGGCTTCTTGAGTGCTGCACGAAATATCATGATCGTCGTATGGTGTGTTCAGCTTCACTGCTTGGCCATGCACGCTGCCCCGAACTTTCGCTGTGCTTTTGTTTATGAAGTCCCCGACTAGAACTGACCTACGCGGGGAGCGCCTAGAATGTCGCGTGGCCCATGTTTGACTGTTGCGTTTCTTGCTGCTACCTCTTCGCGGATACCGGCGCATGCCTCCCTGTGTCGACGCCCGCCTGCTACTGCTTGCAGCAGGACCTTCTTCTGCAGCATCATCTTCGTCTTCATGCTCACTTACAGACGCCAAACCTTGGTCGTCCCTGCTGTCGCAGCGAGCCAACGCCTGCCGCGTAGACGGTCGACCAACGGCGCGCCCTGCCATTTTCTCACTTGCACCTGCCCCTCGCTCTGATGGCCTTCGCCCGGAGGTTGAAGCAAGGGGGTTTTTGGATGCAAATGACAAGCGAGCTGCAGGTATACCGCCCAAGTGCTCTGGCAGACGTCGCTGCTTCCCCCACCAACGGACCGCTGATTCCAGTGCATGCAGTGACAGATGTTCCAACACGCACGGGTCGGATGCTGGGCCGGTGCTCGGAGACGAAGCGGATGTGCTCGTCGCCTCAGGAGCTACGCGTGAAGCCGTTTCAGCTGGAAGATGGCCGAGACTGCGTGACGGACCTGGTCCTGGCTCGTCCTCGACATCGCGATAGAGAATCGTGCCAATTTCGTAAAGAGTGAGTCCCATTTCTGCGCCGACTTTGAGCAAAACAGTCGCCACCTGCATCCACCGCAAGGCCTCATTCTTGATACCGCAATACTTTGACAGATTTTCCCTGTCGAGCTCGGGATTCAAATCTTTGATTTTCTGCCGTGTCTCTTCGGAAAAGGGCTCCTTGGCCTGCGGGAAGCTCATCCAGGTGAGATCGGACGCTGCGATGTCGAGTCTATCTGGCAGAGACAGGCCATGATCGATAGGAATCAACTGCAGGTGTCGGCGTTTTCGTTTCTCAATGCGCGTCCGCGGCTCTCCTGCTGGCTGCGATGAGAACTCCTCATCCTCGGGTACTTCCACGTCCTCCTCGATGAAGGACTCTTTGACTAGGCAATTTCCTTCATTGCGGTCCATGTTCAGAATACGAATGTCTAAGATGCCGATGTTGTGCACCTGCTCCACCGAGAACAAACCTCGGCCGAAGTCTCCCAAACAATCGGACGCGTCAACACGCTTTTGCAAACTGCCATGCTTCCAGATAACACCTTCGTGCGGATTGCAGAAAGCCGGATGACGGGCCTGGCACATGATTGTGGGAGGCACGCCCGCCCATCCTCGATCTAGGACGTATGCGGCCACCTCACGACAGGCTTGCTGCGTGGCGTATACACCGGGTCGAGAACTCTCTGCGTCGACTTCATCCTTGTTCCCGCCTCCGAGGTGTCCCTGCTGACTCTGCTGTGTGCCGCTAGTACCAGTTGCTGCAGTTGCAAACGTGCCGGCCGCCGCGCCCGTCCCCGGAGCACCGGAGCGTCCAGCCGAGTCAGCTCCCTGTGGTGTTGCCTGGGGAGCCGAAAAAGTACTGGCACAGGCGTCTCCACTTGCGCACGCAGCTCCCCTAGGATTGAAAGCTGCGTGAACCTCCTCGTCCTTTGGCTTGAAGAAACCCAATGGTTTGGCTTCGGTTGGTGGCAGAAGCATGCGACCGCGCGAGCTTTTTGTCGGTCCTCCGTTCTCTTCCGGGTCAAAAATCATGTACGTTCCACCAGTCCCCTCGGCCGTGATTTTCGGCACCGCACCGTGTGAAAAGGCCGCCGCCGCACGCTCAATCAAGCTCTTCACGTCAGGGTCGTCCTGGTGGGCCTGCGGGTCCGCTTTGAAGCAGACACGGGAAGATGCGGCTCTAGAAGTCGCAGCGGCTCTTCCAGACGGCCGACGCGCGGTTGTTGCTGCAATCGCACCGGGACAGACTGACCGACGCGAAAGTGGAGGCGCCTTTTTTGTTTTTCTGCTTGGTGAGTTCATCCGGGCTCCAAATGATGAGGAGGTGGCACTCTTTATAGTTTTGCGTCCGCCAGCAGACGGGCTGCACCACCCGGATACGGAATTGCTGCTGCATATATTTTTCCCAGAAAACAAGCTTCGGGCAGCAGTGGGTGATGCGGAGGATGAAGTACTCGGGTGTAAATGGAACTCGATATCGGGATCTAACTGCAGTCGACGTGCGATCCTTGACGAGGTCTGGTTCCCCCTGGTGCTGCTACTGGTCGATCCAGCAAAGTGATGTCTATTTGCGACACCCATATTCGTGTAGGGAAAAGAGCTCATCGAGTTAGCTTTTTCCGTAATAGAAGACGCTGTCTCCCCATGAGTTTGAGTTCCAGCGGGAGTTGAGCTAGCTTTATGGGACTTGATCTGCGAGGTAGACAAGGAGAGCGAGGTGGCCTCCCTTTGGCAGCTTGTTAAGCCATCGTTTTCGTCCTCGTCTGCAGTGTCACTCGCTTCGCTGGTCGACGCACTGTCGCTTTCATCCTCGTCCGCATGATAGTCCTCGTGCCCGCTCCTCGATGCTCTCCCCTGTCGCATTTCTTTGTGTCGCAGTGCTCGAGCGCGATGACTAGTTTCTCGATTCTTGCGCGTGCAACCCAAATCCGAATGCGATGTCTTCACCGCAATATTGGACTTCTTGAATCTTGTATTAGACCCTTGCCCGCTTTCATTGTTTCCTCCATTTACTGCAATCTCTGTGGCTTTTTTTCCATCTCTCTGCTCGTGCTTCAAGGGCATGAATGGCGCATCCCCATTATCTCGATATCCACTACTGAAAGGAGAACCTGTATCATCTTGTTGCTCGACGTGGTGGTCTTGTTCCTCCTCCACATCAATCATATCATGATGCTGAAGTTGCTCGTCTTTGTCTCGCGCTGCCTCAGCTTCTTTTTCTTTCAGGAAGTCGGGCACAGCAGTTGGTTGCGCGTCCTCCGGCAATAGATAGTCAGCGACGACAACATCCGTACCGAGGCCAAAAACTTGAGCGAATGCCATGCCTCTTCCCTTCAATTCTACCCCCTTGTAGATGACACCTGGTCGTGAAAAGGAAACAGACGCAGCGTATGGGTATGTAACTACAAAAGTAGGTATACCATTCATCATCACTTTGTCACTAAATACATCATATGTAAGTATTGAAGCCTCGAACTCTTTTTTTTTGCGTTAGCATCATGCACATGATATCTGTCAAATACTCAACGAAGTTGTATGAGGAACAACAAGTATCAGATTTACTTCCCAAGCAGAGAATGATCTTGATCATGTGATGTTTCGTGTGATATATTCATTCGTGTCAATCTTCACCATGTCCGCGTTGAACTCACTCATCTCAACGCACAATCCAAAACCTCCAACAACAACAGCTTACTAATCAAAATTTGTACGTAACGCTTCCGGGTCTGGCATTTCATACTTGCAGCACGATTTCAGGTGCGCCGCAAGACCATGCTTGATCATTGAAAGGCACATCCAGGGGAAAATTTGCATAGTGTAGGTCATGTTGTCTGTGTCATTGCTCCTTTCCGTATGTTCCCTCAGCCTATACAGGCGCAGGGTAATCGGTTTCTCTTGCGTTCCAGGAACCATTTTATCGCAGTCGTAAGCGTAGTTTAAACGACGGACAGCACTGGAAGAGAGCTAAGGCTCTCCTTGTTCTTGGAGGTGTGGCTCTGCCTACAAGAACTGTGGAAGCGAAAGCGATCGTGTTTTCACGAGGTCGAGGCTGTTAATCAATGATGAAACAAAAGGAGGCTGTCGTTGTAATATGAAAAATGCAGCACTGGTCGAGTACAACAGCAGACGTGCATTACTACGACTACTGGTTCTTGTTCTGCTTTGATGGTGTCGTCGACGTCGGAAAGCATAGTATGGAAGACGTTGAGGTTTGCTTCGCTTCTGATGACGTTCTTGTTTGTTCAAAACCCATCCTTTAACGTTCCTGGTCGTCCTTTCCTGATTTTCTCCTAGACGACACGAGGCTGGCGCTGCACGTCGTATCGTCGGAAATCGCGGTCACATCTTGATGATTTCCCCACGATCGTACCAAATGCGGACGACGTGGTCGTTGGGATCAAAAAGCGTGGTCCTCTACTTGAAAGTCTGCCTCCATGTGATGATCACGCAAACTCGACGTCTTCTCATGAATTCTAGTCCTCTTTTTACTTTTTGTTTTACTCTTTATACACAAGTGAATAAGAAAAATGAAACGGTAGTCTTTCTCTAGTAGTTCTTGTTGCGCTCCCCAGTCCCAACCCCAAGTCGTTTGTGCTATAAATTTGATATTCAGAAGCGAAATCAATCAATGACAACGTGGACGTGCGTCCTAGTCAAAAAATAACATGTACTCTTAATGAGCAAGAGCATGTTGGAAACTACACAGGATGGCGCAGGCGCTCATCTGTATCTGATAGAAGATCATGTTAGAAGCTATACGAGATGTTAGCTTTAGCTCGATACTAAAAACTAAAACAACGAGATGTTAGCTTTAGCTCGATACTAAAAACTAAAACAAGATGGAGAAAGATGAGCGAGAACATTCAGAGTCACTCTAAGTCTAACATTCTTCCTTCTCTTGTCTTTAGATGTTTCCTTCTCTCGTCTCGAGATGTGCCGATGAGAGACCGCTGTTCGCAAGATATCTCATTCACAAATCACGTATGAATCTTAAAATATTTTTCATGAGTGACAGAGTGAAATAAGAAAAGTTTAAGCTAAACTTTCATTTCTCTTCCTCCGATATGATGTTTCATTTTGCTCGTTCTGCTTCTCGTCCTCGTTACATTTTGATTATATTTTTGAGATACTGATACTCGTGGTTGCGAATCTTGTTCTCATGCAACCAGAGCGAGCACTTTTTGTGAAGATATCTTCATCGAAATGCCAATACAGGATGATCTAGATGATCGACTAATTGCTTTCTCGTAAAAAAATGTTCACTCTTGCGGCCGCAAGCACCAGCAGGCTCTCTAGACCATAGAGCACTGCCCTATAACTGCTACGCCATACTCTTACACTGTTCCTGTGCGCATCTTTACCTTTATCCTACCTAAAATCAGAATACGTTGTCACAGGCATCGTAAATCATTCATATTTTATGTTACAACTACTCATTGAGATTGACATTGTCCACCGTGCGGGTTCCAATGAATATGAAGGCTCTCGTGTCGCAATGTTCAGCCTACCAGCAACAATAATCAATCGATTCTCTACCCGGTTGAGAGCGTAAGGACTACTATACTGGCTCTTTCCTCAGACGGACCCTATGCGAGCGCCAAAGCTGCCGTTACTGACGAGCTATTCGCCCCGCAGACGTCACCTGCTTTCAATGAGTAAGTATGTGTCTATTTCTTCCAAAGAAATGAGTCATGTATTGCTATCGTCTCCCCTGGTGAGTTCTATTTTCTCATCTAATACAACTACTCCCACTCTTATGTATAAAATCTGTCAGTCTGTACATTGTGAGAGAGAGTGCTGAGATGCGCTTTTTACGGCTACATCATGTGCTCTACTTCTACAACATACACCTCCTCTTGTTCACCTTCTCGTCCTGCGAAGAATAGCTACGGAAAGAAGAAATATCTTCTACGAATAATCTTCATCTTACAAGCAAAGTTGAAGATGCCTTTTCTCTTTCTTACAACTAGCACACTTTCACACCAAGACAGCCTTTGCAGGGTGCCTTCATATTTCCAAGAAGGTTGCAGGCTTTGCTGTCAACAACTTAAGAGGAGCTGTCAACGATGGATCATCCAGTTGTCGTTACGATACCAATGGAGGTATGTGGAAGTAGTGCAAAATATTGATGACTACTGGCAGCTACAACCGGTAAGACACTACTTGAAGTGGAGTCTGAGTGAGACTTTATGATTTATTACACAGTAGATTGTTGAGTTGATGGTCAACAAAAACAAGCGAAACTCTTTGTTTCTACTGATTGATTGGCTACGCCGGCAGCCCACAAAGGACTCAATGACCGTGTAGTCGCTCAAAAAAAAGCGTCTAACGAGAAGCGCAGGATTTAGAGTTATGTGTGATATCTTCGGTATCACACTTGAGAATTCAACGCCACGGCTTCTTGTGCTAAAAACCTGAAGCTGAACCTATGTTCGCCTCAAAAAATCAAGTAGAACTAACTTGCCCAACGCCTTGAAATTAATTGTCAGTCAGGAGCATGATAAGATTCGAATCCTCGACGCAGGTGCACCTTGTTAAGATTCAGATTCAGAGGGTCACCACCGCAGCTTTTTTTTTTTTGTAGTCCGAGAACGCCGAAAGGGTGATCCCAGTGCTGTCCGGTGTACCTGCCGGCGACGGGTGGAGTGCATTAACCGCCTTATACTACCGCGCACTAATTGCCTACGAACCCGTCGATTATATAATGGAGAAAAACCTAGGGGCAAAGGAGGTGATTAATTAATTACTATAAACCTCCACCGGCTGCCAACCGTCCCGCTCTTTTTTTTTTGGATCCCGGGGCTACTGAAGGAGCGGCCTCAGCTTTATCCGGTTCGCAAACCGGCGGCGGGTGGAGTCCGGTTACCTCCATATAATACTGTGCACTAATTGCCTACGAGCCCGCCACTTTTTTTTGTATTCCAAGACTGCCGGAAGGGTGATCCTAGTATTAACCAGTTCGCAAACCGGCGGCAGGTGGAGTCCGATTGCCTCCTTATATATATTACTGCGCATTAATTGTCTACGAACCTGCCGATTCTAAAAAGATGAACCCTAGGGGTAAAGGAGGCGGGTTAAGAGTCCTATATAAACCCCCACCGGCTGCCAACCGGCCCACTCTTATACGCCTGCCGCCAAGGCACGAGAGCAGGGCCGCCAACCCTGCTTACCCTTGACTAATCAATGCGCAATCAACTGACAAGTGAACACATAAAAGTAAATGCCTACTGGCGTAAGGCCCTAAGTGCCACACGTTTTTCGTTGTTGGGAGTGCACTAGCCTAGTTTTTCTTATCTTCACTGCTTCGCGCTCCCTCCTTCGCCCCGTGCACCATCCTCAACCGCGCCCCGCTTCCGCAATCGCCATAAAATAACCAAAAAGAAAAACAGAAACCGGAGGGCTTACTCCAACCAAAGGGGCTACCCTATGCCTGAGAGCCACTACTCTGCTAAGACAGGCGGGAGATAAAAGGATCGGCAAGGGAGAGCGATGGGACGCTCTCCCCCTTTTAAATTCAGCTGCGAGCAAGATCTGAAATTTTTCTATTCTTCCATCCTTCTTCTTTTTGTACGTAGGCAAGTCCTCGCCCCTCGAGTCACACTGAACAGAAGTCGAGAACACTGTAGACCCCAATCAGTTTCCAAAAGGCGGCTGGCGGGTCACCAAAATGCGTAAAAGTCACCCAGGTAGGTAGGTGGCATTTATGCACTTCGGTTTCACTCGACTCTCAACAGATTTCTTCTGCCACGCACCTGAGGCAGCCACGCACGCGCCTGAGCACGGGATTGAGGAGAATCACAATTGACAGCGTCGCTCTGTCTGCGGAATCCAGCTCTCCCACATCTTGATCAACCTCTCACCTAAGCAACAAAAAAACATAAAACTGCTGGCCTCTTTCATTTATTTATCGTCCCACTCCCAGTAAGATCTATCGACGTTTCATTAGCTACTTATCCCTCCTCATCCTCGTAAACGTAATGGTCATGGCGGGAACCGCACGCGAACCCAATAACAATATTTTGTACAACTGCCCAAGACCACGTGAACTCTCAACTATTGTACAATGAATTTTACTGCTTGATGTTCTTCCTTCAGGAAAAGTCATTAAGTTCAAGATTTATGTTGGGTATAATGTGTTATGGATATTGTGAACATCATGTTAACTAACTTTACACAATTGCCAACAAACAAAAATCACGCCAATGCTTCTCCTTATTCTTGTAGTCGTCCTTGATTCGAAGTAGGTTTTAACTGTTCATATTGAAGACTGGTTCACCTTCACGAGTTGAGCCCATTGGTTTTACAAGGAGGTTCTTGGAACAAAAAACGGCTTTTGGAGTTGCCGAAAAAACATCAATTTTCCTGAAAACACATCCGTAAGATGGCTTTCAGATAAATTCGATTTCGATGGCTTTCGAAACCTCTCTGTCACTGGCATATCATTTTTACGGATCAATGACATCCATATCTTCTACTGGGCATCATTCACAAAACACCGGGAGATGAAACACTTCAAACAAAAGGGGCATGAAGACAAGGGGAACAGTGTCTTTTTTTATCAATAAAAAAAACTGAGTCTAACTCTAAGAGGTATTTCTTGAACTATGACTTGTTCAACTTAATTACTCGGCGCACGTGTTAAAAGCATCTTAACGACGACGCGACTTTACTCTAGAAGTTCTTGTGCTAGGATATGAGCTCACAACATCAAAATCAGATGAAACAATTCACTTGACAACACCAATGTGAAGCCTCTCTCAGTAGATCATTCGATTTTTCACAAAGGATTATAGCTGGTAGGTTCCTTTGTGTTTCTACTTCTGCTCTCTCAAAAACCTTTATTTACAATAACAGAGACTGAGCTACTCCTTGTCACAACGACAACCCCTTGACGCAAGCTCTCACCCTGCTGGCTGCGATTGAGCATGGAGGATTGGATGGAATGATGGATGGCAGGAAGACGTATTTCTTTTTTTCAATCTGAAACTCGTACTCGAGGAACCACAGCACACAATATCACCATGCATCACGAAGATTATATAATACTAGGTACTCCTACTCTACGACTGCGTCGTTCTTCTTTCACTTTCACTTCTGGGAAGAAAAGCAAGAACGGTTCTCAGCCAAGAACAAACACAATTGATTCTAGAACAATAAAGAACAAGAAGTGAACAATGACAACTACAAGTCGAAGTCCCACTGTAAACTACTGGACTGCAGAATCGCCGCCACATGAAGTTTCATTTAAGAAACGCGACGACCACTGAACCCGCGACATCGACGCAACCTTAGGATTGTCATTCTGCGTGGTCGTGCAGGTGGTATGGCGCATATCAATGAACTGATCTTGGCACCATTGGAATACAGACACTCACACCCTGAAGAAAGCGAGCCTCGTCTGTAAGTATATTGCGTTTGCGTGCTGTCAGGGAATGAGAATAACAAGCACGAAATAGGAACAGTCATAATCGATTCTCTCACGCTGTACACGCACTAGATTCACGCCATAACTTTCAGCAACTCACTTGTAGAGGACGACCCGTTGTACTTGCATCATATCTGAACGCTGCGCATAATTCATAAATCACTGTCATCGACAGTACCACAAATAAAACGAGAGCGCCAGTTTTAATCATTTCGCCATGCTGTCGGCTTTCTGTCAATGATTTGATGCTCTGCTGATGCGACGCCATCAATATTAGATTTTGATTTTCTGTTGGGGCCGCTGTCGACGTACAACTTTCATCGAAGCCATTTACAATAAAGAGCCTGCCAAGATAGAGATAGAGTAGTTATTGAATCTAGTGGATACAATAGCGCTGCCGCGTGTAATAAAATACGGATAACAACCGGTCATGTGGTTCTGATGTCATTCTACATGATTTTCGCCTCCGTTTCCTGTTGCCGATTTAGATTTCAGTGGGATCTAATTGAGGTTCTGTTTGAGTATGTTGCTCCAAATCCAATTATACCCTACAATGGGGCTCGCTTGTCATTGTGACACGACACTAATCAGAACTACCACCAGATCCAAAGGCAATGCAAGAAAAAATAAGAGGGATTTACAGAAATGATGACAAAGGCTTGCATTCATATTGTTCTAGAAAAGTCGTGGGATCATGGACTTGCTATCGACGGATATGAAGATCCTAGGCTACGAGCACAACAAAAAAAAGAGCAGCCTGCGTACTTGAGGGCAGGAGCCTCTTTCTCTTATGAGCGATCTTCCAATGGCCAATGCGACGGCCGACGACGCTCATCGAGATGTCGTGCGGATAAGGCGACCTTCAAGATCTGATCGCAGGAGAATAGCGAACACAGAGTCTATGTCCCCAGTCTTCTTAATAACAGGCTTGTATCAGGACGTAGGATACGCTGGCTCCGTTGCGCAGAAACAGAGCTACTCTGGTGTGCTTGTCCGCTCTCATGGTGTTACCTCGTCGACGTATGGTCCTATTTCCGCTGAAATCTGCATAAGTCACCTGGGTTTCTTCAATTGCAATTTCTTTTGCAGTTCGTTGTAATATTTCGTAGCATGCTGCAGGCACAGGCTAACGCCAAAAAATACAAAACACGGAGCATAATGAGGGAAAAAATGTATGATTTATATTTTGTCATGAAAATTCCATCGGCGTTCGGGTTGGAGCTCTCTTTCTAACGATGACTATGTCATGCTCTTGTTTACTTGGTTCACATTTGTACTAGTTGTACCGCGACAGCTAATGGTTATCATGATAAGATATTTGTATCTATTTGTTATAACGACAACGAGCAGGAGAAAACAAGAATAGTTGAAGCTAGCTCTATTGGTGTAGTTATTTCTTGTAGTTTAACGACATCAAATAGGTCGTTTCTATGCAATTGAGATCACTCCAAGTTTATGTTGAATCTGAAGAATTTGTAAGTGTCAATGCGAATACAAGCGTGATATTCGACGGCACACCCACAGCCTCCACAGGTTACCATGTACCTAAAATGTAACGACACCATCACGGAGAGACACGGAAAATTCGATCAATATACCTTATAAAGAGCTGCAGTGCGTGCGCAATCAGCTGCAAAAGCACTAGCACAAGCTAGAAGAAGCAGATGTGGCACTAGCAGCGGCATTTTTACCGCTACAAACAACTACCAGTACTATCTCCTGTACTGTTTTTTTCATAGTACTAGTACGACATTACCTAAACGAACCTATGTATGACTTAAGACTTCGTAAAATCTTGACAGCGACCTTTCTTCGAGATCCAGCACTCCTTAACTGAAATGCTAATTTCTTTAGCTCGACGTTAGCGTCATGCTCCGCAAGACGGTTTCTGCGAGTGTGACCGGCATGAGAAGAGGTGACAACAGCGTAGGCACTGCGGGTTTGCTGAAGCTCCGTAGGTGAAAAGCAAAGCCAAGGCCTGCCAATCCGAAGCCTAGCATTTCCTCCATTGCGGCGTCTTTATGACCCACAAGATGACAGAATGCTCCGATACATGTAATTCCGCCCCAATGGCACGTCGACCAGGTCTGAAGTTGTTGTTGAGTTGTATGTTGTCGAACGCGGTTCTAGATGTTGTGAACAACATCATGGTAACTTATTTCAAATGCAGACAGGAACAATATGAAACAGACCACAAAGTGGAGAGAATTCACATTCACAAGAAAACGTCAATGACTACTGACAAAACATTTCCTGTCCCAGTGCCTTAAATCTGACCTGTCCTTCTGCTCAAATGGAGGACGCCGCTACGTCACACACCGTGAAATTGAGTAGTGTTTATAGTTGTAAAAAAACTTGTATGTCTTAGTACCGCTGCCATGTCCTTTAGCTTCCAGGAAACGTAGACGCCCAAGCTGCTAGCGACCGCTCGCACTCCTAAGCGGGTCCATGCCAAAGTTGTTTGAATGCTCTGCTTTTGGACCAATGCCTTCTCATCCTCTGCTTTAGACACGGTACTCACATGTGAATCACGCGCATCACCGTCTTCCACGGCTCCGGAAATGCGTGTTTCAGCCTGACAGTGTTTTAATAGACGGATTTTGGTTCCCAGTGGTCGACGATCGGATCAGCCAGGTACTGGTAATTGTACTTGAGATTGCATTTTTACTTGTAAATATAAATGAATGTATCAACAAGTTCAAATATCATCTTGTAAAAAATCTATGATGTTCTTTATAGCGTTAGCGACGAGAGGAAAGTTAATAATCGATATCAAGGCATCAAGACGGACCTGATCCATGAATCGTTCGACGACGGACATAATGAAGCTCGTTATTCGGTCGCCGAGGGTCAAGCCAAGACCAAACTTTGCAGCGTTTTCGTTGACTGCAGCGGAAGATTAAAGAAGTTGGTCGCGAACACCGTTCATTAGTTGGTCGTGGACGTACTTGTGATTGTGCTTGTGGTAGTGAGGTAATATATAGTAAGCTACTTGTAGTACTAGAGGCCTGAATAAGAAGATAATAAATTGAACGAAAGAAAAATCATCAACTGACTGTTCTTCGTGCTCCTCTTCGATGATCGCGACGATGTGAAGAAAGAGTTCCAGAGATGCCGAAGACTTGATTTCCATGCCGGATTGATACTGAAGATTCAAAAAAAAATTACAGTCATTCTCGGGGAGCGCGGATGAACATCAGTTGCAATGCCAAAGCTAGAGTCATAACAAAGTGAAGCGAGGAAGCCCACGTAGATGCTTCGCATGCATCTGAGGATGCGCTCTGGGTCAATGCTCGAAATCGCCGCTAGGAGTGTCGTTGATGGAATTTCAACCTTGCGCTCGCTACCTGAGTCGGTCGGGCTGTGCTCATTGCTGTTTGTACCGGTGCTGGACACGACTATTGCGCCGTCCTCTCCACCGATGTGGCTCACGAATTTCATTGTAGATTCCTGGATTTTGTTTATAAGCGACGAGAGTGGCGCAGACATTGACATGGAGTCATGTTGACTGAAGATGATCAAGAAGCGGAACCAATCACATAGCACTCTGGGTTTAATCGGGTTACTACATGTATCCTCTATCCAAGATCGCACGTAGTTAGACGATTTCAATGGCGTTAAGTCAACTAAGAACTGCACTAGAACGGTCATGGTTGTCGCCTCCTCGTCCTGGAAGTGCTTCGCTTAGCGACTTTTGCGACTTGCTCTCTCTTGGTTTTTCTGTCTTTTGGTTTCGTTTCATGTGATTCCCCGCGCCCCTCCAGAGTCCACCGCATCAGCCTGCAAGTGTGTGCTTGGGGATTCTGGAGGGGCGCGGGGATTTGGAGGGCGCCCGAGGTTCTTGGCTCGCAATTGGGGGAAGGTTTTCGCGAAGGGAGCGCAGTAGGCGGCGAGTGTTCTGCGGATTCGCATCATGCCCGGCAGGGTTGAATTATGTCCGGACTTTTGCAGTCCTTCGTTGAATTTTCTCCAATAGAATTTGCAGGGTTTCGTCTTAAAGGACAAGTGAGCCTCACCCTGTCATTATACGTAGAAATAATTATATATAATATAGGGAAGCTGCTTGCTCCTACGGTAAAAGTACACTTGTAATTTTTCGAAGTTCGTTGATGTTGCGCATCACCTCCTCTCCCTCAGCCGACTGAAAAGCCGTCGCGCAGAGAAAGCAATGGGAGAAGTTTCCTCCGTAGAAACATGCGATATACCCTACACCCATCTCTGCCGTCCATCGGTAACGTTGCAAGAGCGAGCGAATCTGGTTGCACAGATGAGGGTGGATGCAGTAGAAACATTGATCTTGATGTAGTACACGGATAGCACAACATCAAGATCTGATTTCATATTATCGACAACTTTTTGCTCAAAGACACTGCTTCACAGTAGATGTAGATAGTAGGTTGGGCTCTGTAGAAGTTGCTGAATCAATGTTGTACAACTACGTTGAGTTACGGTTATTAGCCATCAGATGGGAAGCGAGGACAAAAAAATCTAACTCTAAGTAAAAACTGGAACTGTAACGAAACCAGGAAATCATCAGTGTACCGGTTCCACTCCTTTCTTCAGCTTTTCACTCGTCTCCTCAACCATCTCCTCAACCTCATGCACGGTGATTTTACCATCCCCGTCTTTGTCCAATTTGGACATCACAAATTCTCCGAGTTTCTGCATCCTCCACCGCGCTCGTCCACCAGACACAAAGTCTCCCAGTTGTAATTGAACTTACTATGAGGTGTATGTGAATGGAGTGTGCGCTGCCGGAAGATGAAGCTGCAGGGCACAACCTTCCTTCACTATCTTTTGGTCGTGTTGAATGATTCAGCGACGTGAGGAATTAGCGTTACACCTTCAGAAAAATAGTAGCAACGACACAGATAGAGATATTATTTAACCCTGATACAAGTTAAAAAGGGAGACTTCTTTGTGTATCATGCGATAATGTGAAATGTGTGACGAGACTTGTGATTTAATACCAGTTGTACCATTATAATAACTTGCTTATAATTATATGGATATACTATAAATATAATCGTTATGCTTATGTTCGTTCTTGTTTTTCGACGTGCCCTTGTTTACGCTTTCAATCTCAGAAGGAATTATGAATATTCGCCGTGTATTCGATGATCACAGATCCCTTTCTTGGCAAACTATGGAATTATGATGACAAATGACAAAAATACATTCAACGTCTAAATTGAAAAAAATATGCATTACCGAAGGCCATGGCCAAAACGTTCATCTGTATAACGAGACTCACGCCGTGTTTCAAGAGGTGCCACTTTGCTAACAGTTTTCGAATTCTTATTCGTTCAATACTGCCCTGTAGCTACTTTGGGGAACAGACAGTTGTCTGTTAAAATTATTGGGAGACTCACACATTGACATTGGCTGCAAGAGGAAGCTTTAGTCGAGAGTAATGTGTCCAATTGCTCTCGTCCCTCTCATCCAGATTGCCCGAAGTTGATGTTGCGCTATTTCGTTGAACCCAGGGGAATTCACGCTCATCAATGGTCAACATGTGAATCCGGCAGCAAAGGTCTCTTCACTCATGATCGATGTATCGCTGTACCAGACCGAGAACTTGAAGTTAGGTTAACCAAGTAGTAGTCTCCGTATGCATGTTTACCCTCGACTAGCTGAATGCGAATGGTTCTCCGCAACAGAAGATGCAAGATAACGCAGTGTTTCAGTGCCACTAATGGACAAAGAGAGCGTCTACGGCTCGTCTTGCCTTCGCAGTAGAGAAGTGAAATGTAAATGTATGTGCCTCTGAGTCTGAAACGCGACGCTGTATAAGGGAATGTCTAGCTGTTCCTGATCTTCATACATTTTTTCGAGTTACCAAACAAAAACATATGCGTATCCGCGCGAAGGTATGCGTGGGTGACGTGAAGCTAGTTGATATCGCTAGATGTGTGATTATCCGAGATAGTCATCCTCAGGTTTGATATGCAGTTGCGAAGCCATTTACCTCTGCGAAGATTCCTCTCCCTCAAATTCTTCTAGGCGTCCACCAAGCGATACCGCTCTCCTGACTACAACTTCTTCTACCAGAACCAGCGTCGCACAAAAAGAACTGGCAATGAATATAGTCTAGAGGAAGGATGCTTACAGTTACACATCCTTTTCTGTAGAATAATGCCTACTTACACGTCTACGGATACGGAGGCATCCGCAGCTGCCGTGGCGGTGGCGTGTTGCTTTTGGAACCGCTGGATCTCCTTTTTTGTGTCCATGATTCTCCATATTTTCTCCTGCTCCTTCCATTCTTGCTCTAAGCGTTTCCGATATGCAATAGCACGACGCTTCGCCTCATCGAACCCATAAAGCCCCACACGAAAATAGATCGAACAATATACCTGGAAACAAGCAACAAAGAGTCAACAAGTGCAAATGGAAATTTTGAGTATGGAAGGGTTGTCATTGTAGAGCATACTTACAACAATTGTAGTAGCTGTACATTACGACACTGCAATTACGGATTACGAGTACCGGAAACTTTGAGTAATGTTGGATACGAACAAAAACCCGGAAGTTATCGTCAAAGATTCCTGCAGCACCTCAATTTTCAAGAACAAGCCTATCATAAACTCACTGTCGTATGTACTTGGAAGTTTTTGTCCTTCCTTGTGCGCCGAAACTGTACCCGGAAGCCGCCGACAGGATGCCACCTGACACCGGGCACACCCGTTTTGTACTTATCCCAGTCGATTTGCCTGAGGAGATCTTCAGCCTCTGCACGCGGTGATTGCACTAATCGACGCACGATTCCGGTGCCAAAAATTTAGAGCATTCCATACCAGGTATGCGTATGCTCGGAAGTAATACTCTTACTCATGCTTTGAGTTTGATTGGAGTTGCTTCCTTCTAACAGCGAAACCTAAAGCTGTTGCAAATCAACATAGTCAACGCTTGCTGCGTGTAGGTGCACCTTCTCCGTACTAAGTACTTAACTAGGAAAACGAAAGAATCCAGAGGAGGCACTTTGAAGATTGATTGAGATTGGAGTTGCGAAATAATACACAAGCAACGACATAAAGAATGGAAACGGGGAGCTTGGCAGCGGTGTCGGGCTTCGGTTCGTAGTGCGTCTGGCGCAGCTGTACTATACGCCCACGAGTCCGTCGTCGTTGCCTAACGTTTCGAAACGGTACTACCATCCGATGCTGAGGTTGCGACCGAAAGAAGAGACCACCGGCTGCAGGAGGAAAGCACGAACGAGAAGGCGAAGAAGTACTGAGCCTCACATAATTGGTGCAAGAGGATGTGGATGGTGCCGATCCGCTACCACAACATCGAATACTTTTTCGAGATATTCTCCTCCAGCTCCAGGAGCTAGTACAATTACTAGCAGACAACGAGGAGGAGCAAGATGAATCTCCATCTCCAAAATGAGTCTCCGGTACTTGTTTTCCTCCCGCAGATACTATAGTAGTAGTTGATGACCACTGCCGACAACGGCCGCAGGAGCGAGAGAGAGAGGAGGCTGTCGAAGGTGTCTGCCTAGCGGCACAAGGGCCCGACCAGGTCGGAGCGGTCGACCATCTCGAAAGGCGCCCTTGTTGCGCTGCGGCAGTTAGTATTCGACGCGTGGATGTGGGAGTGCAACGAAAGCCTGGAATAGGAATGCGAACGGACGACATGCTGCCTGAGGAATCAATACCACACGCTTACAAGTCTACATCACGTAAAAGCTCCTGTTAATCTCTCTGGAAATTAAAGTACGATCTATCATGGGCGCGAATCTCCTTGGAGTTTCTTTCACTACATACAACACGTCTTTCCAAGTAGATCATCCAACTTTTAGAGACGTACGCCGGTTACCTGTGTCCTCACAATCACTAGGTCCAGATCAGTCACAACAACTTGGATACAAATCATGACGTTCTTTCGCTATAGCTCGCCCTGGTTCCGCGGGTAATCCTTGCTATCAACATCTACAAACGTATCACCCGGCCAGACGAAGGATGCAGATCTTCTCCAGAAGCTAAAAACACCACAACCATGTCCACGTGTCCGGTTCGTGCACCCGGCACCGATCGGTGTATGTATGTCTATGTGTGTGTATGTCTGTGTGTGTACCATGGGAAAAAATTTGCAGACGATATTATGGCGTCATGACTAATATGCATATGCTATCCAATCATACCGAAATATGTCCAACATCCAGTTCCTGTTCCAGACAGGTGAATGACTGTTAACAATCCATTTCCAATATGTTGATGTGATGGATTATTTTAGGTGTGTGTCGCAGTCAGGGCGAGCAAGGAAAACAAAGGCTCGAGTGACTCAACTCGAGGATCGGTTGAAATATTTCTCTTTAGATCGACAGGAATATAAATCACATTGAAGATGCTTCTGGACTAAACAGCGAGATACGATTGAAGTCCGATAATTTCTGTTGTTTAAATTCTTACGATTAATATGCTTCTGCTGGTTAGTTTCTATGAATATGAAGGAAAATCATTGGTGGAAAGTGAAAGAAAGCTGCATAGGGCGTCTACCAATATTTCAGAAACAATCATGCTAGAGATCAAGAATTTCACTAGACCAGGGCTTTCTCGTTGTGGTTGTACTTCCAACCTATTTTTTTTTGATTTTGGCTAGCCTAAGGAGGCCCCGACATCTAGGGACCGACGTCGCCAAACTGCTAGTTTTGCAGTGGACCCGCGGAGCGGAGCGCCCCTCCGTGGGATGGCCAAGTAGTGTTCTTGGCTCGATAAGCGTCCCCAGAGGAGCCGCCTCCCTTGGGAGGCTCTGGTCGGTGAGGCTTTGGAGGGGTGTCAAATAGGCGGAAAAAAATGGCCCGCTTCGGCACCCCAAAAAAGGCGGGTGATTTGGCGACCATTTTGGGCCCAAAAGTGTCGCCCTAAGGCACCCCCTAGAGGCCCCACTAGGTTGGACCGTTTGTTTCGGTCCTCGTAAAACGCGTCGGCGTTTTTTTAGAAAAATGGGGCGCAAAATGCACCCCAAATGTCCCAGTACATTTTTGTCCAAAAAGTACCCGCCTCCGTCTCTGGTACCCCTTGCTTGTCTCCGACCTTTTCTACGGATGCTGCCTGCGTGCGCGACGGGCCGGATAGCCTTGGCAGCTACCTCTGTCTCTGCGGATGCCGACGCCTCCGAGGGCCCACGGTCACGGGCTGGCCAGAGTGTACGGGAGTGTGCCAGGCCTTGGCCCTGGCTGCATTTTCAAAAAAAAAAGTAAGGCTGTGCAACGAGAAAAGTCCTGGTCTAATCTCAGACGACGTCGACACTCATCGACAAAACCAGTAGAGTATCTTTCTTTGTGAGCTTTCGCACGGGCCAACTAAAACTAATACGACAGGCATGTGCAGCTGCAAATCGTCCTCCTCTAGAAGTAGCATGTATGGCCGAGAATAGCAATACATAGAAATCATGCGCAATATGCAGCTGTGATGAAGACAACGACAAGGATAGCTAGTGATAACATGCGATCGACCTAACTGATGATCCAAATGAAATAATCGAAGTCAGTATTACAAAATTCTTTCGCAGAAGAATAAAGTTCGAAATCGGTACAACTCATCCCATTGGTTGCCATGTTGTTGTGCTGTAAATTCAAAGGTAGACTACTGCTGTTCTTGCTGTGGCTGCCTTCCACCGTCAATCTCTTGTTATCAAAGAGCAATCCTATGTGTATGCCACATTCTTTACCTTTAAGAAGATTTTTCTTCTGCATCTACCCGTGTGTGTCCTTTTTGACGTTAAAAGATATTAGTTTTAGCAAGCGAAGATATATCTACGATCTCACTCTATATGCGGATCAGCGTGTCGTATTTGCATATTCATGATTATGACGTTGTTAATAAAATTCAGGCCACCTCTCTGATATGAATTATATAAGAAAAACAAAGAATCGGTTGCCGGAGAGGCCTGCACATATACAATTTCTCTGCGTATAGCAAAGCAGTAGTAGGGACAGGGAGTCTGTCTAGAAACAAATATGCACGCTCCTCAACAAAAACTTTGAAAGTCATGATGGTGTCCCAAAACTTCTGTCTAGTCCAACGAAGCACACGAGTGCTCGCTTTCGGCGTAGTTACCCAATGAGTTGATGCACCTTTGCCAGAGAGACAAGTCCACGTCGTCGCTCCCTCCTCCTCCTTCTCCTTACTTGAGCAAGCAAGTCGTTGTGCACAGGTATCCGCAACACGACTCCTTCGGTTTTTGTAGAAGTCGTTTTTCTGGACCTGAGAAAGATGAGTGGCAGCCTGATAGTGGTCAGAACAATTCTGCAGCTGCTCAGTGCGAGTGCCAGTGCGGGTATATGGAACATTTTTTTTAGGAATTCTTGGAGGATTGGTTGAAAGTCCAGCTAGAGCTATAGTAATTATTATAAGTCGATAGATAAAAAACATAACAAAAAAAAAAATCTATATTATTAATCTCGCCATTGATCGCCGCCATAAAACTCCCCGCCTAACCCACCGGAGATTAGTCAGCTTCTTTCGCGAAGCTATTGCCCATAGCCTCCTGCCCTTTCCCCTCAGTCTCAAGCCCGATAGCCTCCGGCCGTTTCCTTGTTGGGATTTACGTTGCGGCCCCGTGGCAGACCACCAGAAAAGAAGGCAGAAAAATGGCCGACGGGGGTGGGGGCGCAAGCTGGGGAGAAAAGTCCAAAGAGAGACAGCCAACGAAAGACCGCCCACCGAAAGGGCAAAGACCTTGGACCAAAGACACATGGACCAAAGCCGATCTTTGGACCAAAGACGAGCTTTGGACGAAGGGCGACCGTTGGACCAAGGGCGATCTTCGGACTAAAGGCGACCTTTGGACCAAAGACGACCTTTGGAGCACAGGCGATCTTTGACCCAAAGACGATCTTTGGCCCAAAGGCGATCTTTGACCCAGGGGCGACCTTTGGACCACAGGCGACCTCTGGACCACAGGAGACCTTGGGACTTAAGACGACACTGGGACCAAAGACGACCTTGAAACCAAAGACGACCTTGGGACCGAAGACGACCGCGGGACCACAGGCGACCTCTGGACCAAAGTGCGACGACCTCTGGACCACAGTAGGGCGACCTTTGGACCAGAGTAAGGCGACCTTTGGACCAAAGTAAGGCGACCTTTGGACCAAAGTAAGGCGACCTTTGGACCAAAGTGCGCCGACCTCTGGACCAAAGTAGGACGACCTCTGGACCAAAGTAAGGCGACCCTTCGGCCTCTGGACCAAAGTAGGGCGACCTTTGGACCAAAGTAGGGCGACCTTTGGACCAAAGTAGGGCGACCTTTGGACCAAAGTAAGGGAGGCGACCTTTGGACCAAAAACGACCTCTGGACCACAGACGACCTTTGGACCAAAGCCGACCTTTGGACCGAAGACGACCCTTGGGCCACAGGCGACCTGTGGACCACCGGCGACCTGTGGACCAAAGACGACCTTTGGGCCCAAGACCTCCGACAAGACAAGAGTGAGACCCACGACAGCAGACATCTGACGAACGACCTCCGCCAGAAAAACTGACGCGGGGCCTCCCTGTGGCGCGAGGCCCTTGAAGATAGCGAAGACCTTTCGCGAAGGACGTCAGTCCGGCGAACGCGGTCAATCTGGCGAAGCACGTCAGTCCGACGAAAGAACGGAATCAACCTTACGAAGGAGAGACATCCACAGCCCGAAGAGAGGCCCCGCTCAGCCTGTTCCGACGCAAGGCAGACGCCTGGCGAAGCATTGCGCCGGTCTGGCGAGAGGCCTCACCTGGCTGGCGAGTGCATCAGCCTGACGAACGGCGCCGAGCTGAAGCAAGCCATCAACCTGACCAAAGGCGTGAGTCTCGGCCCGGCGAGGAATGTCAGCCAGGCGAAGCGCTTCAGCCTGACGAGAGACGTCGCCCGACCCTGACGAAAAGCCTCAGCCTGACCCAAGACGCCTGCCGAGGGGCGCCGGCCTGCCCGACGAACGCCGCCAGCCTGGCGCAGAGCGTTGGGCTGACGAACGGCATCAGCCTGATGGAGGGCCTTAGTCTCCAGCTTGGTGAAAGACGTCAGCCAGCCGAGAGGCTTCAGCCACAGCCCGAAGCGCGACGCCGCACGACCCCGCGAAGTGCGCCCGCCTGTTTCTGACGAGAGACATCTGACGAAACAAAGAAGCCCCGCCAGGTGTAAGCGCGTAGAGAGACCCAAGCAGCGCGGCCCTGCGTTGCTTTGTCTTGTTTGGCCCATCAAGGTCGCCCCTCGTTCTTGCCTGGCGCCACCGCGAGGCGCTTGCGTGCGTTGGGGCTTGCGGATTCTTGTGCGTGTCTGGTGGCTCTCTTCTGGTTTTTTTGTTGGACTGCCGTGGGGGTCTTGCAAATTCTTAAGAATTTGCATGACCCGCCCGGCAATCTCAAAAAAAAAACCGAAGGCAGCGCAATGCCCTGCACATGAGTCGACGCATCTGAGTCGGCCACCGCCGGCACTCGGCTCTTGTCGTAGTCAATTCGTAAGGTGCATCAGCTCACCCGCCGGCTGTCTCTACTCTAGCGGCTGTAGCCCGTGGGAGGCCGCAGAAAAGTGCTAAACTAACTTGAAGCCGGGCGAAGCTTGTGGAGGCTAGTAATATAGTATTTCGAAAAGCGTTAAGAATGATGTACCTGCATGCAGCGACTTGCTTCCCCCTACACTCTCTAGTATCTATGGTGCGGAGGTCGTAACTGCCGACGAATGTTCGGCAGTCATCGTGTCTGCACTCCGTGCAGAAGACTTTTCGGCCTTATCGTTGGTGTGATCGAGGACCAGCATATCTTGTGGTGCTCCCGGATCTGGGGCAAGTTCTACTCCCTTGATGTTGCTCCTCTTCTTTGTATTCTTCTCCACACTTCTCAGCATGCGGCCCTGGTGTCGTGCACCCGCCGCCTCCGATTTCCCGCGCAGCGCTTTTTTGCGTCGTGCGCCAGCGAAGGTGCGCACCCATGAGGACACCGAAGCGAAAACCCCGCTCACGAGGTCCTGTGGGATGGGAGATGTTGTTGCGGATGATGAGCTCAACGTTGAGCTCCCGTCATGTCCTACAGCAGCAGGCGCGATTGTAGTTGTTGCAGCCACAAACTCCTCATATTGGCTTTTGGTTGGCGACACCGTTGTGCTTGAGCTTGCCCGTGTCGCACCACTCGCTCCATTGTTAGTGGAGTCAAGAGCAACACGATGACCGTAATATTGGTTGCCGCCCACTGCGCCGATGCCGAACCCAGGGGTTGTTGATAAGCTACTAGTAGTGGTAAGAGATTTTTTCGGATGCGACGCGTCAGCGGCTGGAGTCTTGATGATGCCCTCGTTTACATTGCGTGCACTTTCGCCGCGGTGTCGCTGCACATCCTCCTCCTTCTCGTGAATCTTGCCTGACGTAGCATCGTCAGCATGATCCACATCCGAATTTTTGATACTATACTGGATGAATTCATGCTCTGGCTTACCCTGCTCGTGGGTGCTGTCGGCGCGCTGATGTCCATAAATCCTCTTGTCTCCGCCAGAAGCTTTGCGAGAATCCATCCGTCCGGACGAGCTGGGCTCAAGAAGTGTGGGAGTGTTGGCAGTACGTCGAGGTGAATCGGTCGACTCGACGACCATCGAGTCTTGATCTGGGGGCAACGGCTTGTGCTCGACCTCCTGATTTGGTGAAGATCCAAGTGCGGGGACGCCCTTCGCAGCCTTCGAGTCTACGACGCTGACCGACAGGGCAGCTGTACTAGCGAACTTTTCGTCATCATCCTGTCCGTGGTTCTTTTCTTCCTTCACAAATTGTGTTTTTTCAATCGCGGTATTACCGGGGCCACGACCGGAAACAAGTCCTAGGGGACTCTTATCGTTGTCATGTGCTTCATCTTCCAGTTCCAGGCTTTGCTTCTGCAAGTGCTGTTCTTCTTCTGCTTGCGTTTTTGTATGCTCTTGAAATTCTTTTACTTGCCCTTTGTCATTCTCTTTTCTGTCTTCTTTGTTGTTATCTCGCAAAAGTGCGCCTTCTTGTGAAGTAGATGCTGACGAAGTTGATCTTCTGGAACTATCTGAAGTATCGCGCTCGTCTTTTGTTCGCTGTGTCTTGATTTCAGAGTCACTACTGGTCGAGGTGTGGGCATCAGTACCCATCATGCGGCGGCTGAGCTCATCATCATCTGCATGATTGCCATCGGAAGGAGGCGCTGTGACAGGAGTGGACCCACCAAAAGCTAATGTTGAAGTTGAGCCTGCTGAGCTACTGATTACCTCAGTCGCTGTCTCTGACACATCCGAAAATAAAGTGGATGCAGGGACCTGACGAATATGATTGACGCTACCGCTAGTCTCTAGAACTAGGTCTATTGCACTAGTCTCGAATGTATTATCCTCGTTCATGTCGTTTCGACTAGCGGCTGTGGCAGATGGAGTCTTCGCCACAACGTCCGAAGTAGCGTCCGCTTGCTTCGTTTTGCCCGTCACAGTGTCGCGCGTCTTTGTAGAAGGAGCTAAAACTTCGGCTTCTATCTCGTCTTCATCCAATTCAGATGCCCCAGCCTTACCGTAATCTTCATGCGCAAAAGCGGAGGATGTAGAAGGGCCAGAGGCGTCTTGTTCTGTCTGCCTGTGTACGTCGTCATTAACATTATCATCCGCGCCAGCATCGGTATCGGATGTGGGTTGATGTCGGACTTCCACTAAGATATCCTCCTGGCCGTCCTGGTGCTGCTCTAATTGTGCAGCTTCTGGAGCCTGTGCAGGCGCTGCTATCTTCTTGGCAGATGTGTGCTCATCCGCGTAGATTCTTTTTTTCCTCCTAGATTCGGACTCGGAGTTTCCTGCTTCTATACCTTGCTTCTCAACTTGTTCTACTGGTGCAGGTCCAGGTGACTGAGGCTTAATGGACCCAAGATCTAAAGCTGACGCGAGTGGGTGACTCCTCTTACCTGCAGGTGCATCGGCGTTGTCTGCAGATTCACTAGCCTCCCATGTGCCTCTGGTCTCTGTTGTCGTATCATCGTGTAGTATCATGGCTAACGTGGAAGTGACAAATTCGCGCTCGTCGTCCCCAAGGTCTTTCGGGCGAGCGCCGGCTTTCTGCCGTGCCTCGTCTGCTCCACCGGTGTTTTGTACAAAGACGTGCACTTTGCGTGTCGTTGTGGCATGAGCACGATCAGCTTGCGAAGCGCGCGATTCTAATTTAGTCTCTTTTGGCGTTTGTTCAGCGTCACTTTCCATTCCAGCCTTCTCACCGTCGTCCTCACTCTCCGCATCGCTGCCTAGGAGATGAAGCACGACGTCGCGAGAGCTGAGCGGCTTCGCCGCCCCATTTTTGATGTCAGAAGACCCACTACTGCTTCCATCATGCTTCTCCGTGCTGCTGGTAGTTGTCGCACTGCCTCTGACATCGTTGACTGCCGTTGGCTTCCCTTTGTCCACATCGGCGAAACGGGCCTTGCTCCTTTCCGCTGACATTTGTGTCAATCGGCTGCTTTCTGTAAGCTGGACAGTCGATTGCGACGATGCAGATCTGCTCTGCGGTGAAGACTCACGTCCGACACTATCCTCGGCCGCCGCATGCTGACTGTCCTTGTCGTCGTCTTCTTTGCTGGAAGAGGTCGCCGTCCTCTGAGACGTTGTTGGACTACTACTAGAAAGTGCGATGGTAGAAACAGAAGGCGTAGCATGTGATGTGATGCGTTGTTGTCGCACTTCTACATCTCCTGGCTTCGTCTCCGTCTCTTCGCTGTTGTCAATATCACTCATCTTGCTTGGCTCCTGGTCCTCCGCTGACCCCGACGGACCATGTGTAAATGAATATGCGGACGTCTCAGCTAGTTGTTCCGCAGCTGCCGTCGGTCGTACGTATTCTGGCGTTTGCTCAACCTCCTTGTCCTGGGTTTGGCCTAGGCCTGTATCTACTCTTATTTCTAATTGTGTATCCGATATGATTCCGAGTGAAGGACGAACAATCCTCCTTGATGACGACGAGGATCCCAATCCGGGCGGGGTGAGAGGCCGAAGAGTACCTTCATCTTTGATGTCATATTCACGTTCACCGCCAACGACATCCTGTTGCGGATGTTGGTTCGCGGCAACGGTCGTACCTCGCTCCGCTTTCTTATCTTCTTGTTTAGCAAGCAGGTCGCACTTTAGCTTCCGTGGCACACGGTTCCAAAAAGAAAATTTGACATAGTCATAACGCAACTGTCTCATCTCCTTTCGCAGGTTCTCGAGCTGACGCTTTGCTGGGTCACAATTTAGTGCATAGAGCGTGATGCTCTTAACAAGGGCCGCTATGTTTTCCGTCTTCCTTTTCGTGGTCGTCTGGTGCGATACTTCTTCGAGTACACTGGTAGAAGAATCCCACCTATTCCGTTGCTGCACCGTTTCTTCTACTGCTTGAACTACGTCGAGTTTTTCGTTCCAGTGCGTGGCTAAAGCGTCTATGTGCCGAAGCAGGCTGGTCTTGATCGCGTCTGGAGCTGGACGTCCTTGGCACAGGTCGTTGACGTTGACTATATCGGATATCTTAGGCCTCCCACGGATATTGTTATTGTCATATACGTTGTAGAATAGAATCGTTACTATGATAGCCCCGACTTGCCACGCTGCAGACTGCACAAGTGTGGTGTCAGGTTTTTCAGCAGCTGGGTCCAGAAGGATGTCATTTTTTGGCTGGTCTGGACTTAGCGATTTTGACGGCGGATTGATCGTGTTTCTCGCGTCTCCAGTATTTCTCGCTGGAGAACAGGCTTGCTGCAAAATTAGTTCCCGTCGGTCTTGTTTGGGGTCGGAGTGGGTGCTACGAGAAACCTGTGGTCCTTGGCTTTTTTGCGCATCTATCGGAATGCCCAACATAGTCCACGTGGTAGCGGTCGGCGTTTCCGGACCTTGTGGTGTGAGTTTTCCGAATATCCTATCGCGCACCGTAGTTAAGCCGCGATTTTTTCTCGGTGGCTTCGACGGGCATCGACTTTCTTTATTGTCGACAAAAGCAGCCTGCACGTTTGCTGAACCATAAAATGCTAGCATCGGCAAGCAAGACGATTCAAACCTCCGCTCCACCCTTCGACTAACCGTATCACTAATGCTGCTGGATTCAGGTGGTACATACTTTCGACAAAAAATGTTCGTGATCTTGAGGTTCAACTGGACCAGACCATGCTTTTCGAGGCATAAGACGCTATCGATGAGACCCACTCCCGTTTCGAGAAGATCTTGGAGTTTCGGGTCTCCCCCATCTTCTTGCCAAAAATTACGCAGTTGATAAAGCCAGTTCTCCATCGACGGCCACGATGAAAACGAGCCGCTGGACTTCTTCGCCGCGAACTGAAACTGCCACATTCTCGCAAAATCATTTTGGAAGGTAGGCAGCTGTCCTGAGAAAAAACGGCGCAAGGGCACAAAATAGTTTTGCTTTGTTGTTGAAGAGAGCGTAACACTAATACAAAAGTGACGCTGTCCCTGTTGATACAGCAACACCGGACCTGCGTCCTGATCCGCGTTGCCGCTACGAAAGACGTCGATAGCAAAGGTGTTGCCATCATTGAGGACCATCAGACTCTCAGAGGAAGGCGAAGGGGAAGCCCAGGCGCCCACTACTTTCGCATATCTCTGGGGCAATAATGATTCTTCCGATACAGCATCATTCGATGCCATGTTATTCAGCGCTTTTGCATCGAGGGTGCCTTTGAGACAGTCGAGGGGTGTCGATATGGAGACGGGTGAAGTTGAAGTGTCTCTGTCTGTGTCTCCTACTACGCCTCCGGGCTTGGGCAGTATGACGAGCTTTGAAGCTGCTGCCCACGCATCATCTGTGGAATGCTCAGCAAGAGAACGAACGACAAAATTGTCCGCAATAGTTTCAACCTCGATGACCGTCAGCCTCCGCGGATTCATGTTTACGGCACTAGTTGACGCAGCTCCCTCAGATTCCACTACGGCAGACTCTACCGATACTGCTATGAGTGCACTGCGTGACCCAGTTGAAGCTGGTGCCTTTTCCTCCTCGTCACCCCCTTTCTGTGGCCCGATTATTGCTTTTTTGCTGCTAGGTTCGGCGGTCGGAAACAGTCCAGCATCTGCTGGAGGAAAGTGAGGCTCCCCCGGGCTCGTGCGAGTCTCTCCTACATCCTCAAAGTGGCGCGCGTCACCGTCTTTGCCGTCCTCATTAGAGAGGCGCTTAACATGCGTAGTCTGCTCGGACATGGTCTTCTTTTTTCCTGTTGAAGCAGAAAGTGACACAGATCTGTCGACGTTGTTTGTTGCTGCAACTGCCTTCGCTTCGGTATCAGCCTGAGGCGAAGGATGCTGAGGATCCGAATGTGACACGTCACTGTGACTATTTTCGACACTTCTCGTATCCATTCCCAAGTCCGATTTCGTCATGGATGTTTCTGCGCTGGTAGTTTTTGCTCCGATCTTCATCTTCTGGCTTGCCGGAATAAGATTTTTGGCTTCATCAGAAGGCGAGTCTGAGCGCGAGGCGTCTTTTTCTCGATTTACTTCGACGGAAACTAGTGAAGACATCAAAAAATTTGTATCATGTTTGATAAACTTCAGCTTCGTCTTACATGACGCGTCTACGCCTTCCCCTTGTCCCTGCTCGACTTCTTCTGTTTCGGCATCGAATCTCTGATCTTGAACCAGGTTGTCTAGACTCGAGTGGAGCGTTGTCCGAAGAGTCTTTAAATCCCGTACGCTTGGGTTGCAATTCAGTGCGTATTTACGAATAGCGGTCTCGACACGCTGCAGAATCCCTTTCTCCTTAGCGGTTCCTTCAATAACGGTCCGTGGTGGCAGCTGAGTCTGCCTGCGGCTTGATTTCTTACAGTCATGGAGCAACAGCAAGTTGTCGTTAGAGACGTTATCCAAATCGGGATCGGCACACAGAGAGCTACTGCAACTATCAAATTGCTTCGTGTAGAGAATAGTGGAAAGAGTGTATCCAACTTGCCAAATGTCGGTTTCCGCCACACTTGCGTTTTCGATTGGATCTGCGTTCCATGCGCCAGATCGCCTCCAATAATTCTGTGCATTCCTGTGTGTTACTTGCCCGAAGTCGGCGATCACGGGCCAGCAAAAGCAATGATCACTTTCACCATCCTTGTTCTCTGTCTTGATCATTTCATGATAAGGCTCGGTCTCGGTCTCCACCGCCGAAGGCATGTTCCTACACAAAATGTTCTGTAGTTTGAGGTCCTGGTGCGTGATCACATGAAAAGAATGCATGCACTGGGTACCATAGATAAGCCTCAATCCGAAAGTTAGAAGTCGAAACAGCCACAAGCCCAAGCGTGATGACATTTGACCTGGTGAGGGAGCGGGGGAGGGAGACTTCGACTTACTATCACCCGGCATCATGCACCTGCGTTTCCATTCCATAGCTGAACCCAGATTGTAGTGCTCCATTTCTGCGATAAGGCTATTGCCCATACCACCCACACCGCCAGAGAAAAAATAAAATCTTGGCACTCTATAAACGCGAAACGTTTCAACAAAATAGTCGCTTGTCCCTGAAATTGCCAAGTGCACGCAACCTTCAAGATCCTGCCTAAATGTCTCTAAAGCGGCGTAGTAGGCTTCTCGATAAATAGCGTCATTCTTCTTTCTTACCAATAAAGTCACTTTCTGCCAACATTTCAGGAGCCATCTGTACTTTGACTGCCCATGATGGTTGCTCAGCCGATACCAGTTCCGTTACGGTGCTTTCTTTGAAAACTGCCCCGTAGGAACCTGCACTGATAAACTCGAACACGTGATGGTCCGGACGATGGAACGGATTCGTGTACCTCTTCGAAATTTCATGCAGTTCGTTGTGTTCGTGCGCGACGAGGGCGTCGTCCTGACTGTTATCCTTATTGCTGTTACTCGAAATACAATGCATGAACTTCGTGTACAATCGTCTTGATGAAATTGAAATATGCTTTATCGCGTTCTCAACCTTGAGATGTTCTGAAGCTTGGCTCCAGCGCGCAACTTCACCCATATTGAAGAATACGTCATCGTTCGTCGGAAAGCAGTCGCCCGCCTGCTTTGGAGTCGAACTTCCTCTATCCTGCGGATGAGTAGAACCTTCTCCTCCGTCTTCTAGCACTGCGCCTGCGAATATAGCGCATTCGCTTTGATGCTCGGAGACGGAGTCTGTGACAGGGACCTGAAGTAAACCGGAGTGTGACACCGACACAAAGCTCCCTAGGACGCCTCGCCCGACGCTCTCACTGAAAAAACTTGGACCGTCTCCACTGGCGCTTACGCGCATGAACGTGTGAACGAAAAATGCGAGAGGCAACTTCCGCAGCAACAACATCATGTTTATAAGACGATGCAAGCACTACCAGTACCACTAGCACAAGAAGCAATAAACGTAGTGCATGTCGATTAGGGTGGAAAGTTTTCGAAACGACAAAGCGACCACTTTGAGAACCTTCCCCGACGAGTAACACAAACACTGCTACAATATCGCCAAGAAAGACTCGATAGACCAGGCCTCACGCTGGCTCCGGAGGACCAGATGAGCGAAGTACGATGTTCTCCGGTAATTGCTGCTCCAAGGAACGCGAAGAACCGACGACGATTTTTGACTGCTATTGCAAACTGACCTTGCAGATGATCGACTACAGTGTCGATGTCGAACTATATATCATTTAATGTTTGAAAAACAGCAGGAACAGACCGAAAAAGATATGAGACATTCGCACTTCGTCTTCAACTTGCGCCGCTGCACGCTTGTCGTTTGTGTCGTCACCATGATCGGTTTTCTCGCTCACGCCCACGACCAATGATGTCCAGTAATAATTGCATGGCTCAACGTCAACAAAGAAATTGAAATTACGAAACAGGCAGCAACAGCTGACAGAAATCCGATGCGAAGCCGCGATGTCGTTGGAAATGCTGCATCTTCTTGCCCTTCCACGAGAACCTTGACCGGTACATACACAGTAGCAGCTCCAGCAGCGACGCTACTGGCGCAGCGCCCTAGATACGTGTTTGATGAAGACTTCCCGCTTATGAGCCTTTCCACATGGCTAGCGCTATCTGGGACAAGGAGGTGAAAGAAGATTTATGTGCAGATCAGAGACCGACATGTTCTTGGCCTTGGCGTTTTAAGTAGTTTTACATGCAGGACTAGAATGTTGAACTAGATCCATGATCACTATCGGGTATCGCAAGAGACAATTCGAATCACGTGATTATCGTGAATTTACGACTCCAGGTCCAGAACTCGAATTCACACCTTAAGGGAGCAACGGCTATGTTGAGGAAACGTCTCATGGCGGCAAGGGCAATAATCCACATTATAAGACAGATTGCGTTCAGCCATCAACAGACAGGCAAGACGAGCACATGCCAGTGGCATTAAGTACTAATCTACAGCTGGTACTTAACTTAGCATAATAGACACTCCACCTTGTCTCTCTCGAAGAACATACCAACTCTTGTTCTCCTTCTACTCCGGGGCTTTACTACCTTTCGCTACCGGAAGAGGTAGTTGTGGTGATCGTCCATTGTCAAAATCATAGTTACTCGCAGTCCCAGCCTTGCTTCGCGCTAAGCAGTTGGTCACATCAAATTCACACCGTTCTAAGAGACTGAGGCAGCCAACAATGCAATTCCGTACGAAAGGAATCTAGAAAAAAGCCACTCTAGTCTTTCTTCTTATCTCAAGTTTTCTTGTCGTAGAAGTATAATCGCGACCATTCATCCACCAAAATCAAAAGGTAACTTGAGATGAAAACTTTATATATTGAGTGAAAAGTTCATCAATCAAGGACCTCCATCCCCACCCTAGACCAGAAAAACCACTACGGCTGCTATCCTTCAGACGTTGGTCGAAAATATGCTGGCTCCTCAATTAGAACCTCCAAGTCCTTTCGAAGATACTTCAAACCCTGGAGCATTTGCGTTCCGAGCTTCGTAAACTCGTTTTTGTATCTGAACGTGTGAGTCAGTGTAGTTCTTGTTGATGTACTACAACACGTAGAATGTTAATCATTTGGAGACATGTTGTTTAAGTTCATGTAGATAACCATAACTACAACTAGACGTACTCCTCTTCCGCCTTTCTAATGATAAAAAAACACCTCAAAAAATGTACATGATCGATATCGATTACCCCCTCAGCGCCTTCGCCTTGGTCTTGAATCAACGAACATAAGAAATATGCTATGTATCCAAACAAAAATATCGAAAACGAGCATAGTCATGAGATGATGATCATGATAAACTTGCTGATCTCGTCTACTATCAGCATAAAATAACACTTTGAGTGTTTTTTTCTCAGCCTCATACATGGGATAAAAAATTTGCATAGAGGGATGATCAGAGCTTCCTTAGTACATTCGGAGCTGCTTGAGACAGGGAAACGCTTTCTGAGCGAGAGCACCCACCAAGGCCTGAACTCCTGCGTCCTTACAGTGTTAGAGTAAAAGATATATTTATACGGCTTTAAATTGGATTTGGAAATCTCGACTACAACTACTGCCTTTTTCCTTCGCATCCTTGAATTATCACATCCTTTGATGAGAAGCAAAGGCTTCATCAATAGAAATCTTGATGCTGCCTGGGGATGTCGAGGTGGAAAAGAAAACGGGAGATATCTGGCAATATCAAAAAGACTGTAACCATAAATGTGGTTGAAGGAAATGTCGATATTCTCAATAGAATTTCGTGACCGCAGTGCCTCCACGAGCGCCTCCAAATCTGAATCGCGCATGCCAAGAAAGCTCAATCGGACCTCCTTTGCTTCGAAGATATGAACAACGAGAGTGAGAGAAGTTTCCTATCATAATGATATTCGGTGAAGCGTTGAGTCGCTACTAGGACCAGGTACACAACAAGGAAGCCGTGAAGAACGAGAAGGAGAACGAGCCGTTAAATGAAATTGAAAGAGGTGCTTGCAGTTGCAGATACATTGACACAACTCGGATGCCGAAGACGTATGCGTCTTTCATGCAATGGTTCATCTATACCAGGTACAGCAAAAATGCTGCTCCTACTAGTCCTAGTATTGTTACCCTACTGGTTCGAGAAATTAAAATGGTGTTGGTGCGATTCTAGAAGTAATAGTATTGTTGGCCTACGCGAAGGCCTGGCTAGTATTTTTGCGATCCTAGTATTATTCTTGTCCTGCGATCCTATCAGTCAGGCAGTCAATCAATCAACTGACGCGGCCGTCTAACGGAGGAACAAACTACAGACCCATGAGCAACTCTGGACTGTGCAAGCGCTCCCGCATGTCAGTCAGTCAATCAACTGCGCGCGGCCGTCTAACGAGCGGCGGCGCTAGATAACGGAGGAACTAAAACAGACCCAGGGCCAGCTCTGGACTGTGCAGGCACGCCTGTGCCATCGCTGACCTAGCCCACTAAAGACCATCCACTCAGCCAATCAATCAGGTTGCCTCCGCAGGGCACCTAGTAAAATGTACTTAGATGCCTACAGCACTGTGAAGCATAAACATTGTCGATTATTCCCAGCCACCTGTCACTCTTCCGTATTATCTCCTGGTGCGTTTCGGATTCGTGCTCGCTCGTTTTCAGTGAATCGAAGGCACAACCGGGGTTGTTATACTGGCAATTTGATGGCCATTCCGACGTAAACCATTGAGGTTTTGCAAAGCTGTGATCGTATTTCCAAGGTCTAGTTTGCTTCTGAGTATGAGTCTAGACGTACTGGCAATCGACATATCTCGGAGGACTTCTGCCTAAAAATGTCACGGAAGGAAGAAGTTAGCGAGCATGCTGGCATAATCAAGTCTCGGGTAGTCAACATGCATAATACTTGTAGATGTAGTACTGTGAAGACTAAACGATATTACAGGATATGCAACATTGGTCTTTGGAACAATACTCTGAGTCATAGGCTCCGCTGCCGGTTCTCCTGTTCAGCTCTCGGTTTTGGTCTTCCTTCTCCCATGCTTTCTTTTGTTCCTCTTCTTTAGAAAGTGATTATATGTTCTATTTGTCACGGCATACAGATTTCAAAATTCTTTGTCACATTCATTTCCGCGTTGGGTCACAGTTCGCCTTCTCGTTCTCTCGTATGATCGAATAACTAAGTCTAAGGCGTGGTCAACATCAACGTCAACTCCCTTGTTCGCCGTATGGAGCAATCTACTCAGACGAAGAATCAATAGTCGTCACAATCTGCCTCTTCTCGGCATCTTTATCTTGTAGTTCCACGACTAGCACATTCTACTGATGTAAAACATGTAGTACATCATGTGTCTTGGGGCACAATCACAACAAAGCACTTAATCTAACAGACACACTCACTCACTCAATCTAACAGACACACTCACATAGGCGTTTGGTGGCTTAACAGTAACATTCCCTTGACTGCTGCCTTCCGGACCGTAAATTTCCTTTCCGTCGTTCAGAAAGCCCTTTTTGATCGTCGGCGCTGCTGGGTCACCGCTTGAAGAAGCTCCAGGACCCTTATCTTCAATATCGTCGAGATCCTCGATAACAACCATGATGTTGACTTTCAAACTGATAGACTCTTTAGTTATAAATGAAGAAGTGAATCAAAACGATGCTGTACGTGAAGATGAAAATTATCCTGCTCCTGTTTATTGACAGTCTGGCGTTATTGATTGCATGGGGATAATACAGACATTTTTTGTTTTTCAGAGATAGTCTTAGTCATAGAGAGAGAAAATAGATTTCTTATGTTACACGCACTTTTACTGGGGGCAAAAAAGTGAGAGTACGGCCATATCAGCAGAACGTTTTTTATCAGAAGTCGTAGCATCTACATCTTTCTCCAAATAAGTCTTCTAATGTAGGGCCAGTGCCAGCTTCGTAATCAGTCTATCAATCACCTTGCCTCCACAGGGCACCGACATCCCCGCAGCTGAGACTGCCGCTCCTCTACGCCCGGAGACGATATGAGGGAACGACGTAGAAGAAAGAGATTTTTACATTTGCATTTTTCTTTCGCCATGGTCTGATACTGAACTTCATGCTAAAAACCTTCTACTGATCACAGGCAACGGTGTGGGTGGAGGTTGTTGACAATAAGACTTCTCTCTACCATCACCATCAGTCAAGTTACTGGGTCAAATTCCACTGAGTGTCGCTCGCTCTCAAAGCGTCACTACACGCTCTCAAAGCGTCACTCGCTCTTGCGACTCTGCTCTCAAAGTCAAGTGAAACTGCAAAGAGCTTTCTCCACGTCATGCTGCTCATATTTGTTGCGTTGAGCAGGCCGCCGCCGCTTTTTGTCGACTAATGAATCTTCGTATTGATCCCTGCGCCTCTCTGCGGCGTGACTGACCAGGACTAGGCAAGGTCGTGGCGGTGCTACTCAGGAGAACTTGCTCTTAGTCTCACGATGATGTAGTTAGGCGTTGATGCCCGGTTACTGCGGCCGGTTACGATGTAGTAGTCTTACTGTAGGCGTTGATGCGGGACTTCCAAGGTACTTGACTAGAATTCTACATTCTACACGCATCACGTCAGGATCGATCCCATCCTTGTTCATTGTTGTTCTTGGATTGTCAGGTCACAGTAGGGCTTTGCCTGGTCTGAAACCGCAGCAGGGAACAAGAAAAGATTGACAAAGAGAAGATTCAAAAAAAACAATAAAATATTTTCAACATGTTTGGACACAATATGAAGTTGCACCGTGATCATATTGAAGATTCTATTTTGTAGACTGATAAATGATAAAGAAGAACGACGTCACGGACATATTCATATCTGATAATAGAATTCAATTCAATTCACACTTAGTTGTTGAGTAAACACACTCCCGAGCAAAAAGAGAAGATCGCACACAACATGCTTACATAGAGATACGTACACTTGTTTTGATAATAGCAGTACCCCTGAAGCCGAATCTTCTACTTTTTTTAGAATCTTCCGTAAAGAAGAATGATCCGTAAGGGCATCCATGACGTTATCAACTACATTATAGTAAGCGTAAGTACGCCGCAGAATATAACGAGATAGGGATACATAACTAGTTAATTAGTAATTTACGTAACACGTGGCACGCCCACAAAGACTGCGACTAAATGAGAGAAAAGGATTAACGGATGCGCAGATAACCAAAAAAAAAAACGACAGAGAAAAAAATGAAAAAAAACATAAGTAATATTGATTCATGTTCATGTTGGTCTTGGTCTTGGTGGTCAAAGAAGAAGATATAAACTTAAACCCGAACGCGAATCAACGAGATACGAGGTTATATATAATACGTAAAGCGCATCGTTCACGCTCAGTGCTTTGATGGTCGTAAGTAGGTCCGCACCAGCTTCAAGTTCAACGTCGTACGTTCAATACTTCATCTGAACTCCAAGCTCAAGGTCTAATGTCCCTCTAGGGGGCTTTGGCATTCACATTCAAAACTAGAAGTCGTTCAAGAACCAACTACTTAGACTCCAACGAATCTCAGTATTTTTGGTTAAAGGACAACAGCAAGAAGTAAGTATGATCACCAGCGTTTCCTTGATGTTGATCCTCTTGTGTCTTGGCTCTTTTTGCTGTCCTTCGAAGAGCGAAAGGTCGGATCAGACTCCCGGACGAAGCGCTCTAGAGAACAGTCAGAGGAGCTGCTTCTCGACTGCGGCCGGTTACGATTGCGACCTCGAGGATCGGACTGCCTTCTTGTTGCTTTGTGACCAGCGCCAGAATGCCCGGCTCCGCCCGCACCTGGCGCTCCGCGGGACGCGCCCCGCCGCGGACCTCCCAGTGTGGCTGCGATCGGTCTCCGCGAGAGAAATATACTTTGATCCTCTTCTGAAGAGCTGTTAAACTGTCGCGTATGCGGATTGCGACTATGATTATTATGCAGTTTTCCAGCATTGAGGCCTTTCTTAGAGGACGAAGAAGTTGCGGACTTCTGCTCGCGCGCTAAGGAGGTCTGCGTCGATCCGTTCCCTGTGACGAGAAAATCCACGGAACTGTCGTGATCCACGTGGTCGTGTCCGTCATCCCTGTAATGGTCTACCACGTGCCGCGGCTGCGCTCCAGGCCATGCTTCGCGGTCCCCGCGCGTTGCTTCTCCGCGACGTCTATGATCCCCTCCGATCCCTCGTCGCGCTGCTGAAAATAACGAAGGAGAGCTCCGATTTCCTGTCGTGACGCTACGTTCGTTGCCTCTGGTGTCGCCATCGTCAACTTCAAAATCGCTGAATTTATTTCCAGAGTTACGACGGCGCCGGGAGTGACTCATGCTTCCAAGCCGCCCTGTCGAGGAACTGCCGAACTCTTCACCGCGCCGCAGTCCACTTGAAGAGGTCGCACTCGCAGGGCGATGCGGCGTCACGTGGTTCGATCTAGTTCCACGTGGTTCACCATGCCGTTCGTCGGCGTACTGATCCACGGTCCAGCGCGTCCCTCGTCTCCCCGAAGATGCGCTTCTTGTTGTTGTGCAACCGTCGCGTGCTGCGCTCGTCGAGTTCGGTGATGCGTTCCGACTGTAAGAGTGCCTTACAGTCGCCGAAATATCATGGTTCCAATTCATCCTCGACTTGCTTTCAGATGCGGGCGCCAGATCTCCCATCTCGCGCCGCTCTCGACTCTGCATAATCTTCACCTCTTCATCGTCGACGTCGCGATCACGGTCACGCAAGGACATCTTCGACAACCGCAAATCAGAGGATGCCGCGTCTTTTTCACGCAAGTGGTTGGCTTCAAGACTACGAATCTCCTCTTGAAGAACCGCTTTCTCCTGCTTGAGACACTCGATGGTTTGCTCCAAGAAGCTAGCCCGACTCAGTTCAGCGTCCAGCTGCTCCTCGAGACTCCTGCTCCTCTGCCAGGCAGCGTCGATCTGCTTCTTTTGCGACACCTGTCTTCTTTCCATCTCCTCGATCTCATGCCGAAGCGACTCCACCTCCTGTCGCAGACGCTCCTCTTCGGGCTGATGAAATAAAGAAGAGATAGAGTATCCACTATCGACGAATATATCATAAGCTATCACGCCTCTCAGCAGAATAAAAAATATCTCATTATTGACAGGCACTGGTCGACCACTATTTAGAAGTAAAAACATGCTTCACTTTCACAGCACCAGAAATGATCGTGCATCTCATCTACAACTAAGTACATCTACTGAACATCGAGTTCACACACTTACGAGAAAAGCCAAGAAAAGAACTCAATATGCGCTCGTACCTCGTAGCATGCATTAGAAATAAATGGTACACGAAGCTCCTCAAGTTCGTGCAACAAACTTTTTTCAGTTTCGCGCAGATCTGCAACTTCCTGTCGCAACTTGCTGCCGTCCTCCTCCGCACGCTCTTCAACCCTCCGTTCGCGCACGCGCGACTGTGCTTGTTTCTCGCTTACGTCTGCAAGCTGCTGATTGAGCGCCGCTATTCGCTCCTGAAGCTCACCGCGTTCCTGGGCCCACGCAGCTTGATCCGTCTCCAGCTGGCGAATGGCTTTCCGCTTCTCGAATGTATCCGCATCTAGTTTCCTCGAGTTGTCGCTCTCCTCGGTCAATCGGTGCTCCGCCAGACGCAGCTTTTCCTGCGCACGCGCCAGGTCTTTACGGGCATCTGCGGTTTCGCGACGACTCAGCTCGAGATCGTCACGAAGCAACATCACCGTGCTGGCCTGGTTCTGCTCGTCCCTTCTTCCGAGTCCTTCCTTGCTTCCATGGCGTTGTTCGGAGATGTTCGGGCCTAAGTGCAGCCTACGCTCGCCACTCCCGGACCGGCTCCGGTGCTGAACCAAGGAACTCGACCTCGGAATCCGGTTGTCGTGGTCCTGCAGTTCCCGCTGCGTGTTCGACAACGTCTGCATCAATGACAGCACTTCTGCTTCTTTCTCCTCTAGCTGCTTGCGCAAATCCCTCGCTTGCTGTTGGTATCGTGCCGCCTCCACATTACCCAGATTGCTCATACTGGTTCCGGTCTGCCCACTGGAGGACGCCTTAGAGCTCGCGCGCGTCGCTCCACCAGACGACCCGCGAGGGGAGCAGGGTATACTACCGTTCGAGTCGTGCCGAGAACGCTTTTCCAACCTTCGTTTCAACTCGGCGTTCTCTGTTTCGAGTAGTGCCACTTGTTCTTTCAGCTGCCGTTGCCGCTGCATTACCAGTGAGGGGCTTGGTGACATCGTACGCGCCTGCGTTGCGACACCGGCACGAGTAGCGCCAGAGGCGGCCAAAAATCCTCCCGCTGTGGCAGATTCGCGCCTGCCTGAAGGTGTGCCCGATGTTGTGTGGTGGAGCGCCGTGGAAGACGAAGAACCACCACATTCCTCGTTAGCAGAAAGCTTTCTTCTGCTTGAATGACCTGCCTCCCCATCAGAGCAAGTCCCACAGGATGCCAGCACAGCCTCAGCGCGAGCACGCGCGATACCAAGAGCACTGCTGGTGTTTTGTTGCTGGAGATGCGAGGCTTGATGTAGCCCATCGTTCAAAGCAGTTGCACTTCTGATTCCCGTCATGAGATCAGAGAGTGCTCTCGTTTTCTGGTCTATCTCCGCATCTCTGAGCTCCAAGCCTTCTTTCGCCACTTCGTACTTTTCGCGAAGCAACTCCAGCTCCGAACAAAGTCGCTCTTTCTCATCTCGGAAGTCGGATCGGAGTTCTCTTTCTTGCTCCGCCAGACGCTGCCGCAATCGCTCCTCCTTCTGCTGCAGTCGAGCTTCAGTATCGGCACGGAGCTTTGCCGTCTCCGCGTCCAAAGCACGAGAACTTGTCTCACCCCGCGACCGAATGAGATCTTCACGCTCCGCTGCCCAGCTAGCTTGCGCGTCTTCGAGCTCCCGCCGCAACGTCGCAGCCATGAAGAAGGAAAATAAATGTCTCAAAGCTACGAAGATAAAGAGATCGGCAACTAAGTATTTGTTTTCAAGAGGACGGGCCCTCGACGGTAAATCAATCCAAGCAAGCATGCCATGTCCTGACACCGAAGGAAAAAAAATCCAAGATTGATTTCTGACAAGAAGTATTCGTGTGTACAAGGTGAGGGTCTAGGGTGAGTGAAAACACTCGTCTAGCTAGTGCTAGATGATGTTGAAGATTGAAATTTACAGTGGAATATAAAGAGGGCCTACATACGCGTGCCTGCAGCTCTTCGCGGTCCGACTCGATTGCGCGATGTCGGTCTGCATTTTGTATACGTAGTTCCTCAGCAACGCGTTCTTGAAGTTTGAGTTTGCCTTGTAAGGCATGCAACTCTGTTTCTAGCTGCTGCCGGGAACCTGTAAATTCGTCCTCCTGGTTTTTCTGGTCCACCTCGCGCTGGTTCAAGTCCGCTTCAAGCTGCGCGAATTTGTCGGTGTATGTTTTTCGAACTTCATCTACCTTTTGCTCCGAACATTAGAGATGTCATCACTGTAGCATCTTACGCAGTCCAGCTATTACGTCATATCTGTCATGGCGTTACAACCGATCATCTTGCTCAAGCTGTCTCTTGACTACGTCCTCCTAGTTAGATTCGGATTCTAGAGGCTAAAAAATAATGGCGCCACTCAGCGACAGCGTCATGACGTTTCGGGTAAGACCATTTGCTTACGCATTTGGTGTTCTACTTCTAAGTGAGCATAACAATATCGCGTATTTTCGTCCAACTTCTGCAGCCACACCTCATCATCACCAACCGCTGACGCCTGACGTTCCTCGAGGCGCTCGATGCTGTAGTGAAAATTGACCTTGAAATATAAGCAGTAGCAGAGCACTTCTATCTAGAAGTCCAACTTTCTAATTCTATTTCTCCATCTTAAGAGTTAGAGTAAGACGAGGACATGGACCTGCTGCTAAACAAATGGATAAGTACTTAATGTGCTATCCGCTTCATCTTCACCTTCACGGCCGTAAGCATGGAAAAAATTGATGAAATAGAAATAATATGGAACTGGTGAAAGGTACGTTCGCTTGAGGTCATCAACCTCCTTCTGGAGCTTTTCCTTCTCGATCCTGTGCTGACGCTCAGCAGCAAAGCCGCCGACACGGCCACGCGACCCTTTTTCGAGATCAATTTTCTCGTTTTCTAGCTTGTCCAATAGCGCCCCTTTTGTTTCCAGTTGGTTCTCCACCTAAATTTTATTTTGGGCGTGTGAACAACTTCAATACGAACTTCATCTGCGAAACTACGAGGATGCGGGAAACTTCACCTGGTTCAACCTTATCCTGTTCAAAATTAGTACATGCAGAAAACGTGAAAGAAGAGGAACCTTTTCTAGCTCGTTCTTGAGTTTGACGTTGTCACGTTCGAGGAAGTCTAGACGTTGCGCGTCTATCTTTTTGTCAGCTAGATCTTTTTCAAGTTCTTCTGCTCGGAGTCTCCACTTTTGCTCTTCTTTAGACTGCTGTTTGGCTGCATACAGCATTAGAGCTGGGAAATCAAAAGAACGAATATCGATCTCTCCTACTCGAGCTCGATAATTATTTGCAGCTGAGGACGTGTCTGCTCATGAACTATTCTAGTTCTAGTCCAACTAGAATTCCTTTTTACCCTGTAGAAAAGTATTCTCTTTTCTTTGTTCAGAAAGCCATTAAGTGCATTAGCTAATAGCGCAAACGAAGATGCCTTAGTGAAAGCTCCTGCTCAAGCCTCTGCTTCTCCATCGACAAGCGGTTTTTCTCTTCTTGGTCCTGGCTCTGTCGACTTCGCAATAGCACTTGCATCTCTTTCTCGCTTCTCGTTGCATTGAAAAGCTCACTTTGGACCTGCTGCATAGACTGCCGGAACCTAGATTATAGGATTCAAAAACTTATTTTAATATCAGGCCAACTACGAAGACGTGCTGCTGTCCTCGCCAATATGCCTTTACTAGCGCCATTTTGTGTCATCAACTCTTCAATATTGATATTCTACTCCACCTTGACCGTATCCAAAAAACAAGAATTACGTAGTTGTACTTGTGTTGGACAATATCATTAAGCTCCATCAACGCAGAAGTTCAAACAAATGACATGAATCTGTAGTATCGACACGTCTGCTGACCTACTGGACTGGTCTTGGAGGAGATTCTCGAGTTGCCCGATGACAGCATCCCGCTCCATGAGATACTGACGCAATTGCGTGACCTCCAATGATTCGCCTGTTAAACTTAGAGCTAGAAAGAAGAGCTTCTAGGGTATCAACTCATCATACTGAAGCAGCTGCAAACGCAAAGCGGTTACCTCGTACTCATAGTACGAACGCCTTACTTTCTATTTCGAACCATTGGCCTTGGTTCTCTCATATAGTAAGAAATTCGATTTGAATTTCAATGAGCCGAGTCGTAGAAAGGAGTAAGAAACTGTTGAGTACGATTCCTTATCAGATCATCTCTCGCTATGGTTATGTTGCTGCACGGACGCGTTGTCAATATCGCCTGAATGATAAATACGCGCCCACACATGTGTCATGCTAGAAGCCTTAATCCAAAACGGGGAAAGCTGCCTGGGATCGCGACAGAGGCTCGCATAGGATGACTTCCAGAAGATGCCGTCATATTCTTATCCACGTGTTGGTCAAAAACATCTGTCCCCATAGTGCCACCTTATGACTTAGAGCTACTGCAGGCGCATCCCTGGCGCGGCATCCTTGTCGCATTAATGTTTCATCTTGAGTGAGAACCAAAAAAGACCGACAAGGATGTTCTTTACAGAATGCTTTCCAAGAGATCTAGTCGTAATTGATGCTGCCGCTGGATGCAGTGTCGGTCCTCCCCCTGTTCCTCGTCCTCGAGCAGTGGAAGAGGTAGCAAGTCGACCGTGGTGTCCTCCGTTACGACCATTTGCGAAGATGGGACTGGGTGAGCGGTCATCCAAGCCGAAGGACCCATCCAACGGAACATCTGGCCAACCGTGCATCATCTCCTCACCTCCAGCGGTTATAGCCATCTGATTTTCCTCTGAGGAAATTCGTCACACTCACTTCCGGCACTTTAGCCGTCGATCTACTGATGTTGAAGACCTAGTCCCCCGTCGTACTTCTGCCCTTCAGAGCCATTCATCTTGGTAAAATTAATAGCATTGATATGTTAGACATTCTTTGTTCATGTCCATTTGTCAAGCCCACCGGTGCTTACAAAAGTAGAGGGACCAGACTGTTAGGAAAACTTTGCCACATTGATGACGTTGATATAATTCAAAATGCCAGAAGAAGGGATACCACTCTACAAAACAATGGTCTAACATGACGTTCTCGCGCTCGGTCTACTTAATTCTTTCACGGGTATTGATTTCAGCTCAACAGATATTTTATGCATGGTCGTTGTGTATCGTACTTTTCGTACTAGTACCGTCGGTGGGTACCTAGCATGAAGATCTCGTCACAACTAGACCGACATATTGTATTTTCAAAGAAATTGGAAAAGAACTTTTTCTCGATTTACAGTTTGGTCTTCCATTCATCTGTATGCATCGTCTAACTCTCGATTAATCAACGCCAACGGCCTGTACTAGTACTCCTCGGATTTCTTGCATTGTTTGTCTGCCATATGGGACCGAGACTGCTTTGCCGCAATCATGCATTTGCATGGTGAACACGTCAACAATACATGTCTACAATGAAAAGGAGCCTCCGTGGCGAAACACTTCTGCTTTTGCTGGGCAGCATGTAAGTGCATGGATCGAACTGCTCCCTTCAGAAAGGAGACTCTTCATTCCAGTTATCCTCCCCTGGAAATAATTCCTCTTTCTCCCACAAGACCAGACGATCAATATGAAGAACAATCAGGCCCCTGCCATTGCGTCGAGGCCCTTTGGAACTTCATTTATCTTACCTCACAACGCGATCTCAATTTTTCTGATTACCATGAACTCAACAGTGCTTGACAATGGCAGGAGGAAGTGAAAATATAAATAATACCACGGACCCACAGCCACATACAACTACAAGACTTCTAGGTAGATAAGAAAAGACCAAAGTAGATTATAAATTTACTACAGCGCAAGACCCAAGAAGATGAAAATACCTTTAAGAGTACTAGAGCAGAAGCAAGAAGATATTAGTTGAGCTAGTACTACAAGACCAAATGTTACAAGTAGAAGACCAAGAAGACAAGAAAGATTGAGGACCCGCAACATCCAACATCTACCGATGCTCAAATCCATCGTTTGCGAGAATAATGTTGAAGTAACTATGTAAATCCTACGAAAACAAACTCAGACAATGACAAATCAAACTTCATGCATTAAATAGAGTCCATCCCATCCTCCGAAAAACAAGATCAAAATTTACGTAACGTCCATTACATGTTGAGGGTACAACATGGATAGATACGTTTTAGAGTTGAATTAAAATAAGAAATCATTGATCATGGAAAATTCTCTAGGCAATAGCTTAAATATACTTCTTTTGGGGGAAGAGGAAAATATGCATAATGCGGGTGAGGCTACGTCATTGGAGATACAGCAATAAACCAATCAAGGGTGTTATGCAGATGCGTGTTATCGTCTCATACAAGTCGGCATAAATGATCTCGACGATGGAATTGGAAATGAGCTAGCATATACTTTTAGAAACAAGAAAACATGGACATCCTGATGCCGCAAGATTTTTTCATAAAGGAAAAGCATCGAAGACGAAGATATCGCATGGTGGTTATGAATATGAGTGATTCTGATACATAAGAAGTAAAGGTCAACCCCAGCTCGGCTTGATCGTACCGGAAACGGAGGATAATAACCGATAAAGCTATAATGGATAATTAGACAGATAAGGAGCGTAGATGTAACCCTGCTCCTTGTCTTTGCGGCTTGCAGCGTGTGTCTTCCGCAAGTACGCGGAGGTGCGATGAGTCTTCAACAACCGCTAACGCAGCAATCATATTCAGCCTCTTCTGCTTAGATCTACTTCCACCAGTAGAAAAGAAAATCGAACGAATAATGAATCCGCGGATAGTCCTCCGAGAGCAGACTGAGCGCCTCAAAGACGCCTTCGAACGCGGGATTGAACAAATCATGCCCAGACACGAGACCACCCGACCGTACCTTCGGTACCTCTTCTTAGAGTAAGGACATTCCCCTGTATTTTTTCTTGGTTGCAAAAAAAAAAGAATTGGTGACGGTGAGTAAGAACAGAAATGGCCTTGCTTTCTTACATAGTCTGCCTTGCCCTCTGAAGACAGTGTCCGGACTCTAGTACTGAACGCAAAAAATCATAAACAAAACACGAACATCATCAAAATCATTAAGATTAGCAGAAAAAACTATTGATTTGAACAAAAGCTAAATGATCCATGTGGATGCGCATAACACTGTTGAAGGTCTCGCACAACCGCGGAAAAGGAATGGTCGCCGTCGATAAAAACAAAATCCAGGGAGCCATCGGGGACGTATTGGGCGAATTCCTCTGACGCAACTTTCAGAAGCTGACACCTCTCCGGATATTGATCAAAAACGGCATACGACATCGCCTGGATGCTCTCGGTAACGTCGATGAACGGATCCAGACCCGTCAGATTCACATAAGGGAACTTTAACAGGTACCTGGGTAGAGGGGTCAGATGACTATCTCCATAAAGATATCGAAATCGTGAACAAGATTGAATGGGTAGAAGATTCCTAGACATAGAAGAATATATTCCATAAACTTTCAAATCTTGTTGTTATTCCACCTGAAAGAAGTAGTTGTGCTTGTTATTAGCATTACTACTAGGTCCTCTTCCTCATCCTCATATTCATTTCGAAGGAATAAGTACTTTGAACTAATCGCGTTGTTCACGCCAACCTCTACGCCTCGGAGTGTCCGGTATCCGGATTCGGCGTGCAAAGTTTCGATTAGCTTTCCGAGAACATGGTATCGTCGGCAGCAGGCGCGATCCTCAAACGTAAACCGCTGATCAAAAGACCACGGATGAAAAAATGTCGGAGGCTTTATCGCATGTGTGGTGAGAAACATACTTGCTGCAGCGTTTAACCGATATTGCAGCCCACAGTGTGCTTCCGATATCTTTTGGACTGTATTGTTCGTGTTCATCAAGAGAATGAGAAATAACCATAATTATAGATATGATGTTGTCAACCTCAACAACAACATGATGAAAAAACAAAAAGCGAACAGTAAGCAGAAGCAAGAAAACGCAAACATAAATTTTGTCTCTATAATCTTTAAGCGAAGCTCAGCAACTTTCGTCAGGAAAAGCGTATTCTTTGATACTTACCTAATTGTAGCATTGTCCCGTGGAAGTTCCCGTCTTTGAGAACGTACTGCGTCAAGGCATCGAGAAACTCTAGGACGCGCTGCATGTAGTCCGATAAAAGGTTTTCCTTCGTTTTCTTGGGATCGAAGGCGCGGTAGACACTGGCTAACGGTCCTTCGCTACCGCGTTTTGACGGTAAATTTTCGTAATATTCGCGGTGTTTTACTTCTTGCAGGCGATAACATTTCGAGTCTCTTTGGTCGCTTGGAAAAAGATCGTCTGACAAGGGCCCGAAGCTGCGCGGTTGACTGGCAGCTAGGCTGGCCTCAATACTCCGTGCACGTAATGCCTCTGCGTCATCCCTTCCACGATCGTGCTGGTCTCTGACTCCTACAGATACTCGGTTACTACTTCTACCTATTGAAGCAGCGTCTTCACCGTTACTATACACAGTAATATCGAGGTCAACATCAACGACCTCGCCTTCATCGGACACGCGTACTCTCCCGTTACTGCCGAATCCTGCAGGCGAATCATTCCTATCTGCTCGACCTAAATTCCGACACATGGCGGCATCATCACAATTCTGCGCCTTCCCGAATGAGCGGGGAAGCTGGTTTTGTACCCGGTTCAGGTTATTTCTAGGTCCTCTGCGACGCACCATGCGGCCTCCCCCTTGATATGTATCTCTTTCGTCAACGTTCTCCCTAGTGTTCTGTTCGCCAATTTGCTCGCCAAGAGAGCCGGTGCCACTGCCTGCCGGATCTATCGATCTGCTACGCTCACTGCCATCTCCTCCACTTCCGGGATGCCCGTCTTCACCGATCCACTCCTCTTCATCTGAGACATCCTCACCTTCTATGCTTTTTGCGAAGTCAGTAGCAGTCTCCCGCCCCCGCGCCTGTCCACCTGCAACACCAGAGTGAGCTCCACTCCCCTTTTTACTACGCTGCTTCCTTTCCCTGACTCTGGTTCCATCAACACTTCTCGACGATATTGAAGGTGAGGAAGATGACTCTGCTCCTATCTCCTCTCCATGATCTCCAGCAGACGATAAAGATAACTCCGAAGCAGTTGCGAAAGTAGAATCCAAAGATTCCACGGAAGCAGAAGCTGCATTACTACGTTCGTCTGAGGACGAGGATAAAGAGGATTGGTCCGGATCATAGTCTTCTATCAAGTCGTCCTCATCATCTTCACTCGAAGTGGCCTTCTCTTGACCTTCGTCGGGTTGCTGATTCGGGTTCGGATAGGTTCTTAGACCATGCAGAAGATCAGTACAACTGTTGAGGTGTGATGATGATGTCAATCAACATATTATATCGATTTCCACATTTACAACCGCTTCTACTGTGGTGAGGAGGAAGAGAATCAAGTATGTTTGCCTCAAGGTCTTAGGAGAACTTTGAAAAGGACAAAAGAACTGAACGAGTCAGATCTACAAGGATGAGGAATATCATCTCAGACCATAATTTCCGTCTCTCTGTAAGTTGAGCTGTGCTATTTATACTCAAGCTTTTTTCCGTCTCGTCAAGCGCTCTCCAGAACCTTGGGTCGGTACGTGACAGGTCGCCGCGAAGGATATGCGTTGCGTCTTGGACGTAATTCTGCGCTATCGAGTCAATTCGTGCGGCAATCTCTGAACGGTCGTCTGGACACCCCCAGCGGATACAAAATTCCCTGGAAAAGCCAAGAGTTAGGACGTACAACTACAAATAACCATGTAAACTAAATAAGTACTACAACAAGGTCAGTGACAGTATGTGCAATAGTTCATCTTGAACTTGAAAACATCGACGTATAACCAATAAAGTCCATTATCATCATCCAGCTCGTCCTCTCATCAACATCCGCACGAACTATAAACAAGGTGTTCACTTTGAGGTAGTAGTACGTGAAATATCCAACAACTCCGAGTAGCCTTTTGCCGAGGATAATATGCGTATGGCTCGCCAACCGGAGAAACCGATATTCTTCCTGTAGCACTGCCGCAGTCTCGTCCAAGGCGTTAGCGAATTTCCGTAATGAGACTTGAAGCTTCCGCTCCGCAGCTGTTTTAGGCTTTGCTTCCGCGCCTTTTTGCACATCATCTACATTTTCCTCCATTGAAGATGCACTTAGCGCCGACCTGCTGCTGCTTTTATCATTATCACTTGGTGGGACGTCTCGTCTAATTGATGTGGCATTGCTCTGTGGCGATGCTCTTGGTCTCTTCGGCGAGTCGTGCCGACGTGGAAACTCTTCATCAACTAGACCTTTCACTGCCCTCTTCAAAAAGTCTTGCATTTGCTTTTTCTCCGCCAGTTCTGCGGGGCTCGGAAGGTACAACTCCTTGCTATCATGGCTGTAAACGAGGGTTAGAAGAGGAGCATGTTCAAGCGAAAGCACCACGATGTCTATAATGCCTAAGTGTCGATATCTATGTGCGTGTAGGTGTACGTGTACCCTAAAGATTTCATCGTACAATTATAATTAGAAACCACTACCAGCACATTGGTACAAAGTATGCATTTCATTTTGAATATACCCAAGTTAGAGTTTTCGTAACCTTCCCCCATCAGCAGATGCAAATCTACGCTGTAGCATCTTCCCGGCAGCCTCTGTTTCTATGAGCAGCTGCCCTTGATGTTCTAGCAGCGTCTTGAACCCCTTTCGCGTACCTTGCCTGCCCTCCCACAGCACCCGAAGCCGCGACGTCTTTGGGAGCATCCATGGTCGCCCAAGAAAGACGAGCATCGGATTTTCGTCGGTACATGTCTCCAAATGCCATTTCACTCGTTGCTGAATTAGCACTGGGCTGCCGGACTAATATTTTCAACGGTCGTAGGGTGGAGGAGAATTGAAACAGAAGTGCGGCTCTACATGACTTCATCATCATCTAAGAATAACATTGGCAATGTCATTTCTCCGGAAAGCCATAAAAGGAAGTAGCCGAAGTTTGCCTCGCTGTTGAGAGTCTCCAGTGTTTCTGTACCTTCTGGCTCATTCAGCTTCGTAACATAGGTATCCAAAAACTCGTCATCCCAAATATTGTTGGTTGGACTGTTGTAATCAAGGGAGCCCGCATGCCGATCACTAAACGCTGACGCACCTGAAAAAAGGCACAGCGCAACTCGTATCATGATCGGCAACGCACTTGCGAGAACAAAGAGTCTCAATAACCGCGAGGTGACGCAGCTGGGAGCCTTCGTACTGCTACAAACAGAAGAAGTACAACTACTACTAGTGAGGAGATGTTTGGAACCATGCGACAGGTAGAGGGAAGACCTTACTTGCTCACGACGGGCAGGTCGAGCTGGACGACGTCGACGACAAAGTAAAGAAGCGGTAAACACTGCAAACGTAATACTCCAGCAGAGGCGGGTATTCTGGCACTGGCTTAGTTTTTTGTTTAGATTTAAATGACTGTAGCACGTCCAGAGAATTCCTCGGAGCCGATACCACGAGAAGCAGCAAGCGGATCCAGAACAACAGGACCTCCTCCAAAATAGGTGAGCGTAGTACTTTCTCTGATGTTGTTCAACCTCTTTCAAGCTGAAAATTAGCCCTGCTCGATGAGTACCAAGACGTTCTCGTTGTCTACTGTCAGATGAGAAGCATACTCGTTTGCATCCACATCTAAGTAGTTCGTTTCGGTTCTGACAAATTCCGAGTTCTTTCGCGCCACGCGTATGCGCATATCGTGTTTGATCACAGTATGAAGAGGATTTCGGCTCCTGAACAGGCTGGTATGCTTGTTGCGAATTTTCGTATCTTTGACATTTTTTGTACTCAACATTTTCCAAACAGCTACTGCTTTCGACGTGGACAGCGTGTTGGCTTTTATCTTTTTGACTGCCAGGAAGACAGGCGAAATCACAGGAGGTCGAGCAAAAAGCTGGCTCTTCATGACGCGCAACTGCTCCGATAGCAGGCCAATTACAAGCGATCCGTGGGAAGGATCTGCTTTTGCCTCCGTCTCGACAACCAGAAATCGTTCGTCGTTGTGAACCAAGGCGGCATCTGCCTCTCCTTGCGCGCTTTTTCTTGTGCTCTGGATCGCGTCGGCCGAGCTGCGGTATATTGCGCGATAGTGATGACGTCGCGAACAAGAAGAAAGGAGTACGTCGTCTAGCTCTGGGTTGTTGTAGGTTCTGCGGTTCTTCTTTTCGTTTGTGGAAACACGATTGGCACAATCGATGTTGAGGATAGTATGATGGTTTCCGTCGTTCACATAGCTTCTTCGACTTTCGTCCTTTGATTGTCGGATACTTAATACAACTTCTAAGGGTGAGAATGCACTCAGTGTCATCTTCACCAGAAACAAACAAATTGGGCATCTAACAGCCACAATAAACAACCACTGCGTTGCTCAACAACGCCCAGCACCTGCCTGCGTGATCGACGTCCGAACACAGGGACGCCGCAAGGGCGCACTGCCTTTCGACCCGAAAGGCTCGCCTCCTGCGCAATTCCAGCCCTGATTTTTACACATCCACTTTTTCACTTTCACAAGAACCTAGAGGAAGAACAAGTACAGAAGATGAAACTCAAAGAGTTTTTCATAAGAACCTAGAGGAAGAACAAGTACAGAGGATGAAACTCAAAGACTTTTGGAAGGACTAAAGTTTAGATCCAGAAACAGAATGTGACATCAATAAAGTATCCAAGAAGTGATCATGTGCTGCATGTTGTGAATGTGTCATTTACGTAGGGTGGAGGACACATCATCAACATCACCATCATATTACGTGATCTTCAATAATTTACTACAGTGTGATCACTCGCGTCTCGTGGTCCCTCGTTTGTCTGCTCTCCTGTTACTCCCTCACACGACGCACACCGATCAGTGTATGAAGCATTGATGATCATCATGACATTGACTTAAAATGAAGTTGTTCGTCGCGGATTCCGACTCCAATTTTCAGAATCTAAAAGAGGCTAGATGATGTCGGAGTTAGGTCCGCTCACGCTGTTCTTGAGCACAAAGTGTATATTGCCTCTTCTCCAGTGCTAATCTTCCTCGACCTCGACATAGCAATCAAACCCGCCTGGCAAATGCAAAGAAATCCAATGAAACTAGAAAAACACGCTTGTTTTTGTTTTGACCATGAAACTTGAATCTTCTTCAATTCGCAGACTCGTTGACATTCACATTGATGCGTGTTGCTTGAATCTAATGCTACCTAATGAGAATGAGTGCACCTGCACGTTCACGTTGCGCATATTTTCAAGAATAAACTTGAACTAGGTAGTATGTTCATGTTGCGTGTTGCGTCAAAGTGGAACTACTAAAATCAAGTTTGAAATGGATTCCCCTCCCCTGATTGGTACAACATTTTTTTAGGGTTTTCGCTATATTTCATTTCTATCCTACTTGTACATCTCTGAGCAAACTTATAATTCCAGCACTAAATCTACATTATCATCACTGTTTGCTTCGAATTTCAAGCTAGCTGTAGCTCCACGACTAGGGACTTAAATCTGCTCTATTAACAAGCTGCTCTTCCGGAACGGATTTTCCATCAGCGTCCTCCAAAAAAGCTTCGAAGTCGACCAAGGATGGGACACGACTTCCTCCAGGCAACAAATCTTCTCCAGTCATGTCGCCCTCCGCAGCAACAGAACCCGGTCTCTTCACTTCAAGCAATCGCGCGGAAGGAAGTGAGCCTGGCGTGCGTGCGTCCTCTAATTCCTCTACCGCTCCTGCTTGATCAGTCGCCCTTCTATACCATGATGATGCCACACCAGCTTGCACTTGTGGTTTAACTTCAGACTCAGCATTTGTGTTGAACGCATTTCGACTTCCTCTGTTTGTGTTGTCTTCATTAAACAATGGAGCTACCGCGTCGCGTTCAAAAAGTTCTAGCTCATGGCACATTCGTAATGCTTCCAGGGCCTCTTCTTCTTCGGAATCAAAGCATTCCTCTTGCTGTCGGTGCTCTCTCAGAGCCACAAAATCGTCGAGGCTCGCACCCGGCAGAACGCAAAACTCCTCATCGTCCGACGTGTCATCGACGTCCTCATCCTCTAGCAGCGTCGGGTGCTCATTATGAGCAGGCTTCTCGTCTTCTATTAGCCTCAGATTCGCTCCATCTTGGTTCCCTCATCTCGACACCTTTCCCCTTGTATTTCATAAAAATGTAACGCGAAAGGGGATCAAGATGCCGAGAAAGATGGATACGAGCTAACCATAATTTTAAAGAAGGACCCCCTTGATGCTCTTCTTCTTGGCACCGCCATTTCCTCCCGTTGAATGACGAAGTAGTAGGTTTCTCTTTAATTATACCGCCATTGTCGACGTTGCTCGAAGAAGAAGATTTTTTTCTGAATGTAAAGGAATTTGAAGTCCTGGAAGTGTTCCTTCGTAATTGTTGCTCGGATTCTCCGTCTTCATCATCATGATCCTGATTTCCTTCGCCAGAGGGACCTCGGTCCCCACAGATTATCTGTGGAAGCGACGGGGAAGTGGACGCATTCCTAAACTTTCGACTCAGAAAGGCGAGGCGATAATTGTGTGGCCTGGTACACCTACTGGTTGTTGGCTCTGAAAAGCTTCGAGTTCGTTTCAACACCTTTTTCATTTTCCTGTCTTGAGCACATCCAACTTCTTGAGGAAGCTGCGCACCCTCTTTTGCAAAGTTAGCACGGTCTAGACAGTCGCTTCGCAGTTCTGGTGCTTCTTCACTGTCAAGTTCACTTTTCTGTAGGCATTGCTCATCACCAATATTTGAATTTGCGCTAGCTGTGGTATAATGTTCTCGAGACTTACAGGCATTCTCAACACGTGAAAATCGGTTTCCCTGGTTCAGGTTCTCAGTGACGCCTGTAATTCCTGGAGGAGTAGAATTGCTGACGATACGGGATGACAAGTCCTGCTGTAGAGGCGACTCATTCTTAGGGGAATCGTCGAAATCCGACGCCGAGGACTGCAGGTAAAAAAGTAGGGAAGGAAAAACCCGTGGCTTTTCTTCGGCATGAGCATTTATTTGTACAGCTACAGTGCCTGTGTCGACGTCATCGTGGCAGCCATTTTCAACCTCAACTACGTTTTGCAACAATTGCGTCTCCCGCTCTGGTGTCTTGTACTCACGGTCTTCGGCGTGAAAAGAAAACGTCAACGTCGAAGAACATCGCTTGAATCGTCTATCTTCTCCAGGAGGAGATCGAGATGATGCGGGGTCACTGCGATTAGATGATGAAGTACAACCAGATCCAGAACCAGGACAACCACTTACAGTTTCATGCCACGATAAGGAGAGCACTTCGGCTGAAAGGATATCTTCCTCTTCGTCGCTAAAGAGATTCAAGGTAGCTCTTCGTGGTGGGCCAAAAGACGACAACAAGCCATCCATTATCCTTGTGCTCTTGATTTCAATGGACGAGTCGGAGTTGCTTTTGTTCACTATGACAGTTGAGAACAAGTCCGCGTTTTTTTCAAGCTTTTTCTCAACAACGGCGTCCGCGACCCTCCCGATCTCGAACTGGAGGTGATCTAGGTCATCGTCTTGTAAGAAGTCTGCGAGATCAGGATGCGAGATTGCATCTTTTGCGTCTCTGCTTTTAGCGTCTAGACTTCCTCCATCACGACAGTTTTCTGCGTGTCGTTGAGTCTCAATATTTGGCCTAGTCGTGACGTGTTTGAGAAGGATATGATCCGACGTACTCGTCCCTACAACAGCATTCACGAGGGGAGCTCCGATACCTCTCAATTTCTTGCGAATGGATTCGAGCGATTGACGGTCCTGATGACCAGCTAGTATTGAACCAAATTGTGACATTTTTCCTTCGCGTGAAGAGGAACCTCCTTGCATGGCTGCTGCTGCTGCTGCTGCTGCTGCTGTATCAACATCTTTCCGTAGACATGCCAGCACGAAGTCGTAGAATCGTAAAAAATCTGACGTAAATGGGAACAGCAGTAGTCGGTACAAGCTGGACTCGACTGGCTTGTTTTTTGTGTGGTCAGTAACGCTTATGTGCGTGTGCCAAGTGCAAGCGCTCCTATTTACTTCCGTCCGGAAAGCCGGCTCTTTCTGTCGCTCATCATCTAGTGGAATAGCCAAGCACATGAGGGGGGACCCTCGTTTACAAGTCTCGAACGCATTCTCTGTGGAGCTGGAGCTAGAACTGGAAGAAGCATTTCCATTTTCTAAGTCGTTTGTACCGTTTTGGAGTAGCGCGAGTAGCTGCGCTGGGGTAAAACGCAGGACCTCCCGATTCGAATAACGACTAAGACCGCCACCTCCCGTCACCGAGCCAGACGCCATCAGCAAGGTCATTTCTATCATTGACGCTTCCCCGTCTCGAGAGGCGATTTTCGTCGTAGGCGAATTCGAAAGACGGGACTTAGCCTGTTTCTGCAATGTGCATTCAACAAAAGTTGCATCCTCTTCCGCGATCTGCCATCTGTCGCTGTAGTTTCTGCTAAAATGCTCTTCGCGACGTGTTCCCTCCTTCTCATCATTGCCACGGTGAACCCCCCTACTTTCGGGACTTTGGCCCTGCCAGATCTTTTTGGTTCTTCTCTTCAGTTGTCTACTCATGGTTTCTGGTTCTGTACGTCGCATCTCGACAAAATTTTGTCCGAGAATAAACGTCAATGGCTGTCGTACGGAATCAACACTACCACCGTTAATCTCTCCCTCCAAACCTTGTGCCCCTCCTATTTCTTGATCTGCCTCGCGTTGTCTTGCGGCCCTTAATTGCTGCTCGACGCTTGTCGTCACGCGTTCCACACCCGCGTGCATCTTCTCCACAGTGTGCGAAACAAATTGTGACAGACCGCTATCATCTGCGAGTTGCTGGAATAAGAGCAGGTTGGCACTGCCGGTGATGAAGCTGTCCACAACATGAGCACTTTCACTCTGTTGATCAAAGTCTGTCGTCGCATAATTGAGACCATTTCCACTTGCGTCGTCCATTCCACCAGTCCTCGATTGCAAGTTCCTGGTAAACCGAATGATGCTACGTAGAAAACGGCTGTCCGACCTAGTAGAAGAAGCCGCTTCATCTTCGCCGCCACTGAGTGCAAGACTCCACACATGTTGCTGGAATATCGCATCGATTCCTTCACTTTTCTCAGCCTCTAGTAGTTCCGAAGCTGTATCCCAAAAACGCAGTAGCTTCCAGTCAACTTTGGAGTCTCTAGCCCTGCTACTCATCTGGTCCTCTTTATCTCTAGTATCATCTCCGCTAGATGTTGAGGAAAACGATGCAAGATGGCTTAATCGTTCAGAAAGCCATTTTGTAGGTGAAATCTGACTTCCCGCGCTATCACAAGCTCGACCGGGGGTGGCAGCCAGAAAGCGTCTAGAAACCACCTCCAAGTCAACGTCCCGATTTCTTTTTCGAAAAAGGGCTGTGGCCGAGGTACTTTCTACTTCTAGCGAGGAGCGAGCATTCTTCTGATTGCAGAGCTGCTCGTCGCAAAGCGTCGTGACTTCCTCAACGACATGCGGTGGAAGTACCGGTAACGTCCGATCCTCCCAGACGTTGTAGGATGTTCCATACCACTTTCCTAGCAACGTACCCTCAACATGCGTGTTCATTTTTTCTCGCCACACAGCTCGGCACGTCGCAACAAGTACGCAATAGCAACCCCTGCGGACTAATTCCTTTAAAACCCGCTGACGCTGCTCACAAGCTCGTGCTGACAAATGTGCTCTACCATTAGGTGGCATGTCTTCCATGGGCTTTGTAGTCTTCGAAGCTTGCTCATGATCCACCTTAGAATCAGGAACTGCATCATTCGCCAAGGCGGCCCTCGCGCTCGCTGGCATCAGAAAATGTTCAACCGGCAGCAAATCCTGTTTTTGCTTATGCTGTTCATGAGATGATGGGGCAGTCGAATCCTTATTTTCTTCAGGACTCATTTTCTTCGTGGTATTTCGATTAAACGGGCGCGGCCGTACTAGTTTTTCAGGTCGTGCCTCAATGTGACGCAGAGCCGTGTTGATTGCTGCCTGTACGCTAGTCACGAACTCCGCGGTGGCACGATAAACAGATGCGCCTCTTTCACTCGGCGCAGCTACGTTCTGCACTCCTGGAAGAAAATGGTCAGCCGATCGCTGAGGCGCTATCGCGCGAAGAAATTGCATCCTCGAGGATCGTGTTAGTGCATCAATCGCAGCCCAGAACGCGACACCGAAGAGATCCAAAAATGCATTCTCACTTGGACTTGACGCCTGCTCGTCAATATTTTCGGGCACTGCTGACAGGTGCAAAAAATCTGCAGCCAATTGAAGGAAAATGCGTGCAGACGCATACAAAGCTGTTGACCGAGTGCCTGCATCCTGAGTGTCTCCTCGGCAGCCCAAGCACTGTTGATTCTCGCTAATAGCTTCGCTACTAAAGGCATTATCCATTCCACTATTATTCGTGTTCTGAAGATCATCATGGCCAGAAGTACTACAAGCACCACGATGAATGCAAAGAGGACGAAGAATGCGTTCTAGTGAGAATACTTGTACAAGGATGACCCCCACGAAAGACACTTCGCGATGAACAAAGTCTTCGACTAAATTGCCATCCGCAGTCTCGCTTCCGCGGCTCTGAAGTCGCTCGGCCATTTGGAACGCGAAATCGGACGGCTTAATCCTCCGTCTATCCAGAGGAGACGGATCATGCCGCACCTCTGCGCTGTCTGCCTTCTCTTTGGCGGTTGTAGTTGTCGTGTTCGCTCTTGATGTCGAAGTCGATAGACCAGTCACTTGTTCTTGAGTACAACTAGAGTCCATTCTGACATCTTCGTCGCCATCAGCTAAAAAATCGTCAATGTTATCAAACATCTTACTGGGAACCCCAGCCCCAGCCTCTGCCCCGATCTGAGCTATAAAAGTTTCGGTGTTCTTTTTGCTTCCACGATCCCGACATAAGTTACTTCTTTTTCGTGCATCATCTTCCACGAGAGTTACTTCGTCTTGCCTCTGATGATAGTCGTCTCCGCGCAGCTCGAGCTCATCATCTTGAGAAAAAAGGCAATTGTAAATTTGCGTGTAGTTGTCAACGAGGTCAATTTTCTGTGAGACAGGCGCAACAACTTTAGCCGCTAGATCGCGCATCCACGTAACATTGGGCCCAGTAGTAAGTTCTCTCATGCTTTCTACAAACGAACCGGATGCCGCAGTGGAAGAGCGCTCTAGAGAATCAGGCCGAGTACTTCGATTTCTATTTGAAAATGTACGACCTGGACCTACTTGCTCACCATTTCCGAAGTTGCAAACGGACGGGTGCCGTAGCAGGGATTCTGCGTACGCACCCCCTTCACCAAGCACAGTCTGTCGAAGTGCAATCATGTTTCGCGCACCTTTGGCCATAATCAGTTGCTCCGCAATTGAATCCAACTTGCAGATTAGCACTCCAAGTTTGGAAAACTCGGATTGTTGAAATTCAGGTGCTCCTTGAGAACTCGAAGTGCGAGGCGGCTTTTCGTTCCGGACATCGACATCATTATCAACGTCAACACAGGTTGACGATTTATGAACCTGGAGCAGGAAGCAGCAGAGTGTTCGCGCACACCTTTGTAGGGTTGCAGCATCGATCGAGGGCATCAGCGTGTTTCTTTCGATTTCCTTTTCACTTTGATGGTCGTCATCATCTCCTCGCGACTCATGTTCGTCCTGGAAGGAAGGCTCAAGTTTCTTCATGAGAGTCGATTCGATAAGGGCGTTGACTTTCGCGATGAGCTCGTGCACGGAAGGATTTTCCGCCGCACGCAAACGCCTTCTTGGTGCTAGGCCAACTTGCGTCAGACCGACGTCGCGAAGCAAAGGTTGCAACCAGAGATCGTTGATCTTCTTCAAGTTTTTGTTTGTGCTCCCATCTTCTTCATGATCATCTCTACTCCGCCCACCGCTCTTCATCCCAATAATTTCTGACACCCACAGCTCCCGATAATGGTCGCAAATTTCATCCATGCAAATTACAGCGCTCGAGGAGAAAGCCTTGGCCTCGCTACCACCTTTAGACTTAGTCGACCGCGAAGAGCCTCGCGGCAGATTTGCGTTACTATTACCAGTAGAAGTTCTCGTCGCTCTGCTGCTTTTTCTTTGAGACCGGCCAGAAGCTGATCGATCTTCTTGTCCATCTCGACGAGAGTGGTCTTCATCCTGTTTGTGGCTGGAAGAGGACTGCGATGGAGTAGAAGCGGTGCTATCTTGATGTTGAGAAGACTTCGAAGCAGCTGAACCCGAGTTCGAGTCATCCAGAAAGGTCTGCAAATGCGCCAACGCCTTTTGAGATCTTTTTACAATTTTGAGAAAATCAGTCGCCGCTTTTCGATCCTCAAAACTTAGTAAAAGTTGCGCACACTTGTGTCGTGCCTCAGTTCTAGATCTGGCGTTCTCATTCATCTTTTCACGATCCGCAGTATGATGAACATCAGTGACTACGGCAGCGCCAGTATGTGGTACTACCGAACTAGCTGTAGCAGAAGTAGAGGACTTCCCTGCATTAAAACCGGGCTCTGCTGCAGTACTACAACTACCCCGCTCGCTTTTGTTGGTCATTCCATCGTGGCGAGTGCGCTCGTCTTTAGAATCCAACAAGGGCAATGGTGCTACCTCGGACCCGCGGACACCTCCCGGGAGAAGACTCGCTGCGGACGAGCAACGGGAGACCGTCTCAGAACCGAGATTGAGCATGGCCGCTGGCGCTCGTGTTAGGGACACGATGTCTCTCCTCATCAGCATGCTGCCTGAATTCTCATTGGTGCTGTTCACATTCCCATCTTCAAATATCAAGGACGCATCGTCATTGCCATGTTGCCCATCGCTATTCGAGTTAGACTGCATGGCCATCGATGGAGCCGGTTTCGCCATATCTTTTCTGGTTTCCTCTAACATCGAGCCTGCTGCGTCCAAAAGATCACCGACATTATTGACGATGAGAACACCCGTCTGCTGCAAAGTAGGGTCATACCTTCTTGTCGTGTGGGGGCCATTATGGATAGGAGGCTGTAGATGTAAATCTATCTTCTCGTCTGCGACTGCGAGGCTGGTGGCAGGAAGACTGCTCTCATCTTCACCTTCCTGCTGTGCAATCCACAGTCGCAGTTTGTATCCGCTGCCTTTCAACGACAAGCCCAGAAACTCAGCTCTAAGAACTGCGGAGATACGAATTAGCCACGTTGGTCCACGAAAGTTTCGCGGTGAGACAAATATTGAAGACTGCAACGCGAAGTCGGATTCCACGACTTCAACGACCTTGCTGTTGTTCCTTATCCTTGCTTTGGAGGTTTTCGGTATTCGTGTACCACTGCTGCTAGTTGTTGCGCCAGTTCTTGGAGGCAAAAAGACAGCTAGGTGCACATTTTTTTCTCGATGTCGCGTTTTTCCTATCACTAAAGAGGCGAAAGCAACGGATCGCGAATAAATCATTTGTTTCCTCCTGCTGCCACGCAAAAGTAGCAGGTCACCAACAATGTGTCGCAGACTCACATTGTCCTCTACTTTCTCAAAGAGACAGTCATCTTCATGGTTCTTTGGCGGAGACTTCTGGCCTTCTTGAACCACATTTCCAACAACTCCGGTCAAGGTGGAAGAAGACGACGCGCCACTTCTAGTACCATCACGCAGATAATCCAAGAACTGGCTAAGGAGTTGGCATTTCTCGGCACTGGTTCTGGTTGAACAAGCGCGAACCTGGGCGGCATTCAGCGCAAATGCCCATCCGTTCACATCATCGAACTCGATGCTCAAGTGCAGAGAAGAGGGCGCGCCTGGCGTTGAGCTACCACTACCGCCTCCAGCTGCCATACTCGCGGATGCAGGAGCTGTGCCAAAACCAGAAGCATTGCCACCCCTTGCCTTGGTGCTAGAAGACGAAGCGGGTGAAAATGAATATCCAACACAAGAACTCGGCAGTCCACTCGCAAAATATTTAGTGTCTGCTTCTAGCGATGTTGTTGTACTAGAAGTAGGCACATCCGTATCCGATCCCTCCTTTCTATTGTTTATCGGCAATGTGTTCCTCGGAGTCGTTGTAATGGCACACGACGAGTTCGCGAATTGATGCGATGCGCCCCCCGCTATCCCGGTCCCAAAAGCAGCCTGTTGAGCGAAGATGAAACGCAAAACCCGCCCGCCTGTATGGGAGATGTCTGTTTGCAGAAGATCCAGGGCACACAGTACTTTGTCGTTTTTCACGTAGGAGCAAACACGAAGTTGGCTATTTCCTTGCCGCGCACACCCCTCAGTAACGTAAAGCGCTAAGCGTCCACTTTCCACGACTTCCGCGTATCGCCACTCCCACCGCTGTGTCTGTAGAGAATACACACGACACGAACCAGAACTCTTCGGACCAAGCGGACTGACAATAGAAACCGCGTCTGTACTAGGCATAGTAATGGCAGCACCAGCGCCAGCTTGCTGTGAAGCAGTTGCAGTAGTCCCCGATTGACAAGCTAGTACTTCTTTAGCATCATGTACTCTGCTTGTCCCTGTCGCTGTGAGGTCTGCTCCGGATAATGCAGACAGAGTGCTAGGGTCCATAAGACCAGGCGCGGTCGCGACTGCGGATGAGCCTGCCGCTCCCGAAGTCGTCGTACTAGTTGAGGCCGCAACACTTGCAACCGACATCTTAATCGCCTCTGTAATCGATGATGCGCATACATTCGTCTGGCCTCCCACAGATCTGTTAGAACCAAAGTTAATCCAAATCCGAAAAGGATTTTAGAAAGCGCATCCCCGATTCTCCTACCTCTTCTTCGCGCTTTAGCTTTTCCAAATCTAATAAAAATATATTACATATTTTGTTCTTCGCACTTCCTGTTCCTTGTACTAAAACTAATCTTCGGCGCCTTATTGCTCTAAGTGGCTGTGGCCCTTATTGAATTCGAATAAGACTTATTCTAATTTCTAAAGATAGTAAACCATAAGACCTGATGCACCTTGCTCGCGCGGACTAGAAGCTGCACCAAGAAAGGTCGCGTCGAGAAAACCTCTTATTCTCTGCGAAAAACTCTCCTCCCGAATCGCCGCCAGCACATCTTCCGGTCTTTTCTCGCTGGGCAAGCCGTAGCCACACGCATGCGGATGCGAGAACGCTTTCCTCGTTCTTGCGGGAATCAGCGGAGGCAGATCCACATCGTCGTCTAGGTAGTTTATCTGCATGTTGCAGCTCGAAGAGGTGGATCCGGCCACACTTACACCATCTTGTTCATCCCCGGATGATCCTGCACCAAGATTTTTGCTCCTTGAGGACGACAAAACGTCACACGCTCGCACTCCCCGAACATCGCCTCGACGAATGGTTGCGGTGTCCTTGGTGGGAGATGGAGTCGATCCTAGCGCTGGTGATGCCGCTGCTAGTAGCTCTGGCCCTTCGACCTTCGAAGAAGAAACTTCTTCAACAGGCTTTTTTGATTTCGTGGAACTCCTGGGTGAAGATTCTAAGCCAGCTGTGTTCTTCTTGTCTTGTTGGAGAACGTTTTCTATTCCTTTCGTGCCCCCCTGTGCCACAGGTCTTTCGCAAGCCCCCGTCTTTGCTGTTGCACTCTGAGCCATTGCCGAAGTGCCATCCAAACTTGCACAAGGATTTGCAACCACGGGAACTTCAGAGGAAGTACCTCCTTGCTGCCGCTTATTTCCCACCGAGGCTCGCTGCCGCAGTTGTTGCACCTTGGAAAGGTACATTGTTGTGATTCAGTTGAAATTTTCCCCGGTCAGACCCACAACGTCAATGTGCTCCCGCTGTCGCGACGCATACGAAAAATGCAGCAGGAGCACTTCATCTTCATCAAATAGTGTACGTAAGGTAGTGGTAGACGTAGGGGTCGTTGTAAAAAGACAAAAATCAAAATAATCTTTCAGAAAATTACGTAAAGAATTTGCCGCGCGTAGATACACCTTACACTTTCTTGTTATAAAATGCGAAAGCATCCAGAACAATCAAACAGAACACAAAAAGAAAACGATAAAAAGTGAAATCCTCTACACTTTGTTGATGATTTGAATCTATTCGGCAAGCTGCCTGAGATTTCCCTGGCGAGTTCTACCCGCTAGTCTAGCTCGTTGTTGGATTGTTAGATGTTTCTCGACTGTTCCTGTTGTTCCTGATGGTGAGCGATGAAGCTCCTCTACTTTGTTAAAACTCCAAAATTCCCAAGAAGCTATTGATCGTCACAAAGCAGACGCAGGACACCGCGCATCATTTTTGTACTTCTGCTACTAGCTAGTTGCCAATTCTGATGAAGTTTCGGCGGGGTGTCTCAGTAGGAATAGGTCTTTCTTGTAGCGTTGTACTAGTAGATAAGCTTCTACTTCTGGCATAATACGAACTCCTCCTGTTGCCCAAAGCTCACCCTCTGGATGGCGCAGCGGATGTGAATCGTCACTCGTTTTCTTCGTGACAGTAGGAACTTTCCTTTTCCTTCAACAGGCACCAAACAGTAAGCACGATACGTATCATCATTCTTTTGGAGCACAACACCGAGGGCGGTGTGACAAACACGACGGTATCACCAAGGCACGTCAAGTCTTTCTTCCCATGAACATGAGTTTCAATGTTGGCCAGACCCCGTGACTGTTGGTACTCGTCACGGATAATGCTTAAGGTTAAGCGTGTCAAAGATGCGCTTGTGCTCGAGCCTCGAGGCTAAAAGCGTTGTAAATCAATGCTGCTGAGAGGTTGTTGTAAGTAGTCGGTACCGGTACGAATAAGCGAAAATAATGTTCGTTGTCACTGGACAATTTACATCGGCATCATACGACGAACATGTAACATGATAATATCTTCATGCTGGCGCCCCGCCGAGCGAGATTGTATTGGCTTCAGCATTACCTTACTCGCCCCCCTCATGCGTTGCTGCCTCTTCGTGTGGAGGAGGTATCGCACGCGCCATCAGCTCCTCAAAAGTTGCTGTTGCAGAAGTCAATTTGTCTCGATGCATCTTCTCTAGCTCCTCGATGAACGCGCGCCGCGTTTTCCAAGGAAAATCACCCTCAGGATCTACCTTTGGATGTCGCTCGATCACAATACCTGATTGAGAATGCATTGTAGGTAAGGAACGTGGTTGCTCAAATAAATTTTAGTTCTGTGGTTGAATAGAAACCAAATAAGTATTCTCACGGCGAAGATAACATAGTGTTCTAGCGATCAATCAAATAGCACGAAGATTACCTAGTGCGTTCGCAGCCTCACCCCAGGTAGCACAGCCGTTTGCTGGCAGTTCTCTTGCAATTGTCACTACAAGCTCGTATCGCGGAATATCCTTCGTTAGCCTAACATTGCTATTCCTCACGTCTATCCTCTGTTCGAGCAGACCCTCGATATCCGCATCACTTTCGCCAGGGTATGAACCTGAGAAAAACGCCAAAAGGTCACTTCGATCTCCACCGAATGTGAAATAGATCATCCCGTTTTATTGTCGTACTACCACTAGTTACTTGTAAAAGCCAGCTTTCTGATGAAGTTGACGTAATGCAGCAGGAGCGTCCACAAAAGTGATAGCAATTTTTCTTGCTCCCCCACGTATTTCATGCTTTAGACGGATCTACTACGACATAGGAAAAAATGCAGTACAAAGGAAATCCTGCACAACATGCTCCATGTATTGGTCTTTTCTCCTTGCGTCATTGCAAAATTGATACAGTTTCACGATAAAGTTCGTCACCTTCTTTTCCGCCATATATCTGCGAAATTCTCGAAGCTGAGATGGGGATTACAACATGTTCATACTTCTCTTCATGATCCTCCTTTTTCAAAAGACTTTTTTGTACTAGAAACTACAAAGAGACGCCAAAGAGTTCTTCTCCTCGTCACTAGTTTTTTCGATCTTAACAAATTTATGTATTACCTTATCCTGTTCCGAAAAAGTGCACACATACTTGTCGAACAAGGTTGAAAACTGTCCTATTGATTCCAGCATCGTTGACGCACCTGGCTCGCTGATTGACGGCTGTGGGGGGAGGTCCTTGCTCCCTGTTGCACCACCCACAGCTTCTGACATTTTTGAAGATCGACGTAGTAAATGAAACTGAAACCCAGCTTCGCTCAGTTAAAAATGAAAAAGTGATAGAAGGGATCTATAGTTACGACCTACTGTATTAGCTCCTACAAGTGTTGCCTCCACGTCTACGGCTACCTATCAACTGGATTTTCTTTCAAATGTTAGTCAGCAAACCGAAGGAAAGAAGAAAGACTAACTTGCGATACATCCTTGGGACTTCCTTCGGGGGGTGAAGGGGATTCAATAAGAGCGGGGACAGGCGTCGACTCATCATCTAGTGATGGTAGTAAAGACAGAAATTCCTCTTTTTCACATGTTGTAGCTGGTTTATTTGACCGAGTGACATCGCAGTGACATCGAACGAAAGCGAAACAAACGATTGAAACGAAGAACCCGATGGACGATGATTCCGACTCTTTTGCTTCCCTTTCCTTCTCCGAGGGGGCTTCTTCCGTGCCAATTTCTGATACTTCAAATTTGATGTTTGTGGTCCTATCACAAGCCTCTAGGCGTGATCAGTGCCCACACTTGGCAAAGAACACGCATAGAAGATACAACTGGGACTACAAAACGTTGTCAAGAGCGGTAGCCTCTTTGGTATATAGTTTTAGAACAAGTTTTCCTTCTACTACCCATTTTCTTGCTTGAGAAATTGAGCAAAACTCGTCTCCTCTACCAGTTCCAGTTCTTGAGAGAGATAATCACTAGATGTAGCTGTACATGCGGAAACTGAAACTGAAACAGGATAAAAAAAAAACTCTAATTCTTGGAAACTTGACTGTTTTCATCAATTTCAAAAGTGACATCTTCATACAGATAGACATACGTACACGTGCACGTAGCTTCACGGCGTATCCTTAGGTTTAGTATATTTTCGAAAGAAGGCAAACTATCATTTGGCGTAAAGGGCTAAACAACTCATACACATGTTTTAAGTATCGCGACAGACAGATGCATTATCTTCATGGCTATGGACTCCTCCACGCCTACTTCTAGTAATCATCAGTTTTACGCACATTCCTCTCTTACCTTGAAACTACCTCCGTCCTCTGAGCAGTGCTAAGAAAAATACTCAATTAGTCATATTTTTGTAGTACAATGGACCCTAATCCTAATGAATAGTAGCGAAAGAGAAACATCGTGATCAATGATGATGTCAGTGTCAATATGCGTGTCGTTTGATGATGATGTAAATCTAAATGAATCTACTTCCGAGCAGTACTCACCTTCCTTCCTACACTGATAAAACAAAACGAAATGGTAAATTAAAACTTAACCTTGTATGGAATGAAGTCTCAGAGGTGACGTCCCTCACCTCCTCCTCTACCTGACTAGCTGACCTGGTGTGTCAGCAGTGTTGAACGCGTTATTGTCTTCTGCCTCTGCTGGGGTGTCCTGCATTCCCTCCGCATGTTCCGCGTGCAAATCGTGCTTGAAATACGATATGCAACGTGCGGAACCCTTTTCCAAACGTTGTTAGAAGAAAGAGGAACAACAAGAATCTATCATGGTGATGGTTAAAAGCTCGACTTTAAAGTGTTCTAGAGATGACATCTAGGACGACAATTGGCGAACATCCTGATACAGCTTTAGCAAAAGGAAATCATCACTTAAGAAGCCTAAAGCAGCGAACTACCCCTATTGTAAAAGACAAAGAGCACTTGACGAGTTGTCTTCATAATTGTAGAAGGGTTCGATTCCAGACTGGCACTGGTACGATGGTGGCCGGAAGGACTCGTCTTCGTCTACTGCACGCTTCGAATAGAACATGCACCAGGACGTCTTCCTGTCGTGTCTGCCGACCGGCGGATTGTCTGGATTGGCGTCAGGATCTTTGATCATGAATCTCGGATCGGGATCGCCAAATTTTGTTGTGGTCGTCGTGGTTGTCGATGTCTCAGGCACCACTGGCTCGTCCTCTCTCATTGTTTCGAGCATTCTTTCGAGCTCCTCAGTAGATGAGTCCGACGTTGCATCGTAAGTAGAAGATGACATCGCATTGCGGCGATGTTTCTTCTTAATCTTACTGCGTGAGGATTGTGAATGACTCCGCCGAAGAAGAGAGGTAGGTAGGCCCTGGTAGCTACCTGACTCCTTCATTGCATCGCCGAAAAGTTGCTTTTCGATTTTCGCATTCTCCTGCAACCTTTGTTCTTCAGCTGCAGCAGCTTTAGCATCGATGTTTAGTCCATCATTTTCCGCAGGCTCAGATGCTCGCCCGGCTCCATTGCCACCTCCTGCAGTGAACTCGCCATCGATTTCCGCTCTTGCTACTGCTTCGTCCTCGTAATTTTGGAAGTTGGGCTTTTTCTTTGGCAGCTCCATCTTGTTGTGAGGCGTTCCTGAGGCATGACCGCCTGTGCCTCCCATATTTGTTCGCTGCATCATGTTCGCCTTCGCTGCACTCTCGTTATCTTCAGCGCCATCTCCATCTCCCAGCACCTTTCCCGCCATCATTGCAGGTTGGACCGCCGCGCCTTGTGCTACCTCGAAACCAAATTCGTCTTGCTTCAGAAATCGATTTGGGTCTTCGACACGAAATTGAAAGCTCTTCCGATGCCAGCCGTAGGTAACGTTCACGTGAAGAAATCCGATGCAGTCAGGACCTCGCATTTCGCACATGATCGAGCACGTGTAGAGGTCTTGAGACACGAACCTACGCGCGGCTTCCGAAAATTTCGCAATGTGCCGCTGAAAATTCTGAGGTCGCGGAGCATTGCCGCCGACGCCGACCAAACCGTCTAGATCTATCGGAAAGCTCGTATTCTGCTCAATTTGCTCCGACAAATGCACCCATGATTTGTCGACTAACGCAATATTGGCAAGACCGCTCTTTTCTTCGGTGTAAACACGCAAAGGAGGCTCCATCACTTTTGCTTGAAAATGGTACCCGTACACGCCATTCCAGTGGGGACCTATTATTTGTCGTGGTAGAGCAGCTAACTAGAAAAAACAAAAACCAGAAAAAGGTTTGCGTCGTAGGATTTATGTCCTGCTCCTACTAGCCTTTAGTGTATCTTCGCTTGGTTCAACAAGTAGTTTCCAAAAAACTCGTCGATGCTGATACATTTTCGTGGCGTATTTCTCAAACTTCTAAATGGTTCAATCACGTAGTCAATGTAGACTGCATGCGTACGTGCACAACAAGTTCAAGTACAGCATGTTTTAAACAATTAGATACCCAGCGACGTTTCCAGTCCTTTTGGCCCTTGCATCGGAAATTTGATGTAACTGTTATAGCGAAGATCGAAGTGGCAGTGTTCTGGATCTCGCGCTTTCATGCGCCGCCAGATGAAATGCGTATACCGCGGTGGTTTTGTTGAGTCTTGCATATCTTGCGCTGGGCCGGCAGGGTTAAACACCACGAACGAGTCACAAATGACCATAAAGAATTAGAGTGACATCAAGAATGTTCATGATATTCTTGCGTATAGATAGATACTGTACGAGTACGGGGTGGTGATATTCAGGCTACAAGTACGCTACAGCTAAAAGGTCAGATTTTGATTTTCAGTTTGTATTTACTTCTATTTCTAATCTTAAATATTTCGTGCGCTTCTATAATCCTACTTACATTGATAATCTACCATAGTACACAATGCGAGCAGAGCACTAGTAGCCGTGCCTTAATTATTGCACTCCTCCGCGAGCTCCAGGAGTCGCTCCTCCCCGTAAAACTCGTCTACCTCGTTTACCTGTCCGGACTGAGGTGTCATCATGTAGTGGTCAATTGCCACCGGATGTGTCTGGGTTAGTCGGATTGAGGGTACCATTGCGTCTAGCCCTATGCCAGCGCCGAGCCCATACAAGTCCACAAGCGGAGCTTCAGCCGTCGTATTGACATTGTCATCTACGTCAGGAAATGTCGTCGTCGATCTCGATGTACTATTAGAGAGTATTTCAAGTCAAAATCGATCCTGCTCGTTGACACGGAGCTTGAGCTGCCAGCTGGATGAGAGTTGTATAATCAATTCAACTTGAACTTGCAGTTTACTATTGCTCTGCCGCAGAACCACCGTTTACAACGTCGAAAAAGCAAGGCGAGAGCACGATCTTCTGATGTATCCTCTCAATTATTTGCCATAGTATCATCTGTGTCGTTCATGTCTGTTGCGTTCCAGCCAGCAAGTTTTACCTTCCCGAGAGACGGCGCGAAGGCTGTCGAGTCTTGCAATATCATCTTCAGTCGGTGGCCGCCTTCACGCGGGAAAATTGGAAAGCCCTTGCAGTTGCGAAACGGATACTTGATATATCCGCCCGGAATATTGGCGCCTTCCGTTCCATTGGGCGTGAAGTTGACTGCGAAAGAGATCGGCTTCCGATCTGCATCTGTCGTGAGTTTCGCAACTTTTTGATCGGGACTGTTCCCTAGTTCGAATTTCTGGCGAGTAGGCTGCAGGTCGGACGCGAGCTTTCTCTCATCGGGTGGGCGCCAGTACACCGAACTATTGCCGCCAGCATTATTCGACGACGTGATGCCTTTGCCTCGATTTAAGTTCCCAGTGATCACCCGATCTGCTGTCAGTTGAACTGCTCCACCTCCACCGCCCGTGCCGTTTGAGTTTGTCCCATTGGCAGTTACATCTTGGCCTACCTGAGAGTCATTGCCATCCCTTCTCCCGAGCTGAGCCGAAACCACCTGTGCAGCCAGCGCAAGTTTTTGCGAGCGCTTGGTAGAAGGGTGACCAACTACACGGGAGGTACCTGAAGATGCGGCGAAAATGTAACGAATTGACGATGATCTATGTCCACTTGCCCCACTGTCTCAATATCCAGTTTTCTCAGTAAAAAGGCTAGTGTCGAAACCAAGACGGACGTCATCCGTACCTCCTCTCCCGCTCCCCGACCTCCGATGTCTCCCGAAGGCCTCGCTTTCGCCAACATCGACTCCTCGATGTCTCCGTCTTCTGTTTTTCAGAACATAATCGCGTATGGGTATGCTGAAATCATCCTCCTTCCTTGAGTATGCGAGATTCGCACCCTCAGCGGCCGGTGAGACCCCGCCAAAAAGAAGACCACCGGTCAAGACTAGTTGTATTAAAGAGGGGAAGAGGATCTTCGTGGTACCACCGGAAAAGGTTGGAAACAGTCGCATGTTGCTTTGCTGCGCACCGGTCGCCGCCGCCGCTTCAACATGACTCTCGATTTTCTCGCATTCACACTAGTGCAAATGCGCTATATTTCTGTGCAAAACCCTGATGGTGTTTTGTACTGCCAGTTGTGACTGGCGTTTTGTTATCGACTAGGAAATTCGACAACTGCCAACAAGTATTTCAACCAGGAGTAGAAGGACTCTTCACACTTATCAATAAATTCGGTTAATGAAGTCACGACTTGCTTTATGCCTTTTTTTGCTGCGCCCGATGTGGAAGCTCCATCACATCAAGTTAGTCTTTGCGATAGTTTTGCTGGTGCACTCCGATTTCGTAGACGGGTCTACAAGAACCGTATCGTGATTGAAATTGACGTGTCGATATTTTGAAATCTCCTGCAAAGGACGATGCCTCTCCTTCCTCACCATGCTGCATCAAGTCATTTTCCTGATTACGTTGCAGCAGCAGCAACTATCATTCTTCTTTCGTTAACAAGCATAGCTTCGGTCTGTATTTGTCTTGGTGTCGTGGAACGCTCAGTATATAAATCGCAAAGAATCTTCTGAATCACGATTACATGAACATGATAGAATCTTTTTTGTGTTATGAAGGAAAGAATCGACAAAAATATCAATCATTCAACGAACCAAATAAAAAAGAGCCTCGGTAATGTTTGTATGAAACAAAACAAAAGCCGTGAAAATGAATTTTCTCGCGTCTTCTTGTAGTTCTTCGAACGGAATCAAATATACCGAAAAAGCACTACGCTTTTCTACGAGAGACACGATCGGCTGAAACATGAATAAGGGCAAGGGAAACCTGAAACATGTAAATAGATGGTGATGGATTACGATTACGTTTACGTTATTCATCAAGCTAAATAGGTGTACGAAAGATAAAGTGGAATTGGAAACTCTCGACACTAAGGTATTTCTTTTTTTTATATTTTATAGGAAAGGGAATCGACTGGCTCATGTCAATGATGACCATCATATCTAGGAAAGCACTATCGTTAATTTTGAAACGTGAGCATAATTACAGGTAGCCAAGGGTGAGGTGCCAGCACTAGTACGAGAAGCACAACGAGCAAATACATCGTATTCGTAAGCTATGAAAATGAAATAATCTAGCAAATTACTATTAGCCCTCATGAGGTCTCTACATCACGACCAGCGAGCGACGCTCCAAACTACGGCGATCCTGTTGTTCCAAAGGCCGACGAGAAGTTGCCAGTCATGTTTGATGGTTGCTGCACCCGAATGTAACTCACGCACGCCGCGGTGTTCCTTTTGATCCCACGATCGGGCATCTGAATGTCAGCACAACGATTTGTCCACCGGCTGACTTCGTCCTCATTCGGTTGCAACTTCCGGTGAAATATGCAAAAGCGGCTATTCACGTGCGTAAAACCCACATGCTATGAATGCGAGTTATTGGGTGAACGGAGGAAAGCAAAGAATGATACTAAATCGTTAGCTGCCTGTTGCCAGTAAATGAACAAAATCTCTATCTCAGTCTCTGCTGTAAAAGTAAATGGCCTGTCAGAATATTGAAGGCAGAACAGAGCGTCGAAGTGATGCCAACAATGCGTTTACGTTCTCTTTCTCATTGTTATGTATAAGCACAGCGAGAAATCTTCTAGCATTCTTCCTGTCTTAAGCACGGAATGACAACGCGGCTCGTCGACGACGTGGTATTTACTTTCATAAAGCGTTCGTCTGCCTCTACCCCTGCGTCGCACATACTCGCGCACAGCGATAAGAATTTTATAGCAGCTTCCGCATCGCCCGCGGTGCTTTTTGCGTTGCGCTCTTTCAGCGTGTAGCCAGGAAAGTCAGGCGACCATGGCAGAAACTGGGGAATCCGTCTAGACAACCTTCCGCCGCCTGGAAGGATAGAAGTGCCCCACCGCTTTACAACGCCTGGCCCACGCTCTTCCACTGGTTTTGAATCCAAAACCTGTGCCACGGCTTGCGTTCCCGGTTTACCGACTTTCACTCCCGAAGCATGGGAGGTGATGATGTTCAGCGTTCCCTGCTTTGGCGCTAGTGGATTGTCGGGCTCCACATCCACGCCATCCGCCTCCGCCTCGTAACCCGTCTTCGCGATTCCGTAATTCATGGATATTTAGAAAGCTAACCTTTGAAGATTCATGCGTTACGGGGTACTGCATGATTGCAGCAGCTGCTGATTCTGGTTTCTTGTTCATTTACATTTATCTACAGTGTTTCTTAGTTATCTTGCACATTTGCGAAAAATTACCAATCTCTTAGTTCTATAAGCGCATCAAGAAGATGCTTCTCACAAAGATGGAATTACAAGAGGAGAAGGCCCTAAGTCAGATTTTTCGCAGAGGAGTTCTGGGGATCTGCATTCACGTCGACGTGCGAAAGAATCGAGCCACCCGTGATTGAAGGTTCGTCTCGAACGTCCGCTTCCCATCCTTCTGCTCCTGTCGCTGCGTGATAATTCAGGAGACGCGCTGCCGGCGCTACTGGCGCGGGCCGCATGTTGAGTGCCGAAGACATGATGACATGCGTCGCGTTGTTTATCTTCAGAGATACGCTCGATTCATTCGAAAGCGTCGTGAAATTACTTCCGTTGGTTCCGTTCGTGTCATTTTACTCTTAGAAAACTAAAACCATTTCCATTGCGAGAACATCAGAAGTTCGTCGATGAAGATGACGATGAAGAACAAGAAGAAGATGGTCGTGGAGATTACAGTAGAACTCTACTACGTACTAGCACCATCATCAAGATCAACATCAAGTGAGCCTTAACCTACTTCTGGTAACGGCGGCGGCGTCGTGGGTCCCGAGTCTCCGTAGTACAACTCTCCCATGCCGTCGAGACCAGCTGCAAAGCTGTAATATCCTTGGGCGTCTGCTCCTTCCGTTGCTCGCTGCGGCGCGAAGTAGGCTGGGGTGCCCCAACTGTGATCGAGCAATTTTACTAGCGTTTTGCCAAATTTGGACCAACCTTTCGGTCTCAGCAGCTGCAGCGTAGAGTCCACAAGAATTTCTGGATCGTTTGGATTCTCGTCGAAATGGTAACCTACGACACCCTTCCATCCGAGACCTGGAAAAGGCCTATTGATACAACTCTAACTCTTGCTGTAGTTGCTCATTTCTTTTTCTTGAAAGCTGAAAAATAATGACTCGCGAGGACTTCAACTTCATGTTGTAGCACTTCTATTCAAATTGCACGTACTGCGTGGGGTGGTTGCACCGCTGGACATTGTGATATCGAAAAGGAAATGTCAGAAATTAAATACCGAGTGCGCTTCCGGCTGGAAATTTGACGTAACTTTGGTAGGGATACGGTTCCGTAGGCCCTTTCATGAAGAAGATGTCAATGGGCCCTGGAGTCGTTGTCGTCGTACTACTCGTCGTTGTGCTACTCGTTGTCTCTGTGGAGGTTGTTGTTGAGGTCTCGGTGAAAGTTGTGGTCGTCTCGGTCGTGGTTGTTGCTGTTGTAGTCGTCGCTGTTTCTGTCAGAGTCACGGTGACTGTACTCGTCAAATTGACTGCTCCACTTAATGCACTGCTGACCGTAGAGGATGCGGTTGGCGTAGTTACAGGACCAGTGGACGAATCAGGTGTACTTCTATTTGCAGAGCTGTGTGTGTCAGCGCCAGCTTTTTCCACTGATTTTCTTTGTTGCGATGCAGCATGATGCTGCTGTTCTTTCACTAGAGATTCAGAAGAATGCGACTCATCTCGTTCCTTGACGAGTAGAAGCGTAGTGGATGTAGCTGCAGCTCCGGACGTTGACGACTCCGTCTCTGTGACTGTACTTGTCTCAGCGCCGCTTGTTGATGCGGTAGTAGTGGCAGCTCCAGCGGTTGTCGATGCAGTCGTAGCGTCTGCAACCGTTGTAGATGTAGTAGCTGCAACTCCGCCAGTTGTCGATGTAGTAGCAGCATTTCCAACTGTTGTAGATGTAGAAGCTGCAACTCCGCCAGTTGTCGATGTAGTTGCCGCATTCCCACCTGTTGTCGATGTAGTTTCCGCATCTCCCCCCGTTGTCGAAGTAGTTGCCGTATCTCCGCCCGTCGTCGATGTAGTTGCCGCATATCCTGCTCCTGTTGTCGATGTAGTAGCTGCATCTCCTCCTGTTGTCGATGTAGTAGCTGCATCTCCTCGTGTTGTCGATGTAGTAGCCGCATCTCCTCTTGTTGTCGATGTAGTGGTTTCATCTCCTCCTGTTGTTGATGATTCGGCATCGGTGGCTGTAGTCGTCGCAACTGCGCTCGCCGTTGACGACTCCGAGTCAGTGGCTGGAACAGTTGTCGAGTCTCCTCCTGCTGCGCCCGCGGTTGAAGTGTCTTTAAGCGTCGTAGCACTCACGTCTTCTGTTGTGCTTGTTGTATTGAGTGGAATGAGCGATGATCCATTGCTTGTACTGCTGCTGTTGAGTTCCTCCAGAATCAGTGTCGGTGGGCGTTCGCAATGGGCGACTGCATTCTCTACAGACCGCAAGTCGAAAAGGTATGAAAGGAACGTAAACAAATTGATTGAGCCAACAGGAGGAGGAGATGCAGAAGATTACATCGCAACATATTATTCCGATCTTCCACAGGACGGAGAGGACGGATTTTTCTATTTCAACATCTTCATCAGAATCGGTAGAATCAAGTTAATAGAGTTCTAGCTAACGCAGCTCCACACTTTGACTTCATTTTCATAAGCGATATCCGAAAGAAACGAAGTTGAGCGTTCCCGGTGACTTTGGATCTTCTACATGGGCCGTGTCGTTTCCGCTATGCAAAACGATGGTGTCGCAGTCAGTACCGTGCCCCATGCATACCTCCGCAAGTTGTGCGAGATTTGTGGGCCCCATTAATTGTGGCGCTAGCTCTGACGTGTCATTTCTCTCTCCCTGCGCCGTGTAGTTGACGATATTGCTAGTATTCACGTTATGAAAGGCATTCTCGCAGACAAAAGCGTTCGTGAAGAGAGTTTGGGGACAAAACTTTTCACCCACAATGCCACAATTTCGTCTCGGAATTTTCACGAAACCAGGTGGAACGTTGTCACCTGGAAAAGGATGATAACAGAATTTCTAACATCTACATCAACATCACGAGGACCGATAATATAAAATTCAGGTTATAGTCTATGTCTATTAGACGGCCGCTATAATATCGACGCACTTCACATATTTGCAGCCTAGTGCTTCGTAAATTGAATTAAGCGAAGAACAGAATGATGAAGAAAAACCAGTACCAACCTAGAGATTCGTATATGAAGTAATCGAAATGATGTAACTTTGTTTGTATTACCTGCTGCTGGCGATGGCTGCGTCAAGAAGACGTCGAGCGGTCCGGGATCAGGAGTTGTGGCAGGCACTGCCGTTGTTGATGCAGATGGCGCTGCTGTTGATGAGCCAGACGCGCTGTAGTCACTTGACGAGTGTCTGCTGCTACTTGAAGATTTGCGAAGACTCCTACCTACAGTATCGCTCTGCTTCTGCTCTTGTGATACGAAGGTGCTGGCAAGCGAGGACCTTCGTTTTCGAATTAACGACATTGTCGATGCTAGTGAGGACCCCCAATCTGTGAACAGAGCCGCAGCAACAATAGCCATGCGTGCTGCATTTGCTACGCCTGTTTTTCCATTCTGAAGCTGAAAAAGTGAGGCTGTCGAATTTCTGCCTTGTTGCGAACCCGGCGTTACCGCTCCGTGCTTGGTCCGCCGCCTTCCTCTGGTCCTCCCACTCCTATCAGATTCCTCTTCTTCCTTGCTTATCCGAAATACGCAGGACCCCCAGAAGATTTTACGCGACCAATCATGCCTATTTTGCGTCTTTTTATCAACGTCAGCCTCATCAACACTGCTTCCACTCTCTGCGCGGCCCTGTTCAAAGTGACTCAACTCCTCATCACTTAGCGCATGCGTATCAGTATCAACAAGGGCATTAAGAAGGACACCCGTATCGCCACAAAGATTTCCTACTTGACTGCGCCTCCTTCGTTTTCGTCGCCTCGAAGACCTACGTTTCAACTGCCCGCAGCCGAAATCAAATAACAGCATCTCCTTGGCTGAAGCCGTATCGTCGCCCTCCACCTGGTCCATGAGCATGACATCTTCACTAGAATTATTTTCTTCATCGTGGTCTACTTCTACAACACTGTCGTTGGCGTCGTCGACTGCAGCTCTGCCACTCTCGTTTTCTTCGTATGCGTCAAGTGGATGATCAGGAATCTGTCGCCGCTTCCTCTTTCGCCGTCGAGAGGGAGAGTGGTTATGACCGATCGTTCTGCCTTTTGGATGTGGTCTCCGTCCCGGCGGCATTTCGTCCTCGATTGGTGCGCTCGGGCCCCCGCTTCGGATGCACATGTCTTTTGTTTTCGGAGAGCAGGAGCGCCCTTCTGCGGCTGCGTCTTTTGTACTTGCAGATGACGAGCTGGAGCTGGAGGTACATCCTCCATCGCTTCTTCTATACGCGGCTGAGGTCATAGTTCTGTTCTGAGCCTCGCGAAGTGTTATCACATGCAGGCGTGATGTAAGCGATGGTCGAACTCTGTTTTGATGTGACATCAAACCAATTTTGTTACTAGAAGCCGAAAAGTGCATGTGCCAGAGCCAGCATCCTCGGAGGAAGAGAATTTACAGTTAATTTGCTTCTTGGCTCTGGTTTTTGCACAATTTCAATTCGCTTTCGCGGTTTACATTGTCTTTTTGTCCATGCCTCACGCGTTTGCATGTAAGCACCTATTGGCAGAACGATTGATGCCAGGAGACGGCCCGATTCTCACGCACAAGCACGGATAAAAACAGAGTTAGACTTTGGGTAATAAATCCCATCACCTAGAACTACTACAACTACGGCTGGGAGCTGAAAAAGAAATATTTCTCTCGCGACCCTCCTGCGTCAAGACTTCGGAACCGAGCTCCCCACCGTTGCATAGAAACAAAGAGCAAAAAGCTGCAGTCTGTTGAGCATTCCTCCAGGAAAAATGCTCTTGTTCTTATTTCTTTTTTCGACTAGGGGGTACTGCCATAAGTTAACAAAAAAACAAGGCCATCGCATGCAAGGAGCAATGAACCACTATCCACGTATGCCGTACCAACCTACATGCTGCCGCCAATTGTCAAATCGTTTGAGGTATAATCTCTTGTCACGTCTTTCAACAATATCATGTTGCCTTCACTTTGTGATATCGTGCATGCAACGCAGTGTAGTTTGATGATGTATTTTCTGAGAAAAATCGACTGAAAGTAAAAAGCTGGCAAACATGGAATAATTCGATGCGGATTGCAAATTCTTATCGCAGTTGCGAAGTATAGTGTAAAGGCATTCTCGGTCAGCGAAGAGAGAAAAAAACCTTTCAAACCATAATTTGTTTAGCACATCATGATACGTTTTCACAAGGCTTATTGTGGAGGTTTGTTTGCAGCTGCACGGCGCAAACCCGTGATAGTGCTGTGCATTTCTTTCTCTGTATACTGTCGCAGCATCTTTTTCAATTCGGCAACCCGGCTGTTGGCAAGATCAAGCTGTTTTCGCTTAGCGTCAATCAAGTGAGCCGATTGCAGATATCGTGCTTGATATTGGTTCGCCATCACCTCCTGCTCCGACACCTGGACGAGACGATTCAACCGTCGTAACGAAATTTCAGTATCAATTCCGTAGCATACATGCCAAAAGACTGCTTTCATAGGCGAAACAAAGACTACTCTTGACAGCAAGAAAAGGCTAAGGCTAAGCGTCTGCTTCACATAATACCTACCTGCTTGCTTCTGTCACCTCATAGCAGAGAAAGGCAATAAGTAATAACATGAACAGCATTCTGACAATAATACTATGTGTGTCAGGCGCATCACTTTGTGCGACAACTCGAGGTTACGGTCCTCAACTCGTTTTCTCAGTTTCTGTTCTATTTTCGCTTGAGTATTTGCAGTGTTGTCGGCATTCAATTCGTAGTGACGGAGCTGCTGCCGGAGAAGCCTGAATGTAGGTGAGGAACAGGAAGAAAGAAGCACACATAATGCCATCACTATCAGTATTTTGGAGGAAACGGTGTTGTAGAAGGTAAGCAAGAAAGTAATTCTACTGTCAATTACGCGTACGTCCATGCTTTTTTTGAGGTTTGAATATTCAAGCACATGCACCAGACTCTGAATCGAAAATCAACGAACCACGAAAAGTTCGCTACTCAATGTCCTCTTTCGCATCTTGGAAAGCCTCTGTGAGATTCCGGACTTCGAGAGTGAGACGGTCCTTGTCCGCAGTCGCGCTCGCAGAGAGTTTCTGATAGTATTCCGCGTCTAGCTCGAGATGCTTGATTTGTTTTCGCAACTCTTGCAGCTCATCCTCATCAACATTCTGTATACTATCCACGCCATACTCGTCGGAATTTCGGTGTGCTGTTGCCTGATGGGTATGGCACATCATCCTCGTCCCCCATGACAGTCAGGCACGAGTACGAGTACTAAGCACGTAGAAAAAATGATAGGTACAGGGCAGGGCATTGAAGCAAAACATAGTATTAGGTAAAGACTAGAGAGTTGTACAATCACACTTCTAAAACTACAACCACGTAGAGTATTACAAGTACTTGTAGTTGATTGATACCAACTCTCTTTGTAGCAGTAAAATCTGTGCTGTGGCAGCTTTCAATGCTGCTTTCGTGGTTTGCTTGCATTGTGCCACCTCAGCTTCAAGCTCTTTTATCCTTCCCTGCTCTGGAGTCAACCCGCCAAAATCCTCTGCGAGAGCACCAACTGCTCCGCCACCAGAAAATTGCTCAGGCATCTTTGTCCTGGTTGTGCTGGAAGTTGATGTGATTATCCTCACGTAACTGACTGTAAGTCAAGGTCGACGTCAGGTAATCGCAATGTAACCACTCACTCTCAGCACGCTTTTAAAATCATGTGTAACTGTAGCTCGTGTAGTCGTAAGCGTCGTACGTCCCCCTTAAACCAATAAATGGGCTTCTGCGAGGACTAGATTTCGAGTAACATATGCTTCGCTCGTTTGTGATTTCCTCGACGTCTCGACCTCGGTTGGAGAGCAAAAAAAACTGCGCCGTTGTTGATGAGGTACAACAGTTTACTCTTTCCAACTCCAAGCCGCGGGCGTCTCGGTATGCTATCCTCGGCTGCAGAGGGAAAGAGAACGCGTCTACTTGGCGAGGTCAAACAGCTATCCAGACGCTTCATACCGCTTTCTAGTCGCCTTCCGCAGAACGGTCGACATTCCGAACGAGCCTTGGTTCATGTCGGTGTAATCGCGGACGCGCATGTACCTTAATTTCGATCACAATCCAATAACGTAGCCTACGTATCTTTGACTTTTGGGAGTAAATTGTTCAAAAACGTGCTGCGCGAAGTAAGGGTTGTAAGGAACGATGGAGCTTCAAAAGCTTTGAGGAGTGGATTCTTGTTCGAAAATTATCGGCTCATCCTTATTGATGAGCGCGAACTACTCTCGCTTTGCGTGTGCTCTTCTTTTTGCTCTTTTGCTACTGTATCGCGGTTGTACAATTTGTTTATTGTCCCTCATCATGCGGTATAACTCAGACACAGTCACAGATCTGGAAGAACGAAGACAAATTAGAAAATTTTGGAGCTGCATGCGATGCGCACATACAACACAAGCTGTATCTGTAAGTGTAACCGATATTAATCATAACAAGCCGAGTTGTCCTTCTTGTCCCCAAACTCGCATGTTGATTGAATGTATAATAGTACTCGTTATGTATGCATGATGTGCAACGCCTGGTGTGATATGTGATCCTGATCTCATCTTCAGTTTCTAATCGACATAAGTACTGAGCTGAACTTGCAGTATCAAAACATGTTAGGTGATACCTGCTACAAGTCGTGTGGATGACAACGAGATGCAAATTGCATAGTCAATTGTAAACTATCTTCTAATTCTAATCAGTTTTTTCAGCTTTGGCATTGGCTTTTCCAAACTAATAAATTGAACCTAATAAATTGCCACCGAACCAACTATGGTTGATCTTAATATTAGTACATGATTTTGTTTTTGTCCTCCCCTTTCTTCCATTTGTATCTCACTCATCATTAACATTATCAAGTTCGGCACTTCAGACTCGAACTTAACTCGTTGTGCATGATATGGTTATGGGCAAACCTGTTGTATCTGCTTACGTGAAAATGCTCGCGGTCAGAACAAGACACAATGAAGATGTACGAAAAGGAAAGATGCACACGCAGTTACGAATGTTGTACTAGTATCAATTAAGTACCCTGCAACGAATATCTGTCTTACGAATACGATGGATTAGGAAATCCATCTCGATGAGAAAGAGAAAACTAAAAAGTCTGTAAGGAATGGTCTCTTTGAAATTGTTAGAGGACGCGGAAAATTCACAGTGCTGAGTATACACACGATACACCACACCAAATACTGGAACTGGCAGCCGATGCACTAGGAGTGATATTGTCCCCATAGGCCCCTGCACCTCCATCGCGTATCATCTACAGGCGAGTATGTTTTCGCGTGATTTCAGCTGAACGCGAAGGTGTTCATATTGTATTTCGTTTCCGTTGATGCTCCTGTAGTGCCAACTCGTGAACGGATAGCCGTCTCGAACAAGTCCATCATGTTGCCTGTTGTTCCTGGTGACGCGGCCGCGCTCGTCGTAACTTCTGTACCCGTTTTCCATGAGGTTGAGTTATTGGATGTGCCATTTGTTCTGTAGGAAAATGCAGTCTGTTCTTCAGTTTCTTCTTCGCTGCTTGAAGTAGATGAAGTGATCCAACGAAGTTTCTTTATTTGATGAGGCAGAGGCTTCAGCAGACAAGACGAGTGACCCGTCGTTGTAGTTGTACGAGAGTTATCAGATGAGTTAGAAGTGCCAGTGTGGAATGTATTCTCACTTTCAGGAGAGCTGGAGTTGTCAACTAGGTTCGAGTCACCGCCTTTAATGCGTGCGTTTTTCCGCAGCCCTAGGGCCTCCAAGACCTCCCCGTCCTGCATCACAGGGCGGGAGTTCGGCCTGGGTGAAGCCTTGTTTTGCATGTGCACCACTTCGTCTTCAAAGGAAACAACTGCCTTTGCTTGAGGGAGGGGAAAACGGCGCTTGCTGTTGTTCCGCTTCGTAGATATAGCTGTTGTACCTGTTGTACCACTGCTAGTACCAGCTGGACTAGGATTATTTGAGCAGGAGGTTCGTGTTGTCGCATCATTGGAGGAAGCTGAAGACGGACAGAAAAAGCGGTCCTGTGGATCATTTGAGGCAGCTGAAGAGCTAGCGCTACATCCGAGTCTATCTTCCTCTTGAAACACATAACGGTCTGGACTCCGCGTTTTCTCTTCTACACTGAGAAATTGGTCAGTGAGGTTTCGCTTGACCGCGTCTCGTGGTTCATCCGTAGTCGACAAAAAAGCATCTGCGCTGACGGGCGGCGTTCTTGTGTTGCTTGAAGATGAGACTCTTGTTGTTGTTGCACCCCCGAGAGCTACTCGTTGCTGCTGCTCCTTCGAGGCACTTGGAGGTCCTTGCTCGACAGACTCTCTCTCATTATTTCGCGTTTGACCTGCTGTAGTAACTAAATTTACGTTGATCATGCGAAGGATTTGGTCGATGTTATTCCCGTCAAATCCCATGGCTGCTGCAAGAAGCGCTTGTTCCCTTGCCGTCTTGATAGCAGGCTTCACAGTGGATGCCGCGATAGTTGTTCCTGCAGTGCCGGCAACAAGTGCTTCGCGGGCTGCAGAAGAACATGATGTCGTTGGCCTTTTTGATTGTAAGAAGGAAACAGGAAAAGTGGACCCTTCCGCACGATCGAGCGTGTATTTCTTTCCACCACGGGTGATAGTTTCAGGATGCACCTTACTTGATGGTGATAACCCCTCAACCTGGTCATTTGCAGTGCGCTCGTTGAGCAAGACCGCATCTTCAGTTACTGCACGTCTCGTCCCTACACCAGCCTGTTCACTGTAATAAACGAACTGTGGCATGGGCCTTTTCATGCCGACTCGGACAGAAGGCTGTGCCATGCGCACAACTTCAGGCCCCGGAGTTGAATCGATCCTGAGTAGAAGATACAAATCATGTGGTAGTGTAGCATCAACAGGACAGGGAAGGCCTTTCTTTTCCCAAAACGCAACCCCCATCGACCGGGGATATTTAGACAACAATCATCGAAATTCTAGTTCACGGAAGTATCCGGCGTTTGCTCCTTGTTTATCGTTTTCGCTTATTGGTCGTGCATCTCTCTTGTCTTCAAATAACTAATACTTCTAAAGACGAGACTAAAACTAATTCTTTTTTTCAGCATCGGAGTCTTTCTATCTGGTCGTATGTGCTTACGTTATTCTCGTTCCTTCAGTTTCAACGTCTCCGAACACAGCTCCACCGGCTCGCAGTAGTGCTACCATTCGATCCTCTCGAAAGTCCCTGTGTGGCCTCCGGTCGGCTTTGTTCGTGCTTCCTCTTCCTGGGGAAAATCTTTCACGTTGTTGAACATCCTGCTCGATATCGAGCTGGGGACCTTGATTTGACCGTGCTCCTTCGTTTCTTCCTCTGGCAGAGAGAGGAGAGAAACGCGGAGGTGGTCCCTCTCTGCGTGGTCGGAAAGTGCACTCCGCTAGTTCCCGCTCCTCCCGATCTCGATCCGCACGTGCCTTAGCCTCTTCGCGCCAGAGCCGTCGTTTCTCCGCAAATTCAGCTTCTCGCTCTAGGTGCGTCTTCTGGCAGCTTTGTCGCTCCTGTCCTCGATCATCATCATTAGACGCATTGTCGTCTTTGCTTCTAGTTCTAGATCTAGTGCTTTTTTTAGAAGATGACGCTGAAACTGATCCTTTTTCTGGTCGCGAACGATCGGAACGTGCACGACTGGCGTTTCGCAGAGAGGGTTGGACGCTGCTTGAGCGCAGCTGCAGCGACGCAGGCATATTCCCTGGGACGGAAGACCCCGCTCTCGTGCAGCGAGCGGACATGGCCAGTCGCAGTTGTTCACCGTTATCTCCAGCTTCCACGTCCTCTTTATCGAGCCCCAATTCCTCCGCCAACCGTTGTTGTTCCCGTTCTGCGGCTAGATTCTGTCGCCTCTGCGCGTCGGCGTAGAGCGATCCGAAAACCATTTGATCGCGTCGTGTGGTGCTGCCAGACCTGTGGAATGTACTAACGCTCGCATCATTGCCGCCACCCGGAGGAATGCGAGATCTCCTCTTGGCAGAAGCGACTCCAGCGAGCCGCAGAGGACTACGAGCTCTGCTGGACGACGAAGGTGGCCGGCGACGCTGATCACCTGTGGCTCTGGGCGCTCTTGTTCCTCTTCCCCCGTGCAGCCGTGCACCTCGATCATCATCTTGCGACTCAACAACATGGAGATGTGGACTGCCCGCTGCTACTTCCAGAACGTTCACATTTAAGTCGACTTCTAGTACTTCTCCATCATTCATTTCAGCAGCGGCTGCTTTCTCCTCTACTGGGGAAGATGAGGATGATGATAGAGTGTATAAATTGGCATTGGAAGAAATGTTGCTGAGTCCCTCGCAGTTTACGTGAAGCTGCTCGAGGCTCTTCGTTATGAGCTGTGTAAGCGCGCCTGGTTGCACAGTAGATGCGACAGTAGCGTCACTACTACGTCGGGAGGATAGCGCTGAAGCGTTTCCAGATGTAGGTGGTCCTCCTGAAGCAGCTGTGGACGACGAACTTGCACTTAACGCTTCCTGGACCGCGGGCTGCTTCATGCCTGCCTTTAGTACATTGGGCTTCTCAGAAGCGAGTAGCTGAAGGTCTACTTGCCGTGCCGGGGGCTGAAAAAAACTCAAGCCGTCTTTCCGGAACCGGGGCGACGTAAAAGCTGCGGCAGTGAAGTCCAGCCTTGGAGATGGTTCCAGCACTCGCGACGAAAGACCTAAGGCCTCATCTGCTCGCCTTGTTACTGCACTGTTTGGTGTCTCATCGTTCATTTTTAGACCCTGTGTCGTAGTGTCTTCTACTTGTGGATTAGGCGCCGCTATCATTGATGGCGCCCTCGACTTCAGGTTGACAGTCTCATCTTCTGCCCTCCTGGTGCCTGCCTTCATCGAGGATGCCCTTGCAGCTGAAGACAACTTGCGATACGGAAGTTCCTCTACCGCGCCTTGCTCGACCATTTCTCGGCTCGCGAGCAAGCGGTAGAACCTTTTCTGCTCTTCCGCTGTCGACCTAGCGCGACCCGACGAACCAACCGTCGCTCTTGCCTGTTGATGTTCTAGAAGAGGGGCATTATTCTTGCTGTTCTTCCTACTTCTTCTGCCGGCACTACTTCTTGAGGTAGTAACTCGACCTGCTTGAGCAAGAGTGCTAGAGGTAGAGCTAGTATTCAAAGAACCGACTGTTATCTTACTAAAGCAATCCTGTCTACCACCTCTGCCAGCACGACGTCGTGTTGAAGCTGCCACAGGTTTTCGCGCAGATGCAGCAGGGCGTGTCCACTGAATAACGTGCTGTTGGACCCGGTCAATTTCTGCTTCGAGCTCGCGATCCACTGCCTCCCTATTTTCTGCTCCATAATCTTCGTCCCAATCTTTGACATCCTCGTAGTACCCCAGTTCTTCAACATATCCCCGCCCTTGCTGACTACCTACAACTTGCTGATCTTCAACCTCCTCGTCGTCGATGATGTTATAATATGGGCCTTGATGATGTTCTTGTTCGCGTTCGAGAGCATTTTTGTTGTTCCCATCTTCATCGCCTTCCTCCTCATCGTCTCCAACCAAAGCTCGCCATTGTTGTTCGCGCTGTGCGATACGTGTCTCGAAGTCCTGCAATCCGGCACGTAGTGTGAACTTCGGAACTTGAAACACGTTGGAGGTTCTTGGAAGCGGAAACTGTTGACCATCAGAATTTTCTTGTTGAGAGAGAAAACTGCAAGCAGAATTTGTTGGCGGCTCGCTGAAAAACGATAAAGGACTCCTGCTCTGCATCAGTTTCGGGCAGCGGAGTGCGGGCTCGCCAAGAAGGCCGCGCTGAGATGCGACCTCGTCGTCCACTGGCGACTCAGCGGCCTGAGAGCGGACATACTGGTTGTTCTTTTTTACCTCGGTGTGGCTATCACGAGATCCGGCAGTCAGGGGGGAACGATTTACCGCGAAACCTCCGACAGAGAGCCCAACCGGAGAATTCAGAAACATGTTGTGACTGATTCGTAGTGTCAGTTTTCTTCCTCGTCAAAACATCAACTACTACTCCTACCCCGACTTGGCGCCAAATTAAGACTCGGTTGCACTCGTCGTACAAACTTCTTGTTCTCTCTACTTAGGTAGTACGTGTCTCTATTAAAAATTATCTGTATCATCTACGGTATCTGTATCATCTACTTACGGTCAACGTTAACAATTGTTACTCAATATCAAACGGATTCGGCAACATCCAAGAGTGAAATAGAAATGGAAAGTATACTATCTCTTGACCACTAAAGATATCATTTATTCTATATTACTGGATTTCATTTCAAATTCAATGTCGAGTATTACTCATCCGTATCTACATCTACTGTAATACCGATAATACAAAAGGGGGAGTAAACGGGGTCGTGGTCGCGTGTAAGGTAAAACAGAATTCGACACCAAAGTTGATGGCACAGAAGCACAAGACACCGACCTACTTGTAACAACATCACAAGCGAATCAGGACAGCACAACAAAATGAACAGATTCTCTGAGATACCACGACCGATGCATAGAGGACATTTGGATTTGGATTTGGAGATTTCAGAAAAAAAGTTTTCTGGCCACCAAAAGGGGCACAGTACGTTTCGCATTCAACTGAGAGCAGGTTCACGTTTGTCACTGATTGGGGATTTAACGCGACACACAGATTCGTCGTGGACGTGCTGCATTGACGGCGCGGTGAGTATGCCATAATCTGCGATTTCAGTGGAGGTCACACACAGCGCAGGGACTTCCTTATGTTGCCGGAAACACGTGCGAAGCCCAGTCCGCACAAAATCAAGGAGACTGACGATGGTCGTGGCAGTTAAAATTTAGGGAAAGCAGCTTGCCACATTTTTAACGTGAGAGTCACATTTTTTTTACCAGCATGGTCGTCGTCGTCGTGTCATCACTTTTTACTTCCAGATGAACCCATGGCCATGACCACGTACATTTAGATTTACTATTTGGCGTCAGCGCCACAAGATTTGATATTTCATTGACTAGTCACTCATACAAGGACTGAATATCAAGCGTGACTTTTATACAAAGGAATCAGCCGAACTTTCTCAGTGTCCACTATTTTTGTCCTCGAACTGCAGTAGTATAAGTGCACGAATTTGCACGATTAGAATTATGACTGCCATGGTTTGAAATTGAGATTTTGAAGCCAAAAAATATTTTACAATTGCTCATGGGGTACGGGTGGACAAGGATCGAGAGTATCTTAGCAATATCCAGCATCGAAATTTCTTGCTACAACATTTTGCTTCGGGTTGCCGACGCCCTAGCGCAACCTACCTCCATTTCCCCTTTCAAATCCAGAAAATGCCAAGCCCGCAACGAGCGGCAGCAGTAGCATCGCCAAGTGCCCTCCTGTTCGGCGAGGAGCGCTGTTATCGAAGAGTCTGAGAGGGTAGAAAACGTCAGCTGGCAAATATACGGGCAGCTCCGGTCGTGGTGGAATATTGATGTCCAATTCCGTCTGATCCGCTTGTTTGACGAAGTGCGTCTTCACAAAAAACGGAAAAATCTGTTTCTGTGACGGATCCGGTAATGTGTGGACCAGATTCACCTGGAGACATAGACGAGAACAAGAAAATGAAAAGCAAAAGTGCACTTAGAATAACACATGTTTCTCAAATCTTCCCAAATCTTCAATGAAACTCAAATTCCTAAGTTCGGAAAAATATAAGAAAACTGTAGAAGGCCTGCAACAATGGCTCTGCAAGCCGAAGTCTTCGGATTTGAGCACCAGACATGATTCCCTATGCTTAGGTAATCGGACCACAGACGCTATCAGATGGATGCTGTAGCTGCTCTCACACAAACCTCTTAGAATTTTCAATCTCAAGAATCCAAATCGAAATCTACAACTAAGCATGAGCATATCGACCAGCTCAAAAATACGAATTGTCTCTGTCCGAATGCGCCAGTGATTTTGTATTGTGGGTTGTTGACCTCACCGAAAGGCGCGTAGGCGAAGGAATAGGAAACAGACTGAATTTTGCTGCAACTTCCTGTCGTTGTGGCGTCGGAAAGGTCCGTTATTGGGAGGTAATCGTTCATGTTGCTTCGGTCAGAAGAACCCCAAACGCCAACGTGCGAAAATCCGAACTTGTATGTTTGCTGCGATCCCCCACTGCCAGTAGCCGGAACCGGATCAAACAAAGTGAGAACGGCTGAGTATGGGTCAACAACCATAGTAGATGAGTCCGAAAAGGATGCTCTTGTTTCGAACCCATCGTGCGTTAGGCTCATATGTTTGAACAAGAAGTGCAAGTAGACCATTTCAATCAAAATCCTTTTTTCTTTCCAAAAAAAGTCATGGTACATGTTCCCGTGCAAAAAGTTGCCAGTTCAGAGGCTGTCATTGCGAGATGGCACCCCGCAACTGTGTCCTCTCCAAAATTCACAGAAACACCTTGTTGCTGATAGGTTTGCGCATCCGTCGCCGCGTTTTTGATCATGCATTCTCCGAGTGATATACCTGGAAGCTTCGGATCGGCAGTCGTGGTAAATTGTGTGCAAGAGCCTCCTGACGACGAGACCCCACACTTTTCGAACAGAAGGGGGTATCCGAAACGATACCCCGGATTTCCACTCTTTGCGGCACTGGTCGTAGCGGCATCGGGAACAAAAGTAACCGAAGACGAAAACACTACGTCCTGATTGGGTGATAAAAAAAATGGACAAGTAGTAGATCATTAGGCAAGAACAAGCAACTCCTGTTCATCAAGTCGAAGTGAGCAAGACAGAGGTGGAAGTAGTCGTATGGGACAATATCAAGTGAGTTTGATAATCACATTGCCAGCGAGAGCGACGTCCAGCACCACGTCCTAAAGAATAGACACCGTCGTAGAGCAGGCGCCGGCACTTCCTGCTACAATATCGGCATACTCGAATGCAACAGCGACTTGCGTAATCTCGTTTTTCGTGGCTGTAGCACTGGCTTGATAGCGGACCGTGTAATGAGCTCCGATAACCGCGTTAGAGCATGTGCAAGAAGTCGACGTGTAGTTCTGTTAAGCAGACGATGAAGGAGAAAGGATCGCCATATACGATGTCGTGTACAACCGCGCGCTTAATAGATGATCATGATGATGATGATCGTGTGATAGGTTGATGAATTTGAAAATGCATCCTCCTTATTACTTCTGATTGGCAAACACGCACCACGACAAAGACAAAAGGACCTCCGCACGACCAAGGTGAAAATACCGATGCAACGCCCTTTTTCTGTTGCTCTGCGCTCAGACTACACGCAACACCAGCAAGGGCGGCTGTTAGCGTTGTACCGGTAAACGTGGGCTTCCGGAAAGTGTTTGAGGAACATCCCTCGACTGATGACGTCGCAAAAATGCATGTGGTACCGGCAACACAGGTTGCGGACGCATCATCTGCTGATGCTGCATAGAGATTCTGTGCTTGGACAGCAAACGAAAGGACTTGTTGTGCGTTCAGGTTCCCTCCCGCGGCGCACGCAGTACTCAGATCTACACTCTGAATGCGGCATTTTGTTCTGGGCACATCCATGAGAAAGGCGACTGGTTGCTCACTGCACCGTCCGCTGGCGTCGGGAAGAGAGATCTGACGAGAGTTGTTGTTCGCATTGCCTGAACCTACTGCCTAGTAGCAGCTCTATTGAGTTTCAGTCTTTAACTTTATGATTGGTGAGAGCTTCTCGGATTCTAGATCGGGGGTCGCGGAATCTGCTCAAGATGAATCAACACTGTTGACTAGTCACTTCTATTAAAACAACAACATGAAGTTGTTGAAGAAGATAAGGGACAAGTCTTAAGTACTTTGAACTCCCTGTTCTTCTGCTGCGTGTTCGACCCCGACTGCAGCGCTCCCGCACTCGTCAATTGTGCGATTGTGTTTGGCGTCGCGGCTGTGGACCAAACTTGCTGGATCTTAAGAAGATTGCCTACCACATATCCGGTGTTACCCGCAGTTGTGTCGAGATAGTCTGCTGTAAGTGCCGGAAAGGAAGTGAGAGAGCGCGCAGAAATTTCGGAAGTGTACTGGGCATGAGAGTGACTCGCAGATGAAGAGAAGTAACGCCCATCCGCGGCGCTGTTGTCCACGTGCACACAAAGTAAATTGCGCAAGTCATCCTGTAATACCGACATATCCGCCCTGGATCAGGTGGAATTCGTTGTAAACTATGTAGTGTTGTGCGACGATATCAAAATACTAGACACTGACTACGCTTACTTATGCGGCGATAACATCAACGAAAACCACGTCTACTGGAACTGGTGCTAGCCCATGCTCACGAGCGTCCTCCATAGTATCTACCTGGGATTCACTTCTTGCACGTAGCTTTTCGAGTAGCACGCGAATTGGGTATCCAGAGCATTTGAAGGTCCGTTTGGCAGGCAGTCGAAACCCGTTTTTATCGCCGCCGTACAGTCCGTGTCACAACAACAGTGTGGGTCGCATTCGTAAGCTGTGACGTCACAGGTGCATGGTCCCATGTCAGCGGTGGCCTGTATGGCCACTGAACTCCCAGCAGACACGAAGGTGACACCTGTACCTAGCATCGATGTTGCGGCTCCTATAGCGACGAGGGCTGAGTAGAAACGCTTTTTACTCGTCCTAATGTTGCCTGCGGTCTTTATTGTTGCTTTTGCCTTCTGGTTATCACTTGGTCCCCTAGTGATTGTTGCGCATGGTATTTGGCGCCTCTGCTTCTTACGCTCCCGCCTCCTACATGACTCTGTACCTGTGCTACTTCTATCGGCGGACGCGCCATAGAACCTGTAAGAGCTACCCAAGGAAGATTTCGCCATTGTCGGACAGGATGATGACGATGGCGAACTTTGACTTTGTGGCGCTCGTGCGTCGTCCTGGAGCGGACTTCCTCTTTGCTGCTCGTCGTCAGAGGCACGATATGAATAACGATACCGGTACTGACATGCTCGTGATGCAGCCGGTCCATCCGTCTCGTCGTTTTGCGCGTGCCGCATATGCATCGTTGTCGTCGACATCTTATTTGCCGCCTGCTGCCTTCTTTAAGGACGATGACGGCACCGAGTCGTTGCAACTCGCGTGTTGTGTATCGAAGCGAGATTCCGCTACGACTGAGTATGCCTCTCTGAGTCGTGCTCTGCAGCTCGCAGTCACGGTTTACCAGCGCAACGAAGCCTTCAAACTCAAGGTAGGAGACAAACCTTATATTTCCAAAGGACGCCAGCAGCAGCACGCACAGGCCATTCCCTCATTGTTCTTCATCATAGAAAAATCGACGATCAAAATGTCGATGACGTGTTCGTATGTTGATCAACAAGATCAATATGTATGACAGACGTGAGGATAATGACGAGCTATAGCTATGACGGGATTGATTTTCGTCATATTATCATTGTGATGTGCGCGTACGCTTATATTGTTTTCTCCTCGAAGCCTTCGACCCTAATATCACGTCAGTTTCATATCGGCTCCTGAAGCAGTCTATTAGTTTCTCTCTCATCTCTGCATCTCTTGGCCTCGCTCTTGTACCACTCAAGCGCGCGTCTGCTCGGTAAAAAAGAGAGGTCGTCACACCCAGTGCTGCCAGTCACAGAGCCCACAAAAAATGAGAGACGCAGCCGACGAGTGTGAGACAGCGCTGCCGCCAGGAGCGATTCCGAAGCTGCGGCTAAAGTTCAAGGATATTTCTTTCTTACCTTTCTGTCCCTGGAATCTAGGTCCCCCGTCAAACCATTTGTATTTCTATTGAAGATGCGCAATCTTCTCCCATCAACAGGTTAATTTCAGCAATCCAATTCCTTACCTTTTTCATATTGACCTAGTCTTCTATTTCCCAAAGAAGAAATTGTACATTTTTCTATCCAAAGTATAATTCGCTACGTGAATGTTGTCTCTATTATTTACCATGTTAGTATTTCGATTTCCTGGTTCTACTTATTTCAATTTCAAACAATGCAGTTGAAGTTTATGAATACATGTGTTTCTATTTTTCCTTTTCTTGTGTGTCTGTGTGTACAAAATGAGTAAGTATCATGGTGTCTTTGTTGTGTTGCTGCGTATCAAGCTACGAAGCATTATTCGATGTTTTTGATTGCTTCACTTTTCATGCTCCTACTACTTTTCCTTTTCTGTCGCGATTTTTCCCTATGATAAAAAAATTTTCGATCTGTATCTTTATCGATCTGTACGATCATATTCGTGGTCATGATCGTTGGCCTTGTTGTCTGGCATACTTCCAAATCGTAAAAATCATACGGAGGATTTAGCCCAACAAGCGCTGCATTGGCTCGAGCATATGGTTTTCATCCGCCTTCGGAGCCTTGAACCATTGCTTGAACTGTTCGACGCCAAGCTTTCCCGTATTTTCCGTGTCAACCGCCTTGAAGCACTCCATCGCAGTGATGGAAGCGAGATCCTCGGGACTGTTGATATCGACACCTTGCTGCCTGACGGTTTCCAGAACGGTCGGGGTCATCACAACGCGGAAAACAGAGAGCAAAAATTTGAACATTTCGTCGAGTGTGATGCTACCATCTCCATTGGTATCGAACAAATCGAAAACAGCATGGATCTTTTCTTCCTCGGTACCTGTGATAAAGATGGAGGTAATAAAAAGTGTCATGTATTGCTTGATAAACAAGGACTGAGTGAGAAGAAAATATGCGTAAAAACCAGTAAGAACATGTATTGTTTCTCAAAGTCTAACGCTACAAATACAACGCGAACGCAAATTTCCACATAACAAAATAAACTCAAAAGAAGTACCCTTGCAAAGCATGCTCACGCCCGAGCACAATTCCATCGGATCAATCATGTTGTTCTTATCCTTATCGAAAAGTCTGAAAACGTTGGTTATCGTATCGTGACTTGGCTCTTCAATCTTGCACTCCTCACAGAGCTGTTGTGGTTCAAGAAAATGTTGATGAAGAAGAATGACTAAATTTGAAGGTTTGTTGTTGATAACAGGAGATGCGGCTTAAGACATGATGACTGTTTTCATATCGGCATGCGTATCACACGTCACCAAATGGGGATATTGCAAACTAGTTCGTTGATGCTAGACCTACTACTTGTTAAGCATCGTTTCGCAACATCAATCAAGTTCAAGTACACGACAAACTACGAACTTCTTCTAGATCTATTGACGATAAGAAAAATAGAAGCTGTACCTCCGAGTAGGCCATGGTGAAAGCGCCGAGGTCCAATTGTCCTGCCACAGCTTTCTTGGAAAATCCATCTACAGCAGCTTTCACCGGCACTTGCTGCAACTGGCAGTCGCTACGAAGCTTTTTGAAGCTCGCAAGCTGACTGTCGTCCGATCCCGTAGACACTCGCGCGCCGACGGTGGAACCTTCGCGTCTTTGTTTTAGCGGTGCGCCCATCAAGGTACCGGTTGCCGGGTTGCGGAGGGCTGGAGATGAATGATTCAGATAATGATATTTATCATTGTTGTGCTTGTAATATTAGTAGTGGTCGTAGTGTCCTAGTAGTAATTAAAATTATGTTACTATATATATAATAATCTTCATCAACATCGTGGGTTGATGTTTGATGGAGGTCCTACATATTTTTTCCAAGTTGAGGAGGCTGAACCTCGCTGGACAAGTTCATCTTCGACTAGGTACCTACGTTGTGAAAGAAGACCACGATGGTAGATGAAGAATGGTGTGTAATATTACCATATCCACCTGCTGTGGAGTTCTTGCCAAAAAGGAGGCCTCCTGGCTGTTGCGATTCTGCAATGGGCGAGCTGGTCAATGCTGAAGCACGCCTAGGTGGTGATACCATTGGCATTCCCACAGCTCGTTGCGTGTAGATACCCGGGACGGAAAGCGGCTGGACGTCCAGGGGCTTCCTCGGTGCGGGACTACCCAAAACACCACTAGAAAAGACCGGGGTGGACCATCCGAGGCCAGCAACCTTGGCCTGCACAATTGGCGCTGAGGCCGGCGTCGAGGACTCGTTACCTTGCTGCATTTTCTAGTAGAACCGGCGATGAGATGAAAGGTTCTTGTTCTTGAGCGTGACGTTATACAACGGAGACGGACCGACAAACAGATCAACCTTCGGAAAACAAGATGGTTCGAGTACGAGAACTACGAGTTCATAGAACGAAGAAAAATCTTCTTGGGATTTATTACTTGTGGGAAAAATAATAATAAAACTAGAACAAGAAGCCTGCTTTTAATTGATTTCAGAACAGCTTACTAAAGTTTTCGATGACGCCGGTCAGAAGTACTATCAGGTGGAAGTATGTGAATTTCTACAACTTCACTCACGCTCAAGAACGCTTCATTGTCCGACATTAGAAGATACCTCCGGAAACAGAGTAAATTAAGTAAGTACACAGATCATAGTCACACATAATGATAAGGTAGTCAGGCTCAGGTGAAACTTTCACTCAGCAACAGACACATCTCTCACTCGTCATCATCGTCCATGGATGCGCAACTTGGAAAATAACCATGCGCCACAACTGACGTCAGTACGATAGACATGCGGATGGGCAACTCGTCGCAACAAGATGTAGTTGTTTGTCCTCTTTATGATCACAGAAATGACAGGAGATAGATCAACGCGAAAAAGAGAATCTTCGGTGACGGCATCAGGTGCTCTCTTCTGGATATCGAGAACTCATTCTCATCAATCTCTCACTCTCGATGACAGAAACATTTACTCGCGATCTCGTACAGAGGTCACGCTAGGATCTGCTATAATATCAATTCTGCCTAGGAGTTTTTAATCATGTATATATGACTCACGGCCGAACGCCCCCCCCTCCCCCCCCTGTGGTCTGGTCTGTGGTGGCGCGCCCGCGCGCTTTTCCGCGCGGATTTTTCGCGGATTCTAGTGGTGGAAGGCCTCAAAACTTGGCGACTTCCTCCCCTTGGGCCTCTCAGCGTGTTCCTAAGGGCCACGGTCGCAGGCAAGCCGATGACCAAGGGCCCGGAGGGTTCAAGCGGCACGGCTCAGGGGGTCCAGCCCTTCGCCTTTTGCCATCTTCGGCGGCCTTCCGCTGCCGGTGCACTGCTGCGATTTAACCCCTCAAGTCTGTAGGGTACATGCAAACGAGAAGGAGGCAGCGAGCCCCTTGGCCCTTCTTGAGGCCTTCGACCTACGTCGGAGGCCTCTGCGGGACAGCCAAGCAGCTGGGAGGAAGCGGAGGCGGCCCCCCTTGCGGCCCTCTTGAGGCCTTCCACCTACGTCTGAGGCCTCTAGGGGACCCCAAGCACCTGGAAGGGGACATGGGGAGGGCCTTTTGAGGCCTTCCCCCCCCGGCAGAGGCCTCAAAAAGGGGTCCCGGGCGCCCGCCCCCCCCCCGCTAGGGGGGGGGGCGTCGCCCCGCGCCCTGGAACATATATAAGTATGTAACAATTTTTGCACTGTCCTTGACGGGATGGAGCCAGAAGTTCTGTGTTCTTGGTCTCACATAACGAATCGGCCGAAAAAGAAACCGAGGAGCGGCAGCCATAATGAGAAAAAACCCAGGTGACGATGAACTGCACCCCGAGCGAAACAATGAAGGGCAGGTCGGCTGTCTTCTCCATCACCGTTGGAGTCACTCTGTCTGCGAGTATCGTGGTAACCCTGTACGTGACTCCGATACTCAACTCGATTGTATACATTTTGTTGGAAGGGCTACACGCTAGAGGTAAAAGCGAGCCGGTTGCTTTATTTAGTGCTTTGAGCGCCGCTGGGCCTAAGCCTCAACATTATAGAAAGGGAGAAGCCAATCAAGATTTGCCGCACACCTCAGAGAGACGGGAAAAACGTATAAAAAGCCTGCTAAAGGAGGAGGTTACTTAATTATTAGCGGACGAAGCTGTTTGTATTTAGTTACTTAGTAACTTTAAGCGACTTAGAAGACTCGCCACTGACTGCCTCGTCTCCTCTTTATGTAAGTTGAGTGCTTGCCTCAGCAGAATTTGCAGGACAGAAGGCGACGCTCAAACCTTTTCACTCAATCCAAAGCATGACACCTCAACAAAGGAAACGCGCAGGCATATATAAGCAACACAGAGGTGTGACACAGACAGAGAAGAATTTTTAGGCGACAGGCCAATTAATTTTGTGTGGAACACGGACAAGGAAGAGACGCAAGAAAGAATGTATACATAGTTCGCAAGATGGCAAGGACTTCGCGTCGCTTTCTGCGGTTCGGAAGCCAGCCGGCGCCGGGTGTAGTTGTCGACGCAGTTGTGGCATTTGCTGCGACGGAGCATCTCTGTGCCGCAACCTCTCGCTCATGCTGCAACACCTTGCGGTGCGATGACGCAGCGGCCAACTGATAGCCGACCATGATGAGGGGCCGTACGATGATGGATGTAACCGGCGCTAAGATGCGCAGCATTGGCGTCAACGACAGTTTTCTTGACGACCATACATAGATCCCAAACCACCATGTTAGACCGTTCACCAGCGCGATCGGGACAAAGCGCAGAAAATTACACCGACAAAGAAGGCGATCGGATACAGTCATAATCATCTCCAGTGTGTGATTTTGGTCTTGCGGAGGGGGAGCAGGAGTAGAGCTCCAACTCCAAAAGAAAACATTTTTGATGTTTTCACTTTTCGACGACAAAGACGCTTCACTGTCGGTCCCGTTTGCGCTAGTTACAACCGTGACATGATTCGTCCCGCCTTGTAGTTGTTCAGCGGTTAAGTTTGCTGTGCAAATTTTTTCCTCGGTTGATCCTTCGGAACCGCGCAGAAAAGGTGCCAGAGTGCTGGCAACAGCCAAAAAAGATAACCGATGGCTGCAAGAACCATGAAGTAGTCATTCGTGAACGAAATTCCTATGAAGTGATCAACAACAACAAGGATGGCCCAACCCATCTTTGGAACGGCAGGCGTCTCGAAAAACTTGCTCAGGTCTTTCCCATCGCGGTCTGCTACTTTGAATTTCGATCGGCCGCCATAGAATTTTTAAGCTGTTCAAGGGTAAACTTCCACATTGGGCCGTCACCGCTCAGCACAGAGTAGGTGAGCGCATAGCATAAAGGCACACCAATTAGCAACGCGGGGAGCCTCAGAAATCGGGAGAGGAGTCGACTCGCCACGTGGTCACGGTTTGCGTTTCGCGAGCTAAGGTGGTTCAAAAATGCGTCTGCGGCCTCGCTATCTTGATGCAACAGCTCCCGTACACCTGTTGGCCTGGGAGGTCCCTGAAAAAACCGCCCGTCTGGCAGTACGACCGGTGAGAGCGGCATGCTGGCCCTCATCTCCGCGATGGCATCCGCCAGCGACCGACTCGCACGGCCGCTCTGCCTTCGGTCGTCCTGCTGCATGTTGTCCATTGGCTCTACCTCCATCGGCCCCTCCTTGCTTAATATTGTCATTTACGCTCTTCTTCTTGTCATCTGGTGTGGTCCTTGGCCCATTTCGATGGTCGTTCATTGCCAAGACATTGTCGCGCTCTATGTCCTTCTGAATTTCCCGCACGACTTCACTCACCCTCAGATCGTGATCTTGCCCAACCACGAGAACCCGAGGTGCCTGCATCGCCGTCGCCTCGCCGTCATCGTCATCTAGCAATGTAGCGAGCGACGCAGTCGAGAGGACAGACGCTCCCCCACGTCGATTCGGGAGATTGACCTCCGCTGCAACAGGAGTACCCGGGAGTCCTGGTAGACCAGCGGCATCGCCTTCCGTGCTACCATTCATGACTGGAGCTTTATGTGGTGCACTACAAATCGCCGGCCGTTGCTCTCACGAGGGCATCTGAATTCAAGAATAATAGCAGCTGCTCGTCCGTCAGGTTCAGAAAGAACAAGCACTTGTAGCTATACATCATGTTCATGACCATATCCATACTATTTATTAAAAACCTTAATGTTCACTTACAGTTTTCTCTATGACAAGAATTTCCAACAACAAGAGGTTACAGTTACATACTACGCCACGACATGACCCACACTAGTAGCAGTCATTGTGGAGCAGGTACATCAATCGCAATCTCCATCTGCTCGCAGCTTCTCTATCTTCTTGATTTTGCTGGTGCAACTTCCTCTAGTCATAGTGTCATCTTTCTCGACTTCTTTTTACTGTAGTGCGTAACAAAAGACGACGATATCGTTTTTTTGGTTTCGATCTTGGGCTTCGCAACAAGCATCACGCCTGCTATGCTCTATCGCTCCTGCTCGCGGAGTCTCCATCTCTTCCGTTTAGCTTCTGAATCCCGTCTGCCCGGGATTTTCCTCGCGGACACAATGTGAGACCGTAGCTATCAGATTCGGAGACTGTCCAAGTCAGCAAGAAATCTACTGAAACTTATTGATTCATATTGTTCATCTGCCAAAAATCAGTACGAGTGTGTAATCCTCAGCAGGCAAAAATTTTGTACTGCCGAGAAAAAACAGACATCGTTCATGATCGCGACGCTCATTATACCTGCACTAAATGGGCCAATGGATGGTGCTAGGGAATTGAAATCAATCGGAAGTATAAGAAGGAAATGCTTCGATAAGCGAGCTCACCTTGAGCACTACCGAACTTCTAATATCACAAAAGCACAAAGAAGATATATAATGTTTCCACAGGATGAAATTGAAACAAACTGAAACAAATTCTCTTCATGTCAGGATCAGTTTCAATGTCAATGCTGACTTACAGGCACAATCGCTTCGAAATAAACTTACAACGTCCTCTGTATTCTCTAGGTAATATCTGGCGGTCTGTACTAATTGTAATTACTTGATGTTGTTGATGTTTGTGCACAAGCACCACAACACCAAGGCAACATTTTCATTCTTATCATGTCCAAGACCAAGATCACCTCGATCTGCGTATAGTCCTGTGAAAGACAGCATCATGCTATGCTTACTGTCCTCCCTGCTGCTGCACCTCCTGCTAGTGCCCATGCTCAACATCACGATCACGCTTTTTCATATTAACAGACGTAATTATTTGCGCTCTGCTGATATCTGATTCACTCCATAAGAGTGGCCAGGGGTCTTCGTGTAGCAGGATTTCAATTATCTGCGGGCGATCGGCGAGCGCTGCGAATATGAGAGCGTTTTCACGACACTCCCCCGGTAGTTTCTTTGCGGTTGCTTTGAAAGCTTTGCCAAGAAGAAATCCATCCCCATTTTCTGCTCGCCGCTCTTCGTCTTGCTCTTGCCGAGGGTTATTACCAGCATCCACCGCTTTCTCCGAAAGTCCAGGCGTGGATGAGTCTGTAGTTGGCGAGCGAGCCCTACTTGCAAATGAATCTAGCACTGCATTCCCTGAAAACCAAGACTTTGTCATCGCCTGATCCACGGAAGGTAACTCGCTGAGTGCATAGCGCAACAGCCCCACCCAGCCTTGCCGGGCAGCGCAGTGAAGCAACGCTATTGGCGCCCGGCGATGGTGCGTGCTCTCGTAAGTTCAGTGAACATGCCCAGAGGCATTTTCAGCTGCTTCTTCTCGTTCCTCTTCCACCCAGGCACGGGCCAGTTGCTCAATGACATGCAATCCCTCTCTTTCGCCTTCAAATTCTCCTCTATAACCTTCTGTTTGAATATGTGGTCCTTTTTGCAAAAATTCACTGTCAGATGTCAACCAAGCGCTTGCAATCTCGTCATTCTCCATTAACAACAGCGCTTCTTCGAAAAAACGTGCGCAGATGACGCATCGATTGCTCCTCTCAACTTCCACTTTGATCTGAGGCTCTTCTCGAAACGAAATCAAGCGCAAGTGCGGGCATGGTCCTACTCGCCCTCGTCCAATTTTTTCTTCTCGCATTGGAAGAGTAGAAGAAGTAGATGGCACAACTCTTTTTTGTGAGCTACTACAACTGCCGCCAGCTGTGGCTCCCGATTCTGGTACGGAGGACATCATTGTCGTAGTTCTGCTCTCGTACTAGTTGTATTCTACACTCTGCCCAGGACCAGGAGCATACTCTAAATACAAAGTAGGAAATCAACATTGAGATTCTCTATAGCGTTTTCACAGCCCCAAGTCATGGGCATGACCTCTCCTAGTTCGCAAAAAATCAGACGCACGGCTACGTCCATATCCAGTAATGTGTTGCATTTATTTTCCATTTTTGTTACTTCGTCGAACAAGCTATGAGCATGCCTGACAAAGAAAAGAGAGGACCCAAGCATGCCAACAGGCAGCGCTGGCTAGAGTTCAAATATCATAGGCTAGCAACACAACAAACTGCGGCGTCTTCACGACATGACGTCGGGTGAGAATGTTAATTATGAAAGAAAAAATTTAAAAGTTCGTCGTGAAAATGATAAAATTCGGAACAATATCATATTCTAACATCAAGGAATAAGCCATAGGGGTGGAGGAGAACGGCAACGGCCATGGGAAGGAATAAGCATCATGGGAAGGAATCACGTTCGAAGGAGTCAATGTTGAAGTACCATCGATAATTGTGCTGTCTTCTAGCAATCATGTAATAAACTAGAACGCGTTCACCTTTGTGAAAAATCAAATGACGTTGATGAAGACGCTATCATCAACATCATGTTACTGTTTGTGTTTTCGTCGTGCTGTCGTTGTACTATTGTCGTCTTCCACGTCAACGCCTACGCTTGCTTCTTTAGTCTCTCCTGATCATCTCGGGTGGAGACCTGAAATTTCTTCGAAAGTCCTGCGTGGATGACTGCCGTTGGGTTTCACCACACCTCCTTTCTGTGGTGGCGGCTCGTTGTACTGCGCCTCAGGGGCTCGCGACGCCAGGTCACTTGGCTCGTGTATGCCTCCACTCTCTGCGTCGCCTCCCGGACTAGAGCTAGAGGTTTCTTGGTGTGCAGACGATCCTTGTCCAAGTGCTCCATCACCATCAGCAGCAGCACCGCTTGCTTGTTCGTGTTCCGCGTCCGCTGCGTGGTTGAATTCCAGCGGTTCTGCGACAACGCTTTCGCCACCGTAAATGCCGAAGTCTGCGCCAGGACGAATAAGGCGTTGGCCGTGGAGCGAGGACGTCATGTCGCTGCCCAGGCCTCCAGCCGCACGACGAGGATCCGGAATGCCGAAGAAGCCGGGCTCCGTGCTCGCCGGCGCTCCTGGCGGCGTGGTGCTCGTCACGTCCAGCACTGCGCGATCCTTGGCCAAGGATTCCTCTTGCGTTTCTTTTCCATCCGACAACATGGCAGGGTCGTTCACGCTCTGCCGCTTCATGAGCTCCTCGTACTGTCGTGCGTAGTCGTCATCACCCATGCGTTCCTTGTAGGCGGCTGCAGCCAGGCGTTCCCGGTCTTGCTGCTCGCAGATGGCACCCAGGACGCCAATGCGAGGCTGCGAAGTCGCCGCGCAGTCCACGTCCACTTTCCATCCTGGGTGGTTGATCATGTAGCGGTACAGTGCGGCTGGCGTCACGCACCAAGGCTTGTTCCAGTGGTCCTCGCAGTGCCTGACTGGCGTATTCAAGCCGTCGCCTCCAGCGTTGGGCTTCGCGTCTTTCCCTCCCGCCGGATCCGGCAACGCCACCGACTTCAAGTACCGCACAGGACAGCAAACGTCGCCTTGATCGACCAGGACTTCCCGCTTCTGACCCTCGATCGGGTCCGCAGCTACTGCATTCTGGTACCAGGTTGGTCCTAGCTCCGTAATTCCCGAAACCGGATTCACGCTTTTTTCGTTCACGAATACCGGGCGCCACTTCGGAGGCAAAAACGTCGTACGCGGCCGCACAGACGGGCACCAATCCTGCGGTAAATGCCGCACGCAAACCGTGTTCAAGGGATAGGTAACCGAGTCGCAGAATTTACCGTCGCGAGCAACAAGACTGCGCTGGTCAAGACGGATTCCTCCTGAGAGTGAGAGTTTGTAACGAAATAGAAAATTATGGAAGGTATTTCTCGCAGATAAGGAACTCAAGTGCGAAGACAATTTATTGGATTGCCTCTTGATGGTTTGCGGCCTCCAATCTGCAGATCATACAGTCTTCTATTGCGCGTTCGGTTCTAGTACCTGTCGGATCGCATGCAGTTTGCGCGGCAGGGAAGACCTTGATAGGCATCCCTGCGTAGTCAGTATCTCGTTTTGGGTAAGGTCCGGAATCGCCCATCGGCACCCCTCCTGTCCATATCGTACCGAATGAAGTCTTCGTAGTTGTAGAATGACTGTCGGAGTCATGTAGTCCCTCTCCCTTTTCAGGAAGGGGCAACGTGGTAATAGAGTCGTGCTCATGCCAATTACCTGTGTGCCCAAAGATAAAGGCAGAAGCTCTTCTTGAGGTAGCCGAGTGCGATAGCTTGTCTTTTAAGCTCCATCGCCGCGGCCGTTGCGTCACAACATTAACTGTGTTGATCGGATAAAGATTCGCGGATGGTGCTTTGAATGTCCTAGTGCAGCATGCAGTGGGTCCGGATGCATCTTCACTGTTGAACAGCGCGCTGAGGGGATCGTGGCTTGCCGCATCACCAGAGCTTGGGTCGTGAAGTGCCGTCGAGGAAACGATTGAAGACAAAAGGACCATTGATCAAGATGCTTGTTTACAACAACATCAACATCATTCAGCGGAATGTTAAGAGGCGTAGCGTCTCTCAACTGTTACATACTACAGCTGTTGATTGTACTTGCCAATGGTGCAATCATGACAATGTTGAAGGCTGTTGAAGAAAGCATAACATTCACAACGACAGGAATGATGGGAGTAGAGTCAAGATTCAACGGCACGCACTCGTCGCCCTGCCTTGCTGGCGTCACATCATACTATGATAGAAAATATCGAAAAGGAAAACAATGACAACGAAAAATCATAATCAGAAGGGACTAGATATAAGTCGTTTGCACGTGGATATCTATGCACGCTGTTGAAGAGAGGCACCGACAAGTGAAGTTGTTCAGACATGACCGAGCATAAGCATGTTGTTGTTGACCACCCGCAGGCAGCACATAATAAGTAGTTCGAGGGGACTTCTGCTGGCTACCTCTCGCAAGCTCCGACTTAGCAAGTCTTGGGGACTTTCGAGGACACAGAAACATACGGCCGACATCGAAACCGAGTTAACCATCATGCAAAGCACCTCTTTCACATTGTCAGCTGATAACACGCGATAGACTAGTGAAATAGGAGGGTGCTCACACCTCTTGGATGAAGCTACGACAGGAAATTTCACGAAGAAGATCTTCGACAACCACAACAGTTGAAAAAGACATAATTCTTGTCACAATCTTCAGCAAGAACAACGTTGTAGTTTGACTCCTCGATTTTGTTGATTGAAGAAGTTTTTCGAAGAAGTTCTGGCCTTCAGACTCGTGTTAGCTGTGACTAGTACCACCAGCCTCTCCTGCCGAAAGATAAATAAGCCAAAAATGTTGTAGGATAGATCGATATCGAGATCGATCCACCCACGACCATCAACCAAGAATAATTCAACAGACATCTTCCACTTCTTCTGGTCATCGCCAAAGTGATGACTTCTTAGAAGATTAAACATCTTCAGTATTTTTTGAAATATAGGAAAGACGAGAAACAAAACAATTTTGTAGAGACGAAAGAGACATACCATCCAACCACCAAAGTTTTTTGTTGATGTTGCAGATTACTTTGTTAATATGCTTATGGGTAGTAAAAAAAGGAAAAGCTTACTTATTCGGCTTGAGCTTCAACATCAACTACCACATCAAAATCAAGAGCAAAACGTCGAGGATACCAGCAACGTTCATCATTTGTATCTTCTACTCATAGTAATGCGCTACAGTCATACCAAGAAATGTCATCCCCATCCCCTTGAACACTAGTACTACCTTAATTAATACACAGTGCCATCTCCACATAAAAAGTATACAGACAGGTTCATCTCATTATTATTTTGTATTCATTACTACGAATACCTTTTTGTTTATTCTATTTCAATACCTTATTGGTTGAGATCATGAAGTCTTAGTGATGATCGCAGACAATTTTACAACATAAAAAACCTTATCTGCCTAGATCTAGTTCCTTCTTGTTTTGTAGAACAATGTGAATATCATATAAATTCATGCTGCTTTAGCGTTGGCGTAGCATCAGTCTAGGGAAGACTGAGACCACCACGAGCTCAACTTACTATCGAAGCGACTTCTTATCTTGCAAGAGACGCACTTCACCTAAGAACTGGCTTCTAAATGTACGAAACACGTTATCATTCTACAAGGCGAAAATCGTGAAATTATTTGGGGTAGGAGGCAGAGGCTGCTGATGGAAAAAGTGTTCGTTCAAAATAAGACCAGGATCGGTGATCTAACCTTTTCGTCGTAAAAATACATCCGTCATCTCGCTTGCTCGAGTTTCCTCGACCTCGGTCGTGGAAAATACGGAGAGACGAAAACGAAACAAGCAATCTGTGAGCGTCTTGTTCTTCTATCTCTTCAACATATCAACACATCAAAAATGTACAACATCAAGAACATGTCTTAGTCTTAGATGGTAATTTTTACAACAGAAAGGACAATATTCATATTGAACGTGCTCAGATGTTGTACGCCGACGCTGTGACGACGTGTCATAATCCTTATCCTGGCAACAAGATAGGAGATAATATCGTCGAACAACGACAAGTCAGAGGAAACTACTGGTAAAGGGATAAAGAATGTAATAAATACATATTCGGTCAGCAGGCTAGATAAACGTGCATGAATAGCATCCAGTAGGTGAAAGTCATCGACTTCGACATCGATTGAGTGGTATTTCTCATTATTTGTAGCAATCATCAATAGCCGCATGACCAGAGTTCGTTATGATTAACTTTAACTGCGTAGTATCCTCAAAAAATGACTCTCCGCGAATGCGATGAGATAGTCAAAAAACACTTTCGCTACTTCTATAACTAGCGTTTATAAACTCTTTAAATACATTCATTAGAAGACGATCATGCAATTCCAACATGTTATCATTATCATTATATATTTTCGTGTCGTATAAACATTAAGAGAAATGATCATCTTTCTAGTACTAGCCAAAGTTTCACCTGAAGGTGACCACCGATGATCGTTGGTGCTTTTTGTTTTTCTTGTTTCAAGTTCGAACAGTAGATGCACAGCCGTGCAGCACTTCATCTTTATGTTCATCCATCATCCCCTTTCCCATTCCCTTTAATTCCAATTCCAAAGTCAAAGAACACTATGTATAATAAATAGCATCCTTCGACCTTCCTTCTAGCTCTACGACTTTCCTTCACTTCCGCGAGAAGAAAGGCTCAACGAGCTGTCGAGTTTTTTTGCCAGCAACGACATATCAAGCCCCTGTTGCTCCTTCTCTACCATCATGAAGCTCTCCGCCATTTCACCACCAGAAACGGCATTCGGATTCGGTTGTGCACGGTGTGTATCCTTAGAGACACTCACCGTCGTGGACAAACGTAGAAGACCTCGCTGTCGTATTTTTGTTCATGCAACAACAGGTGGATCTGTAGAAGAAGAAGTAATATGTTCTTGAACTTTGGATTTAGGTTTCAAGCTACCTTTTCAGTAGAACATAAACATGCAGCACCATCGGGTGCGGATGCGGTGATCTAAAAAAACATTCCATAAATGTAGCGTCCTGATCTACTTCAGCAGGCTTGATTACAGACTCCCATTCATCTGCGTCTGTGGTCTGATCCTTTTCCTGTTCTGCGTCCGATCGGTGCCCGCGAAGCAAGCCAGAGGTGGCGGAAACGATAGTGCTGCGCAACGTTCCATGTCTATCAGGGACCACAAAAGAAGACAGGGAGCTAGAGGATAACGACCGCCCAGGAAGACCGACGACCTCTAGTTGTATGTCATTCGCAGCTGGTGTGCCGGGCACCGAGTACGAAGTTCGGGAAACAGAGCCAGAGCAGGATCCCGATCCTCCACGTGGCACTTGAAGGTGGTCCACAGCGGCCCCGTCGACAAACATAATCGACGAGGGTGCCACGCTGACAGATCGAGATGAAACCTCACTCATGTTGTCGAAATCCAAGAACGAAGAAACTCGTACACCGCTAGCACTCTCAGGCAGGGGTGATATGCCACGACGCGGCTGGTCTCCGTATACAGTAGAGCTTCCCCCAGTTCATCCCTGTGGAAATTCCTCAAGAATATGCGCCCGCGTCCCCCTTGTATTGGGGTGCATACTGTTGACGGATCTCAATAGACGAGATGGGTTAGGGGAAGCCTTAAATACAAATGATGAACCAGCGGTACTGAGCATCTGGGTTCTGGAACGCATTTTTTGCTCTCCCCTAGAAGCACTTGCTCCTCCTTGTAGTTGTCCACCTCCGCTGACACTTCCTAGTCCTCCTGCATTCGGAAGCATATTGAACTCCTCGTCTTCGTCCGGGACACAGGCACCTCCGCAACTACTGGAGGCTGCTACACTAGTACCAAGGATCCAGGACGAATTTAGTGAATTTCCCCCATCGTTGCCTTCCTCGTCTCCATCGCTGCCGCCGATGTAGTAATGTTGAAGCGCTGCAGCATTCGACAGGTAGTCCCAGTCGTTCCGAAGTTGAGTAGCGTCCCCATCGCTGCCACCGCTTCTTGTTCCATCCCAGTCTTTGTCTCCTTCCTTTACCTCAATAAAAGACGAGCACGGGCTCAAAGTATGACGCGTCACATTGATGTACGTTGCGTTTCCGGTCGTTTCGTCGTCTCCTGGCATACCCGAGCGGCCATCTTCATCCACCGCAAGCGATGCAGATGATGAGGGGGCAGAACGCTCACGACCACGGGGAGAACAGCGGGGAAGACGCAGCGCTGTTGTTTCAGACCCGTTGAGAAACACGAAAGTCGAGGAGCCCTTTCTAGGAACATCTGAACAACTTGAAATGTTATTATTGGCCTTCTTCATCATCATCTTGATCTTCATCGTGTTAACTTCTAGTAGTTCTTCGTCGCCATTAGCGCCAGGCTGTTCTTTCGTACCTTCTTCCGCTTCGCGTCCTCCGTTTTGTTCAACCTCATCTTCGAAAGGACGGCGTGTGTCCCCCTTTGATGGTGCATCGTGTTCGCCAATTAAATGGCTCGCTTCAGGTTCAGATGGTTGGCCAAGCGATGCTTCAGCAGACGGGGTAAGACAACGACCGTCTTGCTGGTCGCAAGTAGCAGCATGACGACAATCAGGAGAGCGGTGCTTCGCGGTGTCACTAGTTATCTCCGTTTCCGTATAACGTTGTTCAGCAGGTTTAATTTTATCGGATTGAGGCAGCCCATCTTCGCCAGCACATTTCGTAGGTGATAAACTACCCGCCAGATCGTGTCCATCAAAGCTGGTATCATCCTGCTCAGCGTGGGTCTCCTGAATAGGACGGAGTGTTTTTGATGCCTTGCTATCTTGCGATGTTGATGACTTTAGGGATCCAGGAGAAGTGACTCCGTTCGGGTTCGGACCAGCAGACTGATTGTTGGTCTGCGTCGACACGTGGCATTTTGCGGGATTCATATCGGCTGAAATATGCACCATCTGCATGCCGCGACGCAGTTTCTTGTTTGATGATGAAACGCCTGGGCCTGACATTGACATAGCCGATCTATAATTTCGATTCTCTGCCGATTGCTGAACGACTGACCTTATCACATTCGTATTATACGATAGGGTATCCTCCGAGATTAAGCGGGGTTCATTTGTAAAATAAATCGCATGGTTGAAGCTGCCACCTACTGTTTGCACTTGTGAAAATGGTTCACGACAACTATCAGGATCCGCTGCTGTCCCGTCGGCGGTCTTCGAGGGATCATGCTGACAGGCGCTCACGTAGTCTTCAAACCCCACAAGTATGCGATCCTCGCCAGCATGTGAAACGGACTTTCGCGGTCCAACGTCGTGCCGCAGATCGTTCAGCCCTTTCGAAGCAGCTACCGGGGTATTCTGGGCTAGTACGGGAACAACTTTCGATACTCCGCCCTGGACTTTTTGTTGGCCTTGCGTCTGACGCGAGAAGAAGTCTAAAAACCTCAAGATTCCTTCCTTTTCCAGACCCTTTCCTGTATCTTTCTCGAAACATGCCTTTAGGCTTTCTTTCTGTTTGTCCGCAGCCCTGGAAAATGAAGAGTCGATGCAGATTTTCATGATAGAGAAAGCGAAAGAAGGAATGCAAACTCTACTAAAAAAGTAAAAAAGTAAAATAAAAATATTATAGAATCAGAAACGATTAGAGCTAGTCCTGGTCGGAAGAGTACCCTCTGTACGCGTTCAGCATGGAATCGTATTTCCTCGTGAGATCGGTCACTAGCTTTGGGATTGCTTGTGTAAGCTTATTCGTCCAGTGCCGCTGATCGGCCAATCCAACCTTCTTCATTTCGATGTGAGTCGGCATAGCGAAGTACTGCGCATCCTGCGGACCCCGCTTTGAGTCCTTCTCGAGTGTGTCGCAAATTTCTTGAGCCGCCTCTTTGCTGAATTAGACGTAAAAAGAATCAATTAGACGTAAAATCCGATAAACATAAACATATTATATTTATTACAAGACATTTGGTTTTTCTTAAAGATGTGGACTGCATGGCATGGATGAGAGGCCTGGCATGAATGTGCGCCCCAAATAAACCCTCTGTATTTTCGGCAGCGCCCTTCGGGCGCCATAGCTCGAACGTAGTTCCCCCCTAATCGCTTGCAGATTACATGACAAGCAAGAAGAGACAATATGAACACGCACCAAGGCCGCCACCCATTCGAACCCAGCCCCCAACAGCTAAAGCGAGAGAAAGGGTGGGCAGGCTCCGGGCACTCTGCATGTTTGTGTTTCAGCGGGACCTGGGAGCGGGGGCGGCTAAGTGAGGCACGCCTTACCTAAACAAATACAAAGAAATGCAACTACAGCGAGCCTCAAGGGCAACAGCGGAGCACAACGTGAAGGAACCATCACGCCGCCCCGCCACCCGTCACTTTCATCTGGCTCCCTCTAGAATGTCGCGACCTGACCTTATTCGACTTTCGCCATGCATGCCAGGCATGTCCAGGCATGCAATCCATCATCCATCACCACCATATTAAAGAAAGAAACAGATAATCTACATCACGCTACGAAAAGTAGTAAAAGAATTTCTTGGGACATCTTCATGATCATGTGAAAAGAATAGACATCAACCGGCATCAAATCTAGCTTTTGTATTTTTTCCTTGTAATAAAAATTCCAGTTGTGACCAAGTGCAAGTCTTAATTAAACTGGGGCATGTCGATGAAACGGTCCCGACTGTTCAAGAGGTCAGCCGGATATATTACATTGATCCCTCTCAAGATTAATCGACGAGGTGAGAGTGGAGGTGCGAAAGGTCCAAATTGCCTCATGACGCTCTCGCGGAATGCAATCATGTCTTTGTTTCGCGTCACCGCAGCTGAGGCCATCTGGAGACAATAGTTCATGTTAAACTTGATTGGCTCAGACTGGCGATCACCCGAGGATGTCGGACTCCCTCCTCCACTCAGAGCAGGCGAACTTGCTTCACCTCCGCCGGTTGTTTCTGACTTCTCGCGGCTTTTCGCGCGAGAAGTTAGATTCAGACTACTCGTAGCCGTAGCGCCCATTGGGGAAGCTACAGGGGAGACAGAGCCTTCAAAGGAGGCAACGGAAGGTCCACGAGTCGTGCTGGGAGTAGCAGTTGGCGTTTTTGTGCCATCACCTGCGCAAGGTGGAAAAACGTCATCAAGTGCATTAAAATCGAAGTAGCAGGAGCTGTTTCCAGTCACAGATTCCTCCTGATCCACGTCCGACCCCTGCATGATCAAGACATTCTTCAACCGTGCGAACATTACCTCTCGGGGATCTTCTTCAGTATCGGCGTCACCTTGAACTTTGCCATGATCATGTTGGACGACGCCCCCGCTGAGAGTCAGGGGTGCCGCAGAGACATCGAAAGAGCATCCGCTGGAGGAAAAAACGAAAGCACTAGCCAAAAGGCGCACTGCACATTTGACTTTCAATTTTCCAGCAACTTGCATGATCTTCGTTTTCGACAGGCTCGAACTACGACGTCCTTCTCCAACATGAAGCTCAGGAGGCGCAATAGGCTCCGCTTGACGAAAACAGAAAATCATGTTTGATTTTTGCCAGAGTGGTTCACAAGTAGCTCTTTCTTTCCAAAAAATATTGAACAACAAGAACGAACCAAAAAAAATAAGTCAGTTTTGATCTACTTATTTTGATATTATTGATAGAACCTCGTAGGTTTAGGCTCGCTTTGGAAGCATCTGTGTCTGACACAAGTACAATACAACGCAATTAATCTCGCACAAAGTTCAGTGCAGACTGCCTTAAGGGCGTCATAGATGGTACAGATACATATTTCCTGAGTACTTTTACAGAGAAGCACGATCATGAAAACTCGATGAATGTTATTGTAGTAGTCGTCGTAGTAGTAGCAGTAGTGGTAGTGTACCCAATCGCATTGGTAAAAAATGGCATTTTGCAGTGGAAACTTTTTATTTCTTTCTTTTTCAATGTTGTCGACTCAATCAATCTGATCAGGTCAAAAGAAGAAAAGAAACCTTTTTGCGAACAAAGGCGATACAGTTACAACCTGCTGCTGGTGTAGGTGTTGAAGATGATTTGAAATTTTTTGTAAGTAAGTGCTTCTAGTTCTAGCACTTGCTAGATGTTCGGGGATAAGGTTAGATGACAGTATTGAAGTAGCTGTGACGCCCAAGGCGTGCGCCTGAGCTGTCAAGGAGGACCTCCATGCTGCCAAGAACCCAGACCCAGCTAAGTATAAGGGCGTGTAATGCTGTTCTTGCACATGATAGGAAGACGAGGCGGTGCTTCTACATGTACATGTTGTCTGACATAATTTTACAACACGTATACTAGTCACTTCAACTTATTTAAGCATAGAAATGTGACAGAGCAATGATCTCAAGAAGTTTTTTTGGCATGATGGACGAGCAGCATCAGCGCATTTCTCATTTCCAAGGTCGTCTTGAAAGGAAAGCTCAAGGATCACAGGCATCAACTTCAACACGTTCGAGACAAGTGCGAACCGCAGGAACCATGACTGATGACTCCGCGTCAAACATCCTGCTCGTGAACACATGCAAGTGGTGCAAAAGTCCACGCCGCCCATTTTTGGAGAACAAGTAGGATATTATAACACTATCTTTTCATCTTTAGAACAACATCAGTCCACGATAGCGATACGCGTGTCACAAGCTACCATGAAACCATTACGATTTTATATTTTGCGTTTGAACGAGTTCGAGTTCATTGTTAGTTTACGATCTTCCCTGGTACTGGTGGCACTTTGGCCACACCAATCTGCCGTCGGCTAAATGTGAAGAAGATATAATGCCCCACACTTCTTCCAACTTGTTTATGGGTATTCGTATTCTTGTTGATGTTCATCTGTTTCTGTAACAAACATTAACAAGAAAGTGTAAGTGAATCTTTAGAAAAAAAGTTCAAATTTTCGGCAACAACGATTTCTTGTTTTGAAGAGCATCACCATGAGCATGAAAGTTATCATTCAAGGTGGATCATCCTCATCAATGTAGTTTACGTCAACATAAGTAGAAGTACACCCAGCACGACTCCCAGCACGACCTGTGCGCCATGCTCGTCGTGGACGAAACTTCGTCAAGGATAAGGAATTCGCCAATAATATTGATGTCCAACCTTCATCATGATCATGATCATCATCAAGCGACTCCAGAAGCCATTGCGTCACTGGTTGAAGTGGCGGTATGCGACGCAGTTCGTCGCCTTGTCTGTGCCTTTGCCTTCTCGAGGAGGGCCTGCGTGTCTCGGAACTTCTCCGTCAGATTTACAATGAGTTTTTGCGTTTCTTCTGCAGAAGGAATCGAAACCTCGATTGAATCTGTGACTCCACCTCCAGCACTGCCGATATTGCCGGTTGCAAACTTATTTGTTCCGATGGCATGACCATGATTGTTCGTGGTACATCTACTTGCACCGCAACTACCACTAAAGGTAGCAGGAGTGGATTTTGTTCGGGCGTACACAACACTACTCGGTGTGAAGACGGATGCTGTAGGTGTTGGGTCGTATCGTGCTTGTGAGAGGAAATTATCAGCGTCTGCGCCGAATGGATCGTCTGGGCTGGTATGAAAGGAAAAAATTTACTCATCCTCAACGGAAGGGGTACTTTCTAACTAGGAAAGTCCTCCCTGCTCTCTTGAATATGAGTACACTTTTTCGTGTCATAGCTGGGTGCCATTGTTGACTTCGTGTCGGCTTTAGTCGCACCTAGACCTAGTATCCTTTGATGGTCGAACTCGAACATTGCGCTTTTACTTGAAAGTTGGTCACTGGCGGGTTCACCAGTCGTAGTAGAAGTTGGAGCGGCGTTCACACCAGCCCGAATGAAACTGCTGGAGGATGCTGAAGGAGTAGACGATGTCCACTGGACCGTGAAGGGACCCCGCGATGGAGTTGAAGACGTCGCGCTTCCTCCACCTGCTGTCGCGGTCATAGAACATGAAGGTTGATCGGATTTGTTTGGCACTGCAGCAGCAGCAGCAGCAGACTGCGATTGATGTTGGAGACCTGTAGTCGATGATGAAGAAGTAGCTGGTCCAGACGTACTACCACGTGCTTGGTCCAGCTTTCTCTCCATTTCCAAGATCGTGAGACGCGCAGCCAGTGACTCCATGGTTTGTTGCATCTCGCTCATCCGTTGTTCCACAGAACTTACAAAATGATTGAAGCTCGAAAAAGAAACCGCACCCGCTGCACTCTCTTGTGGTGAAGACAGGTTGTTCCTCGCAAGCCCACCATCGCTTCTAGCACCACTTACTACAAAAGGCGCTTCTTCACGACTCCGATTTTTGGCAACATTTCGGCTACTCGTCACAGCAGCTGGAGAGAGCAGGTCTGCAGCTGCTCCGGACGTCCTGGTTTGCAGATCCCATGGATTACGCTGGACGTCCAGGCTCATGGGTTGTGGAGGCGGCATCGTATGGTCAAGTTCCATTGAGAAGCCTACAGCAGTCCCTCCTCGAGAAGGAGTCGTCCGCTTAGCTCCTGCTGCTGGTGTCAGACTGTTGATATTAGAAGCACGAACTGATTTCATCTTTTTGCTACCACTTCCACTACCACTACCACTTCATCAAGCACGAATAAGAAATCCAATGATGGAATACCTGTTTGATGAGACAAGTGCCTGTTTTTGTGTGTGTGAGTGCGCGTCGCTACAACTATGTATCTATAAGTGATCGCTTCAGACTAAGACTTAACGTTGACAGCGTGTTCTTCTTGACAGAACTGCTCAGCAGTGTTGAGCCGTTGTGCATCACCTGAAAAGAGGGCATCGGACAATGCTGGCGATTCCTGTTCTACTGAGCCGGCTGCATCTAGGACGAAATCCCTGAACACTTTCGCTGGTGCTACGTCATAGTCAGCCAGCGAACTTGTTTTTCGCGCTGCACGAATAGTAGAAAAATGCATGTCGTCATGCGCTGTCACCGTCACGTTCATGTTACTCGTATCAACGATGTGGTGTTCCTGTGATGCGACAACTGGGCGACCTGCACTGCCACCTGCAGCGCCCTCCGAGCCACTGCGTTTTCGCAGCATCATTTCTGCTAGGCTGGGCTCGGCTCCTAGATGGCTTACCACGCTACTGTTTCCGGCCACGACTTTGTTTACCTTGGCGCTTTCAGTCCTCCCACCACTTCGCAGTGTAGAGCCACTTCGACCGGATAATGCACTAGCAGTGCTACCACCGAGGACATCACGCTGCCCCACGGTCTCGTTGTGCCATCTACGCACAACACGAATTATGTCCTGCAAAAGCATCACCTGAATAATATGCAAAGCACCAGGTCCTCACAGGTCCGTTGATCGTGCTCGTAATAAATTTTATTTTCGAGATGAAAGTTTGGGTTAGGGTTTGCTCATTTCGAAAAATGAATCAGATGAAACCAGAAGACGAGAACAGGGGCCACAGATAACTCCATTGGCACAATGACAACTACTTATGCAGCACTACAAGGGAGCGCCCGCCCGAGGGGTAAAAGCATAGTTGTACCTTTCGCTCCACGAACCCATTCGAGAAAAACTGTTGGGTCGAAAGCGTAGGGCGGTAATGCATCTCTTTCCGCAGCACTTTGTAACACTCTTCGACAAATCTGAGATCAGACTTGGCGTACAGTTCATACCTGGATGAATGATGTGATGTTTGCATAAGTAGAAAGATCATGCACGACTATAATCAAAATCTGGTTCCTGTTCCTCCTCGTTGTAGTTGCTCCTCAAGGGGAACAAGGTGTCAGCATACATCTTCTTGCGCAATCATCCTGGTTCATCTGGTGAAGGTTATCTTCTGATGAATCACGGAGAAGAAGATAATCTTGTTGTAGTCGTACAACTCGCGAGAGAGAGAGAAAGAATACAAGAACTCTACGAGGCAGTAGAAGTAGAAATAGACGCATTACCCACGCTCTCGCACGAATGTGGCAAACGGTTTGCTGAAGCTAAAGAAAATGTAGTGGAGGATTGGCAGAAGCGCGATCGGTTTGCCCGTCATCACTCCGTTTTCCATGAAATCCTTAATAGGAAAACGCAAGAGGCGCAATTGCGCCTTCAGCTTTTCCACCTGTGCATTGAGATCACCCAACATCTTGATCTCTCTTACTCTTTTAGTTGTAAATGAGACTATGGATTCACCTTGACCTTGACCCTGACCTCTTGAAAAATGAGAAATAAAGGTACGATTTTATGACCCTTCTCGGAAATTATGTGAGCGACAGCAGCTGAAGCTGATGCGTCTCTCTTCTCTCCTTTACTTAGATGAGGAATCTCTGATCTCTTTGACTATGACTTTTGTCACCGTCTATAGTAGACCTTGATTTGGGAATGAGTTGTAACTCGCGCACATATGAAGGAAAGCAGAATTGAAACTGTTTGCAAACTGTTCCTACCTACTTACTTATCTAATTGGTGCCTTCTAGTTCTATTTCTATAAGCACAGGAAGATGTCCAAGTCCATGTTGCGGTTTAAGTAATTACAATTAGTCAGTGACCTCTACTCGTCAACGCCTACTAATACAACTTGTGGCCTTTTCGATACTGCCCTGTTGCGGCAGCGGCAGTGAGTGTTTATTGTGAGTTCTTTCTGCTTTTTTATCCTAATGCTTCTCCTTGTTGGAGTCGTCCATTATTCAGCGTTCTTATTCATAAGAGGACTTCACTGATTCGACATGATAACCGCTGTCTTAGTCCCTTTCGAACACTTACAAATAGATAGCTTGGTTGCAGGAGCTTGCGGTTGGCTCGATTGCAGTGGTGGGGCGTGAAGATTAAGAACATTTTTACGATGATATTAGTCGAGTTTGTCTTCTCTTTCTACATTTTTACTGCCATTTTCTTCTTGTTCATCAACTTCAGACGCTCCCTCGTTTGCATTCCCAAGAAGGTTCACATCTCCTTGATCACGAAACGCGTAAAGTGCGAAACATCCGACGCGTATGCACGTGTAGCAGCCCAGAAAACCCATGGAGGCAAGGGTTTGCAACGTTGACAATAATCAATCGACGCTAGGAAACACTGCGGAAAATAGAGGTATATGCGCCGATAGCAGAGAATGACGAACAAGGGATAGGTTGCGAACTCCGGAAAGTACATGGGCCGACGGATACCGATACGTCCAGTTTGGTTATGATTCCTACTAATCTTCTTCTTCTGCTTCTACCTCCAGTTCTAGCACACCTGCTAACGGTTAAGAAATTCAACCTCCAAATGCAAAGGAGCAGGGATTAATACATGTCGTGTGACACTGAGACTGAGAAGGAAAATAATATAGGACTATTTATTAGTAACAGTATTAACCTGCTTCCTTTATAATTAATTGGATTGGGACAGTAGTCAGAGAGAGACTTCCATAATGGTAATGACTTCGTCGCACGAAGTGGACAAAATTGTCGCTTTCGGGAGTTGTTCAGGCAGACCGTCGTCTCGTAGGCGCGGTGCTGCTCCCAAGGGGCTTGGATCGTGCGAAAAAAAAGGCATGGGCAATAGCAGCATGGCGGAAAGGCATGCTCAATAAAGGAGAAGTAAAAGCAGGCCAAACAATGCGATCGCCGTTTCTCCTATCTCCATGAAGATGAGCAACATGTTGTAGCTGTTACTGTCTGAGTCTGTCGTGTCTGTGTCAATTGTTGAACCCAAAATAAACTGCGAATGGCAAGAATCAGTCTACGTACTCCAGAAGCCGGAGACAACAAAGACAAGGACGAGCAAAGCGTGTGCGATCTCCCGACGATAGGGTGAGGCGGTGTTGTGGCCTTGTCTTGCCCGATCCCGCTTCTTTGAGCATGGTTCTGTCTCATCGAACAAGAGGCTTCGACGGAGAGAGTTATCGCCTGCGGTTGCAGCACAAGCGTATTCTGATTTTCGTCCAGAAATGTAGCTACTAGTAGGCGCAGAAGTAGGAGTACTAGTAAAGGAATCGTCCCAAGAACTAAATATTTTTGTGCGGAATAAACTCTTCTCCTCCTCCACAAGCATCGCCCGAGCGCCAACGCAAACGCGTCAACAACAGCTGTCACTTGTTGTGAAAACATCCGCTTGAAATAAACTTAACCAGTTGTCGTTGTCCGGATTCACATCTGGGTCACTCTTCCAAAAATGTCCTGGATTCAGCATAAGTAATTATATCAAAACCGGGAAGACACAAGGTACATCTTCCAGGAGCCGACAGAAGCCAGCACGCACGATTTCTACTCGCAGGAGGCGCAAGGGCACTGCTTGAGTTCTTGACAACGACGGGGCATTGCCATTGTTTCTTTCACTTTCGTCCCTAGAGCTTCTAGATAGATTCCTGCTGTTCATCAACTGCTTGCTCCCCATCATCTTCATGTTGGTCATGATCCTAATGCCCGGGAACCAAGGCCGCTCCAAGGAGAATCAACATGAGCCAGAATTTTGCGGTACGCCATCCGGACACCCAGACGCGAATTGTCAGCAAAGGGAAACTCAGAAGATCATCTCGTTCCGTATCTGGCTATTTCAAGTCTTGCTGCCATTCCACAGCAATGTCCTCCTGCCAGTTGAAGAGGGGGGCAAACGCGAACACGATTGCCAAACATGACAACCGAAAAGAAAAGGCCGTCTGCTTACGACTACTGGAGGACGTTGCGGGTGTGCTTGAGCTTGATGTCCTCGTGTTGTTGTCCAATTCGAAACAGGAGAAAGACGGTAAAGCAATCAGAAATCCGACGTCCAAGGAGAAAAGGGCTGGGTCATGAAGAGGACATTGCTGGAAACTATTCAATATCGCTGGGTTGAGAGGATTTGGATTGTTGGTTCCAGCTGTAGCTGCAGCTAGCGTCAAAGACGAAGAAGAACGCAGTGTTGACGGTGGCGTAGTGGGATTTTCGTGCGATGGAGCTGATGATTCTCGTTCCATTTTCGGGTAACCCGCTTGTAAGCACGAGCCTCTAGTAGCCTTCGCGGCAACACAACACGAGAGAGTCACGACATCATGAACCATTCATAAGAGATCCAGCGAAATAACACTCGTGAAGAACGCCCTCTCATCTCTCATCACCGTTTCCTTCTCTGTCAAATAAGCATATCTCTAAAAGGCGAACGCTAGGAGTCGAACCTGCTTGTTCCACCCGAGAGACTATACAGAATAGCAGTGCAACGAATTGTTCACATAGAGTCGTTCCTGATCTGATGATTTGAATCTATTCGGCGAGCTGCCTAAGATTTCCCAGACGAGATCTACCCGCCAGTCTAGCTAGTTGTTGGATTGTTAGTGTTCGGCCAACTGTTCCTGTGGGTCCTGTTGTTGAACGCTGAAGCTCTGGCTTCTGTCTTGCTACTTGTGCCCAGAGGCTTCTGTTCTCCGCGCTGCTTAGCTGCACCCCTCTCGCCCTAAGGTCTGCCTCCAGTTGCCTCCTGTAGGTTGCGCGCGGCGCTCCCCTGCCTCTCCTGTAGCCCTGCGGCCGCTCTCCTTCTGCTGTTAGAGCGATCCGCGCCCACCTTGCCTCTGGGTATCGCACTAGGTGCCCGATGTATCTGAGGCGCCTCTGCTCGACAATGCTGCTAAGCTCCTCCTGCCCTGTCTCCTCCAGCAGGTCCGCCGTGCGGATGTGGTCGGCCTTCGTTGCTCCAATGCAAGAGCGTAGCTTCTTGTGCCACCATGTGTCGAGCGCTGCCTTCGTTTTGTTCGTTAGTGTCCAGGTCTCGGATCCCCAGAGCGCTACCGGCAACACGAACACCCTCAAGATGCGCGTCTTTAGCTCCCTGCTAATGTTCCTGTGCGCGAAGACCCTGGAGAGCTCCCCGCTTTTCTTCTGGGCCCGCTCTATCCTGCTGAGGATATCCGCTTCGTCGTCTCCGTCTTGGGTTAGTGTGCTACCTAGGTAGGTGAAAGCGTGCACCTGCTCGACCCTGCCCTGCTCCAGGGTGAGCCCACCTGCTGCCGAGGTCTCCTCCACCTCCACCTGCCCGCTGAGGTCGAATTCTACATACTTCGTCTTTGTGAGGTTGACTGTCAGACCGTACTCCGCCATCGTGTCCACCAGCCTTTGCGTGGCTCCCCTGAGGCTCTCGGCGTCCTCTGCTAGCAGAGCGATATCGTCAGCGTATAGCAGATGGCCTAGTCGGACTACTTCTACTTCGGCGCCCTCGTCCTTTCGTAGAAGTTTTGTTCTGTGCATCTTTGCTCCTTCTCCTAGGTCTGTTCGCTCTAGGACGTAGTTTATGCACATGTTGAAGATGAGTGGCGAAAGTAAGCAGCCCTGCTTTGTGCCGGTTTAGAAACCTTCCACTACGTGAAACCCGCGTTATGAGACTTGTTCGAAATTTTTTGAAACTAGAGATTTTAAATATCTAAAAGTTAAGAATAACAGGACAACTTCTCGCGAAGAAGCAAACTCGCTCGCTGAGGATTTGGATACTCCTCATGAATTTAGTTGTTGTGTGTGTTCCCTCGCGTTCAGTTCGCTCTACAGTTGGACCATGTTGCAAAGATGATATTCTGGAAGAGCTTCTCGACGACGTGTATTAGCGACTGTTTGATGGTTGTTCTCGATCTCATCCTGCTCATGATCGATCAACATCGAAAGGGGCTGGCCACTCAAGTAGAAGATTACTCTGGATGGAGCGGCATGAACACGAGCCCACATAAAGTGCTTGCTCGTGTGGTAGGCATGATGTATCGTGAGTGGACCTTCAGAAGAGTTGCGTTGAGGTGTAGATGATGGCCACGAAGTTGCCACGACCTCGCCGCAGCTCTGTTTGGCAGCACATGCTCAGCACCATGTTAATGGTGCAGCCCATCCGTGGATTTCAAAATCTTACTGCACGAAGACCGTAAGGAAAACGATGAACGGTGAGCGACAATATAGTGTGGCATAGAGTGATAAGCAGGAAAGAAGTGTGAAGTTGTAATCATCGCCGCGGTCCATCATGAGAGCACAAACGAAAAGCGCTTGCTGCAGGGGCCGCGTGTCGTTGTGTCGTAGAGGAGGAAAAAAGCTGCGACGTCAATTTCGTTGAAAAAGCAGCCGAGCGGTATCTGCGTCCATCTTCTTCAAGTTACGCTGGAGAGGACTGCGAGTAGAACAGACCCGAACTCGAGCTGGAGAAAGTGAGAGACGACGAGGAGAACGAGAATTCTGTACTATCAACGAGGAGCAACTACAACTCCAGACTATCTTATCATAATTAGACGTGAGTCAACATGAAACTAAGTCTTCAATCTTCAGGACCACCACCTTCACGTAAAGGCGAGCGCAATTACGAAGGACGAAGCATATCATATAAAAAGCACGAACAATACGTCTCGCATTCGGCGGCGTTTCCTCTGGATTCGGATCGAGATGGACTGGGTTATCATGGACGATGGTCCGCATCGTCGCCGCAGCTATAACAAAAAACATAAGCGCCAGCCATTGTTTTTGAACTTGAGCTAGTACTTGAAGATGATACAGTTACAGATAGAGGTAGACAGCTTCAATGAGGAACAGCCTGAAGAAGACAGAGTATGAGAACTAGACGTGCTAAGCTAATATGACCATGAAGATACACAGATAGAGCTTGAGGAAGACAAAGTATGAGCCTTAGATGAGTGCTACTAGATGAGTGCTGCTAGATGAGTAGGAGTACGACAACGCCTGGATGAGTACTCGATGAGTCATGGAAGAACAGAGTAGGAGTCTCCTGTCAAAATTCTTGAAGCAAGAAGACAGCACTAAGGTTATGAAGGTTAAGATTGAGGGAGGTCGCCCGCCACACCACAGACACAGGAGATGAACAAAACTTGAACTATAAAAAGGAGCTGAAAAGTTGGAAGGTGATTGAGATTTAGAACGACCAGCATTCTCATACCAGTACGACCCGCAGACAGAAAAGAAAATGTATGTAATTAAATAGAGAGCCAAATTTGAACGATCAGATCAACATTGCTAGCTGCACGTCATTGGCACTAACATTCGGATTCAGGGTAAGGACAAAACTCCTGGAGTTTAATATCAAATTCGTGATCTTATGATGTAAATCTCAACTGTATCTAATACCGTCGATCTTCCTCCACAAAGTTCTTTTTTGAGGGAAAGAGGGTGACGGACTCGTAAATGTTCGTCTTTCTTCTCTCAACGACTACGCTCTTATCCCAACGACTTCAAGGGAGAAAGGAGGTGGCAGGCTCGTAATCGTTCGTCTTTTTTCTCTCAACGACTACAGCAGCCCCTTTTTATCATTTAGAGGCATTCTAGTTTACAGAGGTCCATCGTGGGAAAGGGAATTCAGAGGAGAACACACTGTAGAGGTGTCAGGAATTCAGAGGAGAACACACTGTAGGAGGTTCTATTTTTTGCCTCGGTACGAGTTGGAAAGAATGGAGTACTTTAGCGATGTCATGGGTTGAGGGTTTTGGGGTTTTTCGTAGTCTTCAGCTAATGTAGTGAGCTGCATCTATCTTTATGCTTTTACGAGTATGGCGCGCGGCATCGTAGGATTAGATTTGTTCAGAGCAATCATATAGCGACCATTCACATGGTCTTATCTTGGACGCAAATCAGAAGGATCAGAACTTTTTTCAGGTCTGCTCTTCCACCAAGCGTAGCGCTTCGGCGATTTCGTCGCATGCATCGAGGATGTCTTCCGAAGGCTCCACTGGACCTACGGCCTCGACCACATTGCGGCCCCTGAAGGTCTCCACATCTGGACTGTACGCAACGGCCTGCGGTTTGTACTGCAGCAGCGCCAGCGCCTCCTTGTTCATGATCAGGCTCTCGAAGTGCGAAGCGGACCTTTCCAATGTGTGCATCTTGCTTCTGATCAGAGAAATTTCCCATGGGGGAACGCCATGGCATGTGCAGCAGCGCTTGGCTGCTCGGCGCTCGCAGCGGAACTGGTAAAGAAAGTTACTCACTCCATTTTTGGCACGGTGCAGCAAGGTCAACGTGTACTCTTCTCCAAACGCAAGCCATTGCCCATGTTCTCCAGTGATGTACAGGTTGGCAGTGGCACTACGCGCTGGGGGCGGACATCCTTCAGCAATTTTATCTCTTAGTGCAACTTGCACCACAGCAGCTTTTTGTCGAATGTTCTTGTATCTTTCGCTTGTTGTTTTGATATCCTGATATGGAAGCGTGGCGAAGTCTTTTTGCTGCTTTGTGGTTGTATCCGGCTGAACACTGAGAATGTTGTCTTGAGTCGCACTCATGTGTATGTAGGCCCCGGTAGAGCATGAGGTTGATTCTGCCGCGTTGCACTTCTGATTCTTCCCACTCGGCGGATGTGTCCTTCTTGACTCTTCCTTTGCTGCACTACTCTCCGTTACTGTAGTTTCCTCCTTCGGTCGAATTGCTTCATCGTTCGGCGGTTGACTTGCTTCCTGCTGGCTCTGCTGCGTGTGGATGCCTGGAATATCCATTCCTTTGAGCGTGTCGTTTATGTAGTCACCACATTGTAAGTCGGGATCTTCCTTGATTCTGGGATCCAACAATCCACCAATGCCCCCAGCCTTAAAGAATTCATCCTCGGAGGCGATTGCGCGACGCGATGAGACTGGGTTTCCTGATTGAACTCCTGCCTCGGCGCAGGAGGCCGTCTCTCTCTCTGGGCAAACGTCTGATCGTGCTTGGTGAGCCGTTTCAGCGTCCTTTTCTTCGATCGACACTCCAATCCGATTGGCACTGGTGCCGGAACTATTTTCTTCTATCGCTTCAACTGGCTTGCTGTTCGGTAACGGGCTGTATACTGAGCTCGATCTTCTGCTGCTCATGTTGCGGGTTGTTGCCTTTGGTGATAGGCCGACTTCGTCTTGCTTAGTGACGTTTTTTTCTTGGGACGTCGCAGCATCATGGGGCGCTAGCGGCGTGCATGTAGTCGGCATCTCTTCTAGTTTTTTCTTCCGACTGGTGGCATACGACCCCTTTGAGTTGAAATTCTTCTCCCTTTGCTGTACATACGTTGCCATTGCGACGCAGATTAGTGGGGGATTTGCACTGATCAGTTGCGGATACTCTGCCATGCGCTCTACCGCCGACGCAACAGCTTGTTCGTCCTCCGGCATCTGTAAGGCCAATTGAGCATTCTTGTAAGCCTCCAGTAGCTTTAGGCAGTCGACGTCTCCTGCATCCAACAATATTTGTTCGCTCCGCGGCTGATTCGTTGCGGCATTTTCGGCATGTAGAGCAGTGTCATCAGGGTATCGTGTGTACGTGGACGGCTTCATTCTCGGCGAAGTTGTCTTTGTGGTCATGTGAGGACTGTGCCTATCTACTAGAAGAAGACCATCTGCACCAGTTCCAGCGGAGATACCATGTATCTCTTTGATCATCTCCGAGATTTTTTGGGTTTCACAGCTTAGTTGTTGAGGAATTCCAACTTGAACAGTATCATCGAAGTCAGAGGTCTCTGCTGAATGATGTCCATACACGAAGCGCTTTGGCGGTAGTACGATTGAACCCACCAGCTGTTCGGCCATCTTGGTTTGCTTGAGGATCGCGTTTTCTCGCAATGCAAGGAACTCCGGCGGTTTAGTCGCTCTATCTTGATCTGACCAGTGAACCTTTTTTATCGGTTGAGCTTCGTTTAGGATTCCTTGCACTAACTCGAAGATCTCCTGAGTCGATATGTCCTGGAAGCTCTTGTTTATTGTTGCCGGGGATGAGCGTGAATTTATAGCCATGCATTTTATCGTCGCAGCTAGCACCGCTACTTGTAGATCGGATGGGTAAGTGCCGTTGTTGCTAGATAATGCCTCCTTCGCTGCTGACCTGGCAATGGATTCTGCTGTTGATGCTTCGTCTTTGTTCCGAATTTCTGCCAAGAGGTTGTATGCTACTGCATGGTAGTACCTTTCGTATCTCTCGTATTCGCTTTCGTTTAGCTTTTTTTCCTCATCGTTCTTTTGGACGTTCTTTTGGACGTTTTTCCGCGGAGATTGTTCCCTGTTCATGTTCAGGTAAGTTGGCACAGGAGGTTGGAGAGCTTGCTCTTCGTCCGTTTCCGGTGCTCCACTGTGCATTCGCCTCTTTTCCGATTCTTTCCTTATTCTCGCGGCTTTGCTGGCATCAACCTTTCCTTCTTCTTTCACGTTGCTTTCCATAGGAGGGCAAGGAGATGATTTGTTGTTACTGAAGATTTCTCTGTCGCTATTGCGTTCCTCCGATGTAGATCTTCTCCGCTTTTGGATGTTGACTGCTGTGGATACGAGGTCCATTGGCTTACTGCCCTGTTCGTTGAAGTTGATGCTCGTTTCCTCTGCACCTTCTCCTTCTTCACCAACTAACCCCATCTCTACCTGATGCCTGCTGATGTCTTTACCGACTGATTGGGGAGCTTCGCCTAAAGGGTTCCCTGCGTGAGATCGCGACTCGCTCTTTTCTTTCACCTCTCCTGACTTGTTCGGTGCCTCATCGCCTGGTGGATGGTCAGGTTGGTGCATCGATGAGTAGGATCCGCGATCGGCTTTTACCCTATTGTGTGATAATCCTTGCCCTACCAATGGTAGGCTTTTGCGTAGGTGTCTCCCGTGGATCATTGTTTGCACAGAATATTTTACGTTGTCTCCATCAGCCTGTCCTTGGGCTTTGCTCGATGTTGCAGCTGGGAGGAGTGAGTCACACATCTTCGGGTCTTGCTTCGATGTAGCGCCTTGTCGCTTTGCCTTATCATCTTCTATGGCTCGCCTCGTTTTGTCCTTACTGGTTGACGGAGCTTCGGATGCCGAAGATGAGCTTGCGTCGTCACTGTTGTCTTCGGGTTGTAGTAGGGCAATTTGTTGTTTTGCCCCTGTGCCTTTCATTATGCCCAATATCTCGCCAAGTCCTCCCAGTATGCTTTTTTGCGTCCCACTGAATTTGTGCATCTGTTTGCGATGTCTCTTCTGCTCGTCCCGTATTTCTTGAATTTCCGTTCCAATTTCCTCTTTCAGGGCTGCATTAGCTTTTGTGATGGACTTGTCGATCATGTCTTGAACTAGTTCAGCTGTGAATGTGCCAGAGTTTGCAGGAAGTAGCTCCGAAGATGAGGATGCTGATGCCGCTTCCATTTGATATGACGCACTGTATTTGCCCTTCTTCCCCCCTTTTCCTCTCATGACGATTTCACCTTCAGGACCCGTTGGCGGTGCTGGTTTCATCGAGGTCATTGGGTTCATTGCCCATCTGGACGGATCGAGCATCGGTCGGATTTTATCGACTTGGAGCAGGTATTTGCCGATTGTGCGGCGCCAGGACCAGACTGCTGTGGCCGCGAATGTGTCCTTTTTTCTCACTTCGAAGGGGACATCATCGAAGTTTACTCTGAATTGTGCTGCTTCGTAGTCCTCCAAAGTTGGCACATGATGCCATTCGGAGCCTCCTACTTCCCGCACTTGGATCAAGTAATTTACCGATTGCACATTTACATATGTGCAGACGACTTTGTACCAGCCGATAGGTAGATTCCATCTTCCTTGCATATCACTGCCCCACCGCGGAGTGTGGTCAGTTTCAGATGTGTAGAAGTCACGTCTGCGGATTGCATGTGGAATTTGACATGGGCTCCCGGTCCAGGCATCGTCTGGGAATTCTTCATCTTGCCTTAGCTTTGCAACTACGTCGTATTCTGTTTGTATCCTTGTCCATGTTGAGGATCCACTATCGCTGGAGGTATAGGGCCTTGCTGACGCGTGCATGCTGTGAGGGTATTTCTGTGACTCCATGGTCCTGTCCTTGCTGCCTCTCATGCCACCTCCCTTTTGCGTGCTTGTTGTCCTCTGGTCCGTTTTAGGCAGGAACCGTTTCCCGTCCTGCACGCTTGTTGAGGCTGAGCTCCGTGAGAGTAGAGTTTTGGAATATTCCCGCGATGCTGATTCCTCATAGTCCTCCGACTCTTTGCTTCGTGGTTCATTTTCCGAGTCTGCTTCAATTTGAGCATAGAATAATTCCTCTTCATCCTCGTACCACGCTGAATCGTTGTAGTGGTGTTGAGGAGAAGTCAGCATGTCTTCGTATTGGTCTCGTGCTTGTCCGTGACTTGCTTCCTCCTCAATGCCCTGCATTTCATCATCATCCTTTGTTAATGCTTGATTCACCAGTAGAGCGTGGTATTCTTCCGGCGTTTCCGCAGGGTGGAGTTGAGCCGGAGGTAGCTTGTGATCCGTAGTGATCTCCCCGGTCATTGTATTGGTCCTCACTGGTGCGGCAACAATCGGAGCCGCCTCATCTTCTGCTGTGCCTACCGTCTTGCCTCCAAGGTCTATGCCAGCGAATAAACCAGTTTGAAGTGCGGAGAGGCCAGTTGCATTCGTCTGGTAAGATACGAAGGTCTTTCCACCTAGCGTTAGTTGTTCCGCGCTTTGGGCGGTTGCCTCTCCACTTGCTGTTTCATTTTTTTCCTCCTTGTCTCCCTTTGGCATGTCCATGCTCTCGTCCGTTGGAAGAGGGCTCGTTCCCGTGGCCAGTGTATGTACTGCACTGTTCGCTCCCGTGGTGGCGACTGCACCACTTGACGCTTCAGCTACTGCTACGCTGGATCCTTTTTTCTTGCGCAGGTTTTTACCTCCCGTTGCTGCTTGCTTGTTGGAGGCCTCTTTGCTTTCGCTCTTGGCTGTGATGTTGCGACCCGTAGCTTCTTCATCAACCTCTTTTTGTGGTAGCACTTTGCCTTTGTTGACTCCCGACTTGGCTGGTTTTGCTGTGCCCGTGGTGGGTGCTCCTGCGTTGCTGCTGGTTGCACTGGGGTTCCCAGTACTATCGTCGGGTTTGCGGGTCCGAGCAGCCTCCTTGTTGCCTCGATTATTTCTGCGATTACCCATGATTGTTAACTTGTGGTGGTTGCGGGGTAGTGACTAGATGTTGCAGGTTCGCGCTGTTCGATTATTCTTACTTGAGAGTAGTTCTTGATGATTGATGGGCGCCTGCTGTACAGGTACGCTAAAGTGCTTTTGATGCAATGAAAAACGACAATTATGCGCTTAGTGACGTTCGGTAAGCCTGCTTGTGGGGTGGCGAGGAGCTCGTTGTTAATTCAAGATGTTACCATTATCGGACTTCCTCTTTCGCTTATTATCACGTTGTAGCCCGGAACTTATGCACTTGATTCGCTTGATTCGCTATTTCATTACTTGGACCAGTTGGGCTTTTGATTACTTGTTTCTGCGCGTCGTCGATATTTTTCGTCTCCTTGAGAGTGTAGTTTTAGATCGTCGCAGATCCTTGAGGATGTGTGAGCGTGACTAGCCATTTTCATTGCTGTGGGTCAACTAGATATGCTTAATGATATTGCGATTGATGTGTGAGTCATGTATTCTTAATGCGATCATGGACTCGGACTCTCAATTATATTCGTAACGAATACTTTTGATTAGCCCCAATTATAGACCCAACCGCACGGGGAAAAGGATGATTGATTTTTGTTTTTTGATTCATTAGTGTTTTCATGTTTGATTGATTTGCCATTCACTTTCAGATCTATTAGTCGTCATTGTTCTCATTCGACACAAGAAAAAAGCGGTTGGGTCTCTCTGTTTGTTAGTTACGCTCGCAGCCGCAGCCTTGAGCCAAAATGGCTACGGTGTTTGTTTTTCAAAATCTCACCACGAGCAATGAAGAATAAGAACTGTGAGTAGCGAGAGGTGCAGAGGTTTCGATAATAAAGAGATTGTCACAAGAGACTTTGAAGATAAAACGGTCCACATCACGGATGGTTTGTAAATTTTAGTGCACTGCAAAACTTATCAAATACAACAAGAGCGGGAAACGAGTTAGAAAGATAATTTTTTTTTCTGAACAACAGCAATCGCAATCGGTTTTATCGGGTGCCTAAGAGCAAGAATATGACCTCACAAAATCGTAGGGGTGCCAATCGTTAAGGTCTGTGAAGAAGGTAATTGAGTGTCTGGATTCGAATCTGACTCATGACACGTAAGTTGTATTATTTGTTGCTGCTTTCCTATTGGTTACTCAAACTGATTTTATTTCCTGCCGTGGATGATGATTGCGAAGTGCTTTGAAATGATTTTGCAAGCGGTGCGTCATTCAGTGCAGTAGGGTTGTACCCACAACTTCCTTTGCAGGAGCATGCTGGACTTTGTTCAATATATCTTTCATCTACAACGTTGTAGCTTTCTAGCTAGATACGTTACCATGGCAAGATCGTTTAGGGAATGATTTCAAGCGTCTGCGACTTGCCTATTGAAGGATACTGCATTTTTGACTATTTAGACCCACTTGGAAATTGTCTCAATACATATACCTTGACATTCATACTCAACAGATAGGGCGTTTTCATGCTACTATTTAAGTCGTTCTACTGCGTGACATTTTCACTTAGTTACATTTTTTCTCCGACATATGGCAACACCAGAATCAAAGCAATTTTACTTGTTCGAAATGCGTCATACTTTGAAAAATGCACTTTCCGGGTAGACGAGAGGTGTCAGTCGAAGAACAATTAGAGCTATCAACTATATGTCTTGTATAATTATATTGATTCATGATGTGGGGCCTGTACCAAGAAGGGGTCGGGGTTCAAAATTCCACAATACTACGCGAACACGAACAGGCGCACTGTGAGGACGAATAAATGAGGGAGCTAAGAGGATACGCCGAAAACTCTCTGAGGGTCGAAAACCTTCACTGTGACGTTGATGGACAAGCAGGCTCTCACGACAGGACTTGGTCATCATCATCTTGATAATCTCAATCACACTCACCTCAGTCATAGGAAGACAGAAAAAGCAAGTACCTGAGGCAAATTTCAAGAGTAGAAGCTAATGGCACCAAACAAGAGTGGTGTACTCAATTGCTCACGCCAAAGCCAGACTTGTCGTTGTCGCTCGTTCTCGTCATAAATTTTCCCACGAAGGGCAACCGTCTACTCAGATTTTTCACGATGAGCATGAAGCGATGCTATCTCGGCCTTACTCAAATGCTGCTACACCACGTTCTAGCTGAGACTGCCTTTGGTTTTCATGGTGCAGCAATGTCACGAAGAGAACAGCCACAGTTTTAGCTGTTGACTCATCTAGGAACGCCACTAGGTCTCTCTACTCTTCCGTGGCATGGAAAAATAGTGACATTGACTGAAAGTATACGCCTCATTTTTTACTCGTATAAAAAACTGCTACTAAGTATCATGATGGAGGTTTTAAGATCAAAATAGAAGAACAATCAGAGAGGGAGAGCAAGCTGTATCTTCATTTGGGTAGTTCGTCGTATCCTTCCAACCGTAGGCACTCAAGCTTAAGACTTTGAGAAGAGACGCACTCCACACGAAGTAATGGAAATGGATGATGACTCGCGACGGATTGCAATGCTCGCGCTATACATGATACACTTAAAGAATAAAATCCACTATAAGGAACCACTGGGCCACTCATCAAAATGTTCTACATACATGACTCCAGCGTAGTGTTTATATCTACACGACCCACTCCACCGGTCAGTTGTTCCACCCGTATAGGGTGACCGGGCGTCGACGTCATTCAAACTCCCTCAGTTATAAATGTGTGAATACTAGAGGGGTAGTCAGTAATTGCTGACTCTGAACTCTGCATATATTCAAGCACATAGCAAATCACAACTCTCCGGAGTGCGCCGTCTCAATGCAACAAGTGTAGAAGATACCACAGTCGCAATCTCCCTCATTGATGTGCCCTATGACTTGAGCTAATGGATTGGTCTCCATAGAAGCAAAATGTAGTCCATGTAGACATCACGCAACGAAGACACACTGTCGGAATATCGTAAGTCCATGTATCCGAGGAGCTTTCGATTCTCTGACAAGATAGTTTTTTTTTGAATGAGCTAGGTTTAGATACGATATAGTCGCTATTTTGCAGAGAGTCAGACTGCGCTGAAGTCATCGTATGCAACAGTGGAGAGCACAGTAAAACAATCTTGATGAGCCGAGGACGTCAACTTCTCACATCGTCACGCAGAAATGGGTATCGCATAAGGATCAGTTAGACGATGACTGTGATACTAGGACACCACCTAACCCTAAGCGACTTCTAGTTGAAAGATGTGGAAGACATGACAGGATACCTGTCAGCAAGGCTATTGCAATGACGGATTTGCTCTACGCTAGTCATCAGTTGCACTTTCTTGAATTTCTATTAGTAGCCCCTCAATCAATCTCAAGAAGCCATCGCTGGTATCCTCAGTAGATGAACCGCGCAGAAACATGCATGCCATGTCTGTGAGCCTTATATAACTTATCTACTCCAAAATTTGAGCTGCTTAATTGAATCACATCTAAGGGGTTTTCAGCGCACTTCAACTTTCTATCACATTCACTTTATTTCAACTGCAAACGAGGACATCATGTATTATTCCTATTTTCTTCACAAGCTACTATCAGGAGAAAACCTCTCGTGTCCGTGAGATACCGCGGTCATCACGATATCACACAATAGGAGAAAACATTAGAGATAAGCGAGGACCAGATACACCCACCATAGAAGAGCCGCACGGGCATATCGTGCAGCACGTATGCAGGTTTGCTATTCCACCCCGGTGCTTGGAATCGTCTCGAAAACGAAAGCCAGCACTTTGCGAAGCTCCTTCTCTACTTGGATGATGTTGGTATCACTAGAAATGTCTGGTCTTCCAGCAAACCCAGCCTCCAGTTGTTTAGATAAAATGAGATATATGCCATGATACTAGAAGTCTGAGTAGTGGCATTGTCTTATAGACGTGCCCATTTTTGTTGTGCGTTGAGAAAAATCTTACATCGAAAGCGCAGCAGCATTGAATAGCTTCTTAATCCGGCGCCCTCGCGTCCGTATTTATGTGCTGCATTTGGTGTTGTTCACTGAGCATCCCGATCGCAATCATCTTGTCGGTGTTCAATTTTCTGTCAAGAAAATCGAGCTCAACGCTGACGATCGCGGAAGCAGATGATTTTAGTTGGCCGATAGCTTAGCTTTCAGAGAACCATGTGAGACACAAGTGGGATTAGCTACCTATTTTAACGACAACAAAAAAAAGAATTTAAGCTGCACACTAATCCAATCTTGCATATTTCAAGCGCGCGGATGATGCACGGCGACGAGTGAATTGAAGATGGAGAAGGTCTCTCGACGCATCTTTATCCAACAAGTCATTGCCAGCATTCCTCGCTCAGAAGAAACTCGTCAGAGCAATCCATCATCAACAGCAGGCTAATTATATACTTGAGATTCATAGTCCTTATATCGATGCTACGTATTGAAATCAATGCGCCGGCCACGTTATATTCTCACTGATTTTCATCCACTGAGTATTGTTATTGGCAACGACAAGAATGAACTTGGTGCGAGCAGCAATTTTTTGTTAAAAATATTGTAGCAGTAGACACCATAGAAAGGACCTCGTTGTTAAGAACAATACTACTTCCTCTGGCATTCGTTTGCCTCCTACTTTTTTGGAACTTACTTATGAGAGAGGGGAGCTTCTTTCTTGTCTGTGATATTCATTATGGAACTCGTAACATCTTTGCCCTAGTCCCAATGTCGTCATCTGCCTACCAAAAAACATAAGCAGTTTCAGCACAGACCTGGAGTCTCCGAATGGCAGGCTGAAGATAGAAAATGTGCTGGAATATCAGGCACCCCATCACGAGATCAATATAATTATACATGTACTGCACAATTGTAAATAAAGTAGTGCCTACCCTAGAAAACCCTGAGGCTGCGTTGTCTTTCGTCCAGTTCGTCATCACTATCTAACAAAAAGCATGAAATAAGCAAGAAAATCAGTGAAGATTTGTCACCAAGTCGGTCTCTCTGCTGAGCATATGTCGTGGTACTCGGAGTCTGGAGGGAATTTGTTCAGCTTCTCTTTGTTTAACAGATGCAGCGCTCAAGTACAAAAGCCAACGGCTGTATTTTCATCAGGGATTGTTCGTTTGCGTGAATTATACAGCGAGTAATTGATGGGCTGGGTAACTTTTGAGTATGCATTATCTTCTTGTTGGCGATACATATTCTTATCTACGAGAGCTATAGCCACGTGGTGCAAGAGCCAGACGAAAAAGGCAATAACCCCTACACTCATACCGAGAGCGAGACCCACAAAGAAAAGCAACTCAATCAATGAATTCACAAATTTATCTGACCAGGCAAGATGATAATGATATACCCAGACACGATCATGGTATTGATGATATACACAAGGACGATAAAGATAGTACTCCGAGGAGAGTCACAGTGAGCCTTTACCTTCCCACTCGTACCTGGTGGGGGCGCGCACGATCTATAAATATTCGGTTTGTCGAAATATATTCTAGTTACACAATACTTCTAGGGGGTAGGCATCTAGTAGTTGGAGCATCAGTATCGGAACGATGATGGTATTTTTTTCAAGTATGGTTTTAGAATGCAACCGGCTAAGTAAGCTACCTTCCCTCATATTGTGGGACTGCGCAGTGCTACGTGGATCAGATTCGTAGCTGTGTGGAGGCAGTGACTCGCACCGCTTGCCCAGTGTCGGTGGCAGCCGCCAGTCAATCAGGGAGATGGCCTTTGTCATTTATAACAAAATAAAAAAGGCGTAAACCCTTAGTATAATCACCATGCAGAACTTTGTAGAGAATCGCCGCGAAGTCACATGAGGAAGAGCACTGATCTGGCTTGAGAAAAGAACGGCTATTTTCTTGGCTTCCGATTATGTCTGTACTGATATTACCACATCCGTTTGATGACACGATTGGAAAATGCATCACGTCTGTTTCTTACTTTTTCATGACAGTTGTTACAGTGCTACCAGGTTTAAGAGAGAAGGCACTATTATTACTATGTATGTATCTTCTCCACTTGAGCGTCAACTACATACTCCTCATTTACTACTATAATTTTCTTCACATTTTCATTTTCTATTTCAAAACTCTCTTTTTCTACTCCTAGAAACTCTTAGACACTTCCCACGTCGGAAGTGACTTCATCATCATCTTCAGCGCCCAAAAAGTCCAGGCTGTGCCCCAGTTCGTCTTCATCTAGATCATCAATCCAGTTTCGATTCGTCATGTTGTCTAGGATTTGCGCTGCTCGTCCATCCACATCCATGTCGTCCTCTAGCTCACTCATCTTCGTGGAGCCGAACTTCTTCCAGACAAAAGGCATGGGCATCAAGTTCTTGTTGACTACTCTACCACCAACGACATTACCCATCTTGATGTGCTTTGCTGCCGATTCGGCCAGAAGAGCATTGTCAGATGTTTCATGTTTCTTGTGCTTCTTCGTCTTCTTGTTCTGAGACTTGGTGCTAACACCAAAAACGTCAACATCATCTTCTTCGGGGATGTCGGACAAATTGTTGTTTTCATCGTCATCGCTACTATCTAGATCGGTTTCCTCCTGCTCCACTTGAGCCTTGTCGTCATTGTCTTCATCATCGTCCATCTTGGTGCGATGTGCTTCTAGACAGAGCCGCATTGGCACGATCTGCTTCTGGACCAGCATACCTCGTAGCTCTGCAATAAACTGCTTCGCCGGCGCGTACACAAAGACACTGTTCACCAACCAGAAGTTGTCCAACATAAAGCCGCGTACTATGTCGTTTCCTTCCACCATCATGTTCGTCCAGCGGATCAGTAGAGGTCGAATGGCGTGTTCGAACACAGCCCGACGCACAGCGGTCAAATGCGAGTTCATAACTGATGCAAGGTCTGCTTTAACATTACCCTGCTGGGCGTACAAATTGGCATCCAAGTCAGCATCTCCAAGAGCCTGCTCCAAGGCTTCGAGAGGGACCTGAAGATATATGAGCTAATATTTGGCGAGTGAAGTCATGCGTTATCTGGGTGACTCAAGAAGTTAAAGTTCGTGGTATGATCTGAGTTCACTTATCTTACCTGCGAGCTTCTGTTTGTGATTCATTGGGCAAAAGGATTTTGTAGTTTCCGAAAATAGAAATTAAATTCTCAATATCATGCATGTCCATAAGAGATGGGCCTATAAATCTGTAAGAAAAAGACCATCCGTGTCAGAGTTGATTATGATTTGACGACTCGGAAGAGCAAACGTAATCAATCAAACGATTCCCGAATGTACGTGTCAGACAGTGAGATAAACAAGAAAAGGGATGTTTCTTAGTGCAGCACCTTTTTGCTATAATAGCTCACAAAGACGCAAGAGAAAACGGCGCTGCGTAGTATGGTTTACAAATGGTAGTCCTCTCCATGTTGTTACCTTTTTCTCAAGAGCTTCAAGATCGTCCTCTCCTTGAAAAGCCTCAAGGAGGGTAAGCGCCACCGAGCAAGACTCTTGAATTGCGCTAATCATCTGGGCCATCAATTTTGCCCATTGCGGGCACGTCGTTGTTGGGGAGCTGCTACAGGACTGCACCAATTTCAAAGGCGTCACGTCGACTTCACTGCCAGGGTTGCCCACTTTTGGAAAGAACTCGTCTGCGATGCTCGAATACAGCTGATTGTAGATGCGGATGGTAGGGGGCATGACGTGATCATAGAATCGATAAGAGAGATGAAGAAAGTCGATCGCGATAAATCTATGTAGACCAGAGATGACTAATTTGATGAATTCAAAGGGTTGTAGTTATATCATGAGAATAGAAACGACTGAGAGCACACGGTGAAAGGTCATACTAGTTCGAAGGTCGTATTACCTGCTTCAGCATGTCAGGAATCTCTGTGAGGCGCTTGTCGATTTGCGCCAACACGCTGGCCGCGTTATAATCTAAATTATCCAAAGCCAAGTCCGGCGAACTGCAAAGGGTAAAATAGCTGAGGAGAGGGCCAGCCAGTCCAGTTGAGGTTCCGTTTTTTCGCATCGCAGTTTGAAGTTCGAGCTGCTTGGACTCCAAGGCGCACACCTCTTCTAGGTCAAGGCCTAGCTTTTCTTTGATCCCCGGAATATCCACTTTCGTGCAGAGAGTCTCCAAGAGTTCGGAGCCTTGTGCAAGATGGGTCAAAAAGGAAACCACGCACTCAGTTTGGGTCAACAAGGATTCATGCTCGATCTCAAACCAGTCGGAGATACTCTGCCCAGTCGCGTACAAAACGAATAAAAACTCGCCAAGTTCCACGCGCAAGTCCTTCTCTGCTTCTCGGCAAAGTGCCTGGTTGATGATACGGTAGTGCTATTATCGGGTGTAAGTCAGCGACACTATAATACTGACGCAGATGAAAGTAAGGACTTCAATATGTTTCGCCTGAAATTGCTCACTGCGGGTCTAGTCAGGGGAATTGGGTTGAGGAAGAGAAACTTTAAATTTCTTGAAGTGAGTTCTTGATCTTGCCTAGAAAATCGATCCCATGGCTATCACTTAGCAGTAGCATAATTTCTTCGCTGTAATGCCTTGTGGTGGAGTGAGGGTCATAGTACCTCCTTGACTTCGTCGTAGATGTCTCCCAAATCAGTGCCGTCGAAAGTCGCCTCCCAGGACTTCGGCCCTCCCTTGATAGTGGACTGCATGCGTTTTTTCTTATCGTTCTGGCTAATTCCAGATAGATTCTTGGCAGTGAGAGGCACACTCTTGCTTTCCTTGCAAGTCGATGTCGGAATTTCCCTGGAAAGTAATAGTTAACATTTTAGCTCTTGAGATTGCGCGATGAATGACTTCTACAAATGATCAGAAATCGATCTAGACATCATCAAGATCAAGATGTAAGACATGCATCATGAGAAATAGAGTAAGCAAAAAATAATACTCGACATCATCCACGTCCATCATGCGAACCCGACGGCCCTCGCGCGCTGCACTCCGGCCATCATCGTTTTCAGGCGGCAAAAGGCGTTCGCCCTTGGGCAACGTCTGACCTAGAGTCAATAATTGATAATTGTCCCCCTGCCACCACAAACATATGTTGCGAGTACAAGAGTGTCCCACTCGCATTGCATCAGTGGCATGATTGACATTCATAGGGGTCAGATGAGGGACGGCGTGATCAATGTTAAAGATCATCGTATGGTTTTTGATGTTAGTTCTATTCCTGTTCGCTTAAAATCATTTAAAGAGTGGCTGCGCAGGGTAGCGTAGAGATGCGTAGGGAAGTTTCTACCGGGGAACTCCCTGTCAAGCTTCCAGGAAAGTGCGAATCGAATATCGTTCCCCCCCAGTATTTTTCTTCGTAGGTCGTCATCAACATCATCTTCATCAACACAACGCAGCTCGTTGCCGTAAGGAGTACAGTTCCGTTTTACAGGAGTTCCAGGCTTGGGGTAACCAAGCGAAATAACACTCGTTCTTTTACTTCGTGTCACACCAGCGTTAAGATCATTACATTGCTTGTCGAGCATCATCTGATCGAAGTTTAAAACTCTATTACCACCAGCCATCTCGTCGCGGATTGTGTAGCTGAAGGGCACGGAAGCAGTGCGCTGATCATGGGCGGATGCTGTGTTGTCTTTCTGATGCGATTGATACTGCGCAATTGGCGAGACTGTATTCATCGAGTTCAGACCTCTCTCAAACTCCGCAACAGGCTTGACTGCAGATTTCGTGAAAGCGGCAAATTGATGCACCGGAGAACCGACTACGGGTTTCCCATTGACATCATATTTCGAAGTTTCGCACAACAGTGTCGGTGACGCCATTGCGTCAGATTTAACCTTAGTTAATGTAAGAGGCATTTACCTTCAGATATGACCAAGATGTGTGACGTTTTGCGTCATCAGAGGTTGCTTTTGCGGAAGGGGAATTTGTGGCTTGACATTGTTGAGACGAAGATGGAGATTCTGAAGAAGTAAAAAACTGGCGTGATTGCCTTTTCAGCTTGTGCTAGCTTTTGGTGATCATGATTAAGAATGTCCTTTGCTCGTTTACTTTATCAATTATTATGATCATCATGTGTTCAGTAAGGTAACCGCACATGTGGAGTAATGTCGTACTAGCGCATCATATTTGCAGGAAGGAGGAGACCTTCGCACAATTGTACCACCATACGATTCAAAAGTACCTCCTGAGAAGTTGTCCCGTCGACAGCAAGAAAATCCGTGATCTCAGATTTGTTATCCTGCAACCCAAAGCCCTCGCCGTGAGATGCGGGGGTGGTAGCCGGATTAGCTTCAGCAAGATTTGGCTGGGCAAAATCATTCTCGTGGACATCATCGGAGCCGGTAAAATGCTGCGGCTCAGCGTCAAGCATATCGGTGTTGGCAGTCAAGTCCACACTAAAAGCAGCACTGTTTTGCGTTTGCTCAGGTCCAACGCCAATAGCCGCATCTCCCATATCTGCTTGGATGTCGATAAGATTACCAGGCAGAGACACCATGTTTTCAACTCCAGAGGCTCCTGTAATATTGACGTAATGATAGAGCATAACTTTATTTAAAGGTTATCCAAATCCATAACCATATGTACATGATGACAGAGAACAACATGACTACTTGGCTTGTTAATCATCTTGGTAACATAAAACTGAAGTAGCGGAGACATGTTTTAGTACCTTCTTCATGGGACAAACCTTCACCGCCTACTCCACCAGTCGTGCTACCAAGCTCGTCTGCGTCGTGGAAGCCTTGCAACTCGGCTTTCAGCATAGCCGTTTGATCTCCTTGTGTGACAAATCCGCCTGCACCCAAAGATCCATCAGCGTTGTCGTTATGCATGACCTCGTCCTTACATCCTTGCCCCGTTGGTAGCAGCGTGGAAGAAGACTTGGTCTCTGGGGGGAATACTTCTCCAGAAATTGTTGTAGTTGTTGGTGTAGTTGCCTGCTGCGCGAAGGTGTCCTTGGTCATCCGCGAGGCGCTAGCGGCTGAAGAGGAAAAGGTGGAGGAGGAAGAGGCGGATGTGGCCTTGGGAGGGACAGCGGCTTGATCAGGGTTGAGGTTCGCGAAAGCCATCCGCGTTCCCAGTTCGTCGCATTTGCCTTGCTCGGAAGCCTTGTTCAAAGTGTTGACGAAAACGGGCTGTGTAGTTGTGCAATTGCTACTACTACTTTCTCCAGTCGCAATCTTGATATCGCCACTTTCCGCATCCTGGGGATTCTGGTTGTGATTTTTCGTCGTGTTTCCACCGCGTGAATTGTCGTCGATAATTAGTTTGTTGATATCAACCGCAGATGATCCCGTCAGCAGGTCAGCGGGATATACCGTGCGACCACGTCCACCCATGGTATTCGCGGGTGTGCCGCAAATGTTGGGGCTGAGGGTTGAAGAAGGAATGATAATTGATGGGTACCTAAAAAAAGGCACGTAACGACCATCACTTCTTGAGTATCATGAGATAGAACACTACTAGGTGGTTCGTCAAAGCTCAGGAAATGCACACAGAGAGAACTCGAACACTGCAAAGAATAAAGCAGCAATTTGTTTTCTTAATTAGGGATATTGGAGGGTATGACGGGGAGAGCCACCCAGTACCTGTGCGATTGATGGTCAACGAGCTTCATTTTTCGCAACGAGTGCTGCTTTCTCATCCGTGTGCATTTCTTGTTTTTGGAAGAGGGCTAGCACCAGTATGCACTATTACAGCATCAACTGTATGCGTCACCATAACATAGCCCAACTTCAAAACTATCAATAATTGATACAAAAGACAAGGGTTCCAAGTACCGCTTATCATTTGGAGGAGAAGGCGTCGGAGTTCCACGAACCTTTCTGGACCGCTTTTTGGCTGTGTGTGCCTTCAACAGTTTCTGTGTGTCATTACTTGCGTACTTCAAAGCCAGTAGTCGGTCCCGCTCCTTGGCTGCAATTTTCCACGTTTCGATAAACGAATGCTCATTGGATGCGCGTTCTCGATTGACCATCCAGAGCAAAACCGAACGAGGAAAATACTTCGTCAAATTGCTGATGGATTTCACTGTCTTCTTGTAGTTGAACTTGTCGAATCCTTTTTCCTTCCACAACGCAACAACCTGCAACCAGATGCGATGTCGTTCCTCACTGAAGGGAGGAAAGTTGTTTTTTGAATCGAGACTCAACTCGTAGCACAGCTTTCCCGCACCTGATTTTTCTCCAGGTAGCGGGGTGAGATTCAAACTAGACAGGAAAATCTTCCACGTCCACACCGGATACGAATGCTCCACCATTAACGTGTATCCCTTGATGACCTAGAACATAGTTGAGGGCATACATATGGAGGTAGTGGTGGGAGATTGTTGGACAAGATAGCTTGAGGTGGAGATTTAAAATTGTAAAAGATCACTTGCAAAAATAAAGGCTGTACTGTGATAAAACTTGCTTGAGTTACTCACGGCCATCGTCAGAACCAAAACTAAGTAAACAAGCCGCCCTATCTTCGCAAGCCAGGTATATCATTGAATACCGCAGCCATTTTTGCCAATGTCTTGACAACCAGGTGTCGCAGTAGGGTCATGATGACAAAGCAGCAGATTTTCGCCCAAGCTTGTCGGACGTAAGAGTATTCGGCTAATAGATTTTGCCTCTTCGAAGCCTGCAAAGCCTCTTTGACGAAAGTATACTTCAATTTCGGAGTTTTTTCGCGTGCTTTAAGGCGTCGGCGCCATGTGCTCTGTGATGATATTCAAGGCAAAAATCAACACTATTCGTGGAGGAAAAAGTGATCCTATTTGTGACATCAAACATAGAAGATCAAAATAACATCGAGGACAGAATGTAAGTATACACTCAGGTAGACCCAGGCGGCTCGCGTCTTCAAGAATTTCGCCTTCAGTTTCAATTCTGCAAAAAAATCGTCACAGTACGGCTTGGAGCAAATTTTTCTCGAGATCGCTGAAAAGTAAGAAAAGATATACTTACAACACATAAAAAATGTATGGCTTACCAAGATGTTGTTTGAGATTGACCTGGTATCTTTTTTTTTTTGCCGAGTTGTACTCGAAGCGGTACTCTTTTCATTCTATCTGAGAGCTTTTATATTGTACATGAGGGAGTGCTTTCAGCTAATGAGAAATACATTTTTTCGATAGATTAGAATAGAGGGATAAATGATGGCCACGCAGAAAGGTATATGCTATCTTGGAGGGCGATGTTGAACAGCCCTCTTAAGCCGTTATACTCTACAAGCGTAGTTGGATACCGGCCACGAGCACAGCCTTGCAGAAATATGAGCTACAGCTACATTTACATTTAGCCATAAAGGTTAACTACTGAGCAGACAAGAGAAATCCTCGCAAAAAAGTTGTAGTAAACTTCAATACGGCACTTATTTCTGCAATGGGTTATGAGGTCTTTGGCAAGAGCTTCACGGCCTTCGATGATGCTGTTGACCGTAGACTGAGCAGATCCTCCCTTCTTCATCCCCAAGGAGAGAATCGCAGTCCTTTTTTGGAGCTTGCTCATCAGAGGACTGTCGCAGTCCATGATGGACGTTCGTTCGTAGACGTCCTCAAGAAATGTGTCATTGTTCATTTTGTCGTTCCCCTTCGCCTTCTTCTTCGGGGACCGGGACCCTGCACGACCGCCAGGCATTTTGACTTGTTACCGATGTAGGTGTAAACCCGGGCGTTAGATTAAAAAGAATACGACGCGTACAGAAGAGGGCTGTGAACAATAATCGTAAGCAAAACAAGCAAAATAAGTTATTGATGGTATCTTAATAGTTAATGCTTCAACTAGATATATCTTCAAATGGAGGAGAAGTTTTGATATCAATTGCGCGGTCCTCTCGGGTAGCAACCCCTGAATATAGATCATATAGTACTTTTTTAGAAGAAAATAAAAATAGCGCCCATTAATATGTCTTACTACACATGACAAGTAACCAAAACGACGACCATGCTAAACATGTAGTAGATGGTGGGAGATATTGTAACTGTATGAAATGGGAACGAATGAACTGCAAAAAGCAGTAGTATTTTTCAATAATTTTGACGAATTGCGATTATTGTCCGGAAATTATTGCTTCTAGGGATGACCTTATCAAAGCTATATGATACCACTTAGAGTACTAGAATATTTTAACGCGGGCAAGTAGTACAACGGTGCCAGACATCAGTATACGTATAAGGATGCAGCTGTTGACAATCTCACACAGCGACAACTTGGTGAACAGCTACTTTATCGGATGTTCTAAGAAATGATGTATAAGTCGGTGCTTCCCTTTGTATGGTCCATCTATGATTGAAGAGCAATAAAGTACACGTTTTAGATAGTGAATGATCTTAATTGTTCAATGTCTGACTCTAGCCTGAGTTATTGAGAAAAAACTAGGCAAGGGACCTCCGCGATTGCTCTTATATAATATCTGTCGGCTGGATATTCATGTACTGGTACGTAGCAATGTGTTGACAGTGCTCGCTTGCTTATCCACCTAGTTATAGTCTTCGCATTCACACGGTGTCAATTACTATTCAAATTATATTATGGAGCCTGAGGATTGTATCGATCAATGATCGAGCTTTTTTTCCTGACAGTCTTTATTGCTTTGGCTAATGCAGATGGATGGTGTTGGAGATGTGTAAAAGTGAATTGGTTCTTGTTCGAGGAAAGTTGGATCCTGATGAGTTTGGCTTTTTGGGTCTTCTCCATGGAGTTAAGTAGTGAGACATCCGTAGCACAAAGACATGCTGATCAAAGTCTAAAAAGTGCCAATATTTCTGAGAATTTGATAGAAAATCACTAATCACGGCTTATAGCTCGCATAGTAAAAAAAAGAAAGTCTTAGTTCTTTGCAGCACCAGATGGGGGTATTCGATTATCATTATCAAAAAACGCGAATCTTGGCAGCATCAAATTAGTCCACTCACCTGGCAATCAAAGAAAAAAGTTGTTGCATTGTCACGACAGAATGGAACTGCAGCACAGTCATTGCTTCACACATGATTGGGATCGTCAGTGCTCTTGTAGCACTAGCGATCGCCAGTTGAGAAAAAAAACCAGACACCAAAGGCAACAGATTCGAGATCATCCTTGTGCTGGTCCTTGGTTGTGCAGGATCTAAGAAGCATCTTCGCAAAAAAAAAATCACATGAGAACATCACTCGGCGCGCCTGCGTTTCGGGTGTTGGGGTCCCACGAGCCGACTATGTACGTGGTCTTTTCAGAAGCTCACGCTTCCAATCAAAGTGCATTTGACTACTGCCGATTTGATAATCAGACAAGCAGATTTATGATCAAAGCAGTAATGTGCTGGGCTGTAAGACCTCGCTTGTCCTGAAATGAAAATGTAGTCCATTGTTATAAGAAAGAACAAAACGAGCCTTAGCATCAATCAATGTTGTAAGTCTATTCTTGATTATGACAACCAAATAGAATCGGGGGCTAAACTTGTGTCTCCAGGTTTGCAAGCGCACCAGGCGTCAGCGAGGTACTACCTCATAAGTTTTGGTATCGTGTCAGTACCGGTCGACTTTCCGAACTTAGGCTTTTGCGATCGATGGTAGCGACTGTAGATTTTAGTGCTCCTATGATTTAGGTTATTCAAGCATATCGAAAGTTCTTCGATTCCGGGTCCTAAAAAATTGTGGTAAAACCTCCATCCTAAAGCCGACTCATACGCGGATGTCATTTTGTACTACTACGCAAATCTATGGTAGGCACGCGCCAGAACGTGGATATCATACTTAATATGGAGGATATTTATTTGTTTGAACCAAGGGAAGAGGAAAGAGCGCTAGCAGCAAGTGCAAGAGCCTAGCTTTTCGTTTTTTTTTTCATTATTCTACTGAATCTCATAACAAGAGCACACACTCAAGGGAGATGCTCTAAAACGACTGTAATGTGTTAATGAACACTAGGAAACATTACTTGACACCGGATCAATAGTTTTTCGTCCGAGTTGTGTATGGTAAAGGGAAACGTTATTTTACGAGAAAACATAACAGTAAACGGTGGATCCATTGGTTTATAGCGTGAAGCTTGCGACACATAAAAAAATGAAATCCACTAGGGAGGTGTTCGAAGAGCAGCTTTATGTCTTTCTACGCTTAAGCACTTTACTTGACTGCAAATAGTTTGATCTTGCAGTCGGAGAGCCGCCGTATTAGCTGGCCCTGAGAAAATATATTGATTATCATGTGCCATCAGAATCATGGACTCTTGATAGGACAAACTACGTCTCCCAAGAGCAAACTACTAGTTACGAGCTCGCGAATTTCTAGTACGAGACACAGATCAGCTACTTACGAAAGACATTTACGAAACTGCATGTACGCGTCTCAGTGCTTGAGATTACAAAGAAGCAGGCATACTCAAGTGAGCAAGCAATATTGTCCACACGATTCCAACTGCCTGATCGCATATGTCATCTAACTAAGTGTGACGCTTGAGCCTCATGTTCAGGAATGACGGCGATTGGCAGAGGTAGCTGCGCTTCTGTCCTCTCGACTGTCATGAGTCTTGCCATTTGTGATGCGATGCAGTGCTGTGTTGACTCGAGCCGCAACCCGCGCGACGTGCGATACTATCCACTCTAGCTTCTTCTTATCATCGGCGCGAATGCTACTACCTCCCCGTCGAAGAATTTTTTTGGTTTTGCACAAAATTGTTCGACACTGGAAGTCTCGCATAAGAAGAGTGCTGTAGTTCAGTGTGACAGTAGTTGCGACCGCACCCACAACATACTGCGCCAGAGGTTCTAATTGCTGAGTCCTACAACAAATATCATCTGCAGACATTTTTTTAGGTGGGTCTGACCCTCTCCACTCCCGTAGCTTATTAGTACCACTCTCGATGTAGCATTGCTGCTTGCAGTACTTGTCTACTAGGTCTTCAAGCCGCGGATCTTCCTCGAAGACCACCTCTGCGCGTGGTAGAAAAAGGCTAGCACTGTCTGATGATGTAAGATTAGTAGTGGATGATGGATCTTGTTCCCGTAGCGCCTGTTGTTTGCTACTATTGGCTTTTCTATGTTCGGAAGTTGAAGTTGGCACCAAATCTATCTCCATGCCCTTGTCTTCAGTAGATGCATTTTTCGTGGCATAGTCCACATTAATATCGACGCAGTCGCCTGTCGCGAACTCTCGCCCTTCTGGCCATAGTTCGTCTTCTTTCCCAGTTGATGCGCGGACGTGTGCAGCTTGGTCTGTCCCTGGCAGCATGTTGCTGTGCTGCATGGGGTCGCTGTAATCCGCGTCCATGTCATGAAGAGAATCACAACTAGGAAAGTAACGCTTGGAACTGCCTGTGGTGAGAAACGAAAACGGCTTAATAGGTATTTGCTCATGTTCATGCTCATTGTACTGTGCGAAGAAGTTCCTCATTTTCCAATCTTCTCGAGCAGCCTTAGGGTGGTCTTGAAACATCATCCCCCCTGGCATTAGAGGTTGATGATGATGTGGCTGCTGCTGTCGATGTTCACCAGGCGTGACGTAGTGCCAATCACATCGACCAATGAACGGCTGTAATTTGGTAATAGAACAGATCAGACAGAGATCATTAGAAGGAGGGAATGTCGAAAATCGTAAAGGACGAAAGCTTATCGCCCGAAGAAGTTTTGCAACATAGTTATAGTGCCTTCCTGTGGGAAACATTGAGTATTATAACAAACGTCAAGGTTGGGGGTGTATTGGGTTCCTGAGAAGTTCATCAGTATCCCCATGTTCCTTAGAAGTGGTCCAATCCTGACCCAAACTTTGGCAAAGGATCAATAACAAATGCAATACGAGACAAAAGCACAGCTATAAAGTAGTACAGTAGCGTTCGGGTCTTGTACTCCATGCGGGCAGGGAATTCCGATATTTACCAGCAGTCTTTGCGTTTTTGCATCCACGCACTTTTTTCCTTGCGCAGCGCCTTCCTCTTTCTTTTTGAGTGCTCCTAATTGGGGTTTCGGAGTCCACTTCGGGGGTATCGATTCTGGTGGAGGCTTTTGCTGTTAAATGAGTACGACAAGGGTATAGCATTGTAATTGTAGAAAGTAGTAAGATTTCTTTTCTATGACACTGGATGAATGCTTACAGCATGTGCAAAATATCTCCAGCTTTGCATCAAATGGAGGGCCGTGGCCTTTACTAAACGCTGTGCTTATTCTATCATGTAAAAGTGCACTAGATCGAATTTCAAACACCAGTGAAAACTGCCGCGTCAACGATGCATCTGTTCTTACACGGTTTTCACATTTCAAACAGGACTATACACTACGCTTTTGCGAAGACAAGACGTCCATGTTGATCTATTCGAGACAATGCGGCATCCTGACTAGAAAAGACTTAAAATAATCCTTGATACCATCACCATCACAGGACTTCCAGCAAGTGGTGGCGAGAAATCCAGTCTTCGAGGACGTGCTCGCCATCCAAGACCATAGTCTGCAGGTTGTAAGGCTTCTTGCAGAGGTATTGGCTTACCGTGCAGAGGTTGCCCGAAATAAACATGATGGGAGGGGGACGGGATTTTGTATGGTTTCCTATCTGGATTTTTTTTCTCTGAGAGCCCCTGACTGGCGTGACCAGAATCAGGGTGACAGTTTGAAGGCTTCATGATGATGCCCTATCAGGCTAGCACGTTTTGCTGTTGCTGTGCCTAGTACGAATTACCAAGAAGCTCAATGTTTGTCCTAGTTGTAAGTGCAAGCATTTCATCCCAGTTTTTCTTCCTATCTTAGCCAGCTATCAGTTAAGAAAGACAAAGAGGTGCGGTTTGCAATAGTAATATCAAAAGATGAGATAAATTTCACGAAGAAGTGCTCCAAATTTCCCTTGTTGCCGGAGGCTGCATCAGGTGAGATTGTGAAGCAGTTGATGGAAGGTCAGGCCACAAAAAAATAAGCACGGTTAAGTCAGTCACCCTTTCAGGTCTTTTTGTATTCATTGCTCAATGGGCCAGAGACTCATCGGTGAAAGAAATATATTAGAACCAAAAAAAAACCTCTCCTGCAGGTGCGACATGACGTGTTTATTTCTTTGTCAAGGTAAAGGAGACTCACTCGAAAGGGCAAGAAAAGACATGGCTCTCCAAGACAAAAAAAAGCGACGTCGACGTCTTAGCTCTGTGGGAGACAGTCTTTCATCATAAATACCAGCAATCGTCTTTAGTTAAAGCATCTCGAGGAGGGAAACTGCGGGTTCTCATTGGTTCCTGCTCGACCATTCTTGGGAGCATAGCTCTGGTGGGTGCCATGTACTAGCAACGAAAATCAAGTCCAGACTGAATACCTACGTACCTAAGACCAGCTACTTTGCTTCAAAAAGTATACTCATAATGAAGGTGTCCCTCCCTGATGTCTCTGCAAGATGAAGACAAGCTAGCAAAGCCCCAAAAAGCACTACTTAGCGAATCGGGCGACTCGAGCGGATCGAATAGATGAAGACTTTTGTTGTTTTGGACATTGATTTTATCAATTTATAAACACTAAGGAAACTTTCTCCAAAAATAAGTTTCCTTTAAGTTTCTGGAAAGTTTCTGACAAGTTTCTGATAAGTTTCTGATAAGTTTCTGGAAAGTATCCTGCTCGTGTTAAGCACAAGTTTCTGACAAGTTTCCTGAGTCAAATTCTGATCAATTTGAGGTACCAAATAACACGTCTAAAAGAGGAAGCATCCAGGTCATTACTTCTCACGCCATTTGTTCTAGTAAGCGCATTGGGATTTGGCAATTCGCCGAACTCTGATAGCGCGTATCACGTTGTCCTAGTCAGTATTATTTCATCACTCGCGTAAACCTAGTCCTACTCTATATGCACCCAGATAACAAAATTCAAACAGCATCAGAAATTACCGTTTTACGTGTCAAATCATATGTAGTTAAGAAGCAAACTCAAACACCAGCAGACGCTGCGGATCTTCAGTTGTGTCTCTGATATTGGTAAGTAGTTTTTCTCGTCCCATCCTAATCAAGAATCTAAACTCAAACACGGTGACAAACTCCGATTTCGCAGATTAACCTTACATGAGGCTCGAATGAAATTCAAACACCAGCAGAAATGCTCGATTTGTATAGAAACAAGTAACATGCTATGATGTAAATAGAAGGTCGCTGCCTTTATGTCATCCATTTGGGAAGACCACCCAATAGTCGTACTATCACCATGACCATAAAAGTCCATATAGGCCTACCACTGAGACTGACAAGTGATCAGGTAAAAATGCCTGCTTAGACTGAAAAAAGAATGCACTACCCTTTGTTTACTCCAAGCCGAACGGCTTGACGCCCTTTTAGTCTCCTACCCTTTCTCCATAATCGGAACCTTCCTCACCCGCTGACAAGTCGTCTTCTTCTACACCCTCATCGGCCATCAGTGCATCCTCAGGCTGAGACTTTGTAGAACCGCCAAGGTTAAATCTCACACGTTGCTGATTTGCTGGCAAGTTATGCTGTTCATTATTGGAGGACGAGGAGGCCCATTGTTGTCGATTGGTCTCTGGATTCATCTGAGAAGTGCTACTCGTCCGAGGTTCTAGATCATTTTCTGTCGTGGTGCTTGAAGTGGGGCAGTGATTGTTGACAGAAGTCAAACGAAACTGCTGAATAGGGCTTAACCACATCAAGTCGGCATCTGATAGATTGTCTATCTTAGATACTGCCTTTATCTCGTGCTGTTGAGCTCCAGCCAGTGCGGCTCTCCTCCATCCCGCAATCCACGTCTTGAATTTACTCCGCAAATCCTCCTTTTCTGTGGATGACATTGGAGACGTTCGCCGGTGCTGCAAATGATGCCGCATAACAAAGCGCGTTCGAGCGAGTCGCAATTGTATATACGACCTGTAGATATTGATCGCGATCCTTATGAAGCAAACAGTATCACGCGCAAGATCGTAGTTAACTTCTTGTGGAAGAGGAAGCCATCGCTACGGCTTTCTTGTAAGAACAATGATCTTTTACATCCGATTCAAACACAACAAACGTAATATCATATTTACAATTTCTAACAACTACCGCATGACTCTCTGCTTACCTAGCGAGCGTCAATCTTGAGAATCGGTAATCCCTCTGGTAAATTCGACGGACAGGCTGGCAGTTCAAAGGCCCCTTGCATTTCGCGGGATCAGAGGTTAACTCCAAAAAGTAATCACCTTCGCGAGTGTCTTCAATTGGCCTTAGAACTAGACGAGTCGAGGTAGTCTGGCCTTCTGATTGCAAGAAAATGTTTCGCTTCATCTTTTCTCCCCATGTTTCATTTTCGATATCCCAGTGTGGATGTCCGCTGTAATGCTCAGTTTCCTCCCGAGCGACAAGGTCCTCGAATTGTCTTTCCTGGCTCGCAGTTAGCAGAGGCATAGGCATAGTGCCTCGTTTAACGATGCGACGGCTGCTGCGCAGATCTTCCCTTTCTTGTGCTTCCACGCGATTGCTATCAATGCCTCCTGGACCCCCACTCGAAGGCTCCAAGTTGATGTTGTTGATGTTCTCACCAGACGAAGTAGCCGGATCATCATGGGGAGGTATTGCTGGATTTGAGGGCATCCCACCCCGCGGCGCCGCTTCGTCTATGATCTTATCAATGTCTAGTAAGCGGTCTTTTTTCTTTGCGCCACGCATTCCCGCGCCGCGAGTTCGATTATCCAACCCATCCGCATTTGAATCGTCGACACCCCCTGCGTGGGTTCTCACAAGTCGTTTCTCTATCTCTTTGACATTGAACTTGCGTCGTATTAGTTCCTGAACACTATACATCTTCTTCAGTTCTCTATCCCTTTCATTTCTGCTCCTTCGAAATACTAAGTCGCTCCTGAGCTGTCTTGATGCCTTTTGCCTGTCCTCTTTTGATTTTTCTGCTCGAGGAACTTCACAAGCTGGAAAAACTCGCTCCATTCCATAGAAAACTAGACGCGGCTGCTCACCAACTAAGACCTGATCTTTAACTTCTCCACGAAGGGTTAGTCCCGACGACGGCTTCGTATTCCACATGGGAGGCCTTCCTGTCTCTGCTGCTAGCTTTGCTCTGCTCTCGGCGTCCACTGCCTCTCTTCTCCGCGTATACTGCGCTGCCTGTCTCAAAACTGCAGCTGACCGCTTCCCATCAACGAATAAAGCAGATATACAATACTCATGAAACAGGGGTCTATACCTCTTTTCCGGCTGATGATGCGCCGCAGCTGAAGATAACTCTAGTTCATGCGAAAAGGCGTTTTGGTACTGCTTGCCGTGGACGGGGTCGGTATTCTGCAGCGGCCTGGCTTTTGAAACGCGCTCTGCTCGATATTTTGGATCCATGGCGCATTGCTGCAGCTTGTCCGTCGATGAACAGGCGCGCTCCGCTCTAGTAGCGACGTCCACGCTCTTTTTTTTCGTCTCATTGGATGATGATGTAGAATGATTCGTTTCTGTCACCGACATCGGGCCCAGGCTCCCTTCTTCATGACGACAAGGGCTGCGTAATTGTTGCGATCGCGATGCGCTAGCTAAAGACTGCTTATCGGCTCTGAAGCTATACTCTCTCGCATGCCTTCCCGCCGCCTTGAAAGCCGAGACTGAAAACGCAGTAGTAGCAGAATACGCTGAAATGACCATCGGCTTTCGGATAGCGTGCGTCATTGTTTCAAAGTACTGCTTTGCTGGAAACACCACCATGGACTTCGCCAGATAAAAGCTAATTTGATGAGGTGTAAAAGGGAGGTCGTTTCCCCGCCACCACCTGTCGTTCTGTCTCGAAAGTCCTCGAAGTGACAGTATTTGTGGTCCAGGAACAGCCCCGATGGACACACGGCCTAATTTGGGTGTGATACTACAAGCCAATCCAGCGCTTGCTCCTGCTTCATAGAAGCTGCCGCTCTGCTCCCCTGTCATCTTGTCGAGTAATACTAATGAAGCTCTGTCAGGTTCCAAAAGATCCCACACTACCGCGAAACACAAATATACTGGCCCAAGCTCTTCAGAGCGTTTACGATCTTGATTATTGACTGCAGCACCCTGTCCTTCCATACTGAATGACGACGAAGAGCTACTGGCTTGCGTTCTCGAAATTTCTCGAGATGTAGATGATGATCCCGGATTTCTCGCGTGTTGCGTTTCTTTTGATTTGACGCTGGAGCTCGCAATGCTTGCTTTTCCCGTGCGAGCGGACGAAGTGTTGCTTTCCGAGATCGGATTCGACGTTGTCCCGGCGTCTGCTTTGTTCTTCCTGGTTTTTGATAACGAAGGTGGACAGGCTGGAAACACATCATGTGAGAAGTCATACTTCTCGAGATCAAGTAGCTGCGACTCCACAGCAGAATCAACTTGCACTACAACAAGCAGGGTTTTGTCCTTGGAATCGTAGAACTGTTGCAAGCGCAGCTCTGCAGTGTCCTTTGCCGCGGCTTTTACTGCTTGATCTAGTTCTTCTTTAGTTAGTTCTATTTGTTCTGACGTAGCATCCAGCTCTCTCCGTAGCTCTTCAATACCGCGCTGCACGCCACGATGTCGGCCTAAAGTAAAGCTTAGACCTGAGTGACTGTCTGCTGACGACGTCACAGCGCTACCTGCTAGTCCTTCGACTGCTACTGACTGAGATTTCTTCGTTTGTGATGCTGTTTTTGTAGTGTCACGCGCAAAACTGTTATCTGCGAAAGATGAAAGACCATTTTTTTGACTTCCCGCCTTTTTCCCCGTATTGTTTTTGAGATCTCTACCATCTGCATCGACTTGCTTGAGACTACATCCTGAAACTGACACGGAGGAGGACGATGAACTAGAAGCACCCGGCACGATTCCTTCGACAATTGTTTTTAATGCAGATGAAGCTGAAGCGCCACTAGCTGATGCCGCAGCAATCTTTGAAGAACTACTGGATCCACCGCCGATCGCTGACAGCTTCTGATTCATTCTATCGCCATCTGGGGCGCGGTTACTCCCGGACGCTCCACGTCGGCAAGACTCGGGTGATTCTTCTAGTAGAGGCTCCAGAGCATTAAGGAAAAGTCGACTCCGTCTTTTCACGGAGCCAGTGTCCTCTTTTTTTTTTTTGCTAGTTTCAGCGATGGATGACGTCGCTTCATCCTGCTCCTTTTTTTGTCTACACAAGCTATCTAGCACTTCCAGTTTCCGCCGTTCTCCGCGTTGTTCTTCTCTGCGCGACCACCATGCGTCGTATTTTCGCACAGGCCAATTTGCCACATCTGGATACACATCGAAATCATCGGGAACCCTGTCCGGAAGATCAAAGCTAAGTTGATTTGAAACGTTCTCCTTTCCTGCAGCACCCTTTTTTGGGGACTTACTTTTGCTTGAGCTTGATTTGCTCGCATCCTCTGTTGTTGTACCAGATGTTTCGTTTTTCTTATTTTGCTTGTCGACACCCCGCAATCGCATCGCTCGTAAAATTCCAACCGCTTGCGATACGATGGAGGCGCGATGTCGGGAACCAACTTCTTCCGCAAATAGCCATGACCGCTCGAAGCTTGGCACAATGCTGTCGGGAATGATGTAATCTGAGTAAATGCAAGTCTTTGCAACTGCCAGACGCTTCGTCATCTCGCCCGTGAGAGGATGCGCCTCGTGCTGTTTTCTCATCTCCTTTGCAATCGCTCTCCATCTCGCGATCGAACGCAGAGCGCAGCTCAAACGCGCGCGCATTGTCTGCCGTGCATCTACCAGCTTCTGGCATTCCGCTTCTTGATCAACAAGACGAAGCTCTCGTCTTCGCTTGCACAACGCCGAGAACTTCGCACGTTGGTTAGCCGTCAGTTCTTCCCATTCATCGAGTAGCTCGTTGGTAGTGCCTGTTATTCGCCTAAATTCTTTTAGCCCTGAATCTGATTTGACATCGTACATGATGACTTTTGTCATGCGCTCCTGTCTGCATTTTTCTTGATAAATTGCAAGCCGTGCGGCTGCAAGCTGTTTCTTGGTATCACGAGACTGCGCTGCGCTATTCACGTGCTCTGTAGTCTTCCACTGTTTCTGAATACGCTGGTAGTATTTACAATTCGGAAAGTACGACTCGATGTCTTGATTGTGGTCTCGCCATCGTTTAACCATCCGCCACTCGAAAACAAGAATGCCATGCCTCTCTTGGTCAGAGGTAGCTCTTGCAAGGGTCTCATGCAACGATTTGAAGGCCAACAGCTCCGCTCTGCAGTCTTCAGACGATACAAATGCTTCGAAGCATGAGCTGCCTTCTTGTCCACCCTCATACTCTGCTAAAAATTTCTTCAGAAGCGCTTGCTGTCTGAGCGAAATCTTAAGATTGGGCTCCGGCATGATGTTTGAGCTATCTGGTGTTCCATCTTTGTGCACTGTGGTTATTTGTGGAACTGGCTGAGAACCTCTCATGAGTTGTTCCATCACGGTCCGCAAGGAAGATTTTCTGTTCCAGGACGCACTACTACCGCTTAGTCCCCTGAAGATGCTCCGGGTATCGACTCCGCTTCGTAAGCTTTTCCCCCTGCTGCTATGAACA